GTTATTTTGTACCTGATGTCCCTGATATCAGGTCCTCAGCACCTTACTCAAAATTGCTTCGAATAATCTCTGTTATTAACCTTAAAAGAGTCGCATAGTCGTGTGTCGCATGTCTCCGGCAACTCCCTTCACGCAGACTTATGAGCGAAACATGAGGGGGGTGTTGACATAGGCGACCCAATGTTATAAACTATCCATCCTTTTAGCTGGGTGGGGCTGTCGTGGGAAGGCCAACAGCGCCCAGCGGGACAGCGTGACACTGCACTGCTCTGAGCCACCAGCCCACCCACCGTCACGGCGCAACCAACCTACCGCAGGGCATTGCCACACCAGCACAGATTCACTCGCCGCCGCGTCTACCCTCCTACGAGGAGCTGCACCTGGTGCGTGCGTGGGTGGCTGCCAGGAGGGTGGGAAAGCGTGTGTGTACACGCGTACGAAGGACACCATATATATTCGGAGGAGGCGCGGAGCGTTAGCAATGGCGCAGATCACCGAACCACCCGTTGTTGTCCGTTAATTACTGCTGCTGCAGAGGCCCGCACAATATGGCCGCCGCCGGCACCGGAAGCCTGTCGTGCAAGACACACATACACACGCACACACATACACACACACGCACACACACTTAGCTACCGCCCGGTACCGCCTCTTAAGCCATCAGACCTTTCTAGCAATCTAAGTTCCAAAACGTGAGCTTTTTCGAGCTGAAAGCGCTCACATAAATGCGTGTTATGCTGGTCGCCATGCTGCCCGGGGCTGAGAGTGAAGTGTGGTGGTGATGATGCTCATGGTCGTCGCCGTTGTTGGACTCTGCACACAGGTCCACGACCCAGAGTACGTGCACCTTTTCAGCACCTGCCAGCTGGATGACGAACGTGTACGGCGGATCGGTTTCGGAACCGCCGCCACCAGGAGCCCGGTGATGGTGAGTGGAAATCCCCTGGGATGGGGCGCAGTGGGCGAAGGGCTGTGCCTCACATCGGCACAGAGCACACGGGGCCACGGGAGTGATATGTAGCACATGAGTAAGAGTTGTTGAAAACGCCGAACCGATTCACAGCCTCGCACCTACAGGCGGAGCATGCACGTCACCACCGGGAAGCGGAGAGAGCTGAAGTTAGGAGAGGGAGGGAGTGTACACGGAAGGCGGAATACCGAGCCCCGTGTTGCGCATTTGTGCATTCAACCCAATCGTATATGTGCTCCTCCTTGCTGCTCCGCCGGGGCTTCACTCTTCCACCCGGCAATTGTTCCTGGTGTTGCCGGTGCTCTCCCGCTGCTTTCGGCACTTGCACGGGGACATGGTGGTGCCGCCTCGCCTTACCGTCCGCCCATTTACCGTCCCTAGCGCTGCTATCGGCTCTTCCACAATTGGAGCTCCTGATGGGGGGGTTCCCCGGCTCTTCCCACCCACTTCTTCTTCTTTCTTTTCCTCCCACTGCCCTTCCGCCTCTGTCTCCGCATCCGCCGGCCCAAATCGTGGTGGCGCTTCCCGGTGGCGGCGTCCCAAGTCCGCTTTCGGTGGTGCTTACGGATACGGTCATCGTCATTGTTACCGTTACCGTTATCGATACCGTTAGGTCCGGCGCGCGATGGCGGAGGTGGCCGGCACGCTGTTGACCGCGCGGCTGGCGCTGCAGCACGGACTGGCGGTCAACACGGCGGGCGGTACGCACCATGCCTTCCCTGCCCACGGCTCTGGCTACTGCATCCTCAACGACCTGGCGGTGAGGGGCGCGAGCAAATGTAATCTTGGGAGAAGTGTGACCCCTCGGTCTGTCAGGGAACGGCTACGAATAGTGGCCAGGGCCCTGCAGTCCGCCTGCAGTCAGTTCCTGCCAGTGTAGATACACCCCCCGGTCGTTGCACAGCGCACGACGAGGGCAACAGGCCCATGCTTTCCTTTGTTGTGCGACCAATACCTGCCATGGCATCGCTACGGGTGCGTGGCGATGGCGGGGTTGGCGACGCTGCCGTTAGCGGACTGTCGTTGTGACTGGCTGGCTGGCTGGTTGGCTGGCTGGTGATTGTTGGCTGCCTGCAGGTGACGACGGAGGTGCTTCTGGCTGAGGGTCTGGTACGCCGGGTACTCATTCTGGACCTAGATGTGCACCAGGTGCGTCCAGGTGGTTTTGGGGCTGGGGGTGAGGGTGGCATTGAAATGGGTCTTGGGGGGGTGGACTCTCACACTCGGGGGGTTGGGACAGGGGGCAGGAGTGAGAGGTATGCAAAGCATCTGGATTATTCCTCAAAAGCTGCACAGAATAGATCATCGAAAAAAAATAAAAAGCGGAAATAGTTCAAAAAAAAGGTTGCCCATCCATAGTCAAATGACGTGGCTCAAGATTCGCTTAAAGCTGTACAACAAAACTGAGCCAGAACTTCAAAATGCTAAGGGAGGATAGGCGAAGAGTATTATCCTTAATTTGATTCACTTTTCCTAGATATGCCATAAATTTTGATGGCATAAGGCAAAGCAGAACATTAGAAAAAAAATTGATCCATGGTTATGTGTGTGTGTGGTTGTTATGTAATTGGTAAGTCTATGGAGGGAACAGAACTTCTTTTGAGGGGGATTATCTTGTAAAACTATTTTTATTAACAGCATCCTATAGTTTCTGTCTGTTTTTATACTTGGTCAAGCTATCGGAAGTCTTAGCAATAAAAAAATACCTTTTTTGATAGCCTGATTTGGCTTCTATTTTACCTGTTTCTTCGGTGGAACGTTTGGTATATTCTGATGAGAGCGGAGCTGAGGAGAAGCAATTGATATTTTTGGGAAAGAAACCAAAATTGGGCCTAATCATATAACAACCCATTTTTATTTAGGACATTCCTACGGGTTTTGGACAGCAATCGATAGTTTGCGCGAGAAAAAATTATACAGAAAAATCCAGATAAAACATTAAAGCAGTCAGCGGCTTTAGGTGGAAAATTGAGGAATTTTCATCGTGAAGTCAAACAAGTTACTGGTATCGAAAAATGCCAGATCAAAATTAATTGTATAATCAGTTAGTTGTTGCTCCATAGGTAATGCCATTTTCTGTTACAGATAATGATACACAGGAAGGCCCGAAGAAGACGGGCCTAACCAACAGAGAAAGAGACACCGCAACACAACTAACGCGGGCTGCGCCAACAAAGGGCGGGAGGGCGGGAGGGCGGGCGCGCGCTGAACAACAAAAACAAGATAAGCTAACCAGCCAAACGCGCGCTTAAATGGCGGCCCTGGGGACACGAGCCGCTGCGAGACAGTTAGACTAACAGTCACGCACTGGGCCTTACGCCCAACTAACCCAGCTTACTTAACGCAAGCTCGCATTAATAAAATATTTAGCAGTAGTAAACTTTACTGCGTGTTTTGACAGATTCTTTTTTATGAAAAGCTATATTATCCCGGAGGTAACAATCTGGAGGGAACGTTCAAAGTGGTGGTATGGTATTGCACGACGAAACCGGCAAGGAATAATCAAGGCCACATCGCATCTTACTAAATATTTTCCTAAACACAACACACGTATGCCAACCATTTACACCTCCCAGTCTACGATGTAGGATATGATGTTTCCAGGCTGCTTCGGCTATGGCACTGTTCTCTGCACCGTTGCAACCCGTCCCGCCCCGTCGCTCTCCGTTCTTGTCCATTTCGTGCATGCTGTCGTGCCACATCACCCTGCCAGGGTGACGGCACAGCCTTCATCTTCCGCGACCGTCCCGACGTCTTCACCCTTAGCGTCCACTCTTCCTCCAACTTTCCAACGCGCAAGCAACGCAGCACGTTGGACGTGGCCCTGCCAGATGGTACTCCCGATGGACCCTACCTCGCCAGGGTGGGCGACCTGCTGCCGCGTGTGCTACGGGACTTCGCACCCGACATCGTACTGTACGACGCTGGCGTGGACCCGCACGCTGCCGACGCGCTGGGCCGGTTGGCGCTAAGTGACGAGGGGCTGGCACGGCGGGAGCGGCTGGTGCTCGATACGTGCCTGGGCTTTGATGTGCCCGTGGCGGGCTATGTGGGTGGTGGTTACGATACCGACCTAGACGTACTGGCGGGTCGGCACCTACACCTGCACCGTGCGGCGGCGGAGCTATGGCTGCAGTACGGTCTGGAGTGAGGAACCGTGTTGATGTCGGGCTCTTTGGTTCGGGCGTTGGGCTGCGTTGCTATATATTTACGACGGACCCACGCACTTATACGGAACTTATAATTTGCTATGGAGCATAGGGCATATCACTCTTGCACTCAGCAAAGTGACGCACATGGACAGCAGGGCTATACCCGTTTACGGCCCCAGTAGTGTTCTCTTGTCCAAATACTTGGTTGGGTCCTTGGAGTTGCCCCCAAACGGGTCGTGGTAATGTTCGTTAGCTGCCTTCCCAAACCCTCGGTCTGCCTACATGCCCGAATGGCTGCGTTAGGAGGGCTTACCAGCTGCCACCTTTGAGCAGAACGGAACGTTTGAGCAGAACGGAAACCTGTCTGTGTGTGTGTGTTATATACATCCGCTGCTTGTACAAGCAATTAGCGGTCCCGCCTCAACGAACCAAGAGGTTCCAAGGCGAAGAAAGCTACATAAGAAGCTGTGCAATAGCGATAGAAGTACGACAGACGTGCGAACACAAACGCGTAAAGAGGCGAAGGAGAAACAACCACCAGAAGGAAACCGACACGGTAAAACAAAAAAGGCACTGCTCAGGACGGATACGTTGGGGCAACGAACCGCACAACCAGAAGGGGGCATTAGCCGGCCTCTAATATTATAGCATGTCCTAGCTTAATATACCAAATGTTATGTAGACGGGAACCTGTGCGGTGACGTTTTTATGATCTCGGCCGCGCGGGGTAGTGTATGCCTTAGTGTGGTCGCCTTAGCTGCGGCGACACGCGGCTCAGCACCCGGGGAACCTCGTACTTGCCGCCTTCCTCGCATCATGCGGGCAAGTACGAATATGGGGTTTCAAAAGCTAGCAGGCACCTTCACGCGCGCGCGTTTCACCACAAACAGGCGAGAATGGATGAACGGTTACATCAGTTATAACGGTGACATCAGATATAAATCTAGAGTAATTGCGTAACGGAATTCAATGCAGCGCGCGACTGTAAATTCGAGGGTTCTACGGGACCGACACATCATCCGTACACTGCACGTAGGCTACATCTTGAGTTACAGCGCTACTTCACGCCAAGACTCATTGCATAGGCACACTCGCCCCCAGAGGTCTCGCACCCTAACTCCGCCAGGTGGTATCTACAGTGCTGATAACTGCCAGACTGCTGATAACATGCGCTAGGTCAAATTGAAGTCTGCTTCGCTGGAGTTAGTAGACAACAGGGGATGCATACGCACGCAGGCCGCACGACCATAATGGTCACGTGGCTGCTACGAATCATAAACACACGGGAAAACGTTGCTGCTGTTCCTTCTGCTGCTGCAATGTTAGCCCAATACACAGTACTGCGGCGCCTAAACAGACTTGCCCAATCAGAGCATTCCGGTACCTACATACTCGTGGCCCGCGAGGCCACTATCCCTATCGATGCGCCGCCATATAAGCGATGGGTGAAGCAGACCACTACACGACCTTAGCCCGATGTTGGCTAAAACAGTTGTCCGGATCCTCCCCACCAGCCTCCGCCACCGCTGCTCCACCTAAAAACAGGAGTATTAGTGCTTAAGGTGTATCTCTATTTGAGAGCACCATCCAACACCTTCAATTCACTATTTACGAAACTATTCCTGTACATCAAGCGTCCGCCGAAAGACACTGAACACACACTACTATACAGGAAAAAGAATCAGAATAACTCTGCCGAACATTTCTGCGGCTGCCGATATTTCCTACTTTGTTGATCTGCACGCTAAAATACACTATTTCACACCACGGAAAGCTTGGATGAATCATACTGCCGTAGACCGCCAAAATCTGCGCATGCCAGCGCTCCACCATAGACGCCCAAGACCACCAGGATCGAGGGGTGGGCACGAATCCTTCAGGGATTTATGCTGTAAAGGGCGCTTGCCTCTTTGAGATCCGATACGAAACTGCTAGCCGTCGGCACCCTTGCGGTCCTTCCATGGACAACAGCCAGGGCTCTCACACCCCCCTCCCTCCGTAAGCGTGCGCATATTGTAGTGCCATCGTCGTGTATGTCGACCTTGTAGTACAATTAGTCTAACAGGTCGGCAGTCTTGCGGCTCGGCGCGCCAGACCCACCGAAGGGCATCACTTCCGTAGTCTCCGTGACCTCCGCGTCGCTGCCACCACAGTCGTCCTCTCCCTCCTCACCACTACGACGCTGCTGAATGGCGGACGACGCGCGTGATGCTGCCGGTATCGGAGCCGTGACCGTTGCAACTGCTGCGACATCGAGATCCAGCCTCTTGCCCAAGTCATGACTGCACTTAGCTGTCACATCTCCAGTGCCAGTCTCTGTGTCGCTGGCGGCATCCAGCTCGTCGCTGGGCGGCCCATCGTCATCCGCCCTCGACTGGCTGAGCGCCGGCGGCGCTGGGACCTCTGCGCCATAACCATCGTCCCCCTCCATCACTGTCGCCAACTCGCTGCCCAGATCCTTCGACTCCGCCCTGCGCCTGGACTTTGAAACGACCTCCTTCATGTCGCCCTCGCGACCCGCGCGAGATGTGGGAGCCGTCGCCGTGGTCATCGCGGCTTCCATGGACGCCGAATCCATGGACGCCGAATCCAATATGTTCTCGTCCGGCTCTTGCCAGCTATCCGACCCGGCCCGGGCAGCACGGTCGAGAGGGGTCGCCTTTGGAGCCTGCACGCCCTGGCTCCTTGGTGCTTCATCATCTTCGTCTCCCTCTGGTCCAAAAGAGTTCCCGCGGCTTCGATCTGTGGCTGAACGTGGCTTCGGCACGGCCGTTGAAGATGCTGCTGATGCTGGCCTGCTGCTGGTCAGCCGTACGGCAGCAGCCGCGGAAGTACCCGACTTCAGCCCTGCAGAAGAAGGCCTCGACTCTCCTCCTCCAGCTGCGGAAGACGCAGCCGATGCCGGCCTATCGGTGGGCGGCAGCGGGGCCGCGTAGGCCGAAGGACCCGACTTCAGCCCTGCAGAAGAAGGCCTCGACTCTCCCCCTGCCGCTGCGGAAGACGCAGCCGATGCCGGCCTATCGGTGGGCGGCAGCGGGGCCGCGTAGGCAGGAAGACCCGACTTTGCCCTGCAGAAGAAGGCCTCGACTCTCCCCCTGCCGCTGCGGAAGACGCAGCCGATGCCGGCCTGTCGGTGGGCGGCAGCGGGGCTGCGTACGCCAAATGACCCGACTTTAGCCCTGCAGAAGAAGGCCTCGACTCTCCCCCTGCCGCTGCGGAAGACGCAGCCGATGCCGGCCTATCGGTGGGCGGCAGCGGGGCCGCGTAGGCCGAAGGACCCGACTTTAGCCCTGCAGAAGAAGGCCTCGACTCTCCCCCTGATGCTGCGGAAGACGCAGCCGATGCCGGCCTATCGGTGGGCGGCAGCGGGGCCGCGTAGGCAGGAAGACCCAACCTTTGCCCTGCAGAAGAAGGCCGCGATCCTCTCTCTGCCCCTGATGCTCCACTGCCTTTGCCAAAAGTCGTCGCGTCAACACTACCCGCCGCCGGCGTCATGGCGGCCTTCGCGCCATATCCCTCCTGTGCGTCCTCCTCCTCGGCTCCCGCGAATGCGGCCTCACGGGTAATCCGTCCAGCCCAAGCTTGTTGTCCGACGGCTAATTCATCCACGCGCTGGTGTAAGGTTGTGCAACCAACCATGATGAGGCGAAAGGGAAAAAGGTGGGATTGGAAAGTTTGGAACCGGTGTCCGCAGCGGAAATACAAAAGGCAAGGCCCGGGATCTTCCATAACTGCGAGTTATTAGCTGTTATGTGTGAAGCATAGGTGAGCAAGGTGAGCATCCGAGGGCAGGACCCCATTCACGTGAAGGAAGGGATCCAACGACGGAGGTGACCGATACGTGACCGGCACGTGATATGCGTCAACTCGCCAACGTTTCCACAATGCGTTTTGGTTTGGGTCAGAGCGCTGCCTGTGCTACCGCAATTTGGTACAGAATAGCAGTCCACAAGAAAGACAAAGGCAGCTTCCTACTCACGCACACGAGCGCACGGGCAGCACGCGATCGCACTTAACAGCTTGTAAGATACGACTTAGCTACTGACAGGCTTCCAGGTAACAAAATCGCAGGACAGCTCGTTAGGAACGCGTGGACATGCAGACAGACATGGCACAGCCCCGGTGTGCGTCGCATACCCGGTCGCCTTCGGCAGTGCTTGGCCTCCCGGCGACGCTCGCAGGCCGATCCGGTGCCACTGCCTCGACCACGTCCTCGGGTGGCTTATTGCAAACTACACCACCCTTGCAGCCATTGTCGCCGCCTGCCGCCGCACCTTTCCCCGCATACACCGTATCCTGCAGGTCGGGGCGATCAGCACGGCAGCAATTATTACCTTTCACGGTCCGTAATACCAGTACTTATTTGTGCCTGCCAGCTATCACGCGCGTGGCTGCGAGCCAATGTTTTGCGCCACAGCCGCCCGCGCGCTGGCAGCGTCCACGCATCGACGCCTAGGGACAGGTACGGCTCAGCAACATCGTCAGCCTCAGGAAATTATAATTGGTTACAAACGTGGGGAAAATGTCTATCACAACCACACCCGTAATACATTATTACATTGTAGCTGTCGGACACGTCCTGCAACGAAAGGTGCCGCATACGTGCTAGGTAACGACGCCCCGCTCGGTACCGTCGCGCGGTAAAGGTCCATTCACTCACAGAGCTTTCTGGACGGCGCGTCTCTGAACCCACCGCGCGTCCAGCACTGGGCATAACTGTCTTTGCCGCGGCGACATGCACGACACCATCGCCAACGGTGTCGCGTCCGGTACCACAGCTGCCGGGGCGACTGATTCCCCCAAGGGCAGGACGACCCACATCGCCACCTTCCGCGTCTCGCAGCGGCTTCCCTGCAAGCGGTTTGCAAAAGAAACGCTGCCTTCATCTCAATGTTTGAGCGAATTTGCTGCTGGACAGACCATGAGTCCATGGCCACCAACACGCAACTTCTTTTGGAGTTTCTAGCTTGGTATCTACTTCCGGAACAAAGCAAGAGCTATAAAGGTAAGTAGTTGCGCTGCTTGCGATTTTTAATTCATGTTGCGCACCCCATACGCACCGGTTCTACTGGAAGAGCACGCGTCCTGAGGCCTCAACAACTTGTCCACTGGTGCACACGCTTGACCAGATGATACTTTTGTTGATGGAGCGCGACTGCAAACCTCAGGAGCCTTGGCTGAAGACGTGTAGTCGCGCTCTTGCTTGGTCGCGGCGATGGCGGCAGCTGCTGCTACCCGCTTGCTGGAATTGGGCTTCGCAGGCGCCGAAGCACCGCAACCCTATGAGCAGTAGGCAAGGACATGAAAAGCGTCTGTCCAGCTGAAAAGGCAAATAACGATGTGCATGCAACCACCGGATTGAAAACTCAGATCCGGCCACTTCTGGCCTTGCCAGCACGCCGACAAGGCATAACTCCGAGCTAAGGCGTGCCAGTTTCACATGCATGAAAATTCCTATGAAAAATCGATGCTGGCCAAGCGTCTTATATTATCGCTCGACGCACGAAGCTGTTCGTAGCATAGCAGAAAGCAGGGGAATGGCTTCTTGATATCATGCGCTAAACAGGTGATGCTGCATTTCAAGCAGACGAAAATAATCCCCACCCCGGGCCTCACCATTTTTAGTGCTGTATGTGCTTCGATCCAAGGAAAATGGGGTTCCGTGTGATCTGCCCCGCAATTGCCCGCTGTCACCTTGCGAAGCGCTAGCGCTGCGTTGCAAATACAGTGTCCAAAGTTTGGAGCAAGCACTTCCCTTTCTTATAATAACATCTTAACTTCAAATTCAATATCTTTAATAAGAACTACAGTGTATGACCAAAGTTTCAAGGGTGACCAGCATGGTGACGCAAGGCCCCCCGAGCCAGTTTTGCACTCGTTTGGGTACCAAGGCTCTGTGGAGTAACTCAGGCTTCCTATTCTCGTTGTATAAGATTTCAGGATTTGGAAGGCTTAGGTTTTTAGTTTTTAGAGTTTTACCAGACGGTGCCAAGGCGCTACGTCGCTTTACCAGGCAGGGAAAACCCACCGTGGCGCACGACAGCAAGTCGAGAACCAAGTTGACATTAAAAATGAAGCAGCGCAACACGGCATACGTCGCATAATTAATAGTCCGAAAAGGACAGGGAGGCCCGTCGTGACCATGCATGTGCAAATCCCCATCGGCGGGATGGATAAATCGTGTCGCGCCGCTAACCGTCCCAGCAGTTGCCAGCCGCGTGTACGCAGATTGTTTCCAAATCAGTCCCGCATATTGTTTGCAAATCAGTCATCCTAGCCTTCTACACTAAAGAACCATTCCATGGAATTAGTGGATGTTTAACTTTCAATGGGTCTGACACTCCGAAGCTTACTCGGCAAAGCGGCTGGTTGAGCAAGCCCTGGCAAGCCGCAGGCAACAAGCCCTGGGCCAGCCTGGGACCCTTACGTAGCACACCATGTCGCTCACCTAGCTAAGCTCACCAGGGCTTAAGAGCTTCCGTAATATGCTGGCAACCCAGGGGGGAGGAGGCATCCCCGCGCGCTGCACCCTTGTATAAATTGGAATTTCTTTGGAATTGTAGTGTTTGGCCGATGTCGCAGTGCTGGCCGGCAACAAACTCGGCAAGCCGCTACCATAACGAACCCGGCCGTCAAAACCCACCGCAACCATCCACCACCGCTTCCATTTAAAGCGGTCTTTTTTCCCACCTTGGGGCCCAGTAAGTGGGCACCTAACGCATGTTTCCAACGCGCCGGGGATTATCATCACATCAGGCAGCAAGCGGCAGCATGCTCTCTGTATAGATGCCTTGAAATCCTGGACGTAGCCGAGTCTGTTGCATCAGGTCCTGATTATTCCAAATTTGTAGGCCGAGGGTTGCGCTTCATGTTTTTGAGACAGCCCCGTTCAGGGTTGCCGCGTTAGCGGACGTCCCCTACCCTTGGGTGCTGTAACACCACCACAGCTTGTGTGGCTGTAGGAACTACTGATCAGTGAATGGAAGGAGGCTAAACCCTCGACGATGATGACTTTGCACCTGACTGTCCATGGGCCCTCGGGCTTTTACGGACGGGCCCCCGCCGCCCCCGTTCCAAGAATGTGCAGAACTTGCAGCTTGTAACTTAAAAGCAATCTGCATGACCCGGGGAAAATACCTGATCGTAAGATGATCACGTAACATGGACGTTCAACATAAACTCCCCTCGGGGTCTACAAATGACAAACGTCACGATTATAGCATAGCAAGAGCACAATAGTCCAGGTTCACGCGTGATGAACGATAGGCGAAGTGCCAAAAAGGTGAAGAGCGAAAGATATAACCTTTGGAAAATTCCGAACATAGATATGCATGTGCGCCAGAACAGCTATCTCCCCTTTGGGCGCAGCGTCCCCGTTAGCGGAGTTCAGGGCGGCGAAGGTCAGGCGTAAAATGTTTTTCCCACTATTATGCTCATCTAAATACTCGGTTCACTTGTCGAAGTACTCTGCAGCAAACCCTTTCGGGGTCTCTGCTGGCGGCGGGCATGGTAACCTAGAATGCACTCGACTGGATACGATCTTCAGCCACTCAACCAGGCGGCGGCCCCGCGGGACTTGAGGGTGCAGAGGTACTGCCGCAATCATTAAGAAATCCAACGCATCTGCTGGCGCCTTGTATAGCCACAGCAACGTTACGTGGAAGGTGGGGTAAATAGATTGTAAATGGGAAATGTTAACTACGTAGGTGTAGTGTTGTAGCGCCTTATAGCGTTACAGAGCCAAATCGCAAAGCGATGAAGGCGTGATCGGATTAAGACTGATCTATGAACAGTCTATGAATACTTTAAGATTAATAAGTGTTTCCTAATTAAGGATTGACACTCTTTCAGGGTTCCTACCCTAACCGAACAGACACCTCGGTCTAACCAGCTGTCAGGTGGTCCGAAGGGACACTCCACGACAGAAGTCGTTGCGGCCTCCTAAGCAACGAGTATTATATATACTCGGGAGGGAGCCTGGGATGGATGATTAATATATTTATATGTTAACAAAGAGACAGAGTTTAATTACTCTTTCTTAGACAAGAGCCCAGACCTTGGCGGAGCGAATCCGTCCTGTGACTTTCGGTTCTTGCTTATATTACGCGCTAACATTTTGGAGTCACAGCCTTCGCTCCAGGCTGTTATTTTCTTACAATAGGCCCTATAATTAGAAATCCTGAATTACAGAAGAAGGATTTAGAAGTCATCCAGTGGCAACTCTTTGTCGCGAGCTTAGACTCCGACTTCCCGTTCGACCTTTACGGTCGTATGGAATTTAACCCTAACAAATTACAGCGACTACGCGACCAGTTAGCTTTGGCGCTCGCTGCCTTCACCTTGAACGGTCGTGGCAAAGAAGTTAGAGGACCTCAAACTTACCGTTCAAGGTAAAGGCAGAGAGAAATCCCGAGGTAATTGAGAACCCTCTGAACCCTCCTCTGAACGGTAACTCGCGATTGAAAGCATTGAAGCTTTCCGAACCGCAATGGAAGCCCAACCATAACCCCGAAAATTTCATCCGTTATTTTCGGCTCTACTACGAGAACTGCCGAGAGGCGCCCCCTCCGTTCGTGGCCATGTTGGCCGCTCTCCAGAACCACCCGGAGGCCTCAGATTGGATAAACCAATATGGTGAATCCGCGGATTCTCGGCCAGATCGTCTGACGCTGGACGCGATAATCGAAGCCTTAAACGAGCGCTTCGTAGATTCGGTACGTTCTAGACCATTAGAAAAATCGCAGATGCTTTTGGACGGCAAGATTAGAATGGACGCCCAGAAAGGCGTACCTGAATATGCCGCTAGATTTCGTGAAGCGATTACAATTGCTAGAATGACCGACACTCCGACCATTTTGACCCTTTTCCGGCGCGGACTGATTTTGCCTTTGGTCGCTCCTTGCCGAGTGAATTTCAAAGGTGCAGAATTTGAGAACTTGAATGAATTAATAGAACATGCGATTGGAGAAGAAAAGAAATTGAAGGAAACTTCAAAGCGCCCTTCACTTAATTATTCTTATGCCGATCTACCCCTCGCCCGAAACAGACTCAGAAACGACCTCATGGTGTTAACACCTGGGTTGAAGTCGCAAAGAAACCTCGACCCCAACATCGAGTTAACGACGGTGCCGGCCCGTCTACGGTTGGACCGCCCCAGAACCATGTCAACGACGGGGCTGGGCCTTCGAACGCTAGACCGCCGTCGCAGCCGTCGCGACCGGTGCCCTCGACACGGACACCGCCGTTACCTTCGAATGCCGCAGAGAACTCTACTAAGAAGCGGAAAAATGACCTCACTGCAACCGAGTGGGCCATTTATAAGCTGTATGGCCTCTGCACTAATTGTGGTCGCCAGGGACACCTCGCTAAGACGTGCGGGAAGTGACGTGCTGCCCAGCTGCCTAGTGGCCAGCAGGCTGGGACTTGCCGAGTAGAAGACGATGATTTGAGACTCGAACCGCGCATAGACCCTTTAGAGACTTTCACGCAACCGAAACCTGTCTTGACATCGGTGTGTGTGCAGATTGAACGCGAGTTGAGACCTTTAGAACATTCGCTGGCATTATGTGCGCATGATCATCCTCGTGATAGACTACCTTCGTCGATTACGTGAAGTGTATGTGATGCGTGTCCACGAATGCGAATTGATCCGACAATCTTTGCGACAATAGAATCCCGTATTGGGAGGACGATTACGTTTGACGCCTGTGCAAGTGACGACGGCAATACTGCCGTATGTAAATCTTTTGGATCAGAATCGCGTCAATTTCTGTCGCTTGATTGCTCCGGCCACACCTTATGGCTTAATCCGCCAATTAGAAAGTTTTACGCTTATTTGAGACACTATCGACGTTGCAAAGAACATGATCCTAGTATGGCAGCTTGTACTTTAGTGCCTGAAACGCCAGGGAAGTTTCGCACTTTCCTAGACGGCATGACGTTGATTCAAACTTTTCCGAAAGGCACTCGACTGTACACAGCTTCCTACCCAGGATGTCCAGAACCTCCTCCACTGACAGAACCCTTGCAACTATGGTATGATTCCCCTTCTCCAGAACAGCGATTGAATCCTAGTTGCTGCTTGACAGAGAAAGATGCGTATTTAGACCTGTTCTCAGGGAAACTCAGTGAGACATCAGTACGCATTCTTCCCGATACAGGCGCAACGCACTGTTTCATCGCTAAGGCTTTGGCAGACCGTCTTGGATTAGCCTTAGAACCTTCGCCATGCGCGCCGGTACGCCTTGCTGATGCATCGTACGCGTCCGTCGCTGGTGAATGTAAAACTCGCCTTCGCATCGGAAGATTTCGAGCCGAAGTCCGTTTTCTCGTACTGCCGACGTTAACCACGTCCGCTGATGTTGTTTTGGGTCAGAATTTTCTGAGAAGGTACCGCGCAGAATTAAGACCCGCGGAAGGTTCCTTGAAATTGAGACGACCCACGGGACTTTCGGTTACGTTACGATCGGAGAATGCGCCATCTCCCGTAACGGTCTCCGATGTACCATCGGTCACGCTTCTTGAGAAAAGACCTGAGACAATTCAGATCGTCTCGCCGAAAAGAGCTTTTCGCGATTTGAACGAAGCTGGCTGTCGATCGTTGCTTGTTGTCGTGAAGCAAACCGCATCCCTGCTCTCTGACACACCAACGCTTAATGCTGTGGATCTGCCGCCACACATTGCTGAGAATGAATCCCTTGTGGAGATTATCAACGAATTTCCGAAAGTTTTCGCACCGATCACAGAATTACCACCGGATAGAGGTGTTAACCACGCTATCCCGTTGGAACCGAATGCACAACCGACTTTCCGACCCCAGTGGCGACTTTCGCCGTTAGAACGAGAGGAAGTAGAGAAGCAAGTCAAAGATTTGCTTGCGAAAGGCTTTATTCGTCCTTCGACGTCACCTTTCGGCGCTCCGATCCTCTTCGTGACTAAGAAAACCGGAGAGTTACGCATGTGTATTGATTATCGGGCTTTGAACAAGATTACTATCAAGAATCGATACCCGTTGCCCCGAATTGATGATACACTCGATCGTCTCGCTGGTGCGTCGATTTTCACGGCCCTTGATTTAGCTTCTGGCTACCACCAGTTGCGGATTACTCCAGAAGATGTTCCTAAGACGGCTTTCACAACCCATCTCGGACACTTCGAGTGGCTTGTATTGCCTTTTGGCCTATCGAACGCCCCCGCAACCTTCCAGAATTTGATGAATCGCATCTTTGCACCGTACTTGAACCGATTTGTCACGGTCTATTTGGATGACATCCTGATATTTTCCAAGACCCCCGAAGAACACGCACGCCATTTAAGGGTGGTGTTAAAGGTCCTTGAGGAAAATCAGTTACATGTCAAGCTTTCCAAGTGCGATTTTTGGAAGAACGAAGTCCAATATCTTGGACATGTCGTGAACGCAGAAGGTATCCGTATGGATCCTAAGAAGGTTGAGATTATTCGAAATTGGCCATTGCCCAAGGACATCTCTGAACTTCGATCTTTCGTTGGCCTTGCGAACTATTTCCGGCGATTTATCGCAGGTTTTAGCTCCCTTGCTGCACCCCTGACCGATCTCTTCAGTGCGAAAAGATTACCAGATGAATGGCCTGAACAAGCCATACGAGCCTTTGAAACGCTCAAAGCTCGACTATTGAACGACGTTTTGTTGAATTACCCGGATTTTACGAAGCCTTTCGAAGTGATCTCAGATGCTTCGCTGAACGGAACTGGCGCAGTACTCCTGCAAAATGACCGACCGGTCGCCTTTACCAGTAAGAAATTTTCCCCTGCTGAACGGAACTACAGTACGGGTGAACAGGAGCTACTTGGGGTAATCAATGCCTTGCGAGAATGGCGATGCTATTTACAGAGTTCCATTCCTTTTAATCTCGTCACCGACCACCATCCACTGATCTTTCTTAAGACTCAGTCGACTGTAAGCCGCAGACAAGCCCGTTGGCTTGAGTTCCTGGCTCAATTTAATTTTGAGTGGATTTACCGCCCAGGACGATTGAACGTGGTCGCCGACACTTTATCACGCCATCCCTCCTTGGCATCTGTCGTGGTATTCAATGCGGTTACCACACGTCGCTCTCAGGGACTTACGCTGGACCCACTCATCCAACGTATTGCCGATGCTACAAAAAGAGACGCTCATTTCCAGAATCCAGATCATACTCATTTCTTTCTGACGAATCCTCTCGGATTCTTTCAGATAGAAAGGGGGGAGTGCGAGTACCGCATCGTGGTGCCCAATGACCCCGCCTTGAAACGAGAGATTATCGAACGAAGCCACACGAATATCTTGTCAGGACACCCTGGACGAGATCGAACCATTGATTTGGTAGAACGGAATTTCTGGTGGCCTACGTTGAAAGCTGACGTTGCAGGAGGGTAGGATCCGGGCTGGAATTAGGGAAGAGCTCTGTCGCAGAATTAGCCTGGATTTTATTCCTGACAAAAGAATTGGTCTGCCGAGGTCTGGAATTGTTCTGGCGGACTCGCCGGAGGTATTCGAATTGCGCTGTGGAGCCTCGGAATTGGGCTGTGCTGGGCCTGAATTGGCCTGTCCGGGTGTCGAATTGGCCTGTCCGGGTGCCGAATTGGCCTAACAGGGTGTTGAATTAGCCTGACAGGGTATCGAATTGACCTGTTCGGGGTGTCAAATTGACCTGACAGGGTATCGAATTAGCGTGTTCAGGGTGTCGAATTGGCTGTCAAGTTGGCAGGATTGGCTCGGGCTGGCATCCAAAAGCACATGACTTTTAAGGAATTTACAGAAAAACTTTGCAAGAGGACCGCTTACAAGTGCCTCATGTGTGTATTAGTTTCGATCCCACGACATGGAGTGGGAAAACTTGCACACCTGGTTACCGTACTCTGGCACTACTACTACTACTACCGGAGGCAAGCACTCAGGGCCACGACTGCATTACCCAGTCAAGTCAACGTTGCCGACTTTGTCGCATGTTGCGATCTTTGTCAACGGAATAAAGCTTCATCAGGCAAACCGCTGGGTCTATCTCGACCTCTGCCGATTCCTGAACGACCTTGGAGCAGCGTTTCAATGGACTTTGTACTCGGATTGCCCTCGACTAGAAAAGGTTACAACTCCCTTGTGGTGTTTGTAGACCGACTGACTAAGATGGTGCATGTACGACCATGCAAGAAAGAAATAGACGCAGAAGAAACTGCAGATTTATTCTTTGACACCGTGGTACGGCTTCACGGTTTACCAGACGCCATCGTCTCAGATCGTGACAACAAGTTTACTGGTGCCTTCTGGACCTCTCTCATGAAGAGGCTAGAGGTGAAGCAGGCGATGAGTACTGCTTTCCATCCTCAGACTGATGGTCAGACAGAACGAGTTAATCGCGTCCTTGGAGACATGTTGAGAAACTACTGTGATCAGGAACCTTCACGGTGGGAGACATACCTTGGACCTGCTGAATTTGCGATTAATAATTCGAAGAATCGTTCGACAGGAGTTAGTCCATTCTTCCTGAACTATGGCTATCATCCTAAGACCCCTGTACAACTCGAACTCGGTGATGCAGTTCCCGTTGCTAAGGGTTATGTCGATACGTATGCCAAGAGACTTGCTGCTGCTAAATCTGCTTTGATGGCTGCGCAAGATCGAATGACTAAGCAAGAGAATAAAGGACGACGTGATGTGTCGTTTACTGAAGGACAACAAGTCTGACTCAGTACGAAGAATTTGACCCTCCAGAAAGGTTCAAAGAAGCTGATGCCTAGATGGATTGGACCTTTCCCGATTGAGAAGATGATCAATCCTGCTGCTGCTAGATTGGCCCTTCCAGAGGAATATCGTTTCCATAACGTGTTCCATGTGTGTGTGTGGTTGTTACAGTGGGCTCCAGACTCCCGAAGAGTAGAGCCATCGGGCCAGCTGGCCGTGCACTGCAGTAGAGACTAATATACCAAAAGATTATCACCTCAGATAATTAACCTCTCATCGGTAACCACTCTCGCGAGCACAGCAATTTGCCAGATATAATTCTCAAGAAGGGGTGATGTGCGCCAACGGAATCCCAACCTTTCCGTGGAATTCCCAAAGCTGCGAAACCCTGAATGCGGCCCCAAAAGTCAACAATAACTCGACAAATTGCTTCTTCCGTAAGGGAAGGGCCAGGTAACAGTGCCGGGTTGGTTTTCATGTTTGCAGCCATGTATCGTTGTTACGGCCTTATCGATCTGATGGCACCGTACAACCTCCTCGACCTACAGTCGGAATTGAACCTGAAGGTCCTACCTCTGTATGGACACCTGAACGCATCCTAGATCATGATCAACGAAAGCTCCGAAACCGAACCCTGACACGGTATCTCGTGAAATGGGTTGGTCACGGGCATGAGAATAACAGTTGGATTGAGGAACCTGCTTTCCCCGACAGATCTCTTATTGATGCCTATTGGACTGTGCGCCGCGTGGACGCAGGCGTCTAGAAAGGGGGGCAGATGTTGTAGCGCCTTATAGCGTTACAGAGCCAAATCGCAAAGCGATGAAGGCGTGATCGGATTAAGACTGATCTATGAACAGTCTATGAATACTTTAAGATTAATAAGTGTTTCCTAATTAAGGATTGACACTCTTTCAGGGTTCCTACCCTAACCGAACAGACACCTCGGTCTAACCAGGTGTCAGGTGGTCCGAAGGGACACTCCACGACAGAAGTCGTTGCGGCCTCCTAAGCAACGAGTATTATATATACTCGGGAGGGAGCCTGGGATGGATGATTAATATATTTATATATTAACAAAGAGACAGAGTTTAATTACTCTTTCTTAGACAAGAGCCCAGACCTTGGCGGAGCGAATCCGTCCTGTGACTTTCGGTTCTTGCTTATATTACGCGCTAACATGTAGCCAACCTCAACCGTTACAGGTATCACAGAACAACCTCTCAGCAGAAATGCCATTACATTTATCCCATCCATCGAATCTCATACGCCGTACATTCGCACCATCTTCCCAGCCCCCATTGTTCTGGCCAAATATCAACAGATTACACATACCAGGCGGAAAAAGATGCTCAACCATTGCTTTTCCAACTATATATATATGAGCATCTTTTTCCGGCCATATATATATATATGCTGTGAAGGTAAGGACCAATCAAACGCGGCAGTCGTTTACGGTTAGTACGAAGCTTCGTACTCTTAAGAGTATCATCTTGGCCAAGCGGTCAACCATGCGACTCGCATGATGCGAGGTGATGAAGCCGGTGAATCAGTTCGGGTGGAAGTTCGCTGACGCCGGGCAATGTCAGACTTCTCCCCAGCGTGCGGGGGTTAAGGCAGTTTGATTCTACTGTGAGGAGGTTAGCCCTGACCATCTTTATGATGGGAACGAGCCCTGAGTTGTGATGAGTCAATATACGTGTCCTTGATACAGCCTTATCGGCTGAGCTTCAAATGTTCAAGCTACATAACTAAAGTCAAAGAAACAAACGATAGGATATGTTTTCGCCTTTCTGAGACAGACAGAACAACGGCTCCATACAACAGAGGACAGCCACCTTTCCCTGCTAAAGATGCAATGGATTCCATCAAGCATACAAGTAACAAATAACAGGCTTTGAAACCCATTAAAATTTCGTCGTCGGTCTGCAAGCTACACAGATTCGAACGTATCCGATTGACGGGGAAGCAATGGGAAATTCATTAGCAGGTAGAAGCATACATACCTACATAATTAGATAGTTTTTCGTACAATCTTAAGCATTAGTAAGGTCCAGCTTATCACCAATAAACCTGCTATGCAGGTATGTTTGTGGCGAAGAGAGTTAAATATCCGGTTTCGACCCTACCTCGGGCTAGCTCGGCCATTTAAAAGGAAAGCTTGCATATGTTGCGCAGCACTACAGCAAAATGGAAATTTTAATTTTAAGGAATACAGGTAGCGCAGAATTGCAGCACCGGTACAGAGAGGCACAAGGGAAGATTACGGTACGTGAACGGAACGGCGGGGAGCGGCGGGGAGCGGCCATGTGCTGAAGCGACACATCGTACGGATACCAAACCGATACTCCATCCAGTATATTATGCACCCCACCTTTCATATAAGATGAAGATTAGTGATCTAGTTCATCCTGATTTAAGGAACTGAGAAGTAAGAAATCAATAATAGGCCAACTCTAATAACGATACCACCCGAAAGCATTACCTAGCTTCTTACTAGAGTAAAGCGTCTCCAGGCCCCCGATGGCGCGACGGCTTGCCATGTTGTCGGCCCTAGCGGCCCTGGTCCTCGTGTCCCTGGTGCTATCGCAACAAGCAGCAGCCCAAGATAGCAATCGTGAGTACGGGATCATGGATGATCACACGTCTGAGATGCACTGGATTCGAAGGATGTCCTTGGCCACCCGACTTCGTCCTATCGTCAGCCTGTAGCACGCTGTTTTTTGCCAATAAAGCTGTACAGTACAGGGAGGGTGCGCTGGGCTTGACGATGAGAAATTGGCTTCTCCAGCCGAACGTTTTCACCTTCTCCTACAGAACATATGCCTGCGTGGGGTCCGGACCGAGACGAACCTCTTTTGCATGCTAATTGTATCTTATGCGCCTCATGCCCGACAGTTGAGGAAAAGGGCAGGCAGCGCCCGACTAGAGCCAAGGCCGTCAGGACATCGAGCCCCAAGCCGCCGGCACCAAGCCCGCGGGCACCAAAGCTGCAACCTCCCCCCCCGCTGTCCCCGCCGCCGCGGATCGCACCATCCCCACGCCCTCCGTCGCCGCAACTGTCGCCACGATCCCCACCGCCATCCCCGCCACCACCGCCATCCCCGCCACCACCGCCATCCCCGCCACCACCGCCATCCCCATCACCACCATCCCTGCCGCGAACAGCTCCATCGCCACCTGTGGGTAAGGCAACTGAATGAGTGTCACTGAACAGCAACTTAACACTGCGGTGTCAGATTAAGTAGCTACAAGGAATAATGATTTTCACAACAGCCGTGTGTTGAGTAAAGGAATTGGGAACAGAAAGGCACTGCCGCCCCTACCCGCACGCTGAGACTACACGGCACCCTCACTCTCCCCTATGTTATCCCGTGGACTGTGGCCTCCTGTGCATTCCCGTCGCAGATCGTGCCTGCATGATGGCCTGTCGCACAAGTGGCATATACAATCCAGTATGCGACGAAAGAACACTTACTACTTATGCAAACAACTGCACGGCGATGTGCCTCGGGGTCAAGGAGACCTTGACACCCGGCTCTTGCATGTATCAAAGGTCGGTGCTTTCGGTGGTTTCGGCTTTGGGACGTGTAGGGGCTGTGCGATGTGCAGTCATGTGTTCGCCGCAGCGTGGCTTTATATCTTACATAACAGAAATGATGTGTTCCATTTTAGATATTCCACCCAGAAGTCAACAAATACCTCTACGTTCCTAATGCGTTGGACGCTAATGCGCGCAGGTGCGCCGGCAAGACACAGGTGGTGTGCCCCTACGACCCCTGCATCGCCACTTATAGCGTCTCCAGACTCACCTACTGCCAATCCGTGCGCTGCTTGGGTGCGGAGTCTGCACGCAAGGTAATGATACAGAACGCAACTAGCAGTCGAATTGAGGGAGAATGTAGTAGCTAGCCGCTGAAAAGGCCTCTCATCAAGATGCTGTGTAATAATACGCATACTAGCAGGCCTTGACTGCATGCACGCCAGTGACGTAAGCAAACGAGCTCCGCGCTCGTTGCCCGTTTTTACTCACCACGCACGTGGCCTTGCTTGTACTTCATCACGGTAGATGTGCAATCGCCACGTGCTTCCTCGCCCGTCCATCCTACTTGCTTGGCTGCGCAGATTGAACCCTGCAGCGCCGTTTGGACACCATTCCCCAATTATGATCGGGAAATCGTAAGGACGGCTGGCCTGAAGTATATCCCTGTAGGGGATTGCACGTGCCCCTCTACGAACAGCCCAGTATGCGGTACTGACAGCCAGACGTACACGAACGAGTGCGTTGCCAAATGCGCGGGCGTGGATGTGGCCTACGGTTACCAGTGTCGTGGGCCGAAGATTGATTACTGCTTCTGCCCGGCTGTGGAGGACCCCGTGTGCGGGGTGGATGATGTGACGTATCGAAACGAATGCGAGGCCACTTGCGTGGGAATGGCCTTGAAGTACAAGGGCGGATGCGACTGATGCTGACTCATTGAACGTGCAATAAAGTTTATGGCACACGTGCAAATGCCCCGTTACAGTATTTTGAGCAAAATTTGGGGCGATAAAGGGGCCTCTGCTGCAATCGGATAATACATAACAAAGCAGCAGCAGAGTATTTAGTCATTTTATACTTACCAATGGCTGCTGAAGCGGGGTTGCTGGCATCGAAGTTCGACACTTGACCTTTCTCGTCCTGGCAAAAGGCAGGCTTAGGCATTTCCAAGGCTGCGTCCCTGCCAAATTTTAGTTGTGCGTGCCTACATGTTTTTGTACTGCTGGCTGGTTCAACTACTACTGCTCCTCTCATACCTATGCTGATCGACCTATGCTAGCTATTAGCACGATGACACACTTACCCTCCCTATTCTGGGGGTAAGGAGGGGTCGGTCGGCCCAGGGGAAGGGTTGCGGGAGGGGTTGTGCAGCAGACCCCCACCATAAACCACCCAACCTTGGTAAATCTGGGTAACCTGGGCGGTAGCGTACAGTAAACAATCCCATTACAAGGACTGATGATGTAATATTTCACCTGCAATTAGGTTGGCCAACTGCAGGCTGAGTACTGTTTCCAGCTTAATCGCTGGCAGCCGCTCGTGCGGATAATCCTCTGGTGCCCACATGCTGGGGTCACCTTCCTCATCATCATTGTGGTACCCCCCATGGGAGTATCCAGAGCCAAAACCAACATGCTCGACTCCATGTATATTTGCTGTGCACCCAGCGGGATGTAATAGGCCCCACAGATCGATTCGGGGTTGAACACTGACCAGGCAAAGTGCTGGCCTGTGGGTGAGGATGCACACAACTGCGAGATCCGATGCCATCCCAACAGAGACCTGGACGTCCAGCCAAATATCCATATGTGGGCTGGGGTGCCGGCCTTGACAGCACCGAGTTGAGCTGGTGCAAATGTAAAACATATAATGGGTAGGGTAACGGGTGGGTACATGCGCCGACCGGTACTTTTCTGAAGTCGTGGTATGACAACAAAGAACGTGTCCAGACAAACGGACCTACGGGAAAAGCTGCGAGCGAGACCGAACGGCTCTGGCCTGCTGCGTCATGAGCACGGCTTCTGCCATAACTCATGCGCCGATACACATCAGCTCAGTACCTCAGGAGCGACCATGCTGAGCGAGCATGCTGAGCACAAAGTTGCATAACGCGTGGAGAGGACGTAGCCGCCGGCGGTATACGTTTAGCCATTGATGAGCTAGCAGATAGAGGAGACTTCCAGCGTCGGAGGTTGGAACCCCAAAGTCACCACTAAAGTGGACAGACCAGTTCCTCCATCCTAGCTGTAGTCAATATCGTCCTTTAAGGAGAAGCAACTAGGAGGAGCTACCCGGGGGTTGATTTCTTGTGGGTCACCAATAAAAACCTAAGGTTCCAGGATTGTTCAACCGCTGGCGCGCGAGCAAAGTCGCAGGAAGATCAATGAAATCCTGTTACGTAGGGGCAGCATGAGCACATGCACGTACACAATGTTGTGGAATAGTGTCAGTTCCAACTAAGTCCAGCCAGCCCTCTTACGACTGGTTTTGGGACAAATCATGCGATCCGCACAACTCGTTCGTTTATAATAGACATAAATTATGTCTCCTTAAAGCTCCTGCTGAGAGCTGTGTTAGTTAGTTATCCGCCTAATTGAGTGTAACCAATCATGCTCAGGTTGCTTCACTGAGCGTGCATTATGCAACGGCACCGGGATTTATACAGAACACAAGCATACGCAGGGGGTCATTGTCACAAGTTATTGACCCTCGCCGTCTCAGTTGGCAGAGCGAGAATCCCTCCCAACAGGGGCGTTCCCGAATGCTGCTATATGATACACCGACTTCCTTCTCAGAAATAACATTACAATTAGGCGTCGGCCACATTGCAATACCGCACGTTGCACCGAACAGTTATTGCAGGCTATTACTTGTCCCAAGGAGCTCAGGCTTCAACGCTTTACTAGCGAACAACCGCCAATTAATTCGCACCTTCAACAAGAAACATATGAATAGCATTAAAGGAAACGGGGAATTCGGTAATCGACGGATAGCCCTATCCAGGACGGAGGGATGACTTCACTGACCTAGAGGCTCGAAACGTTTGGGTAATTGCCTATTACTTTATTGCATATTATTGTGCCAAGCAGATCTTAATGTGGCGGAGGGTGGTTTACGGCTCTCCATGATACGTGCATCCTGATGAAAGAAAGGCTTGGCAAATGCTGAGAGATACAAGCCATGAATCTGAAAAATAATTACCCCTGTAGATTACGTAGGCGCTCGGTGGCTCGGCAGCTACAGTGCCAGCAGAGAGACACAAATGAGGACTATACCAACGAAATGGCCCTGCGTCGAAGGGGCACAAGTATAGGTATGAAACCGATATTTACATAAAAGTACAAAAATCAAACTTCCTCTAATAGTTCAATGATTATGCTTTAAAACAATCTTTGTTTGATTGGGTTGAGGAGTGTTGAGGCTTCGTCACCGTGCTTCAACCGCCGCCCTGCAAAACGATACGGCCAGTCTGTCACTCGAGACAAACCATCCAGCTAGCGTTTTACTGAGGTAAAGCGTCTCCAGGAGCCCCCATGGCGCGACGGCTTGCCGTGCTGTCCTCCCTGGCGGTCCTGGCCGTCGTCGCCCTGGTCTTGTCGCATCCGGCAGCAGCCCAAGACAGCAAGCGTGAGTACGCGAATGATTGATCGCGCATCCGCGACGCTCCGGCTTCGACTGATTTCCCGTGCCATCAGACTTTATCCATCTATGATCAGTACGGAGAGTTTGTCCATACACGCCACAGCTTCCTGAGTGCTTTTATCCTAGAAAACTTGCGAAACCTTAGTGATGAAAAATGAGTACGTATGAACCTAGCTGCATGCGCGTTGTCGTATATAATTGTGCCTCACAGTTGCGGACAAAGGCAAGTGGCGCCCGGCTGGGGCCAAGGCCGCCAGGTCACCGAGTCCCCCGCCGCCACCACCGAGCCCGCCAAAGCCTCCACGGTCGCCAAGATCGCCAAGACTGCCACCTTCCCCGGCCCCGTCTCCTCCGCCTTCCCCACCGCAACCATCCCCAACCCCACCATCCCCACCGCCGCCATCCCCACCGCCGCCATCCCCACCGCCGCCATCCCCACCGCCGCCATCCCCATTGCCCCCATCCCCGCAACCGCCATCACCATCCCCAACACCCCGACCATCGCCACGATCACCACCCCGGAAGTCCCCGCCACTGCGATCCTCGCCACCACAGTCTCCACCCCCAACGCCATCTCCACCGCCTTCCCCACCGCCATCCTCTCCGTCATCCTTGCCGCCAGCATTGCCTCAACCCTTGCCGCCATCCCTTCCACGAATGCCATTACGGCCACGTTCTCCACCGCCGCCCCGGGGTAAGGCAGCTACACAATTGTCACGAGCCGTGTCTTACCCAGGCTTGCCATTCATAGTGGGTCAGCTGGATTATTACTTTGCATGCGGCAGGGAGGGAGGGTAGGATGGCCACGAGGCCGCGATAAGCGTTACGAAGGCAGAAGCCAGGACGAGAATGAAGTGAATTAGTGTTCCGATTGCCGTACATAGGGGAGTTTTCCTCCTTGAACAGCCCAATATTATACAGGCTAGGCCTAACGATTCCGGGAGCAGCATGCAAGCAGACATATGGTTGTGCGAAGTAGGTATAGTCGCACCCAACCAGCCTGGCCGTCCCTACCTGTCCCGATGATCTTGAGCACGCTCATCCTTCCCACCAATGGCGACTTCATTGAAGACAGTAACTTCACCGTTTTAAGTCATAAATTCACAAGCATGCAACCGCTCTGCGGGGGCTGGCCAGTGTGTTCGCTCTGTATTCGGGCTATAGGGATCCGTTAGTACTGGGTTCACTCGCTACAACCGTCCTTGATCCTGGGGGCTGTCCCGTAGAATTGTAGTACGTTTTCACAGTAGCCTGCCTGTAGAAAGCACTTTGCGTATAGATGAGCGTAGCATGTCGCAAAAGACACACACAGGTCTTGGCTTTAAGCTCGAATACTGTACCTGGGCGCGGATCTTTAGTGCGGCTCATCGAGCCCACGTACACTAAATCGCGATATGTGGACAGCGAATTGCTGGCATGCCTGCTTATGCAATGTGTGTGTTAGGTGTGTATGTGTGTCGCATGGTCAGGTTTGCTTGATCCTATGCCAAGTTGGAGGCTTCAGGGACGTCTGCCAAGTAAAGGCATTCCCAGCGTCCCGGGTGAACGCAGTGAAAAGGTGCTGCTTGGAAAACCCGGGTTGCTAGCACGGGTTGATCGGAAAAACGAAAGCTAGAAGTTCAGGCCTGAGCATGCATAACGTGCTTGCTAACCCCACATCTTGTTACAATCCGCTCGGGGCCAACGCATCAGTGATGGCCAGTAACAGCACATGGCAGATACTGGACCTTTTGGGCGGGGCCCCAGCGCGTCAGGGGCTCCCCGCCCTGTAGGATTTCCCCCCGCCGTGTGGCCGTGTAGCCGTGTTTTAACGACCAAACATAATATCTCGCCCTGCTAAAGCGCAATATGAAAACCCTTAAACACTCCATATTGTACGGCATTTCGCTGGTAGCTGACAAAATTTCAGGTTAAGGTCATATCAACGTTTCTCGCGTTATATTTCGGTCCATAAGATGCCGAAGTTTCTTAGTAAAGGACATGCAGTTGACGGCGTCATGAGAATCGAACATGCAACTTGCGCGACAATCTCTCCGAGAACTTTGCCGTGCCGAAGGTCTCGCGCTTCACGATTTGATCAGCGTTTGCTTAATGTGATTCAATAAGATTCCGTACTGGCATGCACCCGGAATTCACGAAACTCATTTCACCCTTGCGCGTGATATTGCTCACGTGACGGTAGTAGTCTTCATCCTTTGTTGGGTCGGTGACTGACGCGCGCATTTCGACCTATTAGCTTCCCGTGACGTCGGCTTACGGACTGCGCTTGCGAAGTGTGTTGGCTTCCCCGACCGCTCCCTGCACAGCAAGACAGCCCAACACCTGTTACGGCTATCAGCCGCTTCACACCAGCAGTTCTTATTTCACATCTCACGTGCACATGCGCTGCCTTTCTGAACCGCGCGCTATCCCCCTGCTTTTGATACGGCCTCACGACTTTGTGTCTGGTCCTACCTCGTGCGCAATCATATGATTCCATGCATGCATCCTTCCCGCTGCAGCTGTTGTTCGCTGCATGAATAATTGCCCGGACAAGGACAAGTACAATCCGGTATGCTACGCTAGAGCATGGACCACATATCCAAACAGGTGCACGGCGAAGTGCCTCTACAACGTCACGGAGCCCATGACACCTGGCTCTTGCGATTACCTAAGGTGCGATAGATAGCTGCAAGACCGGCGCCTTAAGCGTCGACTCCTAGCGGGTGCGCTGCAATTGTGCGTCGTCACGTGTGTACTCGGTAGGTAAGGACCCTGCGGGCATGTGCTAGCGCACGCGATCCTTTCCGTACATAGCAGGAAACCCCTAGCATTTGCTCCTGTAAAATGTTTCATCGTCTATCGATTGCACTCTGATGTAATGGAATGGACGGTCCATATCTATTGTACCAGGGCACGATCTATAAACAATCAAATATTTTACAGACGTGCAATGCAGCGATCTTATTTTTGTCATAAAGTCTGCTGCTAATGAGGGTGTCGTGCGCACTTTGTAAACCATAATGTTATTACGCTGTAATCGGGAGGTGTAAGGGGACGTGCGTGTATGCAATACCATCCCAAGACCCACAACCCTCTGCTCGTTACCTGGGCCGTGGTAGGTACGGTACGCCCAGTGAAGAAGGTGCTGCGATATGCGCCTACTTAATTCGAACATTTTTTTCGCTCGCAGGTGCACCAACAGGACACCGGTTGTGTGCCAGAACGATCCCTGCGCCTTCACCAGTAAGGGCAACAGCGCCGCCATGTCTGCTACGTGCCAGTCCGTCCGCTGCTTGGGCGCCGAGACCTGGGAGCCCTATGCACCCAAGCCGGTAGGGACCCATGTCAGATTTGAAACGTTGCTGTATCCCGTGGTTGCCCTGTGTGCGGACCGGGATTGGGTCGGTCCCAGTTGTCGCCCGTGTTTTACCCGCTGGCACCGCATCCAAGGCAATCGCCTGGCGGCCAACACCGGTAGATACCAATAAAGCAGCACCACCGCTTGACACCATGCATGGAACCCTTAAGCGCGGAATCACGGGCAGGGTCCACGTCGCGCCGGCATGCTGCACAGCCAATAAAACCATGCAAGGTTCACCGACAGGTGCACCCGACGGCGTAAAGCGCGAGTCCTTCGTTTCCAGTTCTTTTCCGTTAGTTAGTTAACCTTACCCATGCACTCTCGCTCCATGCCTGCACATGCCCGCCCGGGTCGTCAGTCCGTTCCGCCACCCATCCCCCGCCTGCCCTCCTTTACCCCTTCCACGATGGCCACAGATTCAACCCTGCAGCGCAGTTTGGAAACCTATTGACGATTTGGAGTTCATTAAGACGACTTCCCTGAAGTACATCCCAGCAGCAAAGTGCGCTTGCTCATCCGTGTTCGACCCCGTGTGCGGCACGGACCAACAGACATATATGAATGGCTGTGCGGCAAAGTGCTGGGGCGTAGAGGTGGCCTACGACAGCGAGTGCATTGAAGAGTCGGGTGGCGACTGCATTTGCCCGGCTGTGGAGGACCCCGTGTGTGGGGTCAACAACGTTACGTATGGGAACTCATGCGAGGCCAACTGCAGGGGAGTGCCCGTGAAGTATAAGGGGGAATGCTGAAACTGACTCACACTCGTACTCCCGAGGCAGGTCGAGGACGTTACCCGTGGGCCATCTGCACGTTCTGAACGCTCGATGAAGCAGGGGTAGTTGTTAGTTACTATCGGTTGGCCCCAATATGAAATAATCCTGGTAGGTGTCTGTGCGGTGGGGCGGAGTGCACGCAGGGCCAGAAACGCCAAATATCTCTCAGCACATTAGCACACGCTAGGTCAGCTGGCGCTTGCTCTATATTATTATTTCGTAATATCATTATAAATTATCTACGTCTAATTAAGCTACTAGCTTGACGGTGGACTCCGTTTGCCCTCCGTTATGGGTGGGACCTTACATGCTGCACAACACACTTGCGACATTTATAGTATTTTGGACTGCTTCGAAAATTGGCTTATTAGGGATAATTAAGAATGCAGTTAGGCCTGACGAACATTATGCTCCTACAGCGAGGTTGCTATAAAACAGCTTTAAGCGTCAGTTTTAGATCTCGTTTGCTGGATCACAGTCGACGCCGGACGTGGCGTCCTGGGGCCGTTGCCGGCGTCGCGCGTTTCCCACACACCTTCCCTCGCGCTGAGGATGCATATGGCCGTACCCAGGACGTCAGGGGTTGTCTCTGCAAACGGGTGGCATGTTGCGGATCCATGGTGCAACCATCGCGGGTGACCCGGCATCATAGAAAGCGCTCAGTGGAACACAACGCGTTTCTTCCCCTTTGCACTGTTGGCACGCTGTGATCGAGCACCTGGGGCTTTTGAAGTTGGTGGAGTTTGGGTTTTTCAGTGCCCTTTCGTACATGGCAAGTGATCGGACGGGGGAAGCCATTGCAGTTCTGTACTAAATAACCTAACATCGGTGCGTCGGTAGACGCACACACATATGCGGACTACAGCACCAGGTGAATAAGCTGAGGAAAGTGCTGTGTTCGGCACAGGTGATCAAGAGTGTTTCTCGTGCCAAGCTCTTTGGATATGGTGGTCAGCTTCCATGTTCATGCGTTGCATCCGCAACGTAGATATTGCTGGACATGCCTCCCCGCCTGCAGGGAGACTTGCCCCTTTTTGTCGGCTTTGAGGAAGCTGACACTTGTCCTGGCAGCTCTTGGATGTGGGTAGTATAAGGACAAGCTGTTAGCCAAATCCTAGCTGTACGGAACCTACAAGCTGTACGGAACCTACAGCAAGATGTGCATCAGCTACAATTCACGAGCACGAAGCTACTAATTGCCGATGCTGTCAGATGCATTGGATGTTTCACCAGCTGCATAAATGGGGTGTAAGCGACGGCGACGGAGAGGGAGTTCTTCACACTGCTCTGGATCCTCAAAACAACAGATCTGTATCAAGCGCAGAGACCATTGGCATATTCAATCGAACCTGTGACTTTTGCAAGTCACTCTGCAGCTTTACAACCTCTTACAACCTTTGCGCGATCCACGTATAGGATTGGCAATCCTACTCCGCCGTCATAGTTTGGCTCTGAGATCCTTACCATTAAAAAACGTGTAAGTTCGTTACCAGTGCGCTTCTATCTTATTGGTGCGGTTGAGAAGCATCCTTGGTCGCCGACCCAAGGGCCGGTTTGTTTCTCTTTACTGATTGCTGAAATGAGCACTCATGCCATAACAAAAGGGTACAGTGCGCCACCCTTGATAACTATGCAACACGGCAATGTGATCGGCGATTTGCAGAAGTAGAGTCATGTTCCCGTATGTTAAGGGGTCGCGCAACGCAATATGCTCATGAAATTGTTTTAGTTACTGATTCTCTATAATATAGCGTATGCAGCATAAGGCAATGCCTTTCTCTGGCTGCGGCTGACTCAAAGACAGTCTTAGCGTCAAGGCCCAGCACGCATATAAATGAAGCGTTGAATTGTTGCATGAAGGTGTGCTGCATGGGGAAATCAAATGATGCCAAGGGCGGCTGTTTCACAGGCTCGGAAAGCTAGTTAGATGGTTCTTCGCTGTTCAACCAGTGCAAGTACCCATGATCAGCCTAGTAACTTTGATAAGTGCCAAAGCAATTGGGTCGGCTAGTGCAGTGCCTGCCGCATGCCCAAGGCTGGGGTTTGTGCTCCGTGACCCCTTAATGTGCGCAGGCCGCCGCATCAATCTCGCTAGCGCGCGCACATCGCCCTCACCATAGTATGCAGCACCTAGCACTCCCGCATTGGTCAATTCTCCGGCGCGATGGACGGGTTGCGGCGCTGGCTGTCAAGCCGGCACCAGGACGGCGGCGGGCGGTGCGTGCAACCGTCACGCGCGCGACGCTCTCGGGCCAGGTACGCACGCGTTGCAACCACGGAGACCGGAACCTGCTGACTTGTAACCGCGTGACATGCGCAACGACATTACCTTGAGCTACAGCATAACTGTTCGTCACCTTGCCACGACGATGGCATATCCCGACGTACACCGCGGCAAAGCGTGCATGCAGTGCGTAGCATTTGCTGCATGCGGCGCACGGCCAAGGCAGCCGAAAGATGAATGCGGGCACTGCTATGGTACTTAATCGCCACCAGCGTGTGTAGACTGTCCAAGGGGGCTGCGTCAGATCCCCCATAGATCCTTTCTGGCTTGTGTTTTGCCGCCGCAACACCAGCTGGCGTGCACGGGGCTCACCGACGACATTTATCGCTCTGCCCTAAATCCCCGCCCATGTCCCTGGCGGCGGCGTGGCTTCCAACCTGGGTTCCACCCATGCTTCTAACCATGGGCCGCTGTTTGGGTTCCTTGCAGGGTCCTTATGCACCAGATTCCGGAGCCGGCCAGCCGGGGCCTCGACGCATTGTACGACTTCCACGCGACGTGCGAAAGCTCGTGGACATCCTGAGTGGCGGGTGAGTACAGTACGACCCCTTAGCGCGCCAAGTGAGGTAATGCCAGATCCGTAAATGCACCCGCCCGTCAGAAGGCACAATATTTGGAACAAAGGCGATGGCACAGTCGACCCATTAGCACAACGTCTGGGGTAACGTTATCCATGTAACGACGCTCTTTTTTTCCTCCGCATGTGCCCAGGGCTGCCGATGACCCGGAACTATTTCTTCAGCTGCTAACTGCGGCACCTCAAATGCGCGACCCACGACCGCCACGGCAGCAGCTTGAGACGACTGATCAGGCCCGGAGCCGTCCCGACGCTGAGCAGTACGCCCGCCAGCTGGAGCAGGCGCGGCGGCGGGCGCAGCTGGAGCAAGAGGAAAGGCAGCGCTGGGAGGCATTGCGTGCGGTCATGCTGCGTAATGCCAGGTACGTACGGAACGCGGTGTGTACGGCTGCGGAATGTGGGTTTGGAAGTACATCGGGTCTCAGGGGTACGAATTATATGTTAGATGTAACATGTCGAGGTGTATACCACACACACACACACACACATACGCAACATGTGGAAAATCCAGCTGCCGCCGTCCAAAGCACGAACTGCTGCCGGCGTGGGAGTCTGGACTTAACGATGTCCGTGGTGGCAGTGGCGGAAGTTGCGGAGAACAATTGCCGGCCTAATAGCAGACTGGGCATGGACGCGTGGTGAATGGATGCACCTGTTGCGCGGATCGTGAACGAGAAGACATACGTGGAGTCCGGGCGCAAGCTGTTCTGAGGACATGAGGCAAAGCTGTTGGCTGACAATGACAAACTAGGTTTTCGTAATGCTACACTGATGGTGGTGTTCCGCGACGCAGGCGCCACCTGCCGCAGTATGATGCACCCGCCATGGCGCGTCTGGCCTCCGGCCTCGCCTATGCCGGGGTACGCGATCCAGCGCTTTGCGATGAAATGCTGCGTCAGCTGATGGAGCGGCGCGCACGGCAACAGCAGCAGCCATCCCAGGTGGTCCCGGAGCCCGGCAGGTATGCATTACCCTGGGGCTCTGCAGTCGCCATGGCCTGTAAGCACGCAGCTCCTGCCTTCTGCTTGCACCCCCGACCGACGGTCTAGTACGCGTGGTTTCCCCATAGGCCCAAGAGCCTTCCTGGACTGGGCCATCTCGGCTCTGTCCTTGGTACCCCCCTAAGGCATCTTCCGTTACGTGGTCGTCAGTCAGGTGATCCCTTGTGACTTCCTGTGCATCCTGACAACGCACTTATTAGGCCTTTGCCAGCGTTCGGCATCTCCCTATTTCCGCTTCCACTCTGTACCTCTTAATAATCATTCCCGCTTAACCCCGCGCATTTCCCTTTCTAAATTGTATTCAATAGCTGCCTTTGTACTCGGTACCAATTGTTGCTCGTTACCAATTGCAACGCGTCCTCCGTCTCGGGACTGCTCCGCTCCCATGCTGGGCCAATGCTGGGCCCACTTTCCGCTGACGCAGCCTAGCAGATCTACTGGACGCCTTCGCGATGATGCGGCACCGCCCCACCGACGCCCAGATCGCTGAGCTGTTACGCCTGCAGCAGAAGGAGCAACAGCAAGCGGCGGAGCAGGAGCGTATGCGGCAGGCACAGGCGCAACAAATTTTGAGGTCGCAGCCGCGGCTTCAGCCGCGCGGCATGATTGTGCCGGAGGCCAAGCCGGCGCCACCAGCCGATGCCGGCGCCCGTGAAGTCGGCAGCAGCGGCCGTATGTCGCCGGAGGACTCTGCTCGGCTGCTTGGCGCGCTATCGCGGCTTGGCTACAGCCCTGATGAGGGTACGTTGACGCAGCTTCTGGAACAGCTGAAGCCCCAGAGGTTGCAGCTACAGCCGGCGGACGTGCAGCAGCAGCAGCGACAGCAACAGCAACAGCAGCAACCTCTGGGACAGGTGGGACGCAGGGCTGTATCGCCGCCGCCGGGGTTGACGTCGCAGGGAAGGCAGGCGATGCCTGAAGCAGCGACGACGGCGGCGGTGCGAAAGCTGGGGCCCCAGGAGGTGAAGGAAGAGGGAGAGCAGGCGGAGGACGACAATACGCAGAGCCGTGAGGTACAGGATGAGGTGAGCTACATCCTGCATATGGAGGCTATAGCTTCCGCGGTGCGCGCGCTGGAGCGGATGGGTCGGCCGGATCAGGCCCGGCAGCTTCGTGAGCACTACATGCGGGACTTGCAGGCCCGTGTGGCGCGGGAGCGAGAGGCGCGGCGGCAGCAGGAGATTGCAGCTGCGGCGGCGGCAGCTGAGCGTGAGCGTGAGCGCCGTGCAGCGGAGGCGGCGCTGAGGGAGCGAGAGAGAGAAAGGGAGATGCAGCAGAGGCTGCGTGAAGCTTCAGAAATACGGAGGCATTGGCAGGAGGAACAGGCTGGCGCATTGAGGCTGCAGCTAACCCGCCAGCTGCAAGCGGCGGATCACTGGCAGCAGATCAGGGTACGAGGCGTAAATGGCAGCAATGAGAAAGAAAGCGCATACGGCGTAGGGTCAGCACTTTGCTGGGCTTGGTGCTCGGGGTTGGTTCGCATGGTCTATACGGTTTTCTTCCTGCTCCGGGGGATTCCCTTGACGTCTCCTAAATGCCCATCTCGCTTCTTCTGTCATCGGCTTTTACCTTAACAACCATTTAAAAATTCTCAATTGCTTTCGTCAATGACCTTGTCCAATTCTCCATTATTACATCGTTTACCAATGCACGTATCCCTGTTCCAAGCCCCATCCGTGCTCCTGCCTGCCCCCGCATCCCTCAGTCTTTCGGGGTCACTCAGCCCTTAAGCTTTTCAGCACCCACTCCTTCGCCATTTCCCCCCTCCCGGGATCCAGGCGCTGTTATTTACATATCAGGAGGCCCTAGACGCAAACTGCTTGGTGGCGGCTGCGGCACAGCTGGCGGAGCTGCTGGTAGCAGCGCGACGCACGGTTCGTGGCCTGGCCATGACGTTGCGGGAGCGCGGGGAGCTGGGCGACCTGCTGGAGTGGCTGGGGCAGCTAGTGCTGCGAAGGCTGGACGGCGCCAGCGCGGCGCAGGCAGCCAGGTGCGGGTCGAGTTTGAATCTTCGGTGGCCCAGGCCATCTCTTGCATTTCGACAAGTTGAAGTGCCTACTGCCCTCCTTCTCAAGCTTCCTGGGGCGCTCGCATGTATGTCTCGTCCAGGCTCGTGGTCCTCCCCTCTTGAATCGTTTCCTTCCCCCCTGCAGCCTGCTGACCTCTGTGGTGCGCATGCGGCACCTGGAGGAGGGCCTGCTGGTGGGGCTGCTGCGCCGAGTGCGTGACACGCTGGGCGAGGCGGGTGGGGGGGAGCTGACCGCGGTGCTGCGGGTGCTGGCCGAATGCGGCGTACGGCCCAGCAAGTGAGTCGTCGGCCTGTCCTGGTCCTATTGCTAAGCCAGCCAGCCTTTAGACCTGATGCCTATGTGCCCATAGTGGTCCAGCTCCTGCTTATGGGAGCTTGAAAGCCTTGGGCCTTGACCTACCGGCCCTACAGCGCCACAGTAGTACTGCAGTTAGACGTTGGTTTTCGCACCTTCCTCGCACACACTCACTACCGCCACCGCCCTCTTGCGTCAGGCCCTGGATGGAGACTTTCCTGGGTCGCTGTGAGGAGCTGTTGGAGCAGTTCTCAGCCGAGGACCTGGCGGAACTGCCGGTGCGAGCTTGTAGGAGTGTGCGGGGGCAGGGGTGGGGGGTTTGGGGTTTAGGGGTGGGGGGAAATAGGGGAGTGGGGGCTTGGGGGGTAGGGGTGTTGTGGCCATAAAAGGGAGGGAGAGAGTCCATAAGGTGGGGGGCTGCCGAGAAACGGGAAGGGCCCGAAGGCTGGGATGCTAGCTTGCCAGCCGCGGCCTAAAGCGACAGTATGGCAGTTAGAATTTTGTTTTCCAGTCGCGATTCCGTCATCCTCAATGAACATCGCCTGGTCTGGCCTGACGGCGCTAACCCGACTACGTTCCATCCCAGCCGAAGCCACTCCTATGGGCCTCTTATCACGCGTGTCGTGGATAGGGCAACGGAAGGTGAGAGGTAAAAAGACGGGGTTGGATTTGGTTGAAGTCAGAGGAGTGTTTATTCTGGCAGCCTTAAACCTTGTCCTCGCTCACGCCCATGTCTTCCTAGGTCTCCCTGGCTCAGCTGGGAGCCCACCCGGGGCGCTCTTTCCTGGGAACATACCTGGACGTGCTGCAGGTGTGTGAGCATATGCACGTGTATGAATGTGTGTGCATATGGGTTCGGGCACGTGTTACTGTAAATCCGACGCCCACAGTGTTGGGAGCCGAGGGCATGTGTCCGCTTTGCACAACAGAGGCACGGATGTATGCATGTGCCAGCTGGAAGAGTGAGCCTTCTGTCTTTGCGGTCTTGTCGGTTTGCGAGTCCTACGATGTGGTCCCTTTCCCGTTAAGCCGTATCGTAAGCCGCGGGACGTGCACCAGCTCCTATCGTCCAAGGAAACGCTGTACTGGTTGACTGACTTTGCTGGTTCCGCCCCGCCCCATCCCTGGACTTGCTAGGAACGTGAGGGCGAGCTCAGCCAGTCGGCGGTTTCGGAGGCGGTCCGGGCGGTAGCGCTGCTGGACCGTCCCTTTCTGAGCGCCTGGCGCCAGGCCGCGGCGGCGCGGCAGCAGCAGAAGCAGCAGGCACAGCAGCAGGAGCAACAACAAGCGCGCGCAGCTGCAGCAGCAACGGCGGCGACTGCAACTCAGCAGCAGCAAGAGGAGACACGGCGTATGGAGCAGCAGCAGAAGCAGCAGGTATGCCAGAGGGAGTCCCCTTGAGCAGCAGCGGTAGTAGGCCACATATGATTTGGTTGCGGAAAACAGGATGAGATGCTCCTTCAGGCCCACAATTATATGTCCATGATACAATGGCAATGTCTTACATGGCGTAACGGCGCACGGCGGTGCACGGATTTCGTGCAGCATTTGCATGCCGTTGGAGTAATGAGTACGTTATTGTTGGTCATGTTTCTCCTTGCAGCCCGCCAGTGCGCTCGCGTCCGTGGACGAGATGCTAGCTCGTCCAGATGTTGTACAACAAGAGCAACGGGACGGAGCCGTACACGAAGATTCCCTGCCGCTTATGCATCCAAAGCAGCGCAGCATGGCACAAACCGACGCAGACGCGTCAGGAGGGCGACAACATCAACAGCAGCTGCAGCCGGATCAGCGAATACAACTCACGACTCAGTCCGGGTCTGGGCCTGAAGCCGTCCCTGGGACCACAAGCGGACTTGATCGGCGTCCAGAGGCGCTCGCTATGCAGTCCATCGAGCTTGACGTCGACACAGCTAACTTGCCGTACGGTGACGGCGACGTGCCAGGGAGCACCAGCGGAACGTCATCACCGACTGAATTGGCGACCACAGCTGCCGGAGCAGCAGCGGCACCAGCGCCCTCGGGCGGCCGCCAGCTACCGGGCAGCTGCAGCGTTGACGGTTACTACAACCCTGAGCCGTACGACGAGTACGTCTGGGACGAGGAAGTCGACGAAGGCGAGTACGTGGACTTGGAGCTCGACGAGGAGGAAGCAGCGACGCGACCGATTCATGCATCGGACGCGTCTATGGACGAAGGTGCTGCGAGTCCCTCAGCAACTGGAACAGCAGCGGCGCGGGAGCAGAATGCCGAGGGAAAACGCGCTGCAGGAGTGATCGGGGAACAGCAGCAGGAAGGACAGCACCTTGCGAAGCAGGAGCAGCCGCTGCAAGCTGATGCTGTTCCCGAGCGTAAACCATCGCCTCCGCCGCAGCAGCCGCAAACGACCCCTGAGCGGCAGCCGACGCCGGAAGATATAGCTCAGGCGCGTGCTCTGCGCTCTCTGCTTCTGGAGCGCTACGAGGCGGTAGAGGCTTATCGGGATTGGGTGGAAAGGGGCCCACGCCTGGCGGATGGCGGCGGTGGGCCGCTCATTTTGCCGCCGGAGATGGTAGCGACCGGGGGGGTGCGGGAGGCGCAGGAGCGGCTGCAGCGGCTGCAGGCGGATTTCGACAACTTCAAGTGAGTATTGGCTTAGGATTTGCCGCGGTAGTGAAATGATGGAAAATGATGCGATGTCTATGACATGTTAGATCGACAGCATCGCCATCATAACGGGGCCGCCATCACCTGGTGCTCCAGCTTTAATGTGCAAAAATGTTATCGCGTAGCAAGTACGGCGCAGCGAAGCCCTATCTCCCTTGGTCCAATCCAAGCCTCAGCAGGGGCCTGTGGCGCTGCCACCCAGGCTTTCATCGGCGCTGCGCCAGGTCCCCCACCATATGACCTGGGTTTTGACTTTTTGGCTGTGACTGGTAGCACGCCGCGTCAGGCGTAGGTCCCGACCCAGATGACGTCTTGCTGGCTTTGGGGCTCTGACCCAGCTTAAAGTCTCCTTGGGTTTTAGGCTGTGGAAAGAGACAGACCATGACTGAATCTGACCGATGCGTGTCGCATTCCAGTCGGCTCTCAGTATTGGCCCATCCCATTCTCACCGATGAGCCTTGGGCTCTGTCCTGGGTCGGGTTTTTCCTCAACGTTGGCTCGGTCCCCTCTGCGTCCGATGGTGATGGTGATGGTGATGGTGATGATGATAATGATGATGATGGCGATGGTGATGATGATAATGATAATGATGATAATATGTTCTTCATAACCTGTTGCCGCAGGCGTCGCGCGAGCGCGGAACGAGAACAGCTTGTCGTGCGAGTCAAGGCAGACGCACTACGGCCCATTCTCGCGGTAGCCGACAACTTCGAGCGCGCCGCGATTCAAATTAAGCCCAAGACGGATGGCGAACGTGCCGTGCAGGACGCCTACCAGACCGTATACAACGAGCTCAAGGAGTTCCTGAAGTAAGTCGGGGCCGGTTAATCTTCAATTGAGTATGTAGTGAAAAGCAGGAAAAGCACATAGAACCTGAGCGCGCATTTTCAAGTGCTCGACTCTGCGCCGCGTTTGAAAGCCAGTCGACCTAATCGACCCAATGATTTGCCCCGGCAGGAAGGAGGGCTTGCAGGAGGTTGGCGTGGAGGGTGAGGCTTTCGATCCCAACCAGCATGAGGCCGTTATGCGGGAGGACCGCAACGATGTGGACGACGGGACCGTGACCGGCGTATTTCAGAGGGGCTACCGGCTAGGGGAGGTGCTGGTCCGGCCGGCGTTGGTCAAAGTTGCCTACAACTAATCGTCGCGCAGAGCATGAGGGGTCACAGCGAACTTTGTAATGAAGATGTTGACATGGGATGTTGAAGTTAAGAGACACGTTGCGACGAAATGTTGCAAGCGGGTATTTCGTCATATCGAGAACGGCTCCACCCGGACATTTTGTCTCCATCCATGCTAGAGCTTACCTCGGCAACGAGCAGGACTGGATGTGTTGCATTAGTCAGGTTATGTGGCTGTGATATACGAACAGGAAATCGCCATGCTGCGATTTGGAGGTTCGTTCGTTTTTTTGGTACGGCAGCCTGTTTCTCCGCGCTATAAAACGCAACGAAAGTCTTTCGCCACGAGACAAGGCATTGTAACTGTGGAGCTGTGTGATCCAAACCAGTACTTATTATTGCTTTATTTGCGACGGAAATCCCACAGCGTGAATCTGGTTCAGCTTCCCGGGCGCCAGCTTTTGTTTCTCGCCTCCGACACAGGGCCTCCAGTCCCACCCCCGTATCACCGGACAATACCAGTTACGAACCCCAAGATGCAATGCAACTTGGTTGTTGTTGGTGCTGCGCTCCTGCTGGCAACTTTAACGTTTTGCGCGGCTGATCTACCTTTGGATCCGCTGCCGCTCTCCGACTGGACGAACGGCAGTTCTATTTTCTGGGGAGGCCCTCAGGTACCCCGCAAAGCATTTGACTCTGAGCTTGCGCTTGCAAACAACGCTCCGGAAGGAGCGCACAACATATATGCAAATCTGTGTTCGTTGCATGTCGCAGGATGGCCAGGACGACCCCTTCAGTATGCGGCTGCCTCCAGGAGGTGTGCGATATCACTTTACCAAGGCCTCTGCAAAGTCACGTAATGTAGTCGCCGATCTTGACAGCCTTTTGAGCTGTTTTGTTCTTGTGCGTATGCTGGATTGTATCTTGTTTAGTTCCTAGGTACAGTAAAACCCAAAATCCACCAAGATGACCATTTCATCCGCGCTCATTCTTTTTGTAGCGTGCGGATATGGGGAGCAAGATCCGAAGATGTGGCCATTTTTCGGAGTGACCGGAGTGAGCCCGCAAAGCCCTCTTGTTCGTGATCGGCCACAGGTATGCCCGCGCGGAAGCAGCAACAAGCCGATAGGCTTCGTCATAACATGATGCTTTTATACGACCCAAGTCGCGTTTTGTCACCCAAGTCGCCGCCAGCTCAACCTGACTGCCCTGAATGCAAAGAGTTGCGGCAAGCCCCATGTTTTTATTCTCTGTGGACGATAAGCATACGTACTGTCCCCTAGTAATTCCTAGTGTTCCGTTTGACGCCCTTGTGCTGGCAGGCATCCTGTGGCACGTGTCTGGAGGTCAAGTGTGCCTCGCCGGACCCGCAGGTACTCTAGTCGGGCACATTGTCTAAGCGTGTACGGCATAATGAGGTTGGCCCCGTAAGGCGGGAAATTGTGCGTGATGCCGCTCAAGTTAGGCAAGGGGTCAAAGATTGCATGAATGGTTGGTTGCAATGAAAATTCAAAGGCTGACCCAGATCGACCTACTCTGCTGAACGATGTATATTTATCGATCTGGGTCAGCCTTTGAATTTCTTTAAGATATCTCTGATATATGTCCCCATTCAATATGGATCAGAGCTGGTATTGTAAAAAAAGGTCCTTAATGGGAATTTAATTAAGGCCAATATTTGCGGCGTCTTCTGCTGACTCCGGTAATTAAGCGCACGTCTCCGTCCCCCATGCGCCTTTACTTCTCAACAACGCCTCATGCAGGTTTGCACGTCAACAGCGAGCGTCACCGTCGTCATTACGGACGTCTGCCCTGACTGTGCCGCCAACGAGCTTAACTTGCACGCTCTGGCCTTCCAACAAATCGCGCGCCTTGAATATGGTAGCGCTGCTATTCAATACCGGCAGGTGAGGCTGTCTCGCCTTAACGATAAGGGCATGCTTTTCGCGTTGGCGTTCCCGTGCTAGTGCGCCTCTATATACTTCACGCACTCCTCTTCACCTTCTCGCTGGACTGACCATCCGCCCCGTCCTTCTGCTGTCCCGGACAGGTGGAGTGCTCGCCTATGGACAACATCGCTGTCTATGTGGACGGTTTCCGCGTCGTTCAGGGTGGGTGGCTACGTCTGAGCCTCAAGTCGGTGGCCAGCGACGGTGCCGCGGTGCTTGTGGAGCTCGCTCGTTCCCCGGTGGGTCAATTAGCGCTCCCTTCCCATGCCCGTCCATAACGCCGCAACGTATCAGAGCGCGCTACTGTCGTACACTGCGCAAGCCCATTTCCTGTGTACCTCCGGTATGTGGGCGAGCGGGCGAGCACAGTCGGGCCTAGTTCGAAAGTGCGGGGGCTGCTGCTCTTCATTTGATATGGGACCCGCGCATGCACGGAACAGAGCTTCCTGCAGCGCCCTGGGTGGACATGTAAGGGGGGGGGGGTCCCCGACTTGCTAGCGCGCGAATAAATATTCAGTGCCGTTGCTTAACTATACCCAACCCATTCGATGCACGCAGAACGCTACGGGTGGCAGTAACGCGACAAGTAGCACGGTTGCGTTAGCTGGGGGCAACAAAACGACCGTGATTAACCCTGCGCCGCAGCCGACGGCAGACCTTGGCGCTCCCAAGGCTGACGGGGCGGACAACGCGTCTACCATCTTGAATGCTACCTGGAAGCCCATGACCAACACGTACGGTGAGTTTGATGTCGTTACTGAGCGTAACGGGCAGTTCTTTGGGACATCCCTTAGTGAAACCTTGCTTAGAACTACAATGAGGGTTTGGTACAGAAGATAGGGGCGCCGTGTCTTTGGTTCTGGCTAGCTGCACAAATACAGGTTGGAAATTCCTGGCCTACCCTTTTTCTCGACTGACCGTTGTTTGGCTCTCACTTCACTCTTTACCTGCTGTCTGCAGGCGCCGAATGGGAGTTGTCCGCTCTGCCCGGACCGCCCTACGACCTGCGTCTGACCGACCGCTACGGTCGCAAGATCGTTCTTTCTAACGTCATCACACGGGCCGGCGCCCTCGGAGAGGTAACATGGGCATGTGCACCAGAAGGCACTTCTATGCTTTGAAATGGGCTTGCAGGCTTACGTTGGCTGGGGCAGTAACACTTTTCCCCTTGTAGTTGGCAAACAAGTTTTTTAAGTGGTACCTGCTGCAACAAGCCACTGGATGTCTATTGCAATGACCTTGTGCGTGCGACTACGTTTCACCTCCCACCCAACAGTTTCCCGGCCGCGCTCAGTTCCCCGGTCTCAACGCCACCAGCAGCAGCAGCAGCAGCAAGGCAGCAAGCCCCGTCCAGGTACGGCCCCGCCCCGCCCTAGACGGATAGCATTGGCCGCGTTGAGGCCATATCTCCTGCCGGAGGTCAGAGGTTACTTAATGCACGAGTGCTAGAGTTTATTAGTGTGCACGCATGGCCGCAATCTAAGCGGACCACCGTATGAGTCCCGAATGTTTTTATACTGGGGGGGGGGCGGCTCGGCGGGTAAGCCTTGGTCTGCTTCTCATACCTTGGCATGCTGACTTCCGTCCACGAAATAAGCCAACGTTGCTCCTTCCATCCGCCCTTCCCATTCCCAGGTGCCTGTGGCACTAGCAGGCAACGGCGCAGCGATCGCCCCTACACCGTCAACGCCCAAGCCTACCCCAACCCCCACCACCGCACCCTCGGGCACAGTCCCGACCCTTCGTTCATCGATACTCAAGTCGGTGGATCGCCGACGCCTTCTGGGTACCGCAAGTCAACCGGCGTCCGGCGACACGATCCGGCAAGTGTCTCGTCGCCAGATGCGGCAGAGGACCCGCGGACAGAAGGCAGGCCCGCTGCCCTAAGAAGCTGTGGCCTTGTTTTAAAGCGAAGATTTGAAGTAGGAAGATAGGAAGAAGCTGTGAAGATCTATAGATAGAAGATGCAGGGTGTACCCCGTCCAGGAGGGGTTGTATTTCAAAAAGGGCAGCTGTAGGGATGGTGGGATTTTCCATAGTACCTGGAGGAAATAATGTCGTGCGAATTTTGTGAAGTGTCCAATGGACACTGTCCTCTGTAGGTCTGTGGGGCCAAGGGTAGGTCGGTACAAGGTGCATAGTGCCTTGCACGAAAGAGGCAGGTGTGTTCATTTCGACACATGAGGACGTGTTCTACGACTTTACCTGCCTACGTGCCTCTTCTGTAAGATGAGAATATTGTGTTGAGCTATATTTTGATGCGCACTTGAGCTTCTGCTGTTCTCCAAGATGAACATGTGTCGGGAGCGGGCGTGCCCACATGCTTTGCATGTGCCCAGCATTCGCCGGTGACGGGAAAATACGAGTGGTAATGTGAAAATGAGACCGTCGGTCGTCAGGAGGCGCTCGCAGTTCGATGTTCCATCACCGTCAGCGCTCCAGAAGTTGGCGACACGACGGTGTACGGCAGGTCGTTGGACTCCAGGCCGTACCTTCTGTTATCTACACGAACGATTGGCACCCACAGATCACCATTCCATGTTTGACTTCATTTACGGGATAACACATCGCTGCATAGTAAAATAGTGAACATCGTTGCTGCACAGTACCGATGGTGGAACCGACAGCCGAAGAGCTCGAGAGCCTCATCGCGGGAGCACGTAAACTATGGGATCTTGACGAAAACAGGCTAAAACCGGGTGCAGATTACGCGATAAATGTGCAGGTAAAGATTTTTTGTCCTCGGACTAGAGCGTAGACAGTTACGTGTCGCACGGTATAGGTTGGGTGCTTACAACACTACGCTTAGTAGCAGTCGCAATGATTGAAACATTATATGCCAGAGACGATGAATGTGACACCATACCGCGTTTACGCAGGAGGGAAAAAAGCAATGGGACCGTCGCGACGCGGCTGCCGAGAAGCTTTTTAAGGGCGTCAAGCGCGAGATATGGAAGAAGCCGACATTTATTATGTACGTCTTCTGTGTCCTAGAGCAGCTGTGCGACGCCCACCCAAGGGCAGACGTGCGCAAGCGCGAACCACCCGACGCACAGCCACAGTACATAAATATGTTTATCATGCCCTTAAGCCAACATGGACTACTACAACACCCAAATGCTACAGCCAGTACGCTGTCGTGGCTATCGCGGCCTTGTCCGTGTTTCTCCGTACTTCCCACACCCCAACCCGTGCCTTTCTTTGCAGCTTTTACAACCTGCTCGACAACTACGAACGGGAAACCGGCCAGGCGGAGGTGGAGACGGCGCAGGAGCGCAAGGAGGTCAACGACTTTCTGACAGCTTGCATGAACACCAAGTAGGCCAAAGGGGGCTGCCGGGCGCCCAGGTATTGGGCCCAGGAGCGATCGGCATGTTTTACCATTGGCCACCATTTAAGCTAAGGGCCAGCCGCAGGCCGCCGATACGACATAGCGTTTACTCAATCTGGACTAGGGTCAAAAGGGAAAAACGGCTTCTGGGTTATGCATGTACGTGACCGTACTCTTTCCATAGCGTACGAACGCACTCCCAGCTTACGAAAGCCCATCCTCCGCACATCGTGGGATGCCCGCATTCTCCGCGTTGCTGGGGGGGTTACCATTGACAGACCACATGCGCAACTACGGTGGCGTCCAGGGTTAAGCAAGCCGAATAGCTTACGATTAGCCCCGCACAACACATACAAATGGAGCGCTAGCCTGCTTTCTTAAACCAAGGCCTAACTCGGGCCCTTGTATGACAGGGTGATGCAGTACTGTCACAAGTACTGTGCTGCGCGGGGTGTGGCGCCGGAGGGGGAGGCGGACTTCAAGAAGGTCTTGTACCAGGTGATGAGCACCACTGGGCTGAAGTTGACGGGTTTCGCGCGGGAAAGCAGCGGGTGTCATGTGTGCAATGTGCTCCTTAGCGACCACGGGGCTGGCTCGCCGCTTATGCCCATGCTTCACATCAGTTCCATTCTGAATTTCAGACAGCTGGCGACCGCGCCGTGCTTGGTTCGGAGCGGGGCCTGTGCGCCCATCGGCTGACCTGCCACTTCTGACACCCAATCCGCATCAGCATTGAAGCGCAGTTCCCGGAAGCACACACACGTCACAGCCGTCGGCACCTGGCAGGGCCTCGATCGGTTTCTGTTGGCGTGTTCCTCGCAGATGTGGTTCAGTCTGTACCGCAGAGACGGTCAGAACGACTCTTGCGGATTTGAGCACGTATTCGTTGGCGAGAGCAAGGGCGACAGCGTCACCGGTTTTCACAACTGGATCCAGGTCAGTCAGGACGTTTCCTGGTTCCTAGCAATATGGGGCGTGACCGATTTAGTTGAGGTTGGATTTGGATCCGGACCGTTCCTAGTTGGATCTGAGGCTAGGTATCCGCGCTTTCGTGAACTAACCGGTCGCGTTACCTCGTCCAGCAACTAGTATCTTTTGACCCTTCCAAAGCTCTTGCACTTGCGGAATACAGCGCCCAGCTTGACCTCCCTTTCCTCGAAATTGAGATGCCATAGTTTTAATGGAGTAAAGGTTTTTTGCATTGTATGTAGCATGCCAGGAATGAGTGTTCTGTCCCTGTTGCAATCTTCCTAGCTAACCTGCTTGCCCGCTTGATGCTGCTCCCCCAGTTTTACATCGAGGAGGGACGGGGCAACGTGGACTACCTGGGCTACGTCAAGCCCAAGTACGGCAGGGACAGCACGGACGACGAGGACCGATTGCTTACTGTTACCTTCAGCTGGAAGGGCGAGGAAAAGAACGTATCAACGTTCTTCGTGGGTAAGAAGACCTACGTAACAATGTGGATCGGGACTTGAAGCGGGGGAGGGCGTTCCGTTAGGACATTTTGTATGAAGGGCTGACACTCGAGTTGCGGCTCCGAATTAAGGTATAGAAATATTTGCAAGTTTTCTAATGTCTGCAGGAGTTTGTGGCCAGGGAGCTTCAGGATACCTACCTTGATACCCCCGATGTGTTGCATCGTGCGTGAGCCGTCCTCGCTCCTCCCTACTTGCCTCCCCCTACCCTGCCTACCTCCTGCTGGAAACCACAACAAATCTGGGAGAAGAATGCACCTGTTGTGTCTCGCTGTGTGTTATTAGGCACCTCGCCAGAGTTTGAACTGGCACTCTACACAATGTGCTTCCTGTGCAACCCTGAGGAGAACAACACCTTTTTGGAGATTGGACCATACGACCTCAACATCGTGTGCTACCGGATTCGCTCCAAGTACGGCGACAAGGTACATAGTATTGTCGACGCAGCACCGTGCGAGCACCTTCAGGTTTTATCCCTTGCTTGGCTCTATTCGGGCCCTAGGCGGCCGGTTCTGAGGCTATGACCCATAGGACCCCTGACAATTCTTTAGTAAGACGCCAGGCAGCGCAGCAATCCGGTGTGGCAATCCGAGCTGTCCCGATTTCATGGTCCTGCCCATGCCACAAGCCGATGCGCAACCCGCAGGCACAAGCTGTCGGGGTTGCTTGTATAGTCCCGAAATCCCCCTCAGACAAGAGCGCCGTGTCCAATATTGACTGGATCCTGTCTTGCCCGGAATTCTCACCATCTTTCCACAGCATATCTGTAACCAACTACGCATTGACCGCCTTGGTCCTCGTCCCATCGTCACACTACGCCCAACCCCTCATCCCTACAGTCCCCGGCCTCACTTTTTGCATTCCCGACCCCGCCGGCCCCAGGTCGCCACCGCCTATCCGGACTTGCTGGGCGAGGACCCATCCAACGACATGGCGAACCTGGCTGTTTAAGAGCTCCAATTAAAGCCGCCTAAGTGCTCACCTAAGGGGCGGCGTGTGGATGGCCAGCAGTTGCGGTAGAAGGGCAACAGCGGGTGGCCCTGGGCCCTATGTCTGTAACGTTTTTGATTGTTTATGCCCTGGTATATTAAATAGGGACCGTCTATCCTATCATACCAGGGTGCGGTCTATAGGCGACCAAAAATTTTACAAATGCATCTAGGACGGCGGACGTAAGGACGGGCCGCGGCACCAGCCGGGTGTCTGGTACTGGAGAAAACTCGTGAATCGGCAGCTGGGCAAGCTGTCTCGCCGGGCTAAAGTCGGGATGCCGCGTTGCATCAGACTTGAGAGCCTACGCATAAAGGATGACGCATTATAGGATGACTGATTTGGGGGTAAGTGAAGAGGGCTGCATATTTATCTGCCTCTCTGCATGGATTGGGTGTATGCATATGTAGGACGTGATAAAATAAACTTGCGAGCTGACCAGGAACTAAGTTGATGCGCCGTTGATCCGCTAGATTTGGTTGGATGCTGGTGGTGAGTTGCCGAACCCAACGAATACATTCTGAAGTCGGATGGGGTGACGGATTAGGGTGCCCCTCTAGCAGGGGAGAGCAGGGACTGCCCCGGGAAAGGGGGCCGCTGGTGAAGTTAACCACCCTGTAACAACATACCTGCCGCGGAGGTTCATTCCTTGCTCCTTTTAGGTTCTGGTCATCTCCCCAAGACCTAGCGTGTCCTAGCGCAAGCCGGAAGACACGAAGGGATTGCTCAGTGAAATAAACTGCTGCGGAGTTGACGGCGGAACCGCGCGTGTTGTTGATTCAGGATGATGTGATATTTGTATCGCAGCTACAAATTTCTGATCCCAGACGCGTGCTGGCTGTCAGGCGGGTCACGTGACTATGGCTATGGTTCGTGGCTCCGTATTACTTCTATTTCAGTAAGCTGCTTGTTCCATGTTCGTCATAATACATTAAGGCGACCGGTCAGGGTCGGAAATCCTTCCAATTGGGTGGAAGGCGAGAGTGTCCCTAGTCGATGGACGGTGGTAAGCTGGGATAACGTGGACCTGCGAGCTGACCAGGAACGGAGTTGAGCCGCCGTTGATCCGGCAGATTCCGTTGGATGCCGGTGGTGGGTGCTGGCCTGAGCGGTCCACTGAATCTGGAGAAGTCGCCTAGGGTGACTGGATGAGGGTGCCCCGAAATACTGGGTAAGGCAGAATTTCGACGGTTAGCGGCCACGGGTGAAGATGTGCCTCCCCCTGTCCCACACACACATCAATAATTCTGGTCCAATTCGCCACTCTGGGTTGATGGGGTCAGGACTATGGCCTACAACAATTCTTCCTGCTCGTTCAGAGGGGAACCCCCTGAAATAAGGATACAAATCCATGCTGTTAAACAATGCTTCCTTTGCAAGACTCTGAAGCCTCCTTAATTGCTCAGTCTAGAAATGGCGGGATATTCGTACGCAGTCGTGGAGACTTCGCTAACCCGCAATCAATTCACGTGTCAGGCTCGTGCAGTTTTGCTGCAGATCTGAACAACTAAATCCCTTAGCCCAAATTGCAGACAAGAGGTATTGTGCTCACGGCACATAGTACGAAGCACATATTAGGCATAAAGCGCACACGTGTGCAGGAGTTGACTGCGTCTTTAACGCAGGTGAGATGAATACATTCATTCTCCCCCTGTGCAATCTCTACATATTTTGCTAAGCTACGCAAGCCTCTAACCGACATGCGTGGTTTTTTAGGGTTCCACGGCTGGTCCACCTTCCCGTAAGCGAAGACTTTGATGTATCGTCCGCACTCTGCCCTATGACCTCGAAAATGCAAGACTTTCGGAAAAAAGTTCAAGCTGTTTGCACGCGTTCTGCACCTTACTGCAGGGCACGCGCACCGAGGCCCCGGAACCAATGTGGGGAAGCAGCACACCCGTGGGGCAAATCTCATGAATCGCGCAGGATAGAGAGCCCCGGTGGTGTCGAGGTCTTTGCCAATAATCGCGCATGCGTACTGGCATGTGAAGATACATGGAGGTCATTATGCACCGATTGAGCGACTGCCGGATTACAAAGAGAAGACGTACGCCAGCTCACAGTGCATGTTCGCCAGGAGATGTATGATATGGCGCGTAAAATATGTTGCAACGTTCGCCGCCGATGATGGCAGGGTTTGAGTCCGTCCTACGGCCGAGGATGCATTATAACCACTTTGATGGAAGTCTATCCGCACCTCGGGCCATTATCCGCTCAGGGTACCAACCTTATGGAAATCGCCATAAGCAGCAATGCCTGCCCTGTTAGGCCTATGTGGCAGGACAGATGCGTGGGATGACTGCAACTGTCACTATACGCCATGTTCCAAAGCATAGCTCAAAGCCTGGATGGAAGGAGTACGGGCATCCGTACTAAAAATGACTTGTGCTCGAGGCACACACGACCACTTGTTGGCCACGACCACAGTTGGCTAAAGCACATGAATTCAAAACCAGCTCTATCAAACAAAAATAGCCTATCAACTGCCCCGCTAACTAAGCTTTATCGGTTGACTTAGTGCAGTGATCCACCATGCATCCGCATGGATCGCGCGCAGGTATGGTTCATGTGACATCCCCACCATGGGGCCGGCCCGTTGGTCACAAAACAATGTAAACATGCATAGCTCTTTCAAAACCCCTATCAAGCACGACCATAAACTGAAAACAATGCAACAACGAACAAACAATGGGTGTCGGGTTTTCGGTGCAACGATGTAATTACTCTGTGTAATCTATGTCACCCACAACACCATAGATTCTGGTATGCTATGTAGATTCCTCGGAAATCCTCGGAACTGCAAGTATGCATTCATGGCGCCGACGACGATTTACGGCATGCGCTTGCCGGCTCACTCCACCTCTCTGCTTCTATCTGCGTCTCATTTTCATATCCGAGTAATCTGAAAACATTCATTACTATCTCCGACTCCCACGCAACAGGGCTAGGGCTTTTGCCGTGGTCTAAACGTCTTCGCTTGCCTCCAGCAAGTGGCGATGCCGGCGGCGATTGGAGGGAGTGGCGACCGTTGGCGCAACTTTCTTTGCAGCCGGGCTACTGATGTTGGCCTTGGGAAGGCAGCTACCAATGAAGCCATCGGCGGGGCCGCCCCGGATTGACTGGCACTCGTACTTGACGGACCAGCATTGCGTCTCGCTGGGCGCTTGCAGCATACAATAGTCATTCAGCTTGCCAATGGTGCACTCCTGACCGTTGCAGTGTTGGCACTTGCCGGTCTTCTGGATTGTGGTCACGCCCGCACACGTCGCAGCGCAGCTGCGGAGGGGCAGGGCCAAGAGCATGCAGCGGTTAGCTACAGGGCGCGGGCACGCGGGTGAGAGGAGAAGGTTGTGGATGCAAGCCGGGGGGCCTCAGGGAAGTAGCCCACATCAGTGGGGTTCTATTTCACTACCGGCTTTGCACCGGTAGTGAGTGACATACAGTACAAAAGCAGGGAAGCACATTCAGTTGGGTCGCTCCTTGACTCCTATCGTCCCATGTCCTTATCCACGGTTATATTTTTTAAGAGCGCGTCGAGATGGCCATTAGCTAAGCTAAGGCAATGCCAGTCATTGCTCTGAAAACGTTGTGAACATGCCAGCCACCAGCTCATCGTCCACTCGATAAGAGCGCAGGGCCCCAATACACAAATTGCGTCTTCGCGTGCAGGCTCACCTGCTCGGGAACGTCCGGTACGTACGGTTAAACTTGCCACAGACGGGGTCGTATGTGTAAGGGCACTGGCAATCTTTAAACGCGGCCCCTTCACACGAGTCAGCGTCCACCAGCTTGTCCATAATGGGATCGTACCAAATGGCCGAGCAAGCCGGCAAGTCAACACCATGGTATGTACTAGTGCAAGGCTTGACTATGCACTCGGCGTTGGCGAAAGCAGGGCAGGTGGCGTTCGCACACGGAGACGGAGACTTGCACAGGAAGCGGGGCGAGTTTGGCGAGCAGCTGCAGGGTTGGGAGCGAAGGGCAAGGCGGTAGCCAAGCGTGCACAGTCAGCGAGACGAGTCAGCGAGACGATATGGTGCCGAGTGCAGAAAAAGGAGGAACAAGATGCGGACGACCGTCCAAAGTAGGAAAGTGGGAAGCGGCCAACGAACCGTAATCCAAGCGCTGCGCTACCCCCAACAGTAGTCGGCTATGCGAGGAAACGTGAATAACTTGTGGGGTACGGCAAATCCTTTGCTGTTGCAGTATTGCAGTACACAGCCGAAAGGATTGACATGAGCACCCACCGACAGTTTGGTAGCCGGGGCAAAGTTGCTTCGGGTTTGCCATCAACAAGGCAGGTGGCTGGCAGAGGTTAAGGCCTGACTTCTGCACCCGGAGGTCCCGGGTTCAAATTCACCTGCCGTCCCCTCGATGTGTGAGGGGTATTGAAATGGGAGGTGGCTGGTGAAGGTATACCACCCTGTAAAAACAACAGCCATAACTAAATCGCCAAGGGGATCACGGCGTGCACTTACGAATAGATGCTCTCAAACGGTGCCGTGCAGTTGACGCGGTTGCCCTCCGAATCCACGTACACCGCCTCGCAGGGGCCAACGGGCTGGCCCTGGAACGTGCCCTCCGAGCAGTAGCTGGCAAGGCATCGGGCGCTGGGGTTGGCTGGGCAGGAGCTGACAGCGCAGGGGTCTGCGAAACACTCCACCGTCTTGCCCTTGGGGCAGCTGCGCAAGGGTGGGGCCGGGAAAGCAGAGCATGTAGTCAAAGCGACTTCCGATGTAGTCAAGGACATGACGCAACGACTGCCGGCCACGTCGACGTATAGCTGTTGCCAGTGCATACCACGCAGCCCGCGAAGGGACGGAGTCACGCACACAGGAGACTTGATCGCACAGTTCCATGCTAACGACCACGTAACTGGACAATCAAGAGGATGATGGGCACAAGTCGCGCAATCACCCAACCAACCTGGGGAGGGACATGCAAGGACCGGTGTACGCAACTTCCTGTTTCGCACAGGCAGCCTCGCACGCGTTGCCGTACGTCCGGTTATTGGTGCCACAGACGGGGTCGTACTGCATGGTGCAAATACAGTCCTCAAACGGTGCCGTGCAGTTGACGCGGTTGCCCTCCGAATCCACGTACACCGCCTCGCAGGGGCCAACGGGCTGGCCCTGGAACGTGCCCTCCGAGCAGTAGCTGGCAAGGCATCGGGCGCTGGGGTTGGCTGGGCAGGAGCTGACAGCGCAGGGGTCTGCGAAACACTCCACCGTCTTGCCCTTGGGGCAGCTGCGCAAGGATGGGGCCGGGAAAGCAGAGCATGTAGTCAAAGCGACTTCCGATGTAGTCAAGGACATGACGCAAGGACATGACGCAACGACTAGCTGCCGCCATTGCATACCACGCAGCCCGCGAAGGGACGGAGTCACGCACACAGGAGACTTGATCGCACAGTTCCATGCTAACGACCACGTAACTGGACAATCAAGAGGATGATGGGCACAAGCCGCCCAACCACCCAACCAACCTGGGGAGGGACACGCAAGGACCGTTGTACGCAACTTCCTGTTTCGCACAGGCAGCCTCGCACGCGTTGCCGTACGTCCGGTTATTGGTGCCACAGACGGGGTCGTACTGCATGGTGCAAATACAGTCCTCAAACGGTGCCGTGCAGTTGACGCGGTTGCCCTCCGAATCCACGTACACCGCCTCGCAGGGGCCAACGGGCTGGCCCTGGAACGTGCCCTCCGAGCAGTAGCTGGCAAGGCATCGGGCGCTGGGGTTGGCTGGGCAGGAGCTGACGGCGCAGGGGTCTGCGAAACACTGTACCGTCTTGCCCTTGGGGCAGCTGCGCAAGGGTGGGGCCGGGAAAGCAGGGCATGTAGTCAAAGTGACTTCAGGTGAAGTCAAGGACATAACGCAACGACTGCCCGCCATTGCATACCACGCAGCCCTCGAAGGGACGGCGTCACGCATACAGGCGACTCGATCGCACAGTTCCATGCTAACGACCACGTAACTGGACAGTCAAGAGGATGATGGGCACAAGCCGCCCAACCACCCAACCAACCTGGGGAGGGACACGCAAGGACCGGTGTATGCGACTTCCTGTTTCGCACAGGCAGCCTCGCACGCGTTGCCGTACGTCCGGTCATTGGTGCCACAGACGGGGTCGTACTGCGTGGTGCAAACACATTTCTTGATGGCTGCCGACAAGAATGGCGGCGATGATGGCGGCGGTGGTGGTGGCGGTGATGGCGGCGATGATGGCTGCGGTGATGGCGACTCGGGAGCAAAGACCGCCTCGCATTCACCTTCATGTGCGATTTCCTGGCCAGCGCACCTTGCGCTGCAGGGATTGTCAAACATGAAACCCTTCGTCGTGCACACTGGCCGCCATAGGGCGGGGCAGATGCAGTCCGGCCGGATATATGGGGTATTGCTGTTACACACCGACAGGGTGCCGTTGGCCTGGCGCCACACGGCGCTGCAAGGCCGGACCTGCATTAAGGCGGAACATGACATGAAAGCGCAAGCGCCGGAAGTAATGATCCAGCGGCGAAGGCGCCAGGCAAGGCTACAGGGAAGACGGCGAGGCGCGTATGTGGACACCGAGGCGGATAAGAGCGCGAAATATAGAGATGAACACCGGCATGCCTCGGCCGTGGGAGAAAGAAGTAGGGGGCCTGTCGTAAACACCGTTCACGAAGCATCAAATGCAGCACCATCAATATCCGCAGCTGTGGCATCTTGACTACTTCAATTGCCCGCAAAGTTGCCATGCCATTGCCCCAGACAAATTTTACTGCGCCAGTAGCCCCGATGTTACGTACCGGCGTGCCATCGCGAAGGGCGCCGCCAATGCACGATACGGCCGTGCAGACGGCGCCTGCCTCAGTGGCACCAGAACAGCCCGGCGGCGCCGGTACAGAGCATGGGTCCGTAGAGCATCTGACCTTCGCATTGCTCGCTGGACATCTGTGAAAACAAGCAAGCAACACAGACAAATGAACTAGTGACGTGACTGTTTCCCAGGACTGCACGGTACAGCACGGCGATGAGCGCCCATCCAGGCGCCAAGCATCGGTGAATGCATTAGGGCGAAGTGTACTGCGAAGTAACAAACACCGTTTTGTGCGAACCAAATTATCGCACGTGGCCCGGTAACTCCTCCTCTTCATTTTCCCACCGCGGCATCCCCAAACTAACCAACCAAAGAAGAAACAGAAGACGCACTGATGATCCCAAGTACCCACATTGTGTCGGCCAGTGCAACGGCGCCGCAAGTATACACCAGCTCGTTCGTGTCATTCGTTACCCAGATGGGCGCGCAAGGGGGCAGGTTGATGCCGCGATAGGTGCCAATGCAGGGCTTGACGATGCACTTGGCGCCGGGGTTGCTGGGGCAGGTGGCGTTCTCACATGGGAGCGGCGTATTGCACTTGAACAGAGGAGAGTTAGGTGCACATCTGCGTGGTCAAGTTAAGCAGAGTCAGGGCCGGCCGCCGTGGCAGTTGGCTTTGGATTGCTTAGGACGTTCAACGTCCCGTACGGCGGCCTCCAACAAGCAAGCAACAGATGAGAAAACTGGAAGACATACGCTAAATTTCAGTCAGATCGCTAGAGGTCTAGGACAGCTAACATAAGTTCCAGGCGACCGATGTCAACAGACGGGGGACAGCATGCAAAATGCAGCAGCAGGGTCGGTGGCTTAATTTACGCTGAAACATCATCAAGGCTGAACTTACGCGTAAACATCATCAACCGATGTCGTGCAGTTGACGCGGTTGCCCTCCGAATCCACGTACACCGCCTCGCAGGGGCCAACGGGCTGGCCCTGGAACGTGCCCTCCGAGCAGTAGCTGGCTAGGCATCGGGCGCTGGGGTTGGCTGGGCAGGAGCTGACGGCGCAGGGGTCTGCGAAACACTGTACCGTCTTGCCCTTGGGGCAGCTGTGCAAGGATGGGGCCGGGAAAGCAGGGCATATAGTCAAAATGCCTTCAGGTGAAGTCAGGGACATGCCGCAACGACTGCCGGCCATTGCAGACCACGCAGCCCGCGAAGGGACGGAGTCACGCACACAGGAGACTTGATCGCACAGTTCCATGCTAACGACCACGTAACTGGACAATCAAGAGGATGATGGGCACAAGCCGCCCAACCACCCAACCAACCTGGGGAGGGACATGCAAGGACCGTTGTACGCGACTTCCTGTTTCGCACAGGCAGCCTCGCACGCGTTGCCGTACGTCCGGTTATTGGTGCCACAGACGGGGTCGTACTGCATGGTGCAAATACAGTCCTCAAACGGTGCCGTGCAGTTGACGCGGTTGCCCTCCGAATCCACGTACACCGCCTCGCAGGGGCCAACGGGCTGGCCCTGGAACGTGCCCTCCGAGCAGTAGCTGGCTAGGCATCGGGCGCTGGGGTTGGCTGGGCAGGAGCTGACGGCGCAGGGGTCTGCGAAACACTGTACCGTCTTGCCCTTGGGGCAGCTGCGCAAGGATGGAAAGACCAGGTGCATCTGTCAGTGCCTCCTTGTGCAATGGATACTATGGCGCACTGATGCGCAAAGCTGGATGGCACAACACAGCTACGCGAATATGTTGAAACTAGGAAGGCAGTAATGGAGTAATACTGGGTAGTAGTATGCAGGCACCGTCCATACCATCCTCGCGGTCCCCAACCCGCCTCACGTAATGGCTGGCTCAGAGTCGACAGCCGTGCAATCCACGGGGTTGCCATCCGAATCCACATACACCGCCTCGCAGGGCCCAATGAGTCGGTCGCCAATCGTACCAATCGCACAGTAGTTCGCTATGCAGCCCGCCGTGGGGTCGGCTGGACAAGAGCTGACGGCACAGGGGTCGACAAAGCACTGCACTGTCTCGTTGGAAAAGCAGCTGCAGGAAGATGGACGTCAAGGGAATGGGTGGGCATGTTGGATGAGTTTATTGTACGCCGCATCATCATTGCGATGTATACGTTTAAGCAGGATACCGTACGGTCGGGACCGTAAATGTCTAACGTCTTCAGCTCCTAAGGGGCGCCGCCAGGGCAATCTTCATTACGGAGAGGTATGGATGCAAGGTATGCTGCCCAGGTTACTAGTGCATGGTCTTTCCATGGCAAGCGGAAGTGACCTACCTGACGTAACGCCATGATGGTCGCTTTTTCCATCGGGGTCCTAGGGGGGCGACCATTGCAATCTGAGCTAGGTTCTCACCACCAACGTTCCGCCGGTCTCTTACGTCCCCGTGCACAGGCGCACAGAAATCAACAATCGCCGATCGCTTGGCTTGGTGCCACACACCTGATGTTGGGCTTGATGGCCTCGAACGGGCACACGACTGCCTTTCCGGTGTCCGGGTCGACCCACACCGCCGCGCACGGATCCACAGGCTCTCCATTTAGACTCTGGCCCGTGCACGTGTTCTGAAAGCATACGGCGCCGGACGGCACGTTGGCGCATACGTCGCTGCACGTATTGCGCTTGCACTTCACGTTTCCGAGGCACCTGTGGATCACCAGGCGTTGCACAAATGGCAGGGTTGTAGGCGAGAGCAACGCGCACAAGAGATAACAACATACAACTACAATTGAGGAGTAGAACAAACATTAGCAGTCAAGACGGTGTGCGAGCGAGCGTCCTGATACACTGGATGCCATCAGCGCCCTTGTTTGGCTGATAAAAAAAGAGTTCTGGTAAAATGATGTACAGCTTGTTCTTGGATCTTGGGCCAGACATGCAGCGGCACTCACGGGTGTGACGCTTGTCATGTAGTGGTGAAATAGCACCGGGACGGGCGAGTAGAAGAAGGCGGCAATACACAGCTGGCAACAACCCAATATTGAGCGGAGGAAAAGGCAGCAGCACAGAGCATAGAAACCCTTGGAGGTATACCGGCCATAGACCAGCTCATCAAAACGACCATTAGCACCTGCTTCCCAGGTGATGTCATCTCTGCTTCCCAAATGTTGCTTACCCTGCAAAAGGGCTGGTGGGACCTGGCACGCTCCCTCTGTCCATGTGCCGTTAGTCCCTAGCTCACAGGCTGCCATGCACTTGTTGCCATACGTCCTGCCGTCGCTACCACACACGGGTCTATACTCCTCGGTGCAAATACAGGGCGCCTTGCACTCGCCCTCTGTCCAGGTGCCGCCCTGGCCAAGAGCACAAGCAGCTGTGCAGTTGTTGGCATAAGTGACGCCATCACTTCCGCAAACTGGATTGTATTCCCGTGAACACTTGCAAGAAGGCGGTGGTGGAGACCTGCACGCTCCCTCTGTCCATGTGCCGTTAGTCCCTAGCTCACAGGCTGCCATGCACTTGTTGCCATACGTCCTGCCGTCGCTACCACACACGGGTCTATACTCCTCGGTGCAAATACAGGGCGCCTTGCACTCGCCCTCTGTCCAGGTGCCGCCCTGGCCAAGAGCACAAGCAGCTGTGCAGTTGTTGGCATAAGTGACGCCATCACTTCCGCAAACTGGATTGTATTCCCGTGAACACTTGCAAGAAGGCGGTGGTGGAGACCTGCACGCTCCCTCTGTCCATGTGCCGTTAGTCCCTAGCTCACAGGCTGCCATGCACTTGTTGCCATACGTCCTGCCGTCGCTACCACACACGGGTCTATACTCCTTGGTGCAAATACAGGACGCCTTGCATTCGCCCTCCGTCCAGATGCCGTCCTGGCCAAGAGCACAAGCAGCTGTGCAGTTGTTGGCATAAGTGACGCGATCGCTGCCGCAAACTGGGTTGTATTCCCGTGAACACTTGCACGGCTGTGTCTCTGTGTCGTTGCAGCGAATGACACGCTTAGTGGCAGGGTCGACCCATAGAGGCGCACACGGCACCAACAATTGTCCTTGGTACTCGATGCCGGAACAGGCGTTCAAAAAACAGACCGCGTCCGCAGGCAGGCGATTCTGGCACGTACTAGGCCATCGCTGCTCGCACGGGTTATTCGCACATTTAGCGGTGCCGATACACCTGCAGGGGCCAGGGAATACGGGCTTTCGGTGGCAACGCTGGCGGGCATGGTGGGCCCAGGCGACATGGGCGTCCGCACAGCCCCAAGACTTTGTAAGCTTGCTACTGGCAACTCTGCCGATGCGTCTGATCATCCTAGAAGTCGTGTTCCTGCACATCCATATCTACAAGGCAAAGGCTGTTTGTATTGTGATGACTCTTACCCTGCGACCGGATTCAGCTCATGCGGACATCGACCCGGAGTCCATGATCCCTGGCCAAGAAGGCATTCAGCATAGCAGTTGTTTGAATAGGTGTTGTTGTCCTCGCCGCAAACTGGCGTGTAGTCGATCGTGCAGGTACCACAAACTGCCGCGACGCCCGTGCTGACATCGCCGGATAAACCTCCGTCTGAAGGCGCAGCAATTGCACAGTATCGTGAACATGAAAAAAACAACAAAAACGACATAGCACATGGCGTTGGACGGTACATGTCCGGACAACCTTACGCTGTAAGTGAACCACGCTACCTGACGCACGAATACAATGCTGATTACCGTTTCGTGAGGCACAAAATCTTATGAAAATTATTCCAGTACAGTTGAAAAGTCCGGACAGGCGCAAATGCGAAACTTTCGCATAATACTACAATCAGCACAAAGCTCACCTTGCGCAAGCGATCCGGTTATCATGCCATGATATATAGTCAAGAAGGCCACAGCTGCACAAAAGGTTAGACATTTCTCGCCAGCCATAGCACCACCTTAGCAGCGTTGGCACGACCAGTAATTGTGTTTGCTACAATGTCTTTGACGTGATAAAAATGTATTGTCTCCACAGCAACAATGATAATGAGCGATGCAGCAAAGCATACGTGGCCGCCACGATATGGTGGTCTAGACGTATTCTACTGTACACGGTTGAGTAGATACCTGTAATCATACACCTTTGTTCTTAAGGAATAAGTACCCGCTGATGTACGGCAGGTGTAGCTTCCTGTGTGGTATGCTGTACGACGGGAAGCTTCGATAAGAGCATGCTGCAGAAACTATGAGTTCTCATTGTGATAATAAAAAATCATGAAGAAATTACTGTAGTGCTAATGGGGTGCGTGCTGAGTTAGTAATAATTAGAAACAGGAGACTGAATATTGCAGATTGGCCAATTAGGTCAATTCCACGAATTATTCAATCGGTTAAATGAAAACTTCGTAGTGCAGATGATGTCACTCACTTGATGTTGCGCGTCCAAGATCATGTCGTAATCTCTGCTTACGACCACAAAGGTCCGCGGCGACGTATGCACATGCGTATTGTCCATAACCCGGACTGAAGGTGGTCCGGAGGACCGTTCGTGTCGATTCGGGCAAAGTACTAACAGGCGGTAGCATTAAGAATTTACTAGAGGGCAATAAGAAACTACTTAACAACGTCGTAAAAAGGGAAGCTAATGCACTATCATACTAAGCACTTTGCGACCATGCGCTTTGCGTGCCAAGTGGCATTGTTATCGCTGTCTTGTGTTCGACACAACTCGATCTGCGCCCGTTGAAGCAACGCATTGGCTGTTGTAAGTAAAAGCAAATGGATACTCTCCCGTTGAGTATGCTGCACATGCTAGCGTCTATGCACTTGCAGCAAAGCAGATGCAAAGCTGCTCTCGCTTGTCGTCGGGTTCGGCACGGTCTTGCTGTGGATGGGAAGGCTTACAGTGCATGCATAAGGTAGCCTGGAAGCAAGAAGCAGAAGGTAGGCTAGAAGCATAAGGCTGGAAGCGTAACGTAGGCTGGAAGCATACGATAGGCTGGAAGAGGGAAGCTTAAGGCAGGCTGGAAGGACGAAGAAGACAACTGGAGCTTTGCCTAATTAGGACACCGTGCACGTAAACGCCAACACAAAGCAGCATGCAAAGAGAAAAATACCCCAACAACAACAAAGCAGCATGCAAAGAAAAAATAATGTGCAAACAATGGTTGAAATTATGAATTTGGAACTAGCATGGTGATAACCACACTAAAATTCTCTTCAACCTAGTTCGAAAAGCGCGAAGCGCAATGAAGCGAGTGCAGCAGCCTCACGCGGCTACCAGTGCTCACCAGTTTCCCAATAGCAGGGCCGTGAAGCAGCCCAAACATTCTTAATTACGTATAAAACGTACCTTCCACCAAACTCGTCCACACGCCAGGGCATTCTACGTTCGTTTGCAAACCTGCAGAATTGCAGCGCTGGTACCTCACCCCGATGCACATCCAGGTGAATGGTGGAATCATGTCACAGCGGATCCGGGAGGAACCGCCGGCGCGTGCCCGCAACGGTCCGCACTACCCAATACGCCACCCCATGGCTACCACACTGCATCTTCGCAACAAAAGCCAACAAGATGGCACGCTTCAGGACACAGGCTAGGAGGGTTGCAGAGCGGCGCCCCATCCTCGCATCCTGGGACGGGGGTCGGGCACGCATCCTGTCGGTTGGATACATCCTAACCCCCCTCTCGTCGCATCCAAATTGAGGCTCACATCCCCGAATCCCGGTGACGGCACCCCCCCTTCCGCCATCCTCATCTTGGCTGGGGGTGAGTTGGCATCCTAACCCCGGAGCTCATGGGGAGTTATAGGGCAGGCTAGTCATGAGGTGGGAAATGTATCAGCATCAGGTCTATTTCGTTCCAGCACGTCCTAGTCCGCGAGGTATGAGAGTGGGCATGCAAGGCTACTCGACCTACGACATTGCGACCTTCAGAAGTAAAGCTTAGGAATGCCATGGCATTGTTGTGAGATAGCTTCAAAACTCGGCGGGAAGGCACAGCAACGAGACACCTGGAAGACGTGAACGTTACATGTGTGTTTGGTCGTTAGTATACTTCATCACTTGTTTCGTTGGAAGTGCGAGGTAGGATGGTGCTTATAGGCGATTTGGCAGCCCTTGAGCCCTCGGCTCGTACTAGGGTGGTTTGCAGGTACGGGGAACGCACCCACGACCATGTAACAACAACAACAACATTTGAAGTGAGGGTGGTGAAGCCTGTTGGAGGGTTGCAGAGCGATCAGGATGCGGGAGAGGATCGGGCACAGGGTTGCCCGGGCTGAAGTGGGTTGGCTAGCAGCAGGGTGGGCTCAGGAAATGCGCGGTCAGGATATGAACGCGGGAATATCTGGTTGAGGACGTCACGGACTGAGTCCACAGATATGGAAATCTGTATCCGAAGACGAGAATGCGAACCCCGGAGGGAAGGGGGAATTTCGGCGAGCCCGCCAAGGGCCTGTTCAAGCACCGCGCAACACAATCGAGCCAAGCAACGCGCACGCTCATGTAAGCTATCTAACTGGCGACGGCCTACACGAATGCATCCTCCAAAATCCAGTCCCTCACATCCTCCTCATTACAATTCGACGCGCCACCGACTTCTTCATGTAAAGCTGCACAGCGTCCGGTTTCCACCTGCCGTGTTCCTTGATAGCTTTACGCTGATGCCTGCGTTCGTGCTGCCGTTGTCTGACCCCGTCGCACGCTGTGGTCCGTACCATGGCCTCAGTGGCCCAGCTGCCGCAGGACATACAAGACTCCAATGCCATTATCATGACAGTGCCGCAAGCAAAGGGGCTGGAGTTTGATGACGTGCGTGTGGCAGGGCCCGACGAAGTGCGGGGTGGGAGGCGATGTGGGTTCGGCCTTGTGCCGCCACGGATGCAGTAATGCCGTCGCTAGTGTCTTAACCTCGAAGTGGATGAGAACCGGGCTACAGTCTCGTGCCTGTGGGGCGCTTCTGGCCTGAGGTGCTCCAATGTTTCTCCCCGCTCCCTGTCCCTGCCGGCCTGCCTCGTGTGAGGATAATCTGTTTATTCTGCCCCTCTTTTGCAGGTGATTATCGTTGACTTCTTTAACGACTGCGACGCCAACTCCGAATGGCGGGTGCTCCGTGTGGTGACGGGTGGTGTGGGGACAGGGGATGGATATCAGTATGACATGCAGCGCAGGTGAGTGAGTGAGGGTCCAGGTGCATACGTCGCCGCCAAGGCGATGAAGGGATGAAGGCCCTGCCGGATGTACAGCGCAGGTTGCTCGGACGTATCTGTAGAAAGAGAATCAAGCAAATAACCTAAAAATGCTGTCCAGGCAGATGAGTCGTTTTCAACGCCTGAAATGGAGTGTGGCCTTAGGGTTGCCATGCGATCACCCGATGCGGCCACTGGCGTTCGGTGAGCGGTCGTACGTCCTGGCAGCAGCTGACCTAGAATGAAAGTTCGGTAACCGCAACGCCGCCTTGGGTATAATGCTGTTTGGTAAGGAGCACGACGTTGCGGCCGCGTGATGCCTGGCCTCCGCGGCAGAGGCGCTGCGTGAGCACGGCAGCTGGCACCGGCAGCAGCAACTGGCGGAGGGCGCCACAGTCGCAACCGCGGCGGCACGTGAAGGCGTGCTGGCTTGGCTCGTCGAGGCAGTGGAGCAGGCCTACCTCGCTGATAACTTTGAGGTTTTGACGGGACTGTTCGTCCCTGACCGCGCCGCCGATTCAAGCAGACGAAATACAGCGCCGCCGCTGCTGTAATCCAGCAGTCCTGGCGGCAATGGCGGCTGCACCGAAAGAGGAACTCTGCGACCAGCTGCATGAATCTTGTGGCGGAGCGGTGGATGACTAGTGCTCAGTTGTTGGAGCACAAGCGCAGATCCGCGGCTGCTGGCTACATAGCTGCAAATGCCCGTTACACAATGCCGTCCGGTTGCACACCATTGCCCCCCTTGGACAGTGGAGGCCTGGCCGCTGCAATAACTCCCTAGACAGATGCAACGGGCATGTGCCATAACCCCCACGCATCCATCCCTACCGCTGCTGGCTTTGCTTTGGAAACATGCGCTGGGCAACAGGGTTGTGATATGATAGCACTCATGGAGAGGCCAGCCATTGGCTTGGGTCCTACCTAACAATGTATCCACTGACTGTGAAATGAAGTATGGTGCACGTGTCGCCCGGCATGTTTGGACTCGTTTGTCTGTTGGCTTGTTCGTTGGTTGCTTCCACAGGCGCCCGCGCTAAAAAAACAGTGGGCACGTGCGGGCAAGCACGCACGGGGGTCGCAAACAGAACAGGAATCCGGAGGTGGGAAATCGGGAAGTAGGTGTGGATGCCCATCCTGGAACATTCGATAAAATATGCATTCCGGGAAATCATGCTTTTAAATGTTTCCTTTGGCTCCCGCTCATCCCTATCATGATTGCCTGTCGGTGGCCAGGTGGTCTTGGGGGGGATGTGCGGGGTCGTGGGGCTGCCGCCCCACTTCCCCGCACTTTCCCCTCTCTCCTGCCCCTTGTTCTTGGAAAGCTTTAGGCGAAAGTTTTTATCGGCTGGCATTAGCAAGCATGTGGGCTGTGTGCCTTTTCCAATGATTGAAACGGTTTGTTTTCTTGCATTGGTCGTACAGTGCAAATTGCCCACACATTGCTAGTTGTTGCAACAGTAAAGTATAAGCAATTGACGAAGTGTAAGGAGAATGTCAGTATGGAGAATTAAGCATCTAAATTTGTGATTACAGTCGAGGTGAGCCGTTAGTCCCCCCCATTTAAACTGGGCAGGTTGCAGGTTGTCCGCCGTCACCAGCATGTCGTTGGCAGTGTGCACCGCACTGTTGCCTCTGCCACTGCTGCTGCCGTCGGGCATGTTAGACTTAGCGCTGTCAGCACTATCACCGGAGCAGCGGTGGACTTCCCGACTTTCCGCCGCCGCCACTGCTGCTGCTGTCGGGTTGGCAGGCCGTCATTGACCGGGGCTGTGGCATGTGCAGGGACTGCCGTTGACTGCGGGTGTTGCGATGGAAGGGGTGGTGTTGGGGTCGCCGGGGGTGGGGTAGCCACTGGGGTCGGCAGCATGGTGGGCGGTGTGGAGCCGCCGATGGGGTCACTGCCGCTGGGGCAGGCGGGGCTAGTGCCGAAGAGGGTGCCTGCCTGTTGTGAACCGGGCCGTGGCGGTTCACCTCGAAGGTGACGTCGCTGCTCATGGTCACCTTGCCCTCGACGAGGACACGGTGGGTGGCCATGCCGTGCTCCGGTCAGCGGTAGGTTCCCGCCTTTGCACGAGGACTGAGTTTGTCCTGCTGGCTGGCTGGGATGCGGATGTAGGCCAGGCAGCCGAAGGTGTAGAGGTGGCTGACGTCGGGGGGGATGCCATGATAAGCTGCACACGGTGTGGCCTCCCAGCCCTGAGAGGGGACCACATTGCGCAGGAGGTTGGTGTAGAGTGCAGCCTCCAGCCAGTAGCTGACCGGGAGTGCTGTGTCATGCAGCATCACCCACACACGGTCGAAGAGTGTGTGGTTGAGTCGCTCCACCGCTCCGTTCTGCTCTGGGGTGTACAGCGCCGAGTGGGTGTGTGCGGTGCCGTGCTGGCGCAGCCACTGCTCCAGTCGCTTGGCGACGTACTCACCACCGTTGTCGCTGTGCAGTGTGTGCACCCCTGCATGGTTCGGGTGGCGGGCCTCCAGCTGTGTCACCATGTCCTGCAGCACTTCGCCCATTGGCTCTTGCTGGCCAGCGTGCGGACGGCGGACAGACCAGTGGCACCATCCAGCAGCATCAGCAAGTAGCGTGCCCCCCCTCGGCCCATGGTCGGCATGGGCCCACACAGGTCAGAGTGTACGACCTCCAGTGCGTGCTACGGCCAGTTGCCGTGGCTGGGGTGGGCGGTTGCGGTGGCCGTCACAGTGTCACAGGCCTCGCAGACGGCCTCCACCACCTGTCATAGTGCCGCTGGAGTGACCTGTGGTCCCTGCACCAGCTGCTTGCTGATCAGCTGCTTCAGCACGCGGTAACCGAGGTGACCATGTGACCATACTGGCAGTGCAGGCACTGTGCTGCCGCAAGTTCGGTGACGGAGCATTCAGTGGCCCCGGGGCTGCCGTTGCCTGGTTGCCCTTTGCCGTTGCTGTCGCCGTTCAGTTGGCCTCCACCGGTGTGGCTGCCGGCGGTGCTGCCGCCATGGGTGCTGGTGATGGTGGCGGCACTTCTGCCAGCGCTGCTACCTGCAGCCTGGCCCCCGCCAGCTCTGTCACCCATGGTGCTGAGGGCATTGACAGTGACGTCAGTCGGCGCCTGCAGGTCCACATCCATGCATAGTGCCCATGCTCACTCCATGTGGTTATAGACGGGCTGTTGTGCAGGAGGCTGATGCATGAGAACCAGAAGCCCGTCTTGTCCATGCTGAACATGACCGAGTAGCCGCGTGTCATGAGGTCTGTCGACCTCTCACGAGGTTGACAGATGTCAGGGTGAGGCCTGAGCTGGGGACATGCAGCACGTTGTGCAGCCGGACATTGTGTCCATCACGAGTATGCAGGTGCAGCTTCCCTGTTCCCATGACATGTTGCCCCACCCGATTAGCCGTGGCGCGCCGGCGGGGACATGGTTGTGCAGCAGGGAGCGGTCACCCGTGAGGTGGTATGGTGAGCCTGAGTCGAGGGTGACTCGTGAGCTGCTTCCACTGTGGTCGATGACCAGCACTGGGGCACGGCTCTGGTGTGAGCTGCTTCTGCTGCTGCCCGAGCCGCTGCCACTGCTGCCGCCTGCAGTGTCACCACGGTGGCTGTTGCCGCATCGAGCACGGCCACATTCACGTGCTCCGTCGGCCCTGCTGTTACCGCCATTGCCACTGCCAGTGCCCCTGCCGCCACCGTCACGGTGGCGGTTGCAGCTGCCTCAACTGATGTTGCCGGCGGCGTGCAGCTGCTCGAATGTGTTGCTGCGGTGAAGGCCGACGGACTCGTCCACCTGCTTAACGGGACACTCGTGAACATAGTGACCAGGCTGTCTGCAGTAATGACAGGTGTCGCCGGCCCCCACGGTGCCTGCAGCACCAGCGGTGCTGCCGATTCCACTGGCAGCACGGCCAGGGCCGACAGATCCCACCAGGCTGGTCTTGCTTGCTTGGGTCTTAAGGTTGTTCTCCTTCTCATGTAGCATGAGCATGAGCTGTGGGTTCGTTAAGTTGGGCTGATACATTGTGAACTCGATGGTGATGGTGCACTGTGGAGGCAGGCCATGGAGAATGGTGTGGTGCATTGTGCTCTCGTCCCACTGGCCGCCGGCCACAATTATATTGCTACAGAGCTGCTCTGCCTGCTGAATGAAGTCAGTGGTTGTCTTCCCATCGCGCATGCTCAGCTGCTTCTGCGGCTCCAACAGGCTCAGCCGGGCCTGGGATGCAGAACGCAACTGTCGCTGTAAGAGCTGCACGGCAGTGAGAGTGGTCTGGCAATTCCTGAGCAACTGCTTGATGGGCAGTTCAGAGGACAGATGCAGGTAGCCGAGCGCCTGTGCGTCCTCCTCCAGGGTGTCTTGGGTGTTGCGGCCCGGAGGCGACGGGTGTTGATGTAGTCTTCAACATGGATGTTGCAAGGAAATCGCCTTAGTCGCCGAGCCACTGGGAGTAGTTCGACCCATCCGAGAGGAGGACACCCTTACATCCCTTCCCCATGATGGTTGCCTAGCGAGCATGACTGATCAAGCCGCGTTCCCCGCCGCCTTTCTGGGAACTAGTTGATGGTATGATGCATCGTTGTTGCAGCATACGATGGCTCCTGATGCGATTTATGCCCTTTCAGCCTCCCAGGCATGTCCCCACTTGCCTCACAGCCACCGACACATCTCACGGCGTTAATTGTGTGCGTGTTGGATGCAGCGTTCCCCGCCACATTTCGGCAAATAGTTGATGGTGTCATACATCGTTGGCACGGTGTAAGACGGTGCCTGATGCGATTTATGCGTCTGGAAGCCCTTTCAGCCTCCCAGGCATGTCCCCACAACTGCCTCACAGCCAGCGGGGTTCTAATTGCGTGCGTGTTCGCATGCGGCATATGTCCCGCCACCTTTCTGGCATCTGTTGATGGTATGATGAATCGTTGTGCGATGTAAGGCTGCGCCTGATGCGATCTCGTTTGCAGAAGGGCCCCCTGAGTGCTGCCAAGCATGTTATTCTCGTATGAGAATGCGTGAAGGTTACTGAACTGAGTATGCCACCAACACATAAAACATCGCATGTGAATTGTTATGTCATGCGATTAATCAAAGTACATCGTGTGTGTTTGGTGTGTGTTTGGTGTGTGTCTGCTGTGTGTCTGCTGTGTGTTTGGTGTGTTAGGCCGCAGTAAACTTGACGCAACGAGCCTTCATACGCTTGAAATGCAACATTTGTTTGCATGTGAATTGCGTTGCGACATGTGTGTGTTTGGTGTGTGTTAGGCCGCGTTAAGCTTTATGCAATCAGCCTTCATACGCATGGAACGAAGCCAAACTAACCTTACAAATTGTGAAAAGAAGAAGTCATATGTAATACACAGGTTTTCATGAGTAGTTGCCTTACCGCTTATAGACGTGAGTCGGGCTTGGGTACCTGCGAGCAGAAGAGTGTGCTTGCTTCCGTGGGAGGAGGCGAGCCTGGTTACCGACTGCGCTATCTGCCGCGGGGCGGTGTAATGGGCAGACGACGCAGTGGAAACCTGTCAGTACTGACTATATTAACTCGCGAAATTGCTCTTTCCGTCGCGCTCTCCGCGACTTGCCCTACTTTCTCACCAGTACGGCCCCGCCGTACCACCAACGAACAGCCGAGTACGCTCTCGGCAAATACACAGAAAACCTTGGTTTTCTTTCGTTACTCTCAGAAAACCTACAGATTTGCAATTTATGTACTGGGCTAAATACTGGCTGAACAGCGACGCAGATCGGTCGTGCGATGATGCCGTGCGAAATCTTGCCGCCGCCGAAAAGTGCGTAACAGCACTACCTACATTTTCGCTTTCATGACATTGTAAATTTGCATTTGATTAAGTTGGTTCACCACTTTTGGCAGGCAAAATGGACGCAGACGCGGAACACAGTGCTTTACCACACAGCATCAAGCACGCTACAAGGCGAAAGATCAATATGCTGTCATATACAAGAAATTGTTGCAGATTCCGCTTAGCAGGTAGAGCCAGTGACGGATAGATTTCGCTTTAGGCCGTACGACTTGAGGGCCTTGTTCATGGGCCTTCTTCCCTATAGAGACTGTACGGCATCATTGGCCTTCTTCCCTATAGAGACTGTACGGCAGTATCATTTTTTACCTAAGAGGTTACCTTTTTAGAGTTAGAAATAAAGGAAGAATCATTTTTTACCTAAGAGTTACAGCTTTTCAAAAAGAACTAACAGCAACTACTACTATTATAAATTTTTGGCCGATCATTGGCGAGCGCAATAATGAGCGGTAGCAACTATGCGTTCCACTGCTGCGAAGGCTTTCTTCCTAAATAAATAACTTACTGCCGTGCACAAGAGTTACTGGCAGCTTCAGACTGTATGCTTGGGGTACTGGACTTTTAGAGGCTGGTCAGCCTCCACCGCTGTACGGTAAGGAGTCCAGGAGCTGAATCCGACGGCGCCAGTGAAGGTCACAAGCAAGTCATGTTGCACGAGTCATGTTATCCCCCGGTGTTACTGCGCCCTACCAAGGCACGCCTCTTGGGTGCACCCATTCGAGTCCGTGCCATCCAGCGGGACCCCCAAAGCTATCTTATCAGTGCTGTCGCTGCCGCAATGTGTGCAGCGCTGCCTCCGCCACCAGGGAAACCGTCAGCACGGCCACCTGTGTAGTGTCGTCGCTATCGTCTAGTATTTCCACACGTTCCTGCGGAAGGGACGGTTGCACGTGCCCAAAGGATGGTCAAGCAGGACATGGCCTTGTGCAGGACATGGCCTTGTGCAGGACATGGGCTTGCACCGAAGCGTGATGTGACCTGACTACGTTGCCTATCCCCTGTCGTTAAAAAAACCCTTTTCACGAATACCGCAGCAATTCAGCGTACCTGCATCAAGTCGCCCCGTCGACCAGACCAGATGTCGGCAAGCGGCAGCATGCAAGAACCCAGGGTCTGCGGTAACAGGGATTGAAACGGGCGAAGGGTAACGGCAAGGGACTGGCTTCCACGGTGGCCATCAATGGAGTATGCAATGGAACAGAGCTTTTCCATGTGACCGCAAACCGGTTCCTTTGATACTTAGCAAGCACAGGGGCTGGTCCTAAACTGGCTATCATTGCTCATCCTCATCCTCATTTCCTGTCGCTTTGTCACTTTGGCTGCGGTTTTCGTGGTCGTCATCACTGCATCATCCCGGGGTCGGCTCCTTCAAAACCGCCTACTGGTCAGTTCTGCTTCTTGTACACTCTTTCCTTGGCAGCAGCTTCACTCGTTCGTGGTTCGTCCTTCCCCCAACCCCTTCTGCTGGTCGTAAGTACCCACCGCACTACGACTAACCCACCCATACTCTAAACTGCCGTGCGCTACCATATCGCAGTGTGCCACCTCCACCAGCAAAACCCGCTACACCACGCCGCACCTGCAATGTGCCCGGCTGCGCGATGCTGTTCATGTCCAGACGTGAGGCGGCTGTGCTCATGAGCTTAACCTCTAACATGAAATCATCGCCGCCGGCCAGGGCGTCAAGCAGCTCTGACGGGGCGGCACCAGCCTGCAAGTGCAAGTACAAACCAATCAGCTTTTTCCTAAGTATCTCCAAGGCTAACACGCCGTCGTGCACCAGATGCAAACGATAAAAGAGCTCCATTCAGATGAAAGCCTGTCCCGCCCTCCCCGAATTCCGCTATTGGTAACCTTTCTTGCGTATTATATGTTGGGCATCCCCACCCTTGCCGGCTCGACCGTAGCGTACCAGCACATTATACGAGACGCAATAGCCGATCTGCAACTGCCCCGGCCCCTTGGCCACCGGCTGTGTGCAGGTGTCGAGCTCGCTAATACCCTCCTGTTCACTGAGTAGAGAGTGCATGAGCACCACATTGCGCAGTCGCGGATTTCGCAGGGCCTGGGGAACAAAGGTCGGATATCCCACAGATAGGGTCGTTTAACGAACAAAGAGGCGACAGGCAAAATGACAGACTCGCATGCCAGCAACAAGCGGCTATGCACAGGACAAAGGGCCAGGAAAGGCGGATTGGACAGGCCAGGGCAGGCCAGGGCAGGCTTGACGCCATAAGGGGCTTGGCGCAGTCCTAGAAGCCCGTCTTACAGGGGAAAGACTGTAACCAGCATCCGAACAATACCTACCTGCGGCGTGAGCTCCAGGGCGTGCAGGCACAGCACCAAGCGGTGGTCGAGCTCGCTCCATGCAGCTGGGTCGGGCAGCTCCCGCCGCAGCACAGGCCCCAGCAGAGCGTCCTGCGACAGCGGCCCCGCGTTCGGCTGCTGCAGCTGGGTGTAAGGCGCGGCAGACGACTCCAGCGACACCTGGGTATCGGCGTAACGGCGCTGCCCGTTGTTGCCGCTGCCACTGCCGCGTCCCGACAGGATCATGCCATCTGCGCACAAGATGAGCCGGGATCCGGCAAGGAGGAGAAGAACGTGCCACATGTCTTATTTTGTTTCGCGCTCAGCACAACCCGCAGGTATATTAGGAGAGGTATAGCCGTACAGCTGCCGTGCCTACGTACAGGTACTGTGCCTTTCCATATGAGCCGTGACCAGAACTGGAATGACAACCGACCGGAGCCCCGCATAGATCGGTCTGTCGCTGTACATACATGATAGTATAACCTAAATCCAACACCGTTGCCGATGATCGACGATGCCAGACCAAAAGGGTTCTGGGTTCAGAGGCACAGCGAGTGGTGCCAGGCTCATGCTGGTCGAGACCTACGCAGGCCATGTACTGCCGCAGCGCATCACACTGCTGTTGCAGTATCCTTGACAGCAGCGCTGGGACCATGGTATTCCCCAACGTCAGGGACTTACGCGGGGGTGAGCCGGATGTCCCGGCATCCTCCAGCTCGGCACCCAGACCGAAGCCCTCGTCCACCGGTTGCTGTCGGGACAGCTGTGACCATGCTCCCGGGATTGGAACCTCGCGCTGGGACCTACTCGGAAAGTCCAGGGTGCAGCAGTATCAGCATTGCAAGGAAAAACAGCATTGCACAGGGGCGAAAGCCATCGCCTCTGACAGGATTGGATACGTGCAGTGAAAGGAGGAAACACTGAAAGATCATCAATAGATAGACAGTGCAACTATTACAATTGTGCGGTTTATTTGCGTAATCAGGGAAATAGCGCTTACCCAGCCTCTGCATCAAGACCGAACGTTTCCTCGCTCTGGCCCCGCCGACCACCCGTCAGGCTGCCCGGGCGACCGGCCGGCGGAGGTGGCGACCCCACAGGCAGCGGTGGCCGGCCCCAACTGCCTGTTCGTGGAAGCCCTGAATGCCCTGCTGGCTGCGGTGCCGCGGAAGGAGCTGCCGTCATCTCGGCGCCCAAACCGTATTCGGACGGGGTCCGGCTAGTGAAGCCCGAGGATGGCGGTCCCCCCGAGCCCTGTCTGTACGGAGATTGCTGCCTGTACGGCGACGGCTGGAGTCCCCGGGGCTGCTGGTGTTGTGAGTAACCAGTAGACCGCGTGTCTGCATCCAAACCGAACTCCTGATCGTGGGGCGGAGCCCCCAGGTATGGCGTCGGCGGTTGTTGATTCAGCTGCTGCTGATGCTGCGAAGCAGTCTCCACTGCAAGGCCAAAGCCACTGAAGTCCGCCCCGCGCTGTGGCTGTGGCCTTAGGGGCGACTGTGCGCTATTGCCATAACCTGACCGCTGTTGCGGCTGTAAGTGTTGCTCGGCGGCCAGGCCGTATCCCTGGCTCGATACAGCTCTAGATCCGGTAGAGCCTGGCGGATTAAGCGAGGGACGCCATTACTGTCAACAGGAGGAAGCAGGCAACGAGCCTCAAGAGATTTGGGATAAGGCAAGGTTCATACTAGGCGATACATCGCCTGCAGGCTTTAGGGCGATACGGCATGGTGAGCACGCCACGCAACATAAGGCCGCGGATAGCCCACACTTGAACTGTGAAACATTTGGATACACATGCGAGGTGTTAGACCCTCTAGAGCTGCGATACGGGACGAGGTGTTCACATGTGGCAGCGATTCGCCGTTGATACACATGCAGGGCCTTGCAAGCGAATACTTACCGAGCTCAGCAGCGAGGCTACGGTTTTCGTACTGCCGCGGCAGCACTGATGGCGGCTGGTGACCTGGAAGGAGGCCAGACCCGGGGTTTGCCACTCTGACGCCCATGCGGCCACCGAATCCGCCCGGAGGCAACCCGCCAGACACTGGCAACAATTCCTGAGGGATAACAGACAGCAGGCAGGGCCGCAGCAAGGTGCGCGGCATGGTTAAAGAGGCACGGGCAGGGCTTTTAGAGCCCAACGAGTTGGTGTACGGTTTAGACGGAAAGGATGCTGTAACGTTTGGATGGGTTCCGGAGGGGTTTCAGTGGTGGCTGGCTCCAGGAGGAAAACAGAGCAACGACTTGAGGGCGACATGCAGCTCTGGCAACTCGGCCGAGTTATATGCGGCCCAGGTACTCAGCCGTGGGCCCAGGCACCTGTTGAAACAAGCGCGGCCCTTTTGAAAACTATCTACTCATGAATGGTAGGTAATGCACGCAGAAATCACGCCATGTGCGAGCACCGCTGGAACACCCAATACATCCTCACATACCTTCGCGTCGTGCGGCAGTCCAAAATCGTGCGCCGATTCGCCATCCTGGACCTCGCTGCTGATGGGAACCCGTGGCGGTGGGACTGCGGCAGGCGCAAGAGGGGCATTGGATGGCAGCTGATAGCAGCGGACGCCAGCGAGGCAATGAGTGGTGTTGCACGCGCACCGAAGTTGCATTGCACGTGCATGGGCAGATGAGCACTCCCCCTACCCCAGGGGCTCTGGCTGAAAGAACAGAGACGTCACCCGCAGCGGTTGAAAGGGAATTGCCATGTGTAAGGTGTTAGCAGCCAGGCCCCAGACCTGCTGCATCCGCATGAGTCACCCAACCCTCATAGGCAAGCTGCACTGCGGCCACCCAGACACGTGTGCGTCCGCCTTGCTGCGCGGCTTCCCTGACACGTTTTTGGTACCTCTGGGGGTCGCCCCGGGCAGTTGTAGCGGATTGTGCCAGCCCAAGCCTAAAACCATGCGCCCAGCAGGCTTGCGGTTGACGGGGTTGGTCAGCTTGAAGGCGCCCTCCACAGGGATGCCACTCGCCAGGCTGGCCATGGGAATGGACGCCACACCGACGATGGCCCGCAGCGGATCATCGCCCTGGGGCCATCCAAGGGAGAAGAAGGTTGGGCCGGGGGTACGGTGGGACAGACCTACGGGTCAACCACGGCCAGGCTACAGCCCGGATGTACCCATGTACCCATGCAGCGGAGAGAAAGATGTATCGGGCCGCCTTTCATATGCATTTGACTTGAAGCCCATTGCATCCCACGCCCATGCTTCCACACGCATAAACGTGTGTGTGTGTGTTACACCTCGGTTGCGTTACCCAGAGAGCTGTAAGGAGCCCATACGAGCCAGAGGCCCACTCATAAACGTATTACGCCCCGATAGTTTGATGCAATATTTGTTCCGCCGTCAAGCTGGTCAAGCGTCCGCGGCTGAGGTGGGATTAGGCCGGCAACGATACCCAAGGCGTTCACGACATACATATTCACCCCACAATCACCCGAACGTTCACCTGCGCATCATCGAAGACCACCACGGACAAGTGGCGCCTAAGCAAATCGGCCTCCAACTCGGGAGTGCGAGTGATGGGCCACACGGCCTCGTCGTTGAAGACAGGGCTGGTGCCTGCCAGGATGCGAGTGTCGTGGTAGTCGCGGGTCCCTGGGAACCTGTGAACGACGGGCACGTAAAGAGAACCAGCCAGATATCAAACAGGTACACGGCATGATGATCATGGTCGAGGCACCCATCACATCAACGAGCGTGGGGAAGGTACGGGCCAGCTGGCATATCCTGTATCTGTGGCGTAGTATTGCGGGTCGGCACGCATGATTCAATGCAGCACACCCGCACGGAAATTGAAGGATTAAGTGTTTAGGCTTGTGGGGCATTATGACAGTAGTTGCGGTGTGGGAGGCGATTTACGGTCCCTGCACTGCTCGGCATGGCACCCACCTATAATGGACGTAGGGCTTGATCGTGAGCGCCGTTCCCCCCGCCGGCACAAGCTGCTCGCAGCGCTCAATGATGACCTTTATGCACGAGTTGTTGCCGGGCTGAGAGAGTGCCTACAGGTGCAAGACGAGGACAGGGCCACCCGGGGGTACAGCTTGAGTGCAGCTTCCCAGTCCAAAGCCTCAGCAGGTCAGGTTTACGTCCAGATTAAGTACACCTGTCCCTCTTCGTCTCCACTTCGTTACCCAGAATCCAGAACAAGCTGGACACCCCCTCCTCGGGCCCGTCATTCCTTGTATTCTCCTTTCCCCTTTTTCCGGCGCCCACCAGCTGCACTGCCTGCGTGGCCGGGTCGCGCTCATCGGGGTCGGAAGGCCGCTTGGTGCGGGCCTGCACCCGGTACTCCTTGAGCAACGAATCCAGCGGGCGACGGAAGCAATAGCCATAGCGCACGCGGCCGAGCCGCTTGCCATCGGCGCCGAAGACGTCCGCGTAGTGGTAGGCACGGTTGTACCCCAAGGCTGCAACCAGGCACAGGATTAAGCACCCACCGGCCGGGCAGAAGAAGCTCAAAAAAGCGGGGCGGGGTAAGGAGGAAAGCAAGGTCATTCCCCACGCACCCATCTACTCATCCCTCGCCCATTCCGCTTTGCGCCCACCTGCGCCGATCTCCAGGTCCTCCAGCACCTGTAGCAGGGAAAAGCAATACATCGTGACGGTAACAACCAATTGAAGGTCCTCCGGTCACAACAAGCTGGGCAAGCATTTTAGCCTAAGCTGAGGTCAGCCCTAGCATTCGACATGTAAGTCCCCGTCGCGGATGTCCTGCCGACCTGCAGGGAGCCCGTCCACGGCTTCTACGCCTTTCAGTTCCAGCGGTCAAAACCGCTTTCCTGCCGGCGCAACAACATTTACTCGAACCGCGACACGACATGACCGTGTGCAGCCTATGCGCAACCGTAACCATTTTCTTAAACATGGAAGTTGAGATGCACGCCCTCCATGGTCTGGCCCCCGACCGGGCACGGACTCCCAGGGACGCACGGCAAGCCAGCGCACCTGCCGCAGCGGCAGCCGTGCCATGCCCAGAACGTCGTAGTCATACCCGCGCGCGCGGCACAGATCCAACACCAGGACGTGCGTGTCCATGTACTCGAGCAGGAAGGGATCGTTGTCAACAACGTACTGGATGATGGTATTAAAGGAGGGACTGTTGGAGGCCATGATGGGCGTGGCTTGCGTCTCATGCATGAAGAAGTCGAAGGTGAAGAACACGGAGGGGTCCTTGCCGAGAGCCTCCTCCTGCGACGCGGTAGGACGGTTGGCGATTAGCGAAAGTGATCCAACCATGCGACAGATGTTTTCCACCATGTTTGTCTCATTTCACACGCATCCAAGGTTGCACAAAGCCAGATCACAAACCATCTAGGCCCAAAGCAGCGCGTTCAAGTGCAAACCCCGTCACTCACATTTACTTGCGCCTCGGTGATGTGCAGTTCAAAGATGTTCTGGTCCTCGCCGATCTCGCTGAAATCATCTGTGTCGGAGCGCAGCGAGTCGCGCAACTCGCCCGTGCCGACCCCGCCACGTCGGCTGGACCGCAGTGCACGGTTGATACCACTGTAGGCGCCACGCAGTTGCAGCTCCAGTTTGCGGATTTTCTCGTCCCGTCGCTCGATCTCACGCTACATGACAGTTAGGAAGGTGCATCGGGGAAGGTTGGTAGCGGCCTGGCAGCCAAAGGCTACTTTGACGCTCAAGGGATACATGTTCATGATACTGCACGCTGGCCTAACTCAGTCCAACTCTCCCACCTCAAGCTTCTTAAGGTCCGCCTGCAGCTCCCGCTTGACGCGCTCGAGCTCTCGGTGAGCCTCCTCCAACGCCGCTTTGGCCTCCATGGTTATCGCGGACTCGGTTTCCAGCACCTGCACACAGGGAAGGGACAGCAATCATTGCGGTGCGGAACCTGGGGTTGGTCGGACACAGGGAAATGGCCATATCGTGAGGAATCTACGCAATCATGCTATGCCAGTAATACACTCGGTGAGGCATCCTCTGCATGCTCCTGCTGCTCCTCCATTCTCCCTTAGACGCGCCTTATGCAGCTTTTTGATCTCGCCCTGGTCCAGGCGCCACACGTCCCGCAGCTGCATCAGCTCGCGTCGCAGTTCCTCCGGCGTCTTGTCCGAGTCGGGCCGCTTGTCGCTACCGAATAGGAGGTCTACGCGCGCAATAGGAGGTCTACGTAATCAAGGACGTAGTGGCAAAGATATGACGGCGCTAAAGACGGCACGGACAGTGGAACGCGGCCGATAACCGGCCGTGGCAAGGAACAATGGCCCCAACAGGCTTGGATGCATGCGTGAGGAGGTCAGGCAGCATGTCTTCACTACCGGGGAACCGTTATCCGGACGTTCATCCGATTGACGGGTTGCCATTGGTGCATCACCAGCACCGCGTTGCCGCCGGAATCCGCATCTCACCGTCGTCCTCCAGGAGCAAATCCGCATTTGCGCTGTTGGGCAGGGCTGTCCTGCGCGGCGAGTTGCAAACAAATGTTGTATTCAGCATTGGCCAATCACAGGCACCATCCTCATCGCAGCTGCCAAGAAGCAATATTAGTAAGGAGTGTAGACCCCCTGCATTAAAGACGTCCAAGGTTAGACAGGAAAATTACACACGCGTAGGACCGCTTCTGCTCCCTGGTCCAATGGCCGCTGCGTTGTACCCGTATTACGGTATGTACGGCTGATAACTTGACGGACAAGCGGCTCCGCGCCGCCTGTGAATACCGGTTTCACAGCCAGGCCTCAAAACATTGGCATCCGCAAGAGCATTGCCTCCTGAGAAAGCTCTCCTTCCAGCCTGGGCGGATAAAAAGCCATCTTCCCGGCGTGCCGCGGGACCGCGGAAACCCCCTTTGCCAGTGCCAAGATCGCACCTGACACCCTACATTAACCCCTCCGAGGCACCCAACCAAGGTTGGCTTACCGCATATACACCGCTAGCTTGTCCCTCGCAGCCTGCAGCTCCAGCGTTAGAGACGCAATCCGTTTCTTGAGCGTATCGCTTTCTCCCTGCATGGTGCGATAGGACTCCAGGTTCATGCCGTCCAGCAGCGCCCGCACGTGGCTTAGCTCCAGGCGGACCTGATGGGCCAACCAGGAATAAGAACACGTTAGACTGAGGCGGGGACGCGGACCTGGAAAGGATATGAGATTAAGGCGTAAGCAGGGTGGTAATGAGGGAGAACAAGGAAGCTGGGAAAATGGACACGTTTAAGGTAGGGCGGGACATGGAGAAGGGCGGTTGCCGTCGCATGGTTACATCCACTCTACCTGGCTCTGACCTGGAACATGGACGAGGGGTAGAATCGCTGGGCCGGCCACAGCTCGTACTGGATGGGTGAAACTCGTGCCGGCTTGCTCACGCACGACTCAAATGCCCCTCCGTCAGCGCTTTTACATAACCCAGACCACCAAAGTAGCCCAAGCACCAGCACAACCCAAGCACCAGGCCAACGGAGTACCCATAAAAAACCTCACCTCCGCCTCCTTCTGCTGCGCCGTGGCCTTCTCGCGCTTCACCGCAAACAGCTCCTCACGAAGAGCTCGCACTTCCGCCAGCGCCTCGCCCGGTGCGTTAAGAGCCTTTTGCTGCAGTGCGAGGTACTCCCGCTCCAGCTTGACCCGCTCGCCCCTGCGACCGGAAGTCACCAAGAACTAGTGATCGGCTAGGCATTTAACCAAAGGCGCCCCCATGCGAACATTAGGAGGGGGGACGGGTGCATGGTGTATATACTAACACCAAATGACACCAATAAATGCCCACGGATTAGTGGGAATAACGGCACGTTAGGCGAGCATAAGTAAATGATCCTTACCAATGATCAGACTTCTCCATCCGCGCAACACCATGGCACGCGCAGCACACAGCTGCATTGAGCACACGGGTATTCCCTGACCCTTTACCATCTCCCTAAAAACACAAAGCTGCTCACTTCTCGTGTGCCAGTCGCGCCTCGAGGTCCCCCAGCCGCATGAGCTCCACGTTCAGCCGGGTAATCTCGTCCTCCAACCTGCGGGGAAGGACAGCGCATAGCAAGCGTACGCAGACGCTCTCCCGCAGGACTACAGACTTCAAACCCACGTCAGGTTTGCGTTCACGTGCGGCCTAGCTGTACAGCGGTTCATCGAGGCTCTGCGTTTTGCGGCCTTTCCCGCGGACATTGACCACCAGGCAATTTTCAACCCAGCTATCCCTGGCCCCGCCGCTGCAGTTACCGCCCTTCGGTCTATACACGATAACCCCTTGGCCCCGGGGCCCCATGCGCACTTAAAACGCTTGCGGTGTTCTTCGTGGAGCAGCTTGTGCGTCTCGTCCAGCTGCGCCTGCATGCGCGCGTACATAAGACGGATGTTGTCCAGCTCGCCCTTGTGCTCCATAAACCTGATTCGCAGCATCGTGGCAACGGAGTGCAACGGAACATATCGAAACCACCAGTTATTTGGGGTTTTTCGCGGCAAGAACTCATTAACCACATGTGGATTTGCAGGCAGACAATCGTGCAGTCGCAATGCCGCTGCGATGGCACTCTCCCCGCCTCATGCTTGTTGCTAAAAATGGGGCGACGAAATGGGTCAGACAACAAGGCTGCGTTGGCATGAAGGCAGCCAGCCTGCTTTGCACCTCTTCTTAAACGTAGACGCAATCTCCCAGGCCTTCTGCAGCTGTTCGTCGCCGGCAGCCCCCTCCAGGTTGCCGAGCACATCAATCCGCATGAAGTCGCGTTCTAGCTCCTCGATGCGGGCCTTGTATAGCGCCACGTCACGCTGCAGCTCGTCAAGCTGCGAAACCACGTGGTTAGGGGCGAGGGTTAGCAGTTATCCACACAAACGTCAAAGCTGCCGGAATGCAGATTTGCAAAGCAGCGTCACAGGTGCACTCGGCAGTAGGCTAGGCGGTGTGCATATAACTTAGCGTTATAAGCCTTCCGGCAACCCGCGGCGCGACCTCACCTTCTTGTTACCGTCTTCAAGCTCCGCGTTGCGCCTGTTAGCATCGCGCAGCTCAGTCTGCAGCGGACGGTAGATCGCATGGACCATTGGGCAGGTGGTCTGGTGTTAACATCGCAGGGCGGACAATCGTGGCAGTATATTGAAGAGACAATAGCGGGCATGGCATAACAGCGGCCCACGGACCTTGGAGGTCATTGTGACATCCTTTCACCTGCACACGCCTGAACGTTCCGCCTATACATCATCAAAGTTCGCCAGGCAGTGTGTTCATGCAAGTCACAGGCGTGCCTGCTCACAGCACCGCAACGGAAGCTTTAATCTAACGCCATATTCTGGCCGACGCGCAGTTGCCGGTTCCAGTTGCCCCCAACAACTGCAACTCCACGCCATGCAAGCAGTTCACCTCGAGCTGCGTCATCCTCTCGCGCATCCACGTCTCCTTCATGCCAGCACCGCCTCCCGTGGAGCGCAAGCTGGGCCTCAGGCCGTGCGCTGATGCAATGGTCCCACCGCGTGGCTTGGTTGGGGACACCGTCCTGTTAGGATGGCGTTGGTGAGGTTAGGGCCCATGGGCTGTCGCGGCATACCTATACAGGCTTCACCAGCGACACGAAGGCAACAAGGGCAAAAAGCGTTCCGCCGATCACTTATCGTTGCGTGGACAAGCTGCGGAAGGCTGTTTCGTGTATACATGGAGGTGAAAGGTGTACACACATGGAGAGGAAAGCGTGTACCTACCGCGGCGGTGACCTGAGGGGTGAGGAGGTCCGAATAACGCCCCCCAACCCCGGCCCGACGCGGAAGATCCGGACCAGCTCCATCGCCTGGTACAACTCGTCGAACGTGACACGGCTGTCGCCTACAACGTCCCACTGCTGGAGCCTGGCCAGCAAGTAGCGCACCTCCTTCTGGTACATATCTGTTGATTGGAGCAATTGGGAAGGCATAGCAGGGATGGGTCAACCTGACAAGGAAACAGGGCAGTCGTGGGTTAGGCCGAGTCCAGCTGCGCTGTGGTTTGAAGAGGGGCAATATCGCCGCGTGGCCGCCTCCTATACGTGCCAAGGTTCCTTGCCTTTCACTCGGTTGGTCCATTCGGATGGCGGAGCTGCCCATTCAGCATATACAAGCTGCACCTTTATGCCAGCGGCCACTCAGTGAACAGGCATGCCGGGCTACCTCGCTAAATGCAAAGCACTCCCGATGGCCGGACTCAAACGGAGGTTCCGGACATTGGACCGGAAAGGCTTGAACGCACTGCTAACGCTATCGCAATACCAGTGCATGCCAGAGCGGGATGGGGACAGACACACTCGTTTATGGTGTTCTAAAGCATAAGCGGTAAAGGCCCACTCCCAGGGGCGCTTACCTTTTAGGAAGCGGCGCACAAGGCGCACAACCTCCATGTGGGTCAGGCAGCCATCCTTGTCCGTATCAAGCTCATCAAAGGATTCCTTGATAGCCTGCAAAAGAGCAACAGGCGACGGAGTGACACACGGCAGCCATTTCCACGCCAATATGCTCACGCTCAATGGCTGCGCGCTCCTTTGCTCCAACGATGCAGCACGGCAAGACAGGGCGAAAGTGGCTGGGGCTGCGATCCACACGTGCCAGGCGGCCGTGGTCACTCGGCAAATCGTGCGGCACAGCCCCCACATAGGTTGCGCGGACGCCATTACGCCATATCATAGTACTGCCCTGTCCTTGGTTGCCACAGTGCTACAGCACTACTGCGTTAATTGCGGTGCCTCGGGGCGTGTTCCGCACCTGTTTGTTCTCCCGAAGTGTATCCCGGATGCGGTCCAGCGCGTCATTTACCTCGACGCTCTTGCCCAGCTTAGCAGCGGTACCTAGGGCACCGGTGTGGGGAGGGCGGGAAAGCGGGCGGGCAGACATCTGTTCGCAGCGCGACTTTGAGGCATCTAAACAGCGCTGGTACAGAGGCGAAATGCTTCCCAGAAGCGTCCCTGACACTGGCTCGTTCACGCATTGCAAGATGGTTCAAAAGCTGGTCCGCCAACCCTTTACATAGTTACTCTATAGATCTAGAAGCAAACGGGCACGCTGGAAGATTCATTCTGTTGACTCACGGGCCGCATACGCTTCCTTAATGCACTCCAGCATTTCCTCCAGCGTAATGAGTCCGTCGCCGTCCACGTCCAGCATCGTTCTTAGTTCGGCCACTTGGCTGCATGCGTGGTTCCGCAAAAAATCGATCCTTTATAGGGCCCTGGATCCCGCTGGACTCTACCAGCTTTCGAATTTAGCACCAAGGCAAGGGCGCTGCTGGCGCAACTGTACTGTGCCCGGCAGGCTGCCCGATGACAAGCAAATTCCTTCGTCGATGCCACACACTCTCCCGCTTCTTGGAGGCCCCAACAGATGCGCACCGGACGAGTCGGCTCATTGGCCTGTCATGCCACCTACCTCATGCTTAGGTCAGGCATAAGCGTCTGCAGGAGCCTTGCTAGCTCGCGGCGATCCAGCTGACCACTGTTGTCCAGGTCAAACTGCGTAAAAACTTCCTGGCGGAACAAGACGGCCCGATGCAGGGAGGGAGGGTCGACATGCCGCCCGCTGGATCGAGATGCGGTCGCGGTTTGGCTTCAAGTGGGGACCAGCGGGGCGTGCATGCGAAAATGCTCGCAACATGAATCCATTCGACTTGACGCTGTAAAGCCGGGGCGCCAGATGGTTAATATAGTCGTGGCGTGCCATGCCGATATCAAATGCGTCGGCAACGTTCCACACCCTGGTGGAAATGAATCTGAGTTGCGGCAAACCAAACAGGATTCGGATGCGGCTGATGCCCAGGCAATACGAGGCTAAATATGAGGAAACTTAGCCGGAGTATTCCCAAGGCTGCAAAGTGTGGGGACGAGTAAACAACGGCCACGACAGGCGACACGACTTTGGAATGCTTCGCATACCTGCAAACGGGCGGCATTGTTGGTCAGGAAGGCGTCCAGCGTCCCCAGGAAGCGCTCCATGCCGTTGTGGACGCCCATCTTGATATCCTTGTTGATGCGTATCCCTATCAGGACAGATGTGCGGGCACAGATGGACGGATGCAGTCTCATAGTCTGACTTCCAGAAACACCATGCTTGCCCTTACGTGCTGTGCTGGCCTCGCTGCGTTCGCCCTAAGCGCACAACCCACAGTCAAAAAATAATGGGCTTACCTGGAGACCCACCGCATGCTTGTACAGAGAAGCAAAACCGCAGTATTGCAGCTGAGGGTTACATTCCAGGTCTGACATCGCCGTGTCACGCTGCACCAAACTACGTTGGTCCTTGGTGCCAGGCTTTACGGTGGCCATAACTCGTCCCCATCCCCACACGAAGACACTCTTTCTCTGCTTGCCAGTACCCTTCAAGCTGCGTCCCCGCCTTAGCAGCGCAGACCGCAATGGAAACTCAGGGCTGTCGCCACATGGCGGCAACAGACATACCTACCTATCGGCTTGGGCCAGTTGTTATCTCCGGGCACAGTGAAGAGCTTGCCGTTCTTGCGGTCCAGCAGATGCATCTCATCATTGTGCCAAAACTCCTCAAGCACCCAGTCATCCGGGCCGGGCTGGTTGTCGGGACCGCCAAGCGCCTGCACAAACTCACGCAAAAGACGGGTGTGAACGTGTGTGCGGCAACGATTGCCGAGCAGCCACATTTCTTCCACACCCTGTTACGGCTACACCTTGTGTGCGCGTTGCTACCGGTTGCCGTGTGACTAGCTGAATCCAAAGCGTGTTGCTCAATCTTCCCGACACTCTTCATCCTCACCTCTGGCCCAATCAACCCAGCCTCCGCCAAGCTGGTAAGCTTCCGCTCGTAGAATCTGATCAGATTCTGCAGCTCGTTAATTTGGCCTTCATACGCTTTGCACTGCGCCAGCGGGCCATCTGCACCGCGCGGGGCAGAATCAGCTCGGGCAGGTTCATGCGCGGTGTTCACGCAGCAGAGTCCTATGGAAGGGCTATCCCTAACCCTTCGCTCAGCGTAACCGAGTGTCTGTACGCGGGGTCGGGTATGCCATTAGCTACACGGACTTCGACTGGGCACGGGTTTCCACTGATCGAGTTCTGCATGACCTTAATCGGTGACACCGGGCAGCAAAGCTTGATATCCATTCAGGCCAGTACATGGTGCTGGGGTTGCACAGCCCAGTTTGCCGCAACCACCTCATCGGCGCACGTGATGAATCAGGACCCATTATTTAATTATAAACGTGTCGTATTCAGACACAGGATAGGCTGCGTCTTAGGCTCTTGCACCTTGAGTGGGCTTACCGGACTCCATGAGCCGTTTAAGCGCCGCGTTCTCCTCCTTGAGGGCCACCAGCTCTTCCTGCTGCGCCACGAAACGCCGCCCCGCTTCCTCACCCCAGTAATCATCTTCCGGCCGCTTCCTAGAAACCGCCTGGCTGCGTTCCAGCTCGCCCACACGCTTGACAAGGTTGCGCTGGTCACGCAGAAAGCGGTCCAGGCGCTGCTTGTACGTATCCGCCAGGGTCTTGAACTCCGCTGATTTCTTCTTCTCCCTAGACGTATATCAGGGTGAAAACCGCAAAAGATGCGGTTCAAGATGGCTGTGGCGTGGCCAATGGGTGCTGCACTAAGAAAGGAGCCAATGTAAAGGCATGTTTACCTCCGCTAGGGTTGCAAACTCACAATCCAGAGGCTTCAGCCACACAACGGAAAAACCCAGCTCCGGTTATGGGTAGAACCCATACGGGCACCTGGATGTCGCGAGTCCTTACCCTCACGTAGCGCAAGTCTGTGGGCGTTTAACTGTGTGGTATGGGAACAGGTTCCTTGACTCCCATGACGTACTCCAAGTTTCCTAGCAGCCCCAGCTGCATTGTGGTACGTCTGCTGTGCTGGACTCACGTGGAATCCAGGTGACATAGATTCATGGACCCAGCTAACCCAGTTTCATTCTCTTTAGCAGGATCCCTGTGCTAACTTCTCTCCCGGTGAGGGGACGTGACGCACCTGGCAAGCTTGCTTGCTAGCTCCGCGTTCTCCGCGCGCAGCTTGGCGATCGCCCGTTCCGCGTCCAGCAGCTTCTGCGCCGCACCACCCTTCGCAGATGCGTCGGTCTGCACCAGCGCCCGTTTGGCCGCCTCCTCCGTACGAGCGAGCTGAGCCCCCAACCTGGACACCGCGGTGATGAGCCAGAGCCCTTTGACGGTCCGCTAAGGCATACGCTGTTTTGATGGTTGTCTTGCCAGACTGAGCCAGGTTAACCCAAAAACCCTTGCTGGATTACGACACTGAAAGCCAGGGCTGGCTTGCTGCAACCCCGAAAGAAAGCGCGGCGGAGCAGACATCTATTCCGAACGCGGCCTAAGTGGGTTGAAAGGTAAAAGCAGTATGCATCCCAAATATGCAGGTACACGGCGTGCGCTACACATACAAAATCTTCCATACGGGTTTCATCCTCAACGGCACGAAGCGAACCCTGGGCCAGCTGCTATGCGGTAGGAACGTCATAAAGCTTCCAGACGCCGGCGGTAATCTCATGCTACTTACTGCTTAATTTTCAGTTCCAGCTCGCGCTCCCGCTTCTTCGTCGCCCGGTACTCCTCCAACATTTTGTGGAAGTTCTCGTTGTTGACTTTGTCATTTGTCGGCATCCAGGCATATCTCGCCAGCTTCGGTACTGGCAAACTACCAAAGCTTGTTGCTGATTCATCTGGGCCGTCAAGGCCCCTATTATCGTTCGGCATGGTTATGGCCAAGACGAAGCTGAACTTGACTCTATCCGGGATAACCAATTTATGCTCCCTAGGTTATATGTTATACTCTACAGTCACATGCTATACTAGTTACAGAAAGGCCGAGCGACATCTTCGCCAGGAACACATTAATGCTGAATGGCAGCCTTACGGGAGGGGCTGCAAGCTGCCATATGCATCGTAACACAAAATAAGTGCTTGCGCAATTTTTGCCGAACGACAGGAAGCAGCTTCGATAACTTCCGTATTGGATCCATAAAACGACAGATCCGTAAAATGGAACCCGATTCTCGACTGCTCCATCACACCCAGTTTAGCTTATAACTCTATACACTTGGGCGTGCTGCAAGTTCTTCTTGCGGATCCATTTCAAGTATCCACAAGTCGCTGCATGTTCCCCGACGCCCCCTAACGCTGGAATGAACAATGTTGCAGGACGTGCTAAGTTAATGTTAGATGTGAATAGGAATGGATTACTATCATTATGAAATCCCAGATACGGCGATGTTGCCACTATCCGTCCGGTGAACTCCTTGGGCTGCAATGTATCCCGTGCTATGGAAAGGTCCCGGACCCCTAGGGACCCGGGTACGATATAATGATAAGCCTGCACATCTCCAGCGGCTCCGGACCGTGCTCTGCCCTGTCCTTCCATTTTCCATCCGGTTTCCTACTGCTGGCGTGCCGTATGCGTTTGTGACACAATGCGTGCTTGCTTAAAGCCCTAACGCGTTCGTTGTTTCCGTAGCGCTGGAACCAACCAACCACTAGAGCACTTGCCTTAAGCCTGGTGAAAATTATGAAGCCTGCAGGCTGGCGCCCTTGATGATTAGGATATCCATGCCAACGGAACGATCTATTGGCCCTCGTTCGCGGGGCATACCTAATGCTCTTTGGTGGTGATGGTAAAGTTTAGATTCGCATCAAGAAGTGCGTGCTGTACAACACATGTGCAGCAAACGCCCTTACGAAAGGTAGCCACCGTCTCAGGCACCTGTTCTGTGGGAAGGTTTGCATGGGTCGGCGTCGCGGTAGTGGCACCCCAGTGTGGCTCCAGTGTGCTCCGTACCTGCTACCGTTACAAATCAATAGCAATCCATATACACGTTAAACAGGTCTCCTCCTCACTTTTGTTCCTTAACTTTAGCTCCTTCACCGGGCACATGCAACAGCCATCTCAGCATTCTATGCCAAAGCAAGGGCGAAGGTCCCGTCTCTCTCAGCGGCAATTCCCAATCCCTCCCTCCGGACAACGTGCAAATCACAATTACACGACAAAGCGAATGGCATAGTTCCGACTGTAGGCAGCTGAACGACCAAACCAGGCTAGCCGAATCCCCCTGTGCATTGTCAACCTCTGAATGGCTCAACCCGGTATTATAGCTCCGAAGCACTGGGTGACCAAAGTTTGCGCCATGGCCCTTCCCATGCTGCTTCACCTCCGGCCCTTTTTCCCGTGGGCCTGTCGTGGCGGCGTTGCATTCGCAAACATCAGCGGTGCGTACATGTTACCCCTTAGTGCTGTCGGGACCTGCTGATGGTGCGCCCGCGCGCCTGGAGCAGATGGCAAGACGGGACCTGCCGCCGACGTTGATGATGTAACAGCGGGAGCACCCATGGCGCCAACTCTGCCACCAGCGCCGATACTCCGCCCGCCTCCTACGTTCTTGTACCTGTTGTTGCGCCGCCGAGCCTGGGGATTACCTTGCATCCAGTCATGATCATCCAAATCATCACCGTCCATCATCGCCTCCATGCCGTCATCATAGCCATCACCATCACCGCCAGGCCCACCTGGGAAGAGCAGCTCATCGTCAGTGCGCAGCCCACTGCCGGCGGCAGTAGCGGCAGCAGCAGCGCCACCGCCGCCCATGATGTGCATGTACGGCATGGCTCCTGTCGCAGCGGCAGCAGAACCGCCGCCACCCGGAATAAGACCAGGCGACAGGTCAGCATTGCGGCACGGGGCCGTAGAGGCGGCGACGAACGCATATGGCGCCTGCAGCATGTGATGCTGCTGTTGATTTTGCTGTGCCATAAGCTGCAGCATTGGAGTGGAAGACATCGACGCCCATGTCGGCGCTGGTGCCGCGGCTGCTGGTCCCCTAGCTGCATATGCCTGTTGTGCAGCGCCGTGCGCTTGCACATTGGGCAGTTGAGGCCTGGCCCCTGCAATACCCCCCCAGACAGATACCCCGGGCATCTGCCGGACACCCCATGCACCCGCCCCTGCAGCCATTCGTTGCTGCTGTGGCGGCATCCTCTGCGAAAATTGCGGGGCCGCGGGGGCAGGCGGGCCCGCGGCCCACGCGTTGAGCGAGCTCCCGTATGGCTGGCCTTGTTGTAGCTGCTGTCGCTGTTGTTGCTGCTGCACGACCTGGTAAGACTGCAATTGCTGTTGCAGTTGCTGTTGCAGTGCATGATGCAGCTGTGGCTGCAAAGGCTGCGGCTGCATCATAGGGTACTCCTGCTGCTGCCGCATATGTGCAGTGATAACCTGACCGTGTAGCTGTGACTGATAACTTGGCGCCACGGACGGCTCCTTATGAGGGTACCGATGTGGTGCTGCAAGCTGCTGCTGCGTCTCATCGCCCTGCCATACATTGCTGCCCTCCTGGAATTTCAGCCTGTTCAGCAGTTCATGCGGCACCGGCGGTGCCGGCTGCTGGTACTGCAGCTGATGTCCATGATGGCTCCGGGTGTACTGATGCTCCGCCTCCATGCCAACATTGCTAGTACAACCAGCTTGCTGACCCTGCCGCGGCCCGGCCTCCTGCCAGGCTCCCACATGCGGAGCCACGTCGGCCTCTTTTGCTTGCTGATGTGCAGGCCCCTGCGACGCTGCAAATGTTCCGTGTGTCTCCTGCCTCGCCACTTCCTGTTGCTGCGCATCACCTTGAGCAAACTGCTGCACCACCTCCCGTCGGTACGCAGTTGTGTATAGATTCAGTTGACTCGCCGCTATGTCACACGCATTCATGCATGCGTACCACTTGGGTCCCAACAGTTGGGGGCTGGTCATCCACAGCCGCTCCGCCACAATTTTGTGCAGCTGGTCGCAAAGTTCCTTCAGGGCAGTATCGAGCTGCATGGACGACTCCATGACGATAACCAGGAAGTTGGACCCCTCGGGATCAGCTGCATGGAACGGAAGGGGAAGGCCACGAGTGAGAGCGGGGACTACTCATGGAAGGTACAGCAGCCAAGTAGGAAGGAGGAACGATTTCTGGTAGTAGAACACGATATGGGGCTGTGAACGCACCAAAGTTGATAATCCCCGGTGGACTCTACTGCCCGTGACCTTTCCTCCCTGCCTATCCCCCAAGGCGCTATGAGCTTCAGCTCCGGCTCATAAATAAAAAACATAAAGATGCATTTCCTGGACGTACTTCTCTCGTACATCATTCCCCCATACTGGAATCCACATTCACACGCCGGAGCTCAATGCTCACTGCTGCACGCATGCTGAGTGCATACCGACATGTAAATGTTAAGGCCCTTTACAAAGCTAGTCCATCATCAGAAGGCTAGGTCGCTGAAAATGATTAACCCATCGAGTTCGTTCCCACCCGGCGCCTCATGATTCCCATTTCGAAGTGCCATGCCTGCTCACCCTTGAGCTGTCCCTGTACTTGCTCCATATATTTTAGCAGGCTTTGTGCGTGCCGAACCAAGCCGGATACCGTCTCACGGTATTTCGCATGGCACAGCCTGAAAAAATGTAGAGCCGTCTGGTGCTCGGTTCGGCTCTTGTGGGGCAAAAATTCTGCAACAGCTGCGGTTAAGCTCAAGTTCAGCTTTGACCCGGATGAACCGCACGCCGCTCTATCCTCCACTGCCAAGGACTGCTGCTGCGATTGCTGCTCCTGCTCCTCCTTCCATAGCTGCTGCTGCTGCTGCTCCTGGGGGATGCTCTTGGGCTGGCAGACTGGGCACGAGGACTCGTCGATAAATCGCCGCTTCTCGCCTTCCTGTGCCGGCATGGTCATCAATGGCACCGGCTCAGGAAAGGCATCTCGAAGTTTACAACTTCTTCCCCCTTCATTTCCAGCCTATTCTAAACCCCATTGACTGCTAACAAGCGGCTTCACATCCCATGCAGCTGCATTCGAGTAATGGACAGCCGAGGACCCCAACACGCATGCCGCAAATGGCAGAATAGCAAGTAGCGAAAGCCTTTTTGCACAGCGGGACGTACATGACCACGGGGACCAAACCATCCATGGGCTAACCTGCACGGACGCTTCCACAGCCGCGAAGCCAAACTCGTCCCACTGGCCATCTTGCCCGTTACCCTGCGCCTCCTGCTGCTTGCGTTTTTCTATGCTTCGGCGGAGTCGAGATAAGTAAACTCGCAGTGCAATCCTGTTTCGAGCCGTGATCGAGGTGAGGAAGGCAGTTGGTTGGAAGACGCAGGGTCGACAACCTACAGCCCTAGCATACTGCCAGATCCATTGGCTAGAAGAATTGAAAACCAGGCCACAGTACGGAAAACAACTAGCGGCTGGAGGCCACAAACGAAGCGCCATACTGTTTGTGCTGGGTTACACAGCATCGTAAGGTGATACGCAGGAAGCTTTGATATGTCTAAAATTTTAGACAACACAAAGATTACGACCAAGGGTCTTCATGAGACACGAGACGCTACGAGATGCGCAACATATACCTGAGTCCGAACGACATGCCCTCTCGGAGCTGCCTGAGCGCCGCTTCCTCTCGCTGCCGCTGCTGCGCAGCCGCCGCCGCCTCCTCCCGGCGCCGCCGCCACTGTCGCCAGGACCGTTGGATTATTGCGGCGGCGGCACTCTGTTTCGTCAGCTCGTCGCGCGTGGACCGATAGTCTTTGGATGCGACTACACCCACTGCTTCAGCGGCGCTGCGCAGCAGGCCTGCGGAGAGCGACACAAAGCCAGTTCTTGACTAGGGGGCTGACTTGGCGTCCTTTTAAGTGGCTACGGCATGATGTTCAGGGAGGGAACCATAGCTTTCACAAGCCCTCACAAGATAGTTCATTTCCCTCCAGAACCATAAACCCCAGCGATGAAAGGGTTGGGCGTCGCATTTGGTCACCGCAGGCACCCGCTCAAGTGCCATCAGCCCATATCTCGGGCTGTGCATTTCATCGTGGCAGGACGCCACTGTCCAGCAGAGGGAAAGCTCGGAGCCTACTGAAAAGCTGGGCCATTCAGGCTGCACTCCCCAAGCCATTTGTGCCCTGAACCGGGTTCGATCCTCTTCCAGGCAGGCGATACAGAGCCATACGAAAGATTCCTATACTCCATTCCCACGATAGCGTCAGTAACCCTACCTGCAATGACTGGAACATCAGCCGCCTGGGCTGGGGCCTGCTTTGCGCCTGTCAGCACAGCCCGCTCCTGCTGCATTGCGCTCGGGCCTTGTACTCTAGCTTGCACTACGGTATACAATGCTGCAAGTGGGCCCTGTAGACCCTTGAACTGTTTGGCCTGGTGCTGCGGGCCAAAGCCCTCGAACTCTCTGTCCGCACGCGCATCCACCAGCAGCATACTGCCGTAATAGTGCCCATTCCAAGCGGCTGCTAGCTGCCGCAACTGATCTGCCAGTCCCGACAATGTCAGGTCGCTGCAAAGTACACGGATGGCGGCAGCGCCGACTAGAGGCTCGGCCAGCAAGCCGACAGCCTCGCGGAACAGCGGCACCACGTCAGTGGGCCAGCGACCACGGGTGGCGGCCGCATCCTGCAGCTCGGCAGCGACAGCGGCAGCGCTATGCTGCTGCTGGGGTAGCTGCTGCTGCGGCATACGCTTCTGGACCTCCAGGGAAAGCCAGGCGCTACCGGCAGCAAGCAAAATCCGTCTAGCAAGCGCAATAAGGCGCGGGCCCCGGGCGGATGGCGTGGCCCCGACCGGCGATGGGATGGCAACGCTGGCACAATGTTCACCTCCATGATTACCCTTGATCCCCATCAGCTCCAGCGCTGCCGCAATGCTCGGTGCTTCCAGAAGCGGCAGGAGCTCCTCCATTACGACGGCATTAGCGGTGCCTCCTGCACCGAAACCACCGCCGCCAGTGCCCTGCCCCTCTCCCTGCTCAGCCACAACCAACAGCCGCCCCAGGTGGCCCGCCAATACCATCACCAGCCGCGCGCACAGCAACAGCTGCTTTCCCAGCGCCTCCTGAGCCACCTTCGCATACCGAAAGTATTCCTGAGTTGTGTTCCCAAGACCGCGCTGCAGTCCTGGTGCAACCGACGGACGCGTCGGTGGTCTGAACCCCAGGGCCCACAGCCAACGCAACGCCAGCTCTGACAGCCTGTGATCCCTGTGCTTCGGCAATCCCGCTAGCTTGCCGGCAATGTTGCCGGACAAGAACGCGTTGTCGCAGGCTGCCAACAGCAGTTGACCCACCGCCAACTCTGTCAGCTCCACATACGCCTCCAAAGCAAGACAGCGACCGCGAGCTGAGCCGCCAGCAGCTGAGCTCACTGGCGCTGAGGGTGCCCCGCTGCTGCCTGTGGACCGCGCGGATATGGAGAACCTTAAAACGCTTACATACAATGGATGGAGCACTTGGCAGGCCAACATGTGACATATGGACTTATCCGACCCTCACCTTGGGCTGCATTGATGGTCAGCAATCCCGCAGATGCCGGAACAGCTGCGCCTCCGGTGGCCGCAACCGCCCCCGCGGCGGCTGCAGTTGAAGACGCGGCCCAAGATAACACCAGCAGCCCATCCCGGCGGCAGCACCAGGCCAGGTAGTACAACAGGTCGCCAATAGCTTTATGGGGAAGATTTGTGGAGAAATGGAGGAAGGCCTGCGGTGGCAACCGAAAGGTGGCCAATAATAACGGCAGGCGAGGCCACGCGGCTTGCGCATGCACGCCCACATGCAGGGCCAGCGGTAAGCAGAAACACACCGAGTGGGCGCTTCCTACCTTCACCCCTACCTTCCCGCAATTTGTTCCACGACAATGGCGGGTTGCGTCCAACCGGTATAAGTAACCCTCCAGTCCATTCATCTCTTATGATACGCATTGATCAATTTCGCGGCAAGGCCAGCACCCAATCGGCCAATCCCAACCCAAGCAAGCTACCAGGCCTCCGCACGACCCCACCTGATGCAATACGTACTCCGGCAGGGCCGTATTCTCACGGTCTCGTATCATGCGTGAGGCTGGTACGTCTGGCGGCAGCCTGGCACGGCGTAACTTGAAGACCCTGCAGCGGGGTAGTGGGTGGCACGCTTAGGGCAGCTTGTGAGCAGGCTGTGGTTTTCAAATCTTACCGGACCAAAGCGTTCCTGCATTCTTACCAGCGCGTCCATGGTAAGTCAGGTGTCGTGTGAAAGCCGTGAACATACTCCTGTTTCTTCATGCCTTATGAACCATATCGTGACACAGGCTAATAGTCCAGAACCAACTTATAGTGGCGCATTGAGCTGCGCTTGCAAACGTTACCTCTTTGCAAAACCTGCGGCCTCTTCCCTTTCCCTTACCTGCCCGCTAGCTCGTCATGCATTAGTACGAGCATCGTTGTACGCCAGGCCGTATACGACACCGTTGGCGCCAAAGCAAGCCGGCCATTCAGCGCATCCGAGAACACGATAGCCTCCTTAATCCATTCGTGCAAATCCATTTTCTGGAGGCTTTCCGATAACAGTAGTTTCAGAAGCTCCCCGTGGGGTGGAGGGCTCGGGCCCCCGTAGAACAGCGGCGGCTGCAGCAGGTCCTCCTGGTAAGTTGTCACCTGGGAGGGCGCCAGGGGCGCCGCCGCAAAGACTGCAAACGCCCGCCGTGTTTGCATGCGAAGACTGCGGACAAGGGCGTCCTGGACAGCAGGGACGGGGAGGTATATGTTTTTCCTCCAACGAGACATTCAAGCAAGCACTATGCGAACGTGGGCAATTGGCTGGCATATTTGCGCGGGTCCCTGGCATGGCTACTTCCGTGACCTTTATGCATCTCAGCGCCTATGGCACATCGCGCACGTATGCATGCATACTTACCGGATAGAGGCCAAAGTCAGCTTCCGCGGCATTGAGTAACGCCAATGCTGCCCGAGACACACGTATGCTCCGCACAACCGGCCGCAGTGCCGCCAGAACCATTTTACTCGTGGCTGGCGGCAACGTCGTCTCGGAAGGAATCGCGAGGTACGTGTCGATGGCGCTGCGTAGAGCCTGGAATGATACGCATGCGGCTTTGACGGCAAGATCACGCACGAGCTCCGCCACCACAGCTGACCGTTGCATGGTGCCGGCGGCGTCAGGTGGCACAGCCTGCCGCGCTGCAATGCCGAGCTGATGTGTCAGCAGCTGTCGTGTTGTCGCCAACGGCGGTACTGCGGCAGCTGCCGCCGCCACCTGCGGCGGCGGGGCTGTCGTCTGCACGCCCTTCGCGGCAGCAGCGGCGTAGCTTAACCCCTTGATTGCCCGCTGGGCCGCGGCAGAAGCCACAGCTTCCACCGCCTGCCGTGGGGCTAGGCTGGCGCTGCCTGCTGAGGCAGCAGTGGCCGCAGCTCGTGCCGCTGCAGCACTGTCAGGTCCTAACACCGCCCACCAAACGTGGGTTGCCTGCTTGGCGGGCAGTCGCTCATCCCAGCGGGACAGCCCCGGCAGCCCGTACAGCTGCTCCAGAGCCACCAGGTGCTGCCCCTGCAGCTTAGTCAGCCCCCAAGGCCCCGACGCGTGGAACGCTTCTACCACCGCCTGCACGGTACGCACAAATGCGGCGGCGCCGTCCGCCTGGCGGAGCCGTGGCGAGTCGGAAGCAGAGCCTGGGACAGAAGTAGCCGACGTTATCGCTGCCGCTGCCGCAGCGGTGGCGACTGCGGCATCCGCGGCGTCCGACTCTGGTCCGAACATGAGCATGAGCGTCAGCGCCTCGAGGTGACCAGGCCAAAATTCGCAGCGGCTGAAGCAATCCGCGGCCTCCCTCAGCAACGGCGCTGCGGCCTCCCACGCCGCTACTGCCTCATCGTTGAGCTGCTCCCACGAGGCAGGCACAGACTGTTGCGGATGATTCCTCGTCCCAACGCCCACACCCCCAGCTCCGGAAACCCCCCCTGCGCTAACCCATGGCTGCAGCAGCAAGCGCGCCTCCAGGAGCACAGCATGGCCACGGTATAACAGCACTCTTCTGCCTGCCTGGCCGGCCGACGGTGATGACGATACCGCCGACCCCAAAGCAGCTTCCGGTGTCCCTGCTGCTGCCACTGCCCATCTGTCCAGTTCCCGTCGTAGCCTGCGCGCTCCAGCCGCATCTGTCTGAGCCATGATGCAGCGGTACACGAGGTCCCACGCGCGCTCCTCCACCGGCGCCCACGCGGTCGCAACAGCATCTACGCCGACGGCGGCAACACCGCGGGCCGCAACGATCCTGCCCCCTGCTCCTCCCGGCACCGAGTTCAGTTTGGCCTGCGGTTGCTGCGGGGCCGGCGCCTTGCTCGCGATGTAATCTGATACCAGTCGTGCAGCACGCTCGAAATCGCCGTTGTCCAGCAGCAGCTGCGCGGCACCCAGCGGGTCACTTGACCTGTCGTGGATGTAAACCACGGCGCGGGTTGGTACAGCTCAATTGCAAAGGACGGAATGAGCACCAGGAGAATGGATGTTCCACACGACTGGAGGCTTCGTTTACGGACGGTGTGAAGCGGTGTGAAGCGCCCGATTACATTCAGGGTGACGTGAAACAGCAATCTTCGTTACCAGTGCAGCACATAGCAAGGCGTCTCCAGGGCTTGGGAGCAGGGCCAGCCTACTCGTAATTCGTTTCCGCTTCCACTGGGCCGCACTCTAACGATTTTCCACGAGTGTGTGCCCGATGCAGAAGGCAAGAGCAAGAAGCTAAGCAGCACCCGCGCACCTGCGCACTGCTCTCTGGTTTGCGGCCAGTCTGCGTGTGTGTTGACCGCACAGCCACAGGTCAACATGTTGAGAATCCTCCTGCAACTCCGGGACCCCTAATCCGCCTACCGTTTGAGCCGCGCTTGCTCCCGCCAGTCACCCATTCGTGCCAACAGCGCATCCCGCTCTGCCTCCACCGGCATCAGCCGCACCATCCGCCGCGCGCGGCCGTGCTCACCCCGCGCGTGGCACCGCAACGCCACCCGCTGCAGCGCCCGGCCATAGCTGCTCACCCAGCGGCGGCGCAGCATGTCATGCAGCTCTGGAACCAACATTGCAAACACGTCCGTCGGCGCGCCGGTGCTGGCTGCAGCGGCACCGCGGCCATCATCCTTGATGCCGAGCTCATCGTCTTCACTGTCATTGGCGCCGCTGGCGTTAGCGCCGGCAGGAGCCAGCAGAGCAGTCAGAGTCTCTAAGTCATTTGCGAGGTAGACCTGCTCCACTGCCTTTGCAAGCCAGGCAAGAGCGCGCTTGCGTGCTGCTGCCGCTGCGGCTACGGCGGTCCCCGCCGGCGGCACCACTAGTGATTCCAGCAGTGCAACGACAGCAGCCGCGGAGCCGCCCTCTGCCAGGTGCTGCCGCTGGTACACGGCGTGCTGGCGCAGCGCCTCGGCAGCAGCGTCGAGGCAGCACTCCGCAGCGGCTGCGTGTTCCTTGCCCGCAAGTAGCACACGTAAGGCGGCAGTATGGTTGCCAGCCTTGAACGCCAGTTCGGCAGCCGGCCCAGCCAAGCCGCAGGCCTGCACCAAAAGTCCAGGTACACAGGTCTTACTGTATTATTAGTTAGGCAACATATATGGAGGCATTCATCCACTCCTCGAGCTAGCCATCGGTGCAGACAGCAGGTCAGGCGGCCGCATAGATGCACGCACAACCCAAGCCCAAAGACCTCCTCCCCCTGCCGGCCTCCCCACCTGCAGACACCTCCCTGCCAGGCCCAGCCAGCGCCGCAGCTCCCCAGCAGTCACCGGGTCGGGAGACTGCTCCCGTCGGCTCGCTGCCGCCAGCAGCTGCAGCGCCGCTCCCGCCAGCAGCCGCCGCTGCTCAGTAGGGGACTCCTCATCTGCGGCGCGCCGGCGCTTCAGGTACGCCTCCGCCACCTCGGTGCGGACCTGCGAGAAGTATTAACAGGCATGCGCGAGTTCCAGATTTCACTGGGTAGCAGGAGTCGTCACGGCTCTGACCCCGACCCGAATGCAGGTTGTGCACCGTACGGGATCCGCTTTCAAACAGACGCCTTAAAGTTGCCGAGCCCTAAAGTGTATTGCGGCTCCCTGGCAACCCATTTACCATGTCTGCCGCCTGCACGAATGCCTTCTTCGCCATGAGGTAGTTACGGTTGTCCAAAAGGTTGCGAGCCCGCTTAGCCCATTCGGCGCGGCTGCTAGTGGCCTGCTGAGTAAGGCCGTACCGTACGGCATCTCGCCCATCCTCCAAAAGCGACCTGTGACCCACCCAGCACGGTTTGGATGGGTTCCGGGGAACCAGCGGCGAAAAGCATCGTTGGGAAGAAGGGAAGCTAGAGATTTAGAGGGTAGGTCCACCCCTTCACGAACAATTCCTAGCAACACCTATTCGTATCCGTATTCGCACACCTATGCACGGTGCGCGCGATGCCTAGGCTCTGCAGCAAATGGTAGAAAGGCGCCCGTTTGGTAGGGTTGCGGTCGAAGATGACCACGTTATTCTTGGCGCGCGTCAGGGCGGTGTACAAGTGCTTGAGCTCCTCCGCCAGCAGGACGTGCGACCGCTCGTCAAACGCCAGTGGCCGCACGGCGCCGGCGTCTGGAGGAGTCACCTGCACATGTAGGGCGCTCTTTCAAAAGAATGTTTTCTATAATACCACACATACATGCATATTACACGCACGCAGGCCCTTGCACTGCATTCCCGCGCAAGGCCCTTGGCCTGATGTCCAAGAACATAGACTTCTACAATAGAATTAAAGGAGACCTGAAGAAAAGCCACTCTCTCTTGACGCCACCACCACTGCCGGTCCCTGTTGCTGCCTTGCCTACCCCGCCTGCTGCGTCCATTGCCGCCATCAGGTATGGTAATGGAACAGGAGGAGTACAGAAGTAGCCACGCGACACCGAGGAGCTCCCCTATCCCTTCCAAAGCGTTTCAGCAGATCATTTATCCAGTTGCGCTCGTTCCGTCGAGCTTCGTATGCCCAAACACTCCTCCCTCTGCCGCTATATCGAATCGCGCAACCACGTGCTGCCACCTGCAGCTGTGATGCTCCGTACATCATCCACAACCTCACTCGCCTGCTGCATGTCGTACTGGTATCCATCCCCTGCCCCCACACCGCCCGTCCCTGCCAGCTCCGCCAGATAGGAACTCAGCACCCGCCATTCGGAGTTGGCGTCGCTGTCGTTGAAGAAGTCAACGATGAACACCTGCAAAAAGAGGGGCATCGTGAGCGATAGCGGCGTGTCAGGATAAACACAATATCCTCACACGAGGCAGGCCGGCAGGGACAGGGAGCGGGGAGAAATATTGGAGCACCTCAGGCCAGAAGCGCCCCACAGGCACGAGACTGTAGCCCGGTTCTCATCCACTTGGAGGTTAAGACACTAGCGACGGCATCACTGCATCCGTGGCGGCACAAGGCCGAACCCACATCGCCTCCCACCCCGCACTTCGTCGGGCCCTGCCACACGCACGTCATCAAACTCCAGCCCCTTTGCTTGCGGCACTGTCATGATAATGGCATTGGAGTCTTGTATGTCCTGCGGCAGCTGGGCCACTGAGGCCATGGTACGGACCAGGATCACCTGGTGGGCCCCGAACTCCACCTGCAGGAGGGAGGCGGGACAGGCCGATTGATTACCTCTTAAGGTTTACGCCTGCCTGGTGGCGGTGATGAATCAAGTGGGAATCAGTGAATGCATGACGGAGGAATGCGTTTTGTGGAGCTGTACCGCACAGCCGGAGGAAGCGACGGACCGAATTTGGACAAAAATCGACTGGCAACTGTGCAATCGCGCAACCTGGCAAGAAACGAGACTGATGTGTTGGGAGGCGAATCAGCCTCCCCAAACAGTGCGTGTGCATGCGCCCCTCCGAGGGCGGTGCGTGTAAATATGTCACAAACATCCACACCCAATCCGGCCAACCTGCGACGTGTTCCTGTCCGAGCCGCTGAGCAGGATGGCCAGGTCGTCTGACGAGATGCCCCCCAGCAGCAGCGGGTGCGGTCCCGGGAAGAGCGCCCGCTCACGCTCCAGCCGATCCAGCTGTCGGGGGAAGTAGCGCCGCAGTACGTCCACCACCAGTGCCGCCACGTCCAACACGCCTTGATGGGTACTGAGGGAGGCAGGGAAAGGATATGTGGTGCGAAATGGTGCGTGAGGGAAAGCGCACACGATGCAGGGTTATGGCACATGGGCACGTGGTGGGTAACGTTTTTTGGGTTGGCATTTTACGAAGGAGGCGGGGAAAAAAAAGAGGGCCATGGAAGGGGGCCTGCTCGCAGGAATCATACGCGAAATAACAAATGCAGTAACGGCTAAGAAGCGCTCCTCGTGCGCAATGTGGCTGGGAATTACAAGGGAGGCCGGTTCGTCCCGGTTTGGGAAGGGACGGGGGGCGGGCAATGAATGCAACAAAGGCCAGGGTATACAATCCCTTCCTCCGCCTGTTTCTTTCCCAACAATATGGAAGCCTGCCCTGCACCCTTGGTCACCGGTAGTTCATCGTGAGCTGATGAATTGGCGGTGTTGCCACCGTCACCCCATGACCCCGCCGGGCCATCAGTGCACCCTTGCGACGACCCTCTCCGCTCGCGTCCTCTGCTGCCGCCGCCGCCGCTGCCGCCGCCGCCATCTGCTGCTGCAGCTGCTGCTGCTGCCTGCGCTGATTCTCCTCGTAGAAGAGCGTGCAGATGTCGGTGAATCTGAACCCGATGCCGCGGGCGATGGTCTGCGCTGTGTCGCCACAATAGAACAGGGTGTTGGGGTCGGCAGCCACCGCCAGGTCCAGAAGCAGCTCGCCTTGGGTAAAGTCCTGGACCTGTGAGGGGAAGAAAGATAGGGCATTCAAGGCAATGAGGTAATCAACTTGTAATGGTCCCTGGAGGTCGCCTCATCTGCCGTACGTACCTCGTCGCGGTACAGCGCATGGATGGGCGTGCCGGTGTAACCACTAACCGACATCTCACGGTACACATGCCCCACAAGATCCAGCAGATCGTACCGCCACTCATGCCGCTTCAGTCGCTCGTACCTGCGGGCAGTAGCAGTCGCAGTGTCAACACCAGAGGCAGTACACGCGGCATGTAAGCAAACCCCATGCGCACTCATGTGTCGAATCAGCGCAACTAAGCCCAGGCCCCAAGCCCAGCCGCGAAAGCGGCCGCGAATCTGAGTCGTTCATCGGTGCTGCAAGGCCTGGCAACTGCCACATACACCAACATGACACGTCACATTCTTCCGCAGGCGCGCAGCTGCATTAACATAACTGTCACCACCACCACATCAGGTGACCCGTCACAAAATCTCTCCTTCCTACTTTTCCCACGACGTGTTACCCCGCAGTTCACCCCAACATAGAGATGTAACTGAGCAGCATAGCATCCGCAATATGGTCTCACTTTTCGAAAATCGGCCACACCAAATCCTTGCGAATCTCCTCGCTGAAGTTGGGGGCGCGCTTGCGACCAAGCGCCAGGTAGGCCGGCAGGCTCAGATGGCCCGCAGGACTGTGGGGCACAAGATGACGTATGGCGCAGAGAAGTAGCAGTTACCAGAGTTCGGTCACTGTCCGGGCGGCTGCTGATTGGTGAGCGACTGGTGGAGGTGACCTTTCCCACGGAGATTCTACTCTAACCTTACCCTAGCCCGCCAGCCTTAATGCTACTTTCACCCGCAATCTGCCATGGGGACTCTTCTCCGCTGCCACGCTTGCCGGCTGCCGGCAAGCTGGACACAACTCCTGAGAGCTCACACACCTTGCAGCCCCTCCTGCCACCGGCTTAGCACCCTCCGCCCGTTCCCTTCCCACCTTGCAATAGCTTCCGCACTGCCCTTCAGGTAGCTCAAGATCTCCTGGTACACCAGACCGGGAGCCACGCTGTCACGCTGGTCGGGTGCTGTAGGGAATGAGGGAAGCAGGGAGAAGGTGCGGTTGACCAGGCCCGAAGAAGAAATTGTCTGCAGGCTGGCTGGGGAAGACTTAAATGCACGGGTTGGCCAACATGCGCGATGGCACAAGGAGGCTCTGACGTAGCGGAACTGGAAATGACCCTCTTCCACTCCGCCAACACTCACTGGTAATTTTCTTCCACATGCTGTTGACGAAGTACTGGTATGTAACCTCGCGGTTCAGCCGAGCCCGCCCCGCCACTCCCAGCCCGTAGCTGTCCGATGCCGCATGTCCATCCCCGCCACCAGCTTCAAGGTCCGCCAGCGCCGCCGCTCGAGCTGCCACAGCTGCCGCGGCAGCGGCAGCCGCCTCCATCTCTTCCTCCAAAGCCACTACGCCACCAGCGGCCGTGTCTTCGGCATTGCCGCTGGCGGAATCAGGACCCGCCGCGCCACCATCGCCGGCACCCTGGTTGCCGGCGGCAGTCTCCGTCTCCACCTCATCCTCGTCATCGCTGACATCTTCATCCAGCGCCACCACCAGCGCTGCACCATCAGGGTCCAGCTCCTCGCCGTCGTCAGGCAACTGTAAAGATTCAATAGATTCAACTTAGGGCTTATGGACCGTGCACAAACATTATTGAACCAAAGATGTTAAGACGAAGGGCGAGAAAAAATGAGCTGGCAGCTGGCAAAGGACGTGGGGGTGAGCCTGCTGATGTACCGGCGCAAAGAGCATTAGCGAACAAACAAATGAACCTAGTGCTTAACAGCGCGCTTGCGGGCCACAACCCCGTCAAGACAGCCATAAAAACTACCATAGCCACCGCCTCAAGAGCTACTACCATCACGGCCCACCTGCAGGATAGCGCCGTTTGGCTGGCGCGGGAAGAAAGGCCGCCCCGTACTTCCGTCCAAAATGCGCAGGAAAGCCCGGCTGGACAGAAACAGCGGAAATGCATCCGAAGGCACATCGTGGAAGGTGTGGTATGTTGCGTTCGCAACCGCCACCACTCGCGCAAACTCAGCTGGGGCCATGACGGCGCTCTGCAGTCGGCGGAAAGCCAAGGCAACGCGCTCACGCAGCGTCGCGGACGCCGTTACGAAGACGGCATGCACAGGATCGAGGCCGGGGTTTGTGTAGTGCCGCAGCCAGTTGGCCCAGAGGCGGTACACAGCGCAGGTGGTCTTGCCGGTTCCGGAGCGGCCGAGCAGGATGATGGAGGAGGGTGGGTTGGGTGCCAGCGTGATGAGGTCATACTCCTCGGGGGAGAGCTTGAAAGGGAAGTCCACCTGGGAGCATGGAGAGGGGTAAAAGAGAAAACATGGGGTAGGGCGAATCACGTGCGACATGCAAATAACCAACTGCCGACCACAGAACGAATCCTGCTATAACCCATGGAGGCGGAAGGGGACGCGGCGGAAAGTACACGAGGAGCTGGTTAAGGGAGGAAATAGATGGCGATCGGTTTGGTGCATGTGCGGCTTTGGTGCATGTGACGTTAAGAGCTGGAAACTAACAAAAGGACATCCCACCCCTACCGCTCCACCTTGGCTGTTTCAAGCCCCTGCAGAACGGCGGCCACCAGAAAACTGTCCAGGTTATAGAACTTCATTAGTGTGTACGTATCCACAGCCCAGCTGGCTGGGGGAAAGTGCTCTCGCAGGTCGCCCGCAGGAGGCATCTGCTGTTGCGTCTTCCTCGACCCACGGGTCTTTCCGCCGCCGCTGTTGGCTGCGGCGGCTTCACCGTCCGTGGTCTTCCCGGCCTCGCGGTAATGCCGCGGGAGCCGCTGTGCGGTACGACCAGCCGCAGCGGCCGCAGAAGCAGTAGCAGTGCGGCCTCCAGGGAGTGGTGACGGCATTGGCGCCTCGTGTTGCGGGATGGGCTGCAACCGCAGCCGTTCACGCATGGCGAGTGTACGACGGAATGACGCTTGGACAAGGCCGATCATGTCCTCATAGGCCTTATGGCTCAACGTGATAAACTGCGGTCCAGGTAGATGTTTTGATGTTCAAGGTTGTGTACAAATTAGTACACTGAAGGGAGATATGGCCAGGATACGAGCATAGGGAATCGAAAGGTCGTAGGCAAGAACGAAGATAACATGCCCGTACGCAGTACCCGCTATATGGCTCTTTGATTCAGCACATTCAAAAGGGTTCCCACACAAACGTGCGGAAGTTACCACAACCCCCCCACCTATCAGCCAAGTATGGAAACCGCGGGTTCGGGGAGCGAGGAGCAAGTGATTCTCTGGCAAAGTGCCACGCATTTATCGAAGGTTTGGCATCAAGCAATGATTTTCTAACCAGGAGATCCGCCAGTTTTGCCAATCTTTACAGGCCGAGATTCCGTTCACGTACTCACCCACAGCCGGATCATCTCCGCCCATGTACGGCTTTCCTCGTCGTACTCCACCGCGACCTCAAACAGGATACGCCCGCCCTTCGTAACCTTCAGGCGCCATAGCTCCTTCAAGGTCATGGCAAAGGCAGCGGCAGTACGAATGGGTACCCCAGCCTCCCCCAGGTGACTACAATCGCACATAAAACACACGCATGTTGACGCAACTCATGCATATTACACGCACTAGCCATCTGCCCAGGTGCCCACCTGCTGCGCCAGGGTCGGATCATCCGCCGTGATCTTCTTAGCACCCCGGCATCGTGCCCAGTAGCCGCTGCCGATAACGCGCAGGCGGGACATCACCAGGCGCCTGCGGGGCCCGCTCGCAAGGCATTATCACCCAGGACAATCGCAATCGCGGATTTTTAATGAAGGTCGCAGCGGACACCCCCGCACTTGTGCGGAACTTGTAACTTGCTGGCGGTAAAGTATGAGCGAGTCAAGGCTGGTGAGATAGGGCCAGGGCCAGGACCAGGGCCAGATGTGCTCGAGTGCCCGAATGTCGGCAGGGATCTCGGAAGGAATCCGATTGGAGATACAGAGATGAAAGAGCCGAAACGAAAGAGAAATTGGAGAGAAGGCTGGCGATAGAACCTTCCAAACACACTCGCCCATCTGACGTCGCCCCCACCCGAGCTGGCTCCCACCTCCACACGTCCGGCAGCCGCCCCCACGCCTCGTAGGCCTGTCGTGTAATCACGAAGCGCCAAGCCAGACCCCGAAGCGGATGCTCCCCCGACTCCCCGTCGACCGCCGAAGCGGCCGTAGCAGGTGCGCTGGTGGTGCTCGCCTCAGTACTTGCCGTCGCCGTCGCCGTCGCCACTGAGAGTCCCGACGCCCCTCTTGCGGGCAGCTGTAACAGTACCTCGTCGTCTACCAGAGCCTCGCCCGGCGGCGGAGCATCATCGTCGCTGTACGCGGCTGCGTCATCTGCCGGTGATATACAGCGGTCATGCGAGGTAAGCGCCTTCAGGGTCTAGAATTGTGTGTCGAGGTACATATGATATCGAGGTAATATAAGCATGGATTCAGCAGTCGTGTCGTTACCTCATGCCTCCTCGTGAAAGCTGACGCTGCCCAGGCTGAGACCTCCGGGCGGTTGATAAAGAGCTAGCCCAGCGACAGCCAGCAGCAACTGCCCCTAGCACGTGCTCCTTGCTTAAAATAGACGCAGCTGGCTCGGGGATTAAGCGACGAAGAGTAAGCGATGAAAGAGTCCCTGTTTCGAGTACCTCAGAATAGAGGACAGCTATCTCCTACAGCTGTTTACAGCTGTATACAACTGTATACAGCTGTATATTTTCAGCATGTCGGCTGTTGTCCACGGCGCTACGTGTCGCTTCATCAACGGGCAACGCTGATCAACACGCCCAAAAACGTATACGCGCGCTAAGGGATAAGCCATGCAAGCCATCCAGCAAAAAGTCCCTCACCTCCTTCAACCCCCTCGTCGCCGTCCTCCTCGCCGCAGTTTACCCGCATCTCCGCCACAATGCGCTGCAGCTCCCGGTTCGTCGCCGCATTCGCGGCGTCCGTGTCGGCAGCGGCAGCTGCGCCACCGTCGCTACCGGCGCCGGCATGGGGTCCACCGCGCGCAAGATTGGCAGGCAGCAGCTGCGAGTGGGATTTCATAAATAATGCCGAACTTGAGGCAGCATCAGGCAGCGCACTACTGGCCCCAGGGATAGAACCCAAAAGAGCGTGCTGCAAGAGTGCCTATCCAACTGTGGAGTGTTCCGGCATAGACGTGAAGCTAATACATGCCAAGAGCAAAGTCCGAAGTCTCCATCTTCCCCTGCAAGACGTATACCTTTCGAACAATACAGCTTGGACAGCTTGGCCTACTTTGGCCAACGCACCTTGACCAGCTTTGACGCCAGGGGAAGCACAAGCGGCTCCGGAACAGCCACCAACTGTGCCAGAGCCGCACTGCGGAGGGCTTCGTCATCCGCCAGGTCCGCAGCGCTGCGAATGACCCGTGGGCCATCACCGACGCCAGTCGCGGCAATGCCGGATTTGCTGACACCTTTAGAGCCGCCTCCATCACCTTTCCGGCGCTTATTGTCGTCAGCATTGCCTTTCTTGGTGGCAGCCTTGCTGACCACCTCCTTTGCTGCGTCGCTGGTGGCGTCCCGCGGGCCTTGCCGTTCTTGGAGGGCTTTCAGGGCACTTTGGAGGGCCCTGTGTCGCCACGGCCAAAGCAAAGCACAGCCGAGGCAGGCCGAAAGCCACCGTCGAGGTTCCAAAGTGGAGAGAAGGGTTGCAACACAGGCAAGGCGGCGGTTGCAGGGAAGACAACAGTCAGGCAGCAAAAACTGCAGAAACCGGGCCGCTCAGGTCTTAGAACGCGATGCCTGGGAAGAGAGGGGGAAGACCCTATCCATCCTAAAGCGATGCAATAGATCAAGCGGGAGCCATGTGGGGGAGCGGCACGGGGTATAACATGCACGGAGCGGAAGACAGGTGGCAGGATGATAACCGCACGCACCGTGAGTGGGAAAGGCGGAAGTCAACCTCGCTTCCACTTGCCGACTAACTGCAACTACTCCGTCCATATGTTCCCACCAGCTGCTACCAGCCGTCCCTGGCCAGCGCCAGCCCCAGGCACCGACACATAGCGCAGCGCTACCATCCACTTAACTCACCCCCCGGCCGTCTCCTGTAGTTGCTGTAGCAGCTTTTTGACCTTGCGGCTGGTGGCCATGTCCTGCGGCCGCAACCCGTTCTTGTTGCGGCCCGTCAGCGCCTGCAGCCGGGCTTCCCCTGCAGCCACCGCCGCCTCAGCAGTCGCCAGGTCCATGGCCAGCGCATGTTCCTTGCCCTGCTGCTGCTGTTCGTGCCGCGGTCCTTGCCCTTCCTTGGTCTGTGCCGTGCCAGCGCTAAGGGCTCGCAATAGCTGCTCAGCGACTTCCTCACGGTGCGGGCAGGCGGCGGCGACGTGAATGGGCGTGTTGCCGAGGTCGTCCATACAGCCGATATCTGCCCCTGCCGCCAGCAGCACCTCGAGCATCGCCACGTCACCGGTGAAGCACACCTACAAGCGTGCGTGCGTACATGTGTTGCTTCTTTCGATTCTGCAGCACAGCGCGCCTTCGCCTGCATCTGGACAATCAGCTATGAACTTGCCTAAGAAACATTTAGGCCTATCGCATTATGGCCATAGGCGGCAAAACTGACCCCAGATTGGACAGCCATTGTTGGTCGAAGTACCTGTTGATTTAACTTTCCTCGGGAATGATAAGGGTTCACCGCCGGTTCGTGGCACCTGGGCATGTACGTGGATTTCCGGCGCCCAATGTCCGCACACACGAGGAGGCAACCCGCAGACACGTAACATATCCCCCGACCTACGAGATGCAGTAGGCTGCTCCCTTCCTGCAGTTGTCGCGGCCTGGTGGCCCCCGCCGGCACACGCTCCGTCAACGACGCCACGCCGTGGCGCAGCAGCTCCTTCAGCAGTGCCGGCGTCACGAAAGTGGGCACCGGCCCTGGTGGGGGTGCTGTGCCCACCACCGCACCCGACATTACGCCCCACACCACCAGCCGCGGCAGCGGGCCCGTGCCATCGGGACCCTGCCACGACGCGCCGTCGCAAGCGCGCCAATCCCGGCCGCTGGCCTCGTTGCACAGCTCTAGTAACAGCTCTAGCAGGGGTGCGGATAGCCAGGAAGGGGAGGCGACACCGCTGGGGGAGGCATCCGCTAGGTCCGTCAAGGCCTGCGATATGGGTGGAAGAAGGAAAATGGCCAATGTATTGTGGATTCAAGTGCGACAAAGGTGAAGGAGAACAGGGATTGAGGTGACGATATTGAGTTGCAGGACTGCCAAACAAGGCTGATTGAATGCTCGGGCGCAGGGTCAAATTGTTGGTGCCCGTCTGGCAGTTTTGCTTAGCGGATGCATATCACCTTACGGAAACGGGTAGTCGGCTGGTACTAAGAATAAAGGTGGGCTGCTGCTGATGCTGTTTCGTCGCCGTCGAAGCGTTTGTATTCCGTGCCTCAATTTTGTGCTTTTCACCCAGGCCTGAACATGCACAAACTTTAAAGCCCTTCCCGTACAGGACATGGATCCTACTCCATTATGCCCACTAAACATCCCACCAGGCCTTCGAGTACTGGATCTTGGCTGGCTGCTTCGCTGTCCAGTTGCCTGACTGCTTACTTGGCCGGGCTGTTATGCTCACCTTCACTGTGGGCCACAGCGTCACGCGAGCATGTTCCTTCAGCCAAGCACGCACTCGGTTGCAGGCGGCCGGCCCCAACTCGGGCTTAAGCGCGGAGCCATTAAAGCACGGCCGCCAGCATTCCAGGATGACGCGCAGCACGTCCTGCAGATGACATAGCGCAACACAGCTTGGCCCGGAGAGCATACCAGCGCGGCATGGTTCAGAAGCTGGGTACGGCACGGTCAGCACCACCAGCATCACCATACGCGCTGCCTCGCCTTGGCCGCTCTAGGAGTGCCTTCCCTAGTTCCTTACCGAGAACAACACCCCCACGCACCTCGACGCCGTCCTCCAACGCCCGCGACAGCACCGATTCAGGGAAAGTTGACGAGGAGGAAGACGATGATGCAGGTGCCGGCATCACCGTACCATCAGCTCCTCCTGCCGCTCCCACCTTGCCACTGGCCCCCTCGGTACCATCCACGACGCCGCCTTTGGCTGCCAGCAAACCCCTCAGCCGCGCATTCTGCATCATCAGCCGGCTGCCGCCGGCACCGCCGCCACCTGTGCACCCCAGAACCGGAGCCCAAATTTCAATTGGTAGGAGGAAGGACCGGGCAAAGGCGGCGGGTCAGGGCAGGGAGCCGAGGGTATTGGACATACGCGGATCAATGGGGTTCAAGGATGCGGAGCCATAGTCTTCTGCCAGGCTCGCGAGGCTTCATGCAAGACACTAGCTCCGCTCGTACCCAGCCACTCACCCATGCCACCCTTCTTTCCGCCCTTGCCGCCTCCACCCCCGGAGGCTGTGTCCCGCAGCAGCGTCGGGTTGGCCCCTGCCTCCAGCAGCAACCCCACACACTCGATGTGCCGCTCCCGCTGTGCCAGCATTAGCGCCGTCTGCCGTTCCCCATCCACCGCGCGGTTCAGCTGCGCCTGAGACTCGTCAACCGCCGCACTACCAAAGCAATCAGGGCGTGTCGCAACCTGCAATCGGGTACGGCGACGCCGAGATCGTCAAAACGGTCTTAGTTGAGGACATGGATGCGGGCCAGCGTGCGTCCGGTGGACTAAATACTTCTAAGGTTGTATATACTTTTAAGGCCTGACTTCTGCTCCCGGAGCGTCCGGGTTCAAATCCGCCTGCCGACTCCTCGGGTGTTGAGGAGTGTTGAAATGGGAGGTGGCCCCCCATCTTATGGACGGTGTAGGACGTGATAATATCAACTTGCGAGCTGACCAGGAACTAAGTTGAGGCGCCGTTGATCCGCTAGATTTGGTTGGATGCTGGTGGTGAGTTGCTGAACCCAACGAATACATTCTGAAGTCGGATGGGGTGAACGGATTAGGGTGCCCCTCTAGCAGGGAAGAGCAGGGAACTGCCTCGGGAAAGTGGGCCGCTGGTGAAGCTATACCACCCTGTAACAACATACATACTTGTCAAGCCCATCTCTCCCCAGCTGCCTCGAAACCGACCACGCTACCTTGCAATTCTCCAGCAGCAGCCTCAGTATGTCCACTTGCTTCATATAGACGGCCAGGTGCACGGGTGTGTCCTTGTAGCCATCGGCAGAGACAGGCTCCAGAGGTGCCGCGCCGGCTGCCACCAGCTGCCGCACAAGGCCCACATGTCGCCCCGCGACCGCCCTATTGAAACGTGAGAACACATGGAAATGGAAACGGAATGGTAAGGCACAAATAGCTTGAGAATTGGCAGGCAAGGTGCAGATGCATACTGGCCCCACGGCCATATTCGACCGGCAGCAGGATTAAAAGCCAAAACAACACACAGAACCACAGAAATGGAGAAAGCAGACCCCGAAGCATTCCCGGACAGCGACTGTAGGCATACTAATAAGGCCTGCTGATGTTGGCACAAATCAGAACACCACACTCGTTGGCGCTGCCGCTCTCCAAACTATGCTAAAACCAAATTAAGAACAATACACATTATTTGTCCAGGAAAGCCACTGGGCCCGTCCGCCCTCCTCAGCATTGCCCTTCCCTCCGTGCGACTTCTACACCCATACGCACCTGTACAGCGGTGTCTGTCCCTCGTGAGGCTGCGCCAGGAGCTCCTGCACCGTCAGGCCATGTGCCATCCACCATTTCCCGCATGGGTCCAGCAGCACAGCCGCAGCCGTGTCGTCGCCTATCTCAGCAGCGTGGTGGAGCGGCGGCATGTCGCCTTCGGCTGGCAGGCGGGGGTCGATGAGAGGTAGCAGCTGTAGGGGGACACAGAGGACGGGGCAGCAGCCACGGTACACGACCTTAAGTCTGTAGGAAACTTCCAAACCGAATAGATAGCTATATGTTTTGGGCGAGTAACCCAAGGCCACACATCTGAAACTAACACGTGAACACATCATGGAAGAGAGCGCACCTCCCTCAGCAAATCCATACGGCCCTGCCGCATCGCCCAGCCCAGTGCCGTGGCCTCGTCGTCGGCCTCTGTTCGATCCTTCCTGAACTTCACGCAGGACGCAGCCAGCTGGATGACCAGCTGCCGCGGCGCGTTCCCCTTCAGAGCCAGGATGACGGGGCTCCTAACGGACGTAAGCAGGCGGCCGGGAGTCGTATTACGGTTGCTAACGAGCTTACAGGGATTTGCTTAAAATCAGGCGGGTATGTCCTGATTTGGCGAGGCATACAAGAGCGGCAAATGCAAGTCGCATCCAAGCGCTACACGTTTCGATGGAAAGCACCGGTACCCAATGGGCCATATTTCTTCCTGACACATTACACAGGTATCGGAGAGTTTGGTGTCCACCATTCACGACAAGTAGACAGGCATACAGGTGTTGACGAAGTGGCGGATTGAGGTGGGTAAGGTGCATTGGCCGGGTATGTATGTGCTGGTAGAGGGGTGCGCGGTCACCTGAAGTCAGCGCTATCCGTAGACCTCCTGAAAACATCGCAGGACCCCGCCGCCCAACTTACGTGGAGGTAAGCCTAACTATGCTCTGGTTGCGGCCGTGTGCTGCTTTCACCACCGCCCACGCCGCTTCGCTACCCTGCTCCAGCAGCCGCTGCAGCAGCGGCACTGGCGGCTTGTCGTTGCTAGCCAGCGTCTCCCACGACCATTTCATCCATCCGGGGCTGCCGTTAAATTTTCAGGGGAGTTTAGGTATTCAATCAAGAGTACGCAACAAAGAAACCCAGAGGAAAGGGATCAGCAAACAATATGGTGAGGCTATGGCTGGTGAGATAAAGGGTAGAATTACAGTGTAGAGCACCTCTGAGTCAGAGTGCGAAGCTTGGGTTGGACAGATAAGGATAGGGCGTGTACATATATTTACGAAATGGGTGAAAATGGAAGAAAGGGGTCCCGCAAGTGGTGATAGCCAGGGTCTTAAGTGAGCCCTGCATGCGCCCGTGAAAGTGCAATTCCAACCCATCCTCACCCCAGTGGTCCCCATCCCCAGGTACTCACAGCTCCACTGTAGCCAACATGGCCAACATGTCCAGGTTGTGAAGCTCCGTCGCCGCGTGCCATGCACATTTCCGCAGCGTCGACACCACCGCTCCCAGCAGCTGCACCTCTGCGTCGCATTGGGACCCCGCTGCCGATTTTAGCAGCATCACCAGTGCCGCCGCCTTATCAGAACCCTTGGATTTAGCATCCCCCTGTCGCCATTCCTTGGCCAAGTGGTCCATGAGCGCCTTCGGTGTCATCGCCTCCTTCGCTGTCGCCGTTCGGAGGTGCTGTACAGCCCGCTCAATCGCCGCTATGTCACCGCGCAGCATGACAGCGGCGTCTAGGTGGCCCAGGGCATTGCGAACCGTCATAATGGAGTTCTGAAGCTGTTGTAGGTGTGGGGTCCGCGATACGTGGGTCGGAGCGGCAGCGGCGGCCGCCCGCATGGCCGGTGCCGCTGGTACCGCAGCCGGCGGAGCACGGGCCTTGCCCTGGGCCGCTTCGTTGCTGAAGATCCCCTTAAAGATCATCATGCCACTGCTTGGGGGCAACTGGGCCAGTTGTGGGGTAACCGGTCCAGTCGTCTGCAACGGTTCCGGTGCAGCACGAGCTCTTGAACCTGATGTCACGGCGTGTGGGGCTCCTGTCCGACCTGGGGGAGGAGGAGGCGCTGTCGCTGCTGCCGCTGCACCTGGGGCCACTGGAGCGGGTTTTATATGGCTGTTTCCTTTAGGAGAGACTGTCGACGCTGCTTTTGCTGCCGCGGCCGTCACCGGCACCGGCGCCTTGTCGTGCAAGACATCCGCTCTAGGAAGAACGATGAAACGTGAGGCGGCAGGCCGTGGCATGCGTTCAGGATTTTCCATCATGACGAGGCTGACGGGGTCATTCAGGTGCTCGTCCAACCTGAACAAGGATATTGCAAAAACGAGCATGAAAGCGAACACCGGGCGATCTCAGCTTGTAGCACGTGCTTCAGCCAGAGGCCGTTGCATGAAAGGGAGCTTTGCACGAATTGAATGCGAGGTACTCATGCAACACAGAGAGCTGGCTTCGGGAACATCAATAAAGATACAAGGCGTAAGGCGCAGGATGCATCCTGCCGCCGACGCCGGAACCCAGATCGGGACCCAGATGGGGGCTTCCCAGAAGGGAGCGCAAAATGGGACCCAGCCTCCGGACCCAGATGATGACCTAATTCAAAACCTGCATACAGGCCCAGACCGGAACCTAGGCTGAAAAGCCTCACGGAACCTGGGTCTCATGTTTCCGAATCCCTTCCTTGCCCTTCCCATTCACCCCTTCCTTTCCTTCCTTACATTGCCTGCAGTAGTGACCCCCGAATCACCCAGCCCTCCGGGTCGATTCCAAGAGCCTCCGCAACTGCCGGCTGTGCTACCAGCTGGTCGCAGATGGCCAGCGCCCTCCGCTGGCCTGCCCACCCCGGCTTGGTGAGCACCCAATTCAGCGGTGCCACAGCTTTCAGCAGCTCCTCTAACCACTCGTCCATCTCGGTGTTGCCCTTGTCCAGCAGCGCCTCCACCGGGGTAACGCCTGCCAAACGGCTTTGACTGCGGGATTAACATGGGAAAGGTAAGGAAGGACAAGGGAGTGTGGGAATTCTTGGGTGCCCTTAACCTCGATTTTTTGCCAGTCTTAGCCCCTGTCCCAAGCTCCCACTCCTGTTTCAACTTTCATTTACCTATCAACTAATTGTACTTGTTCTGCAGTTGATAAAAATCGCATGTATTGGTTACCATCCGCTCCTATCTTTCAAACCCGGTGTCCTTAAACGCTTACAAGTCCACAACCGCAGCTGGCCGGCGTTCGCAGATGAGCCGAACAACCGCAAGCCCGCGCTCCAGCATCTCCTGCGCCTCGTCGCTGTCCTCCGACTCCTCAGTACAAGAGTACGTCCGCAGCACGACTTCATGCAATAGGCTATTGTACACCACGTTATCGGTGGCAGCCGGCTGCCAACGCAATAGCGTCCAATCGCCCAAACATTGACCGGGGGACTCCAGGAGCCGCACGATGTTCTGCGGAGAGGCAGAGCGTGGGCCGCCGGGCCGGTCAATGATGCCCCAATCTCTAGCTGGGATAATAACTAGGCCAGGTCGGAGTTGGATTTAAAAGCTTGGAAGTAGGTTCAAGTCCCCGGCGGATTTGTGAGGGACCGGTGCCAGGCGGGAAGCGGATAACGGTCAAAAGGATGTTTGCATGGGCCTCGCGCCTATGCCAGCGCAGGGCCGCCTAACTACTCGAGACAGGAAATACGTACGCGGGTAATATGTATTTGGGAAAAAAAAACATGGTCCCACGGCGACAATTGCGTCGCTTCGATCGGGTCCTCTTACAAACATTCTAAGCGGACGCTTCGCAGTTCCCATTCGCCCGCATCAATACTTGCCTTGAGCATAGGCGCGTTCAGCACCTCCACTGCCGCGCACTCCACAAGTTCTGCCGCTTGGGAGCGGGTCAGCGGCTGGCCGCAGGTCTTCAGTTGCTCCAACGCCGGACGTAGTTCACCAAAGTTTTGGTGCCGCACGGCGCCGCATGCGGCCCGGACCAAGGACTTTGGACAGGCCGTCGCCGCAGCCTGCACTGCTGAAGCTGCTGGTTTTGGCGGTGGCCGTGGAAGTGGCGACGCGGCCGACTGTACAGCCATATCCGGCGGTTGTTGCTGCTGCAGAGGCGATGGAACGGCTGGAGGTGTAGCGATGGTGGCAGTTTTGGCTGCTGGGGTACTGAGGATTGCCTGCAGGGGTGGCATCGAGCAGAAAAAAAGTTTGATAATGCTGTCAGTGACAAAAGAGGCCCATGATTTGAGCAGCTGCAGAATTGCTTCGTTGCTCCTATCGACCGAAGGCCCAGCCACAGCTATAACATGTATTTCGGGTTATGGCGTCCCCGAAGCAGGTCAGCTCCGAGCAAGCTGTAGTTCTCTGGCCCTTACCAAGGCAGTCGCCAAGGGCCATAACCGGGCAATAACTAGGGTTGGTAAGCCCTTCATCCGCGGGGAGCAGTCCATTTGCCTTGCGGCAAAACATAATCCGGTTGCGACCCAGAACCACAGATCCTAAATTGAAAGCGCGCGCCACCCAGCAGGGTATGGGGCGGGTTAAACACCGCTGAGCATAATGACCCAATCCTTCATTCCCATGCCAGGAACCGTGCGTGCTTGTTATGTCTACCGTGTGGTAATACCCCAGCCGCAACACCTGCGACACGAAACGTAGCAAACACGCAGGGTCCTGGCACAGAAAGCGATGAATTGCGTCCTCTTCCTCATGCAAAGTCACGGGCTGATTCAATGTATCGGCATAAGCATCGTAGGTGCCAGGGCGTCGTGACATTAAACCTATCAGTGGCCCTTTGCCGAAACCAACTCACGACGCCACACCCGATCTTACCGATGTACCCAAAGAAACATGTAGGAAGTTGCATTTGTCTCCGTATCTGCAGTGTCCCAGCTGCGTGAACCACCTGCATGGCTTGGTTTTGAAGGCTTGGTTCTGTGGGTTGAGGGCAAGATCAATGTGTTCAACAACAACATGATTTTTGAAGCATACACAACAAGATGCTAAGCAGATTAACAACAGATGCTAAGCAAATTTCGACAAGTGCTCACCGAAGTCGACGGCTCTGCAGCCTCCACAGATCTCGCTGGCGGCAGCTCGCCTGTATCGTGTGCGAACTGGCATTTATATCCGAAAGCGCATGGTTCCCCAGCCTTCCAACACTTACACGGCACCGATTTGTGCTTAAGTCCCCGGGAGGTCATGGCCAACAACCAACTGATCTAATGATGTAACAATTTAGTAAATACGTGCATATTGTCAAAGGTCAAAATCGCCGGGAAATGCTAATTGCTACATGAAGATGCCGACCGATGTAGACAAGAGGGTTTGCCTCCAAAATCCTGTGTAAAGCCTTGCATATTACTCTCGCCCTCAAACAATTTTATGAAACGATACTGTGCATCAGGAAGCTTATGATTAGGAACTAGTCGTATCTGCCACCTTGGGGTAGCAGTCACGGGTCCGATACTGCCCAACTGATGCATCAATATCCTAAACTGTCGGGTTCATCTAGATGTAGGCCAGCTGATCTGTGAACTTCGGAACCGATTTGATGATGACTGGGAAAGTGAGCGGTTGACAGTGGATCCAGCTTTGTTTGTTTCAGATAATAGGCAACCAGGGGTAAAGATGTGCCGCTATAAGCATTGGATGGGTTTGCCCAAGCATGGCAGCGGCTATATCTCGCCAAAACAGCACGTCACGCTGATGCGTTTCAGGATGTGTGTTTGGCCTTTGGCGGTTAATCGACCGCACGGTAGGGAACGGTCTGCCCGGTGGTGCCGGGTCTGTGGGAACCGGCAAGCTGTTGAAGATGAATGTCATGTGCTGCTAGATTGTCCTGCGTATGCGAATATCCGTTTGAAGCTTTGGGACCTGGGGGTTACTCCTGGGTGTGTGTGGTTGTTACAGTGGGCTCCAGACTCCCGAAGAGTAGAGCCATCGGGCCAGCTGGCCGTGCACTGCAGTAGAGACTAATATACCAAAAGATTATCATCTCAGATAATTAACCTCTCATCGGTAACCGCTCTCGCGAACATAGCAATTTGCCAGATATAATCCTCAAAAAGGGGTGATGTGCGCCAACGGAATCCCAACCTTTTCGTGGAATTCCTAAAGCTGCGAAACTCTGAACACGGCCCCAAAAGTCAACAATAACTCGACAAATTGCTTCTTCCGTAAGGGAAGGACCAGGTAACAGTGCCGGGTTGGTTTTCATGTTTGCAGCCATATAACGTCTCCCATGCTCCATGGCTGACACCGCAGCAAGAGCCACAACATCCCAAACACATTGTTGCACTGATTGTGGGGCTTGGATAAGCCAAAGTTGCTCCCTTGAGATTGGCAATCCTATTGAAAGAGTAAGTTGATCTGCTATTGCCTGCGCCACCGGACAGGCCCAGAAATGATGATAGCGAGGGGATACACCTCCCACTGAACCTATTGGATAACCTCCACAACCACACATCGTTGGGCGCGACATCCTAAGATGGGAATTTCCTAACATAGGCACCCCATCAACCGCGAGACGCCACCAAACCTCTTTTTGTTCATTTTCCCACCGTAAATGAAACCATAAACGATGGAATGTCCGTTGCAAAAGAAGAATAGCTTCATCCAATATCTCAGAAGAACCCGTCGCCTCTTTGATGAAAAGGGTATGGGCCACACGGCGAGCCATCGAAAAAGGTGAAAGTTGCATATTAGTCGCTATTTTAACGGATAAATGTTGGAATCGGATTGGAGGCCCTACACCCCATCTCCAACCAAGCCTCGACAGTAGGGTTTGGGTAACCGACTCAATAGGGGGCACCATCGCTTCCCTAGATTCTACACTCAACGGCAACAAAAGACTAGCCGCCTGTCTCCAATTCGCTGGAATATCATCTAGAAGAGCGCCAATAGCATCCATACATTCCTGCCATTTACGATAGGTGCACAGGGATTTAGCTAGTGGGGTTTGCGGTTGGAGGTATTGATCCACTATTTGATGCCAAGCCTTGCGTATTGCTAGGCCTGCTTGGTCCGTTGCATTCATAACTCCATCCAAGGCTTCGCGCGCGCAAAGAACATCCCCCAACGTATGCAATGCCTTACAGCCCAGGAGGGCTTGATGTCGAAATTCTAGTCCCGGGCGGATGTTATCTAACTGGACATTCAACCTTTTTTCTGGAAGAACAGGGTTTCCCCACAATGGCAAATTCCAACACCACGCATTAGGAACTAACGGGTGGTCATCAACATCTTCCACTGGGGGAAGGTATGCCAACGCTGTCACAATGCGCTGAACATCTGGCGGTAAAACGATTAATCCAAACCAAGGCACTCCCACCTGGGACGTAAAAATACACAAAGGATTATATTTGGGGTAAAGGCTATGTAGGAAAGAGTGCATGACCATCACCCAAGGCGGACGCACTAAAACTGGTTGGAGTACTGCTCTCACAAAACGCACTGCCCAGCACGCCCATCGCGCTTGTACATGTTGTCGTACTGCTAATGCCCCAAAACCGCCCAAAGTTGGATGGCCATATAACAAATATTTAGGAACCCCGGTGAGTCGTCTTTCTTGTGCGACCGGTCCGAGGTTCCTATCAATAAGCTTGGCCGCTTTAGCCTCAATATTCATGAGTTGAGCTTCTGGGGGAAACCCCCCGTGTTCCATATGCCACGTAAAACGATGCAGCCCATATGCAGCCGCTGCATGTGCACGTCCAAAAATGGAAAGATTTAACACCGAAATGCGTCGAAACCGAGCCCAGACTTTGTCTAGTTGCACATCCCAGTCTCTGCCTGTGGTTTCTCCCACATCCGTAAAAGGTAGATTGAGAGCCGTAGCCATATGTACGACCTTCATGTCATGATTTATTGTTATATGACGTGGGTGGGTGCCGAGAGGTAACAGCTCAACCTTATCCAGGTTAAGTTGCTGTCCAGAAGCCTGTGCGTACACCCTCATACAGTCAATGAAAGCCGGAATTGCTTGGATTCCTTCTAAAACAACTTCCGTGTCATCAGCAAATTGTACACCTGTAACCATTTCTGAATAATTTTGGGGTAAATGAATCCCCACTCCTGGGAACCGCATGATCGAGATTATGGGCGTCAAGGATCAACGCGGGTTAGCGCGCGTCTTGGACGACATTAGAAAATGCAGGTTGCAGTACGTTGAAGATTAATCAATCTGATATTGTTGGGTATTAGCATTATTTCTTTTTTGAGTTCCTGTTTCCAGTTTGGCGGTTCATGAGCCTTTTGGCTCGTCTGGACCGTACAAGCTTGAAGCTTGTAAACGTAAACGGGTTCATCGACGGTCTGTGTTCATTACTCTAAAGTTTACGTGGCGCGTTTTGTATGGACGCCCTTAGACACCATAGGATTTGTAATATCATAGGCCATAGGATTTGTAATGTCATATGTTAGGGCCATAGGGCCATAGGATTTGTAATGTCATATGTTAGTGGGAGGTTGCTGACCAGCGGGTCGAGGATTTTCCTCAATTAAAATTTTCCGTCCGAGGCATCCACAAAGCTTTCAAATAAGGGCGCTTTAATACTTAGAGAGTCTATACACGTCTGCGCATCAAATTTTCTTCACGTTACATAGCCCTTCTTGCTGCTCCTCTATCCTGCATTCCCTAGACCCTATCTGCATGTGAACACCCAGAGATTATGACATCCACATACAGTAAAATTTCCACAAACGTGATAGTAAATACATAATGGACCTTAAAAAACCCATGTGGCGTCCTTGTCGCGACCTCTGACACCGCTTGCATGTAGATAGCCCGCTGCCATACTCTTCGCAACTGGTTCACGAGGTGAGGAGTGTCTCCATAGCAGCGCTCAATTGCAGCTGCAGCTGCTGTACCTCCTGCAGCATATCCTGCGTTCGCACACACAGGTAGAGCACAGCAATCCGGAGAGCAGACGGGCCGCACCAGATCACACTTCAGGAGAACATGTCGCATATGAACAACTACGCAATCCGGCCCCGAATAAGCGCTTCCCGCTAGGTGGGCATGGGTGCACAACGCGAAAGAGCCGCAAACCCAACTAGCATGCTCGAGAGCCGTTGCATCAGAGTCATTGCGTTGTTGGCGTCCAAACTGGGTGCACCGCGCTGTGAAGGACTGGAGATGCCACTGCTAGAGCTGTACAATACCCCTCAGCTGCACAACGCAAAGTATAACGCAGCCCTGGGGTATCTTGGCTTCCATGGGCGCCGTAGTAGGTGTGAAAATGCATCCGGACTTGGACGCATGCCCGTAACTCATGCATGTGCGCCACCATGCGCACCCGTCCAAGTCTGCGCTGACAACCTATCGGTCACGGCTAAAACCCCACCTGCAAACACACGCCGCTGGCAGGCTCCGCCTCGGCCGCAGCCGTCCCCTTGGCCGCGTCCACCACGCAGGTGCGGGCCTTGGCTAGCCCCGAGCTAGCAGACCCTGATCTCCTTGCTGTCGCATACGGCTGCTGTTTTTGTTGCTGATGTCGTTGCTGCCGCTGCTGCGTCAGCAACGTACTCTCCAGCAGCTCCAAGGTAGTGTCAACGCATCGCTGCAGCGCATCACCCGCCACCTCCAGCCGCTCCAGTCGGGTGGCCACCAGTGGGTTGGGACTCAGCAGGGTGAGGCGGCGGCCGACCTGAAGCAAATCGGATAATAGAAAGGAGCGGGTGGAGAAGAGAAAAGAATGGCCAGGAAAACTTGGGTAAGTTGGTCGCTCAGCTCAAGGTGATGTACGGTGTTCCAACCACCTATTCATGAAGACGACGGCATGCTGGTTGACGCCCATCTCAAACCGTCAGCCCACAAGAGCCGGAGTCTGGACTAATGCCTCTCTACAGCAGGATCAAAATCCCCTTGGGGATGCAGATGTGGCGACACAGACATAGCGCCCCTGGCCCACATCAGCATTTGTAATGCATCGAAGCACGGACACACTTAACGTTCCTGATCCACTTCGCGATTGAAAACGGCATCAATCCATTCCGAGGACGTGGCGATCATCGTGCAAGTAACACCCATTCGGTGGTCCCTACCTGCTCACACCAGAGCTCAGAAACCTCAGTCACGTAGCACTGGACCTGGTCAAGAGCAATTGATGAAGAGGCATCGCCGCCGCTGGCACCCATGTACGACAACTCTGCCTCGCAGCCATACACCCCGTACGGTGACAATGTCACGACGCAGCACCAGCCGAGGGCCCCCTCCCAGACCAGCGACCCAGCAGTGGGGATTGCTGCTGGGAAGCAATGTCCCGGCTTCGGAGCACCTGCACGCATGCAGTACATATGCCTTACAGGAAAAGGAATCTGGACATGACAATCAGGACATCATTCACAGGCGGAGCTGCAAGGAGACAACAGAGGAGAGCCGGGAGCAAAAAAACATGAACACGATGCATAAGCCAGAAATAGCATGTATTATACTGAGCGGTACAACCTCGTCGGCGATTTACTCAATATTTTCGGTCTCCAGCACGGCAGGTCAACCCCCAGCAGCCACCATCCACATCTGGACCTATAAATGAGAAGGCTCACCTTCCCCTAACATCCATTCCTTACCTGTCCTGTTCCCACCAACCCTGGGAACTCGAAACCCCGGTATCGCCAACAGACGCGTCCGGAGGGCCTCGCACATATTGACATCAGGACTGCTCCGTCCCTTCTTGCGCCCAGCCGGGGAAGAGGTGACCAGCAGCAGACTGCGGGATGGCGTCAGCAGCTGACCTGGAAGGGGATGAGGAGGCGGAAGCGCTGCTGCCACGCCTGACCTGCCTGGAATGCTGCTGGAGCGGGGCATGGCGGCAATCTTGCTGTCCGTCTGGTGCTGCGGCTGATGTTGCTGGTGATGCGTTTCCTTTTCACCCACCGCGCTGTCGGTTAGCGACAGAGGTGACGGCAATAGCAGAGTGTCAAGATCCACTACGACAGGACCCAGATCGAGCACCTTGACCTGCAGGGGCTCTCCGCCGCCGCTGCTACTGTGGCTATTACTGCTACTGCCTCGGCTGCGATAGCCACCGTCGCCGCTGCAACGGAGATGCCCGCGTGTGGCCAGGACATGAGCCGTCATCCGCACCACTGCCCCAAGCTGCAACACCCGAGCCCTGCTGCTACCGCCCCTAACGACCCCATTGCCGCTGCAGATGCTGTCCACCGGTGTGGGACTGTCTCCACTACCACCGGCCTGGTTGTGTCGTGTGGCACAGGTGCCACTGTCACCACTAGCATAATCGCTATCACAGTCGCTATCGTCGCTGCTACTGCTGCTGCTGCTGCTATTCGGGTACGAGGAGGGCGGTTCCAAGTCATAGCGGTCACCAGAGGACGAGCAGGAGGGGGGATCCCACGCGTCAAAGAGACTAGGTAGCGGCCCCAGGGCGACCTGCAGGTCCCGGCCCGGGCTTTCGTTCCCAGCGGGGCCCGAACCTGGGCCACGTCCAGCTCCAGGGCAAGCCCAGCTGTGTCCTGCATATCACGTTCACGGTAGTAATGCGTGCCAGCCCAGGCTCGGATCAGGTTGCATTAATTGTCGGGTCATGCCTTGCCCCCACCATCCTTCTCCTTGTGCCATAATACCGGCAGCGTCCTCACCGGCTCGCAGCCCAATGCAGCCGGTTCACGCGTGTGCAGCCGCTCTTAAAAGGCCTACACCCAAAAATAGTTAGTGATCCGAACTGGCTGTTCCTCTTGCGGTCCAATCCCTTGGCAGCCTTGCCCTATATTGCCTGGGGCTCTGTGTGAATCAACATCAGTCTGATGGACAGTGGCTTACCCCGTGCCGCCGCCGCTGCTGCTGCCAGTCCCAACAGGTCCCCCAGCGGCACCCCAGCCTCCACCACTACCCGCCGCCGCCCTCCCTGCAGCACCGACCACCGGGCCCGCACATTGCCCAGCGGCAGTCCTGCGGGACAGTACACCAGTAGCGCCACGTCATCCAGCTGCAGCGGGGGCGGAGCCGCCGGCGCCGCACTTACGTCGCCACATAATGATGCTGCAGGTGTAGTTGTATTTGCGTTGGTGGTAGTGGTAGTTAGGTATGGCGCTGCTCCGGTACCGCGAAACGCGGCGCCAGCGGCACCGTCATCACCAGAGCCATCGTCAACGGTGACGTCATCACACCCACCCACCAGTCGGAGTACTGCCTGGCGCCAGACGTCAGCATCGATGGAGAGGGGGTGGGCGGGGCGGCAGGAATGCGGGCATGCGACGTGTTTGGGGCCCCACCGTCCCGAACCAATTCTTACAGCGTTAACTTCTAGACTTTCTAAAGTCCAGAGTGCTTTTTCGACAGCTTTAAAAATGACCTCTAACAAAAGCATAACGGCGGGCGACAGTCCTGTACATCGCGGCGTATTCTACAAGGTAGAAGCGGGGCGATTCTGCTTGTGCCACGACACCCCTTGCCGGCCGACCGTTAATGATTTTTGGCGGGGTCGACGTCAAAGTGCATGTGGACGGATAAGGCGCATCAGGTGCGCCATGCTCGCGGTACACACCTGCAGGACCCAGTCACTCCCATGGCGCGCTTGCGTTATAGACTCCAATACCAATGACCAAGATACGTCTTGGACTGTCAACTGCGTTTCAGGCGGATTAACGTTGGCGCCACCGCTGCCGCCGTCCTTCATGCCAGCACCCGGCAGCATAGGCACCGTCCTCGTCCTAGCCGCCGCCGCGGCCGCCGGCCCCATCACCTGCGAAGCCACGACAGAACCACCCCCGGGCCTACTTCCCCCGGAAGCAGCCATGACCGTGAACCTATCAGCGACGCCGCGGACCGCCGCTGCGGTCTCCGCCGCCACCGGAACCTGTTCATCGCCTAAAAGCTCGTCCAGAAGCCTGTCCATGGCTGCAGATGCACCCCCAGCCACTCCACCTTCTAATGACGCACGGGTCACACCCGTGGGCGCAGCGCCCGGCTGCTGCAGCTGCTCTTCCCGACGCTGCAGCAGGCGGAGCTCCTCCTCCAGGTCCATCAGCGGGTCCAGCAGTGCAGCGCGAGAGGGCGGCCGGGCACCTGATGAACCGAAGGTGGGCTGAGGCCGCTGTCCGGCATCCGCGAGGAGGCGCTCCGTCTGGGCGGTAAGGTGCGTCATTCGCCCAAGTGCAGCCCGCTGCTCCAAGGCATGTTGGAAATCTGGAGTCAGGGGCATCACGGTGGGGGATGAGGTGAATTGAGGTGAGGTGAGCCGGCGACACGGCACAGCAGCAACAGCAGTAAGCGGCATTAAGACAGGCGCCATGCATGGCAAAGCGCCACACACGACAGCATGGCCTCCGAGGTCCCAAACGCTGCTCTTGCCGCTTCCGCCTTGACTCTCCTCACTTTGTCGCCCCTCTCACCATAGCGTCCCTTTTCGCGTATTTCCCCGCAAAGCAGCCCCTCCCCTACTGCGCACCCGCGTCCCATCGCCGTGACATGTGCACCAACACCTTAACCATCGCCGCCTCTCGCGCACCGCCGCCGGTGCCGGCCCCCTCCCCGCCTCGGCCAGCGCCACCGCCACCGGCCAGCTCCCCATCTGGAATCTGCTGAGGCTGTCCCACCCCATCCCGGGCCTGTTTCAGGGGCCCGTCCAACTGCACGGCGCTAGTGACGGCACCGGCGGCGAAGGGCGGCGAAGGAGCGGCCGCTGAGGCACCGGCGGTGGCAGCTGAGCCAGTTGCAGGCAGGAGGACCTGCGGTGGCAACGATTGCACCTGCAACCAGCGGACCGCGTACCTGTAACATGCGCTATTAAACTGATTAAGGGTACTTCCATGCTTCAAATTCCCGTTGCTCACTTCCTTCCCTTCTCCCGAAAGGGAGCCGCGCGAACAGTACCTACACATCCCCCGACTTCCTGCCCCACCCAATCTCCTCGCCCCGAAACCACCACCATCCCCAGGCTACCTCCGCAGGCAGTACCATCGCTCGGCTCCACGGGCCCAGTCTCATGGGCCCCAGTGCACATCGGACTGCGCTGCCTTTCCCACCACAACCACTGCCCTCGCCCTCGTAAGCCGGTGCCTCATCGCAGGGATGGCCTCCGTCCCCCAGATCCTGGTGCTCGTGGCGGTCGCGCTGGTACTCGCGCTGGTGCAGGTGCTGGTACTGGCTGCTGTATTGCTCTTCATACCCGCGCTGAAGCGCCGGACGTTGGCGCTGCGTGTACATGTGGCCCCAGCTGCCCCAATCATCGTCCTCCTCCTGCAGCGCATCCTGCTGTGCCACCACGTCATCCCGGGTTATCCGACCTTGATTGTCGTACAAATATGCTCCGCCGTGCCGAGCAACGTCGTGCGCTCTCTCTTCCCGCTCCCAACCCGCGTCCGCGCCTCCCACTCCGCGTAACTGCCCTTCGAGGGTCTCCAGGACCACCACTGCAGCCGGGCACACCAGCACCGCATCACACCAGGCCCCGACCCCACGGCTGCTGCCCGTCGGCGCCAGGGCAATGTTAAGAGCCGAAGGAAGAGACACCGGCAGTACCGAGTGTACACCTGGTATGGCGAGCAACTGCTGCAAGGCCCAGCAGGCGGCGGTGGCGGTGGTGGAGGACGGCTCCATAGAGGCTGCAGCTGTCGCTGCTGTGTGCTTCCTCCCCGCCGCTGCCATCCACAGCTTCCGCGCTGTCTGCCGGCCGTCACACTGCACACGTATCACCACCAGGCTCCGCGCCGCGTCGCCGCAGAGCACCGCTGCAAAAGTCGCCGCCACCGCTGCTGCGGGCCTGCTGCTCCCATTACAGTCATCATCTTCATCATGTCCCCTTGGACCGCAGCCCTGATCCACCCTGGACTGTCCTGCGCCCTTGCCGCCGCTACTACCGCCAGCACCGCAGCCGCTGCTGCCGGTGATGCGGACCTTCTTCAGCGGGTGTATGCTGCACACGGCCCCTGCAGCCAATATGGGCAAAATGTGGGCAATAAGGCCCCGCGGGCAGGGCCGGGCGATGGTTCCACATCCCCCGCCATGGCCCCACCAGCATCTCCCCACCCACAACTGCACCAAACGTATGGATGGGCATCACGCCAATAATAATATGCTACCATAGGAGGTTCGTGGCCAACCGGGCCTTAAGCTCGGCCTGAAGCAGTCCCGAATATCCCGGGTCTCACAGTTCAAACGATACCCACACGTTATTAAAGTGTCCAGTGCAACATGTGACTGAGAAGCGGCTGGGGAAACGTTGTGCGATGTGCCGCCTTCTCATCTGCACCTTTCTAAGATTATCCGCTAAAACGCCACCCACCCAAAGCAGCACTTACAACCACTCCTCAGGGGCCACTCCGCTGGTGTGTACATGCATGTGTGGCCAGGGTCTTGGATCCCACGGGTTGCTCACCTGGCAAGCTAAGTTGCGCCTTTAACTCCAAACCCGGCGCCGGCTCCATTGGCTGCTTGTCCGCGAGTACAGTCCCCCGGGCCGTGGGTGCTGCACCGACAGCGGCCCGAGAGCCCCTCGCTGTGAGACGACCCGCTTGCAGCTCCGAGACCACGTCCTTTGCATTCGTTAGTGCGCCTGGGCACGAGGGCGCCAGGAGGCACAGGCGCCCGCAGACGCTGCCGACCAGCCCCGGCGGGCCAGCCGCATCCGTGGCCGCTATTGCTACTGCTGCCGCCGTGTCGGAGACAACAGTGGCCGCTGATGCGCGGCTGCTACAGCCCGTCCGCCGCGATCTGCCGGTCCGGGCGAGGCGAGGCAGCGGACAGCAGGTCGCGATCTGCATACGCAGCCGCACAGATGCCACCACGGCTGCTGAAGCCGCAGCGGCGCTAGGTCCCGCAGGGGCCATGGCGGTGCCTGCGCCAGCGCTCGCTGACGGCACCGTACGGCAAACGGCCCCAGCGGGGTCCTGCGTACCGATAGTCTCACCTGCCGCTGCGATGGCGTTCCTCGCAAGCGGCCTCTCTGCTGGAAAACTGAACCTCAACAACACGGAACATCCTCCGTTGCCGTCGCCACCGCTATCGCCGTCGTCGGCGCCGTCGGTCCCTGTGGCGCCCACCACAGCCACCTCCAGTAAGACTCGTCCTGCATGACTGCAGCACGACAGCACCCGGCAGCCCCTGGGTGTATCTCCCCTCGCTGGGGCCATTTCAACTGCCGCCACTGCAGCTGATAGGTCCAGGTCCAGACAGCGCAGCCCAGCGTGGCCGCGCGGCGGTGCTACAGTCCCAGGCTGGCCGCCTAAACGTGGTGCCTGAAGCGGCTCCAGAGCTGATTCAAAGCCCAGCAGCAGCACTCGGGTAGGAGAGACTTGCACAGCGGCCCAGGCGCCCTTGCAGGCGAGGATGCCGCACCAGCTGGCGCTGGGGCCAGTGCTGCCCCGGACCGCACGCGGATAGCCGCCATGCATGTCCCTGGCGAAACAGCTGCCGCCGCCGCCGTTTCCCCCCTTTTGAGATGTATTCACAACTGGCGGGGACACGTCCAGAGGGGTTGGCATACTGGCGACTTCACGGAGGGTCGCAGTGACAAGTGAACAGTGAGCGGCTGAGCTAGAAGGGCCCCCATTAGAGGCGGCGGTTTCGGTGCAGTGTCCCTTGGCATTGCCGAGCGCGTGGCTGCTGGGATAGCTGGTAGGTGCTTCGGATGGAGGACGGGTGTGAAACGAGGGCAAGCAGCGCCGAGCATCGCACGTCCACGTGTGAATTGCCGCGCGTTGCTGCTGCTGCAGCAAGCCTTCAAAGTGAGCGCTGGTGCTCCCGCGGGCAAACGGTTGGTCCGCGGTACTTAGTCCGATGTCATGTGCAGCTGGTGCGGACGCCGTGATGAAGACGGAGCGGGGCCCGGACATGCCATAGCCATGGACAACGCCTGCCGCGAGAACTGTGTGATAGGGTGGAAGAAGGACCGGCTTCGCGGGGGCAAGATGTCTAGTTTGGCCGTGGCTGGGAGACTCTAAGCTGTGTGGGTAAGCGTTGAGGAGCTCCTGAGCAACCACACGCCAGCAAGGTGGTTGTAACTTATCATCAAAGCATGCATCCAATACCAAACCGTCTGGATCGAGCCATGTGAACGCGTTTTCCCCATTTTGCATACTGCTGGCAACGACTCGTCTCGACGGCTACCAAATGCCCTGCATTACCATGACTGTCCCGAGTATGATCAGTCCTGAATCGGATGAAAGTGCAATCGTCTATGGAAGGTACCCGGAACGGAATGACTGCGACCGAGACGGCAGAGGCTTCCCGCGTTTCCGTTGGCAATCCGTACAAGCGGTCCCCATAAATAAAGATCCGTCTCCTAAGAGTCCGTCGGAGATAATAGGATGACTCACCGATGCGCAAATATTCTGAATGATGCTGCTTTGCGGCAAGGACTGCCCGCCAGAAAGGTTTTGCTCGGCCAACGGTCGTGAGCAGGGCTCAAAATGTATGTGAGACCATGGCGCACGTAGCTCCATAACCGTATTTGGAAAATATTGCAACAATTATAGTATGGTTTGTGCAAGTGCGTGGACAGGACAGTTAGCGCGCTTAGGATTATTGCATCGCCAACGCGCCAACTCAGTAATCGGCCGCCACAATGCGGAAGCAGCCGAATCCATGCTAACGGAAGTTTCAATTTGCCGGCATGCACATGCTGAGAATATCGACACACGTATGACAAAATTGTTTGGATTCCCCCCTTCTGCCGTATGCAGTCACCCACAACGGCTGTATGTGCCAAGTTGTAAATCACTGCAACATGATGGTCATGAAAAACTGTTTGGTTAATCATGCTAATTGGGCCTGTACTCACGGCGTGACCTCAGAACGGTAGCGAAAAGCTATGATGGGGTCAACATTAGGGTTTGTATTTTTTCTTGCTAACAATCCTAAGTTTACAGACGGACAAATTAGTTTGCCTTATGCTATTGCTCAAGCTCCGACCGAACTTGACCCCATGCTGACGTAGAATAATGCTGACTATTTGCTCAACACATCAAAAATTTAGATAATCTGTCGACGCGGATGACCTTGCGTTTATGTCGGGGGCGCCGGGTGGGGTCGACTATCCGCGCGGTAGTTACGGTCTTGTCGTTGTTTGCAGCCTTGCATGCGTCAACTGTGGCAGCGCGTTCGACCCGAGCACGAAGGCTCAACGAAATTCATGGATGCCAGCCTAATGAAGTTCCTCGAAAGGAGCGCTGCGCATTTGTGCGCGCACACACATCATGCCGTCCCGAAGACGGCTGGATACCTTACCTTGAGGTGCACTATTGCTACCTCGCGCAAATGTGAGCTGGAGGTGGCCCCTGCCAATTGTGCCCGATAAGTTCCTGCCCTCAAGCCAGCGCGTTGGCCTTAACAGGCTAGCTGTCTAAAGGAGCCCCCAGGAAACTGACCGAAACCGCCTATATGCTCACAACGCGACTGCAGAGAGCTGGCCTCCACTGCCCTATTCCTATTGTGGATTGCCATCTTGTTCGGGTTGATGCTCTTGGTGGCGGAACGGTTCTTTTGCCCCAGCCTGGAGCTCATTTCCGAGTACCTACGGCTGCCCCCCTGTGTGGCCGGCGCCACATTACTAAGCTTCGGCAACGGCGCACCCGACGTGTTCACCCAGCTGGCAGCTATCAGCCAGGTCGGTTATCTTGGTTGTATCGTTGACAGGTTTAACGGTTATGTTCGGACTGGTCGACGAGCTGGGGCAGGCCCCCTGTGAAGCCCTTGGTATGCCCCCTCTCCCGAATCCCCATCCGGAGCGCAACCATTCCACAACCACCCCAACCGTTATTCCCTTCTGTTGAAATCCATCCGCTATACCCAGATCACTGCTAGTCGACATCTCTGCCCATCTCTGCCCAGATCACTGCTAGTGACATGGTCCTTGCAGCCTGCATGGCGAGCATTACCTTGCAAAGTATCTCAATTACCACCGCTTTGGCCACGACCATCGCCTCCTCTCCTGTGCCCACGTGTTGCTTCCCTTCCTTGCCATTCTGTCCGTCGTTCTGTGTTTGCCCCTGCAGGGTGACAGCGACAGCAGCTCCCCTGGAGCCATCGCCATGGCGCTCAGCGAGCCCCTAGGCAGCGGCCTGTTTGTGGGCAACATTGTGTTCGGGCTGGTGGTGCTGTTCTCCGGGCTGCAGGAGGTCGGGGCGGGGCAGGGGGTGGACGGGCCGGGTGATGTTACGCCAAAGCCAAAGAGACAGCTGCCGACGTCAGACGGGGTGGGTAGGGCGGATGGGTACGCGACGTGCGACTCTTTTGGGAGAGATGCATATGCTATGACGCTTTAGGGGGCCGCTGCACTTGGGGCCTGATGGTTTGGCTGGGGCGGGGCGAACCAGGAGGAAGGAGGTGGTTGCGCACTGGAGTAAGTTTTCGCCACCCAAGCACTACATCTTCGCATCACTCTTGGCTATCCTTCCCAACCGTGCATTTCCCCCCGGCCCCATGGTGACCGCACACCCCCTGCAGGTGAAGGTGCAACGGTCCTATTTCCTGAAGGACTGCTTGTTCTACCTGGGGGGTGTGGTCACCGTGTTTGCCTTCCTCATACACGGAGTGGTGAGCAGCTGACCGGGCCGGGTTGCTGGCTGAACGGCTGGGTAGAGTGCGGCCGGAAGGGTCTTGGGCGGGAACGGGTCAGGAGACATCGCTTTTCGGGGAGAAGGTTAACGAGGAGTGTATAGCAAACGCTGATTGATATTCAGAAAGTTGTTTAGAGGAAAATGATGGAGCTGCTTACCCTTGTGGCCAACGCCAACGCCGCCCTGGGGCCCCCGGCCCTCTGGCAACTCTCCAGGTGATGGTGTGGGAGGTGGCTCTGCTGGCAGGATACTACCTGGCCTTTATTGTTGCGACTATACTGCTGAGCCGTGGTGACGAGCCCGTACACGCCGACCCTAGGCTGCACGAGGTGCCTCACCGCCTGAAGCCCCTGGACAGCTTCATGCGGGGTGAGTGACGGTGCAGAGGGGACCTGAAGGGGACTGGGACGTGGAGTGACGGACGTCATGAAGCTTTTTAAGGTGTTGTGAGTTTGTAACCTAGCCATGGGGAATTCCTGGAACATCGGCAATGATGGCGGATGGCAGAGAGGTCTGGGCCACTTCTTGGGGTTTACGTATAATTGTGTGAATATATACATATACAAATATATATACAATGTTTACAAAATATATATACAATATTTACAAAATATATATACAAATATTTACAACTGTGTTTCCGAGTAAGCTTCACTACGTGCCGTGGGCCCATGGCCATACCCACCACGTGTTTGAGGCCCCCGGCGCTTGCTGCTCTAATCCTGACCGTGCCTGACCGTGGTTCCTTGGGACCACGCAGAGAGCTCTCGGCGCGTTCGAGACTTCTCTCGTGGCGCGTCTCATGTCTCCCAGGCGTCAGGCATAGACACGGACGCGGAGGCCCCCCTGCTGCCGGGGTCTGCGGCTTCCACTTCACCAACCAAGCAGCAACAACTAAAGCAACAGCAGCTGCTACAGCGGGGTCTCACTCTGGAGCGAATTGAGGAGACGGCACCTGCCGGTGCAATGTCCGGTGAGCTGCCGGTGGAGGAAGCTGGGGCGGGGGCCTCCACAGCTGATGCTGACATGAGTAGCGAGGACGACGAAGACGTGTACGACTTCCTCATGGAACGGTTCCGTGGCGCGGCAGCCGCCGGCTTCGGTGACGTGTGCAGCAGCAGCTATTGTGGCGTTGGGCCCGATGGGGGCGTCAGCTTCAGCAGACGGCAGCCTGGCGACGGTGGCGGCGGCGGCAGCTACAAGCCGCCGCCGCCGGTGCTCTCGCCACCAGCGGCGGCGGCGGGACCTCCGTTCTTGATGCCGTCGGCATTCCACGCCACAGGCCGCACGTACAGCGGCGACTCCGTGGAAGCTTCCACGTCGTATAAACCATGCGGCGGCGGCGGCGGCCTCGGCTTTTGCCGCGGCAGTGTTGACGCGACATCGTCATTACGGCGGGAGGTTAGCGGCAAGCCGCCGGGGCGGATGGAGCTATTGTGGCGGCGGGTGGAGCGACCAGGCCTGGCGTTGCTGTCGCTCTTTATGCCGCGCGTGGCAGTAGATACGCATGCGCGCTACCGCAAGACGTGCGCGGTGCTCCTGCCAATGCTGCTGCCCACGTTGGTGGGCTGGGCGCAGGGCTGGCTGGACGACGCGCATGCGCCGGGCGGCTTTTGGCGTCAGCGCTGGTGGCTTGTGTCCACGGGTGCTGGGCTGCTGGTGGCGGTGTTTGCGGCGAGGTATTACCCGAAGAAGGGCCACCTGCATGGCTACGCGGCGGGTGCGTTTTAATCTCCATCCCACCTCCCGGACCGATGGATTTGATGTTTACATTTGTGCCTGATGCCCCTTTGCCCCACGCGTGGTACATGCTTTAATCTACCTCATTGGTATATGCGCAGTCCTCTCTCGCTGAATGCTTTATAGTCAAGTCAGCCTCCCGTGCGCTCTTGTGGTGTAGTTCATCTGCCTGTTGTTGTGGCTTAGGGTTTTAAGGGCTGCGGCGCAAGTACGCCGACTGGGATGCAACGAGAAGGATACATTAAGCGTAAGGCGCGTACGACCCATGAACACGGACGCGCGCACGCTCGGATATTAAGGCCCTCCCTTTTTCCATCGCCGGTGCAGGTGTGGCCACTGTAGTGGTGTTCTGCGAGGCGATGGCGCTGCTGAATTGCTCAGCGGGGGAGCTGGTGTCGGCGGCGGTGGCTCTGGGCCAGATCTACGGCATTAGCCCCAGCCTGTTAGGCGCCACTTTGCTAGCCTGGGGCAACAGCGTCAGTGACTTGGTCTCCAACATCACGCTGGCAAAGGTAAGGGGAAGATCAGGGTTTGACGCTTCCGCAGAGTATGTTTCGTGCATTCACTGTCTATATTTGCAAGACGAGGACAGTGGTCGTATGGGTATGCTTTGCGGCGCCAACACCGACCGTTCTTTGCGGGGCCCTGTTGTACAGGGGACCGTCAGAAAAGAGCCGGAGGTTCTGGCCCCGTAGTGTTTGCAGGTTGGAGTTTGTGTGTGAGGAGGGGAGGTCAGACGCCTGGAAAAGCACCGTCCGCCACAGCTACGCATTTGGTTGCGCATTCTCCGCTCGGGCCAGCCGGCGGTGCCCTCGAACTCTTGCTTCCCATGTTGTCGTTTTGCCTCCTGTGGCATGTTCCTGTGGTAACGCCGCATCCTGGCCCTTGCCTGGTTTGCCCCGGGTGCCCGCACTCATGTCCCAGGACGGTCTGCCCTCTATGGCCATCACCGCTTGCTTCGCAAGCCCAATGTTCGTGCTGCTAGCAGGTATTGGTCTGGGGAGGCGGGCTGGGTGGGCAAAGTCTAGTTGCTTAGGTATCCTACAGCCTGGTGGTGATGATTTTCGTCGTTGTGATTTTCTCCATATATGCGATTTTCCCATTGTCCATCCCACGTTTTTCGACTTCCCTGTTCCGCTGCCGGTCTCGCCGGTGAGCACCCGACGCTCACGAACCCATCTCCATGGCCTTCAGGTCTCGTGACGTCACTCACGTACGCCACCCGTCACGGCACAATGGAGCTGCCGAAGGACCTGTCGCTGCGGGTGTTGTACGGCTGCTCGTCCAGCATCCTACTTATGTGGGCGCTCGTCGTGCCATTTGTGTTTCGCTTCCGTCTCACCCGTCGAGTCGGCGTGTTGGCGGTGGCTGTTTACCTGGTCTACCAGTCGGTGTACATCTGGGCTGTCGTACACGACTCCCGAGTGTAAGGTCCGACAACATGGCGGGTATCCCGGGAGGCCTCCTCGTTGAGTTGTGCCGCCCATTTGCGAGTCATAGGATATGACAGCAAGAGTAAGTGCGGAAAGCATTGCCAGATTCATCCGGGGGCCCCGAAGAGTACGCGGCATTGGAGGTCGGGGAGTTTGAAGTAGTGTTAGCGCAGGGCTGTAGGACGCCGAGTATGGCTGAGTCTTCCGCGTTCTCCTCTCAGGTGGAAGAGGGAGATTGAACCTTGAATGGGAAAAGGGGTTTTGTGGATGTAGGCAAGGGCGGTCAAGGCCTGGTATACAGTGAAGGTGGCTTAGGACAGGCCCATACTGTTCGCCGGCTCGGCCGGGGCAGTGGCGATTGGGAAGATTCATGAAATTAGCTCACGCAGCAGGGAATGTGCACTTTTGGTGTATGGCCGCAGACTGGTGTTGTGCTGCGGGTGCACCGAAGGCGGTGTTAACAGGCACAACTGAGTCGTGCTCGGCCGTGAGTGGGATGGGCCGCTCTCGACCAAGTGCTCGGCCTGTGTGGCCGCATAACGTTGGCAATAGTGACGTCTTCATTTTACGTGTCCTCGCGAATGCTATGTTAATAGGCGGAAAGCACGTTGATGTGACGCGTGTGCATGCTTGCTCCTTAGGAAACAGTGTGCATTTACTTGAATCGGTGACGGAGATGCTTTGCAAGCTCGGTACCGAAAGGTGACTGTGCTGCTGGTTGGTTTCCAGCCGTCTTCTGGGCTTGGCCTTTGCATACTGCCCTTATCTTTGTTGGTGTTGCTCTGGTGATTGTGCGGTTAATGCTGGTCAGGGGTTCGATAGCGGTGTCGGTGGCGTGTGTTTGTCAGGCGGGTGCTTGGACAAGAGACCTGAGGCCGGAGAGCTGAAGGTACCATGGCTCTTTTTGGAATGGCACGTGGGATATGTAATGGGTCGGGTAATCCTCCTTCCCCGATAGCATCAACCCTCTCTCCATCCATGTGGTCACAACACTCTACATGTTGCATAGCGTACGAAGATGTTTTGCTTCCAGGTAGATTGGTCTACGATGCCAGCGGCTGGCAGCGCCTATTGCCCCTGAAAAGCTTCCGGTGGATGGATGCACCCTGCTCGTGACGAGTATGTTATGTAACTGGTAGCAAATAAAAGTATGCCTCACTTCGGACACCATCCATTGTCCCGCGCCAGGAGGGTGCGACCAGCGCGCTGCTTACAATGTAAACTTGGGCTCAGCGGAGACCTCCAACTGTAGACCGCGCAGGACAGCGTGCATTGTATTGTGGTGAGGAAACGCCCTACCCAGCTATAAACCAGGAGAACCCCTCTGCGTGGTGGCCATTCACCAATAGAGGGAGAGTAAGAGTAAGAGGAGAGTAAGAGGGAGTTAACTACTGAATGACAACATAAACGACAATAACCTAACTGATAACGATTTGGCAACTGAATGCCAAAACTGCGTATGCTTCGCAACGTGTACCAATCTTCCGTATTCCCCTCGCTCTTGTTTCTAGCCCAACACATAACATGGCTACAAACGCAACCGTGAAACTGTATATTCTACCTTGTTCTTAACTAAAATACGAAAGCAAACCAACTTCCATTACGTTCAAAAGCTGCACCATACGTTGTTTTCACGTAGTTACTGTGAACCAGACAAACTGGACGATCCACACAAGGTCCCCGTACTCAAACCACAACAGCACATGCTTGCGCACACACAACCCAGCGGGGAAATGGCCGGGTGTCTGCCTTCCTTCTCCGACGCCAGGATGCTGCGATTGCGCACTGCCCAGTGGCGAGATCCACCAAGTGGCAGCTGCCGCTGAGCTCAACCGTCCCTTTTCATCGGGTCTTCTTCGCTTACCTGTCCAGTCTGTCTGCATTCTTTGAGAAGCACCAGATATGCAGGGAAGTGATGAGACGTTGCTCTCATGCAGAGATCGCACTCGACACACGCGGCTGCTTGCAAGCCAGGACTCAGCCTCTGTCGCCTCCATCTGAACCCAGGATTTAGAATCCAGAATCCGGGAACCCCCCACAAGCTGCACTTACTTTGGCGTCACACACTTTCTCAAAGCCGTCTAGTTATCCCTTCCAAGAAACTGCACGGATGGGTTCTCGGGGGCCCTGGTCGGTCGGGAGAAGAAAACGAAGACCGGGCGGGAAGAACAAAACTCAAAACCCAAAAGCTGTCGACCCCAGGTCGCCCGCCACCCCGTATGTGCCGCAACCCGACCTCCACCTCATCTTCACCGACCCATGTCCCTAGCCAGACAGAGCACCCTCAACTCCTGTCCCCTTGACCCCCCTCCTCCCTCTCCTGCTCCTCTCCCAGCAGCAGCAGCAACCGTTCCGGGTCCCGGCTCCCCCGGTCCCCCTCCCTTCCTCCTCTTCCTCGTCCCACCGCGGCACTGCTGACATGCCGGCCGCAGTGTGTGCTCCCACCGTGCGCCAACCTACTCCACGCCGCCCCGCCTTCCCCGCCTGCTTGCTGCCCATCCTCATCACCGTCATTACTCGACACAGGAGCTGTCGCTGCCGTTCCTGCATATGCGTCCAAACCTGAAACTCCTGCCACCGTGTCGCCGCTCAGCTCCCGCTGCGCGCGCGCCCAGGCCAATTCGCCATTTCGCCCCACACCAGGTCCGGTTGCAGCTCCTCCTCGATCTGGAGCAACACCGGTACCTAGCTGCGAAGCCGTCGAAGGCGCCGCAGGGGACCTCTGGCCTTGCATGACCACAACCCTACCGTCCCCTGGGTCAGTCGCACCGACCCAGTTGGCCTCAGTGGTTGTGGCCCGTGCTGACGTGGAAGTGAAACCGTTCCTACCCACTGGAATCGACTCTTGCTGCTGGTGCTGCCTGCTACTACCACTAGTGGGAGTGGCGCTATCGGTAGCGGAGTCTGGCGCCCTAACAGCGGACTGCGGCGCAGCCCATCCTGCCACCTGCGCGGCGGCAGGAGCCGGATCCCCCTCCAGGGGCTCCTCGCCCTCGCGATCCCGACGGCCCCCACCTCCCCCTCCTCCACTGCCGCCCCCGCCGCCTCCACCGCCCGGCGTTTGTGGTGGTGGTGTCTGCTGGTCCCCTTGTTGCAGCAGGGAGTTGATCTCCTCGCGGGTGAGGGTCTCCTTGTCTAGGAGCGCCTCGGCCAAGGTGGTTAAATCCTGGTGGTTGCCAAGGTGGTTATGGTTGCGGTTGCAGCTGGGCTTTAATTGCCGCTGCGGGTGCTGTGAGCGCGGTTAGTTTGCTCAATCCTGTCAAACTCCATTTGCTCGATGTCCCTGAGCAGTCGCTGACATGGCAAATCCGGCAACAATGCTAATTTGGCAACCCCCAATCTGGGTTCAACTGCCGGCTGTAGTGCATCCGTCTACGTCCTAACCATCCCTCCCCCTACTCAGCACACACAAAAAATCATGAGCACCCCAAGCCGCAAGCCTCTCACCTGCATTCTCTCCAAGAGCAGTGCCCTCACCACCTCCTTAGCGTCTGCCAACATGGTCGCCACCTCCGCATCCACTCGCTGCCGGGTGGCTTCAGACACCCCCGCACCGCCGTGCCGCTCCTCGTGTGCCGCCACATACACGGGCCCTATGGCGGTGCTCATGCCGCACTCGGCAACCATGTGGCGGGCCATGGAGGTGGCCTGTAGTGAGGGCCCGCCCGAAACAAGGTGTGTGTGAGTGGTGTTTATGTGTGTATGTGGGGGGTTGTATGCAACGGGGTTGGAGGGTTTTAGCAATAAGGAGGAATGCAAATCAGCACCAACTGCGAAGTGGAGATCTCACGGCTGCTGTCGAGGCTATTACGCTTCATGCCCCATCCTTCGGGAGGGGCCCCCCTTACACGCCCCTCCCCCCCTCCCTCACCTCGCACCCTTCAGCAAACCTCACACTGTCCCGAAGGGCTGCGAAATCGCTCGAGGTCCAGTGGTGGGCTGCGGGCCTGGCTGACCGTCTAAACGCCCTACCTCCTCTGCATCTTTCATGCACCCCACCTGCCACTTCTGAGCCCCCCTAAATCCAGCTCCAATCAGCTCCGATTCGGGAGCTCCCCAGCAGGGCCCCCAGCCGGGGCCCCGCTCTTTCCTCCCCCCTGCTCTCACCTGCCTCAGGTCGTCCGTTGCCCCGCTGCTGACCTGTTCGCTCCCGAACACCAGCTCCTCCGCCACAGTGCCCCCCATGCACACCCGGATGCGGGCCAACATCTGCTGCCGGTTGATGGAGAACTCGTCCTCGCGGCCCACCTGGGTGGAACATGCCGCGGGAGGTTGGGTGGTGGGGGGTGGGGGGATAGGGTTACAGGGCCAAGAGAGCACAGCATGTGAGTGATTGGGTGAGTGCGAGCGTGTGGGCTGCAGCCTTCAGGAGAGTATGCGCCAACTTAGGAGAGAAGCTTGCGATGTACGCGTACAGCTGCGCACACTCAAGGGTATGCACACATTTGCCCATCCGTTTCCCCGTCCCCAGGCCCACTAGCTACCCACCTGCGTCACCATACCCAGGGCATGTCCCCGGGGCACGATGGTGGCCTTGTGTATGGGGGAGGCACCGGGGGTAGCGAGAGCCACCAGGGCGTGGCCGGCCTCGTGGAAGGCGGTGCGGCTGAGGGTCAGGTGGGGTCGGGAGTGGAGGGGGAAGGATAGGGTCGGATGAAGGCGAATTCAGTGTTGCGCCAAGTTGGCAACATTCTCGGATGTTGAAAATGGGAGCTAGTGAAACCCGGGGTGTAGGGTGTGTGTGGGTAGGCCAGTCACACACAGCACAAACAGCACACAAGCACACGCGGCACCTACAGAGCTTGCTTTGGTGAAGCTAATCCTTGTCCTTTCACTGTCATTAAAGGCTGAAGCCATTAAAGCACAGCACCTTCCCCTCACCGCCGCGCCTCCAGCGTGCGCTTGACACTCTTGCGCTCCACTCCCATTAAGATCTTGTCGTACGCCCAGTCCAGCATGCGCTGGGTAATGGCGTCGGCGCCCTCTTTCGCGGCCAGAATTGCGCCCTCGTTAATCAGGTTGGACAGGTCAGCGCCGCTAAAGCCTGCAGGGTCGAAGAAGATACACAAAAACACACAGAGCAGGGCCATGGGTCCATGGGTTGAGTACCGCACGACTCTCGTGTATGGCCGCCGCAAGGGGGCCTTCGGAGGCACATGCTTAGCCGAACTGAGCCATCCAACCGTCACACTTGCCGCACGCCTGGAAAGCAGTCTCACTATATATGTACAGACCCAGATAGAGCTCGCCAGACCTACGGGTCTCGCATGACACACGGGCCCATGGCGCAAAAGGTCGCATGTACACACTGTAGCCCTGAAGCACCCTGGTCTATGGGGCCTAAACGACCTAAAACTCCATTGCCCCACGGACCCACGGGACTGTACCGGCGCATGAGACTTCACCGCTCCGCCAGCTCCCCCCCACCCCCCCGAACTCCCCTCACCCTGCGTCTGCCTGGCCAGCAGCTCCCGGTCCACGTCAGGTCCCAGGGGCTTATCGGAGAGGTAGTACTCCAGGATGTCACGACGCCCTTTAATGTCAGGGAGAGGTACGGCAACCTGTACGGCGTACAGGAAAAGTCATAAAAGCGAACGCGTAGGATAGCACGCGAAGAATTCGTATGGGAATCAGGAATCAATACCGCACAGCCGAGGTGAAAGGCAGCGGCGATGAAAGCCTCCCATCCGTATCCACAGACGCCGCAAGCGCCTCCTCCCAAATCCTCACCCGCCCTGCCCCTCCCTATGCACCTGTCTGTCGAACCTCCCGGGTCGCTTGAGTGCGGGGTCCAGGCTCTCAGGCAGGTTGGTGGCGGCCATCACGATGATGCCGTCCGTCGACTGAGCAGGCCGTGGGGTCACGGGGAACAAAAAGGGGGGGGGGGACGGGAGAGTGGGGGAGAGTTGCAGGGGCAGGTGAGTTTAGCCTGCGAGACGAGGTCCGCCTCTAACCACATCCAGGCTTTCCGCTGCCACCGATCCTCTGTTCAACGCCTACTCCTCCTCTTCCTCCGTTACCAAGAACCTAAACCTCTGACCAGCGCAGAGCGGGGTCTGATGCAATAAACAAAGCGCCGCAGACCCCTCTGGTCCTATTATAGCTCTCACATTCCGCTTGTATATGAGTCTCGGTCATATTCCAACAGGGCATCTCCTCCATTTCCAACAGCACACCACTATCAACCTTAGAACGTAATCGCACACACATTGCATGATAGCGTTCGCTACTTGCGCAGCGTTTCGACATGTAGACGGTGTTGCTTCCTAATGCCCTTTTATATCGCACACATCCATATACGAAAAAAGGAGAGGGAGAGAGAAAAGCATACATAAAAAATACATACATACAAACATTCATACATGCATGCATACATACATACATACATACATACATACATACATACATACATACATACATACATACATACATACATACATACATACATACATACATACATGCATACACACGCACCTCCGGTCTGCCGGCCGTACCTACCTCGAACCCGTCCATCTCCACCAGCAGTTGGTTGAGTGTCTTGCGTGTGTGGTTCTCCCAGGCCTTGCGGTTACCGCCGATGGCGTCAATTTCGTCGATGAACACTATGCAGGGGGAGCGCTTCTTGGCAGCGGCGAACAGAGCGCGCATCCTGAGGAGGACGGGGAGGACGGGGAGGACGGGGGATAAACATGGTGCCGGGGGTTTGCACTGAGATGATCATGACGATGACGACGATCATGACGTGACAGGGTGGTGGTGGCAGGATAATTTCAGGATGAATGCTCGTCCGCGATATGTGGATGCGAGGTAGACGGGAGGAGGGGGCCGAGCAGGTGGGCGCGCCAGGGGGGTTAACGGCACGGAGGGAAGGGTAACACGCGCTGCGAGCAGCACCACTCCAGCGCGATAGTACGGTGCCGCATGGTCCGACTGTACGGTATGGTACGCGAGACGTACCTGCGGCTCCCCACCCCCACGTACAGCTCCTCGAACTCAGATCCCGCTCGGTAGAAGAACGGAACACCCGCCTCACCTGGGAATGTTGGTGTGGGGGTGTCGGGGGGGGGTGATGCGGGGTATTGGTGTGTCGGGAAGTCCGTTAGTACACATGGACATCATCAACCGAAACGCTCACCCGCTGCTGCCGCAAGCCCTCCTCCATGCCCTCGACCAGACCAGCAATCCACGCCACCCAGACCAGACCCTCCTAAAGCCCCCCGTCATCCCAGCATCACTCTTCACGTTCCGATGCAACCCCGGGTGCCTTGTCCTTGCGTCCCCATCCACTCCCCTGCCCCAACCCAGGTGTGCAGCAGTGTCCCCTTCCTTGACCCCTTACCCTCCTTGACCCCACGTCCCCTTGCCCGGTCCGCTCACCCGCCACCGCCTTGGCCAGCAGCGTCTTCCCAGTCCCCGGAGGCCCCGTCAGCAGCACTCCTTTGGGCAGCTTGGCACCCAGCCGGGTGAACTTGCCGGGGTTCTTCAGGAACTCAACAACCTGAGGGGACCCGGGGGCCCGGGAGGGAATGTGTATACAGGGGGCCGCCTCGCCTCACCCTGGCTCCGGTGCCGCATCCGCACTCACCCGACATGATGAGATGGCTCGGCCAGGACACCGACAGGGCCCAGGGTTTCATGGAGCGCATGCAAGGCTGCGGCTCGACTTTTAAGTAGCAACACAGAACAATGTTTGTGCCGCACAAATTAATTCCGCTGATAAAAGGTACGCCGTGCGCATGCTGCTTCCCAACACATCCTCATCCTCATCCGAATCCTCACACACACACACACACACACACACACACACACACACACACGCACACACACACACACACACACCCCACCCCACGCACACACCATGTCAAATGCCATCGCCTCACCTCGCGCAGCTCCTCCTTGGCCTCGTCACAACCCTTCACGTCCTTGAAGGTACGGATTGACTGTACGGCAAGATGAAAAACACAGCAGGCAAGCGACGGAGCGTTCACTTTTGAAGGCGCTAGCACCAAGCAGCAGTGGGGAGACCGCCTGGGTGCATGTAAATGCCCGAGGGATTTTTACCGCATTTGTCCACGACGGTACGAATTCTGGTAAGCGGTAAAAAAGATCAATTCGCTGCCTTTTCGTGTCCTTTTGGATCCTGCAAAAAGAGATTGGTCACCAATCACTATAGTTCGTGTGCGCGGTGCTCCTGTTCCTGTTCCCCGTCGCAGGCAGGACTGAGCGCCGGATCCCATTAGACGAGTGCGGACAGTGCCGTACCTTCTCTGGCAGCTCGTCCTTCTTGTACTCCTTGGGCTCCACGCTGGGAGCCCCGGAAGACGAGGAGGCGGAGGCTCCGGAACCACTGCCGCCACCGCCAGCAGCTGAAACCGGTGGCCCGGCGCCAACAGCAGCAGGGTTGACAAAGGCGCCACCGCTGGCCTGGACCCTCCGGATGGCCTAAGGTGAACGGCAATGGATACACGGCATAGCCCGAGTTAAGCAGGCTTGGGAGAACCACCTCACCACGCGACCAGCTCGAACGAGCATGGTGTGCATGCAGAACTTCATATCCATCCTTTCCGTCACAAACAAGACAACGTAGGCCCCACCTGGCTCCCTGCTATGTACGCGAAGGCCAGCACCACCAGCAGCACCGCGAAGCTAGTCAGCCGCCACAGCAGCGTCAGGGGCCGCAGCAGCAGGGGCACCTTCGCGGCGGATGGCGCGGCAGCCACCATTTGCTGTAGGAGAGGGACAAAGGGACAACACGGAACGCACGGGAGCAGCCCACAGAGGGGCAGCGGCGGCATCAGGCAGGGGCTAGTGTGGGCAGGTGGCGAAGCAGCGCCTACAGCAACCGCTTAAGATGGGCAACCAAGCAGGGGGGGTAGGACGAGGAGGACGAAAGGGGGCAACTGGGCTGTGCGGCGAGGCACAATGTCTTTCAGGGCTGTAAGTGGCGGGGGGAAGGGGAATGTCGTAGCGGAGAAGACTGCCGACGGTCTGGATAGAATTTATGGGCAGTGGTCACAGTGGCCGTATCCGGGATCTCACCCCACCAGGGACCGAATGGGGCCCCTGTTCCATGGCCCCATTGAACACACTCCGGGGGGTAACCAGGAAGGATGCACTGCAGCATTTAGGTCCGTACGAGGCCGCCAGCCATAGGTCCGGGCGGCCCCAACGGTGGACGGGCCCCGCGCAAGTCCCTCCGTCCCTCCCCTGCAGCCCCACCTGCAGTGGCGCCAAGCCCCCCACCACCACGTGCAACGGTCGCCGTACGGATGATCCCGGGACCTCCAGACCCAGAGAAGAAACCAGACCACCAGCACCACCCGCGCCGTCACCAGCTGGGGCGCCGTCACCTGCCGCTGACACCAGTTGCTCCTGTGGGGGTCATGAGCGAGTGAAGGTGGGTAGTAATGAGATGCTACATGCATAGAATGGAAAGAGCGTCAGCTGTCGGTGCTAGTGGTGGTGGTGGTGATGACCAGGGACCAGCAGCGGGGTGAGCGTCCGGGGTCACAAAACGCAAGAAAGGGGTGCCTGCCAGCAAGTTGAACGCAAGCAACACGCCAGCGCCAGTCGGCGCGGCGCACCTCTGTTATGGGGCAGTACGGTACGCAGTAGGGGGCGCGAGAAACGCCCTAGTCGCTGGGGCACACGTGCATGCCTTACGCTACACGCCACGACATACTCACACTCTTTCGCCGTGGATGGCAATGTCATAAGAGACCCCCCACATCCCTTGCAAAGTAGGTCTTAGGAGTTGCGGCGTCGAGGAGGCCTCCGTCCCCCCCATGTTTACATGGACATGTCTGTGGCCCACGCAGGGCATCCCAAACACCTGCTCATACCCCACCTGCCTCCTCCTCCGACCCCCCAGTCCCCAAGCCCCGGCGAAGGCCAAACCTCTCACATGCAGGTCACGCAGCAGCTCCGTCAGCGTCCGTGGCGGGGCCCCCTCCGAATGGGGCGAAGAAAACAGGAACGAAGACTGTGGCATGACTGCGGCTGCGGCTGAACCATCCGCCTTCACCAGCTCAGAAACTTTGCCTGCGCACATGCGTTGTACGCTGTGTCGAGAGCTGGGGAGGATAAGCCGTTCACCCTTTGGGCATATGCCAAATCCTGCGGGTCCTCATACCGGCCCTGTGTCTGACGGTTGGTGCTGAAGGACCTGCCGCTGTGGTCTTGACGACACGGACCGGGCCCCTTCACCGGCACATGACTTCCCCCTCCTTCCGCCTGGCCCCACGCCCCTGTCGTCGGTTCCCTCAGGAGCCCCACCCTCACCATTGCCTTCCCCTGTGTAAACACACCCGCACCCTAGGAAAGCTGGTAGCTGGCTACTTGCCAGTCGGGACCCCCGCAGTTAGTATTAGTACCCTTGCTTTATCTGGACGCGTGTGCGCATTCAGGAAACTCTTCCTCTCCCCCATTCCCCCAGCCCCTACCCGTGGCCACGAGCGCCCGCAGGTACTCGGCCACCACTGCCGCGTTGATCCCAAACTGCCGGGACTCCACCCTGGCCAGGACCTCCCGGGGATTGGTGCGAGCCAGCTCCGCGAGGTAGGCGGCGTGCTTGTCAGCGTCCTGGGATGGAAGAAGGGAGAAATAGTGCTCATGAAAAAGCGCATGGCATGAGTCTTTTACGCCGTGCCTTTTCGCAGGTGTATGATCCTTGGGGGCTGCTAAGGCCAACAGACCCGTAAACCCGTGCGCACAGCCGGGACTTGATTAGGTGGTGGCCAGGGGGAGGGGGAAAGCCTCACAGCAGCATCGTGGTGTGGGATTCGGGAAGTGCACAACCGGGCTAACTGCATAACAGAGAAGGGCAGGGGAAGAGATATCAGGAGGGAAAGGGACCTTTCCTTTCTCCCTACCCAGGCCTCACCAGGAGAACTCCTAGCCCACTGCTGGGCCCCGCCCTGGCTCCCGTGGGACAGCGAGGCCCCTCCCACCCAGACCTGAACCTCTGCGAAGACCTAGAAGCTCAAGCACACTCCGAATGCTCTGCTGCTGCTCAGCATGGCTTGCCGTCCAGCTCCCGGGGGACTCCAGGAGGGGACCCAAGCATCTCCAGGACGGGCGTGGCGGAACTAGCCTCGCCATCACCAGGAGCATCCATGTGCCTGTCCTAATCCCGTCCAAGGCCGGAAGCTAGCAACCCTGCAGCACTGTCCCTACCGCGGCCCCTGTAAGCCCGCCCACCTTGGGATCCTCCTCGCAAGCCTCCCGCAGCCGCCGCAGGTGCTGCATTTGTACCCAGACAGGGAACTGCTGTACAGCAGACCACACGGAGGCCAGCCAAGCCAGCAGACGCTGAAGGACCGGCGGCAGGGAGATGCCAGCCGTGGCGGCGCCGGCGGCTGTGGCATCGCCGCCGTCCCCGGGGAGACCTGGCCCAGGCGCTGGCGCTGGAGGCGACGCAGTGGACGCTGCCTGCCCATGTCCATGCCCCTGAACCTGCTGCTGTGGTGGTAACGGGGAGGAAAAGGATGACCCCGGCGACCCCGCTGACGCTCCGGCGGCGGACACCAGCGCTCCGCTTCCAGTGGTTGCTAGGGGTGATGTCGTGGTGATGTCCGCCAGAGTTAGGCCATCGGCAGCAGCACCCGCCGACGCTTCCGCTGGCGAGCTGCTGGTGTCGCTAGGGACGTTCTGAGGAGCGGGCTCGCGGGCCGAGGAGCCTGGGCCAGGCGGAGGCGAGGGCGCTCCATTGGTGGACCCGCTACTTGCTTTGACATTCCATAGCCGAGCCGGATGGAATAGGAGCGGCCGCAAGGGGTGCAAGGGTAGAAAATGGACAACAGATCTGCAAGCTACCCTTTGCCGTAGCCCCGTCCGAAGCCCAACCGGCTGCATCACTTTCCTGTAAGCCAAATGGGTCAAAAGTGGCGACTTACGTTAGGCAGGCAAGCTAACTAACTTTAAGGGTTGGCACATCGCAAATATATGTGAGCCCTCAGCAAGCCTGACAGACCAAATGAAGGAATCAAAGGCACCGAATCTCTTGCAATGCTGTCCAAACAGCGGCGTCGGAAGCGTTAGGGCTTAATTGCACGTAACAACGAAGGACGAATAGCGCTTATAATACAAGGTGTGCTAGGGTTTTATAGAAAGCATTTCACTTGCCAGCGAGGACGTCGCGCGGTGCCTTCTGCGTCGGTGGTCACAGGCAGAAAGCTACCCTTGGAAGAAGCACAGGCCTTCTTAATGAGACTATGTTCAGCACAGAAACAAGTTGCAGTGATAATTCTATATTACTTTTCTGCTTGTACGAGTGCATAGAGCCAGGTAAACACCGTGGTATCAGGTTATCGTGTGGTCTCGGAGCGTCAACAGCGACAGCGGCCATTCCAGGACCACACGATGGTTTTCGGTCTCGCTCTCATATTATCGATCAATGGGTGATGCAACGCAATCTGCCGATAAGGGGTCCTCTGCAAACTGCCAAGCAGGGAACGCCGTCAGCTTGAAACCGGAGGAGCGGACCGGAGCGGTTTGCCAAGCGGCCGGTTCCGGACTTACGCCACTTCCTGTTTCGGAAGCGCTCAGCTTGTGCCTAAAACCAATCAGGTACGGACGTGGAATGTAGAAGGATTCAGCGGGTTTGGGCGAGTTGTTTCGGGTGGGGTCGGACCAGCACGCGCGCTCTGGTGGCTGGCCTTCATTTCGCAGCCTTCACAACATCTGTCACACTGCGCGAATCGTACACATCAATCGCCTCCTCATGGCCATTCAGTCATAAAGCCCAATCCGATGCCCGGCCTCAGACGGACGCCGCACGATAACCACGGTCAAGACTGTCTCGGGAGCAGCGCGCACGGTCAAGCGTGTGTGACAAGGGAACTCACAGTGCATATATGTGTGTGGAGATGTTGATAGAGGCCGATTGCATAGGGGCAAAAAGCGCAGGCACGGCAAGCGAAAGAAGGCTGGGAGGGTTCCTTAGAATGACAAGTGCCTCCGCGACTCATTCCATCCCTTGTGCCGCGGGCTTCCTTCCGGCTGGGCGTCCTCCCGCTGCCAGCACTGCAGCACTGCCAGCATTGCGGCAGAGCTGCTCCTTCAGGTGTCCCCCTGAAGAATCCGGACTGCGGCAGGGAAAGAGCCACAGCCCCACAGAGCTCCCTATTCCCTGGATGAAAACCCCGTAGGTGTGGACTAAAGCAGAGTGAGTCAGTTTATTTCTTGCGGGCGTGGCACGGAGCTTTCGAGGGGAACAGTCAGCCTTACATGCCCTGAACTTTTGACATGGCCGTTGGCGTGCCGAGGCATGCAACCTACAAACCCAAGCCGACAGCTTATGCATATACCTCTGTAAATCCGTATGTTTCCCTGTGTGCCATTTCTCGTACGAGTATGAGGGAGTATGAGGGAGTATGAGGGAGTATGCATGACACCTTTACACTTTGCGCGTGCCGACTGCCAATCTGCTAAGCTTGTTGAGGCAACATGAAGCAACGAAGGCAACAGGCGACGCCGTTGGCGATAACGCGAGGGGTTTGAACCAGTACCGCTTGGCTGGTAGCACGTGAGCACCATCCATTTGCGTGGCGTGGCAGTGCTGACAGGGGACAAATGTGCGTTTCTACAAGTACGACAGTTTTACGCGATTTGAAAGGCGAAGCCTGTCCTTAAAGGACAGTTGGATATTTAAAACATGAAATGGCAGTGATTGTATATATGTTTGGATTGAAAGCAGTAACGTGCTTTTTACATGGCATAGTACAAATTCATCAAAATATCAAACCGCGTTATTGCCTTCCTTGTAACTGAAGCGTGCCCTTAGGTAGATTTGCTTTTCGTGAAGATTCTTTCCTCTGGTTATCACTGCTTATGCCAAGAGCAGTACCTGGGCTCCTGTCCCTAGCCATAAACAGGTCAACTCTGCAAGGACACCGAGTCACCTGCCTGAGAGCAATGCAAGTACCATCCGCTGCTGTGGCGATTAGCACCGATGTTGCAGGGGTAGAAGAGGCCACTACCTTGCTTGCGAAGAAGGCATGCGCACCTCTGAGGCATAGAATCCGCAAGTTCGACTTGGAGAGCGATTTACAAGATCTGACAGATATCTGTGCTAACGTTTGTAAGTCCAAAGCTTGTTTGCTGTAGCGGCAAGTCCAATCGCTTATTCCCCCAATCTCATCACAGGGAACCAGCAACCCAGCTCAACTCCCCAGCTTTCCTCCGACGGCTCCCCCCTTTGGATTATCCTGCGTTGTCATTGAAGGGTGTATCAGCATGTTCTTCTCCTTTTCCTACCCCTCGTTGACACTCCTCCGCGCCGGCGGTGCCTACATGGCGTGCAGACGGTGGCACGGACTACATGCCCCGCATCATTCACCGCATCGCCAAGGACCCGGGCGTCCTCGTCTTGGCAGCAGAATCCCTTCTCTCAGGAGATGCTGAGCAGCAGCCGGATGAGGTCGAGGAGCCCGGGCAGCAGCAGGAGCAGCAACAGCAGGTGCAGCGGCAGGAGCAGGCAGAGGGGACGGATTCGCAAACCGGTTCATCGAAGCCCTTTAGCATCAATGGCATCAGTGAGTGTTAGAAGGGCGCATTGCTTATTACATAGGACAAGTGTAAAGCGGATGAAGGCAGATGGTCGTAAGACATGCAGGGCTCTTATCGTGTCCTCCTGTTGTGGGGACTAAGGCCGTGATACGAGGTCCTAAATCCCTTATGATTTTATGATGGCAGGATCTACATGTCCACCCTTAATGTTATGGCGTGCTGTCTGTTATGCGGTGCTGCAGTGTTCTCCTGCAAAAAGAAATATTCCAGAAGCCCAGTCGGGTCCGCAGCCCCTCGTATGCAGCCTCCGTCACTGCCATGAGACATGCGCCGCAGCCGTTGCTCTTTCCTCCTGCGATAGCCCACGGCCATGCCTTCAGATGGGGGTTCCTCCTCACCTAGAGATGGCAATCAGTTAAAAGAGAATACCTACCTGCTTACTTCAGGATGCCATCGCGCTCTCCACTGCGCGTGGGGCTGAGGGGTTGTTGAGGCGCCTTCTATGTTGTTCCATGGCTGCATGCTGCTGGTTCACGTTTGCCAGGTTCAATGGTGGCAATGCTTTGCCGCTCCGATGGTATGGTTTCCCTTTCCATTCCCCTTGTATCCTTATGGCAGTTTGTGGTGAGCGGCGAGGCGACGCCGTATGGCTATACGGGTTGCGGGTGCGCGAGGGCACGCGTGGCCGCGGCCTGGGGCACCAGCTGATGGTGGGTTCTATGTATGGCATGTTGAGTATGCGGGTGTGCTGCTGGGGCTACGCTTGCGAACACGGGGACGCGGTAAACCCCAAACACTATAACCGCCAACATACGATTTCAGTGTGTTGCTCCGCGGATCTGCGACGTCGGCGGTCCCAGTACATCGTGCGTACTGGTAGTGCGACGGGAGTAGCTGTGCCATGTTTACGCGCAGTCAGTGGGCACAGGTTCTCCTTTTACAAGCGAATGAACACCCAAGCCATCCTTTTACTCATTTGTCCCCGGGCATTTGTCCCAACTGGTAAATTGCATTTGCTTAAAATCTTTTATCTTCTTGCGTACCTTTGCTTTGCTCTACTCGAACGCTTGCATGTATCTGAGCATATGTTCTTGCATGGTGTCATGACGGATCATTGATCATGCTGTCACTTCATGTTGACAGGAAGCTATCGTGCAGAAGGCCCCGCAGCTCCTCGCTACTGCGCCGGAGGCCCATCCGCCGCCCCCCAGGCCCTCAGCCCCACCATCCCTCCATGTCGTGCCAGCACAGCTATTGCAACCGCAGCTACCGACATCAGGCGCCCATGCAGATCCCCCAGCCTCCTCGGCATCGACGCCAGTGGCCGCAGCAACTCCACGTTCTGCCACCGCGGCCGCCGGCCCCATCCGCCAGATCGTCACCTGCACGGTGACGTACAATACTGCTGCTCAACGAATCATTGGCCGCCAGCTGTCGGGCCCGTTGTACGAGGTGGAGATCTGGCCGGGTCCGCCGCTGCTGGAGGAGTATGAGGCCGCGGGGGCCTGGGTGAGAGGTGTGGGCTTGAAGCCGGGGACGCCAAGCATGATTGATTGGCTGCCAAGTGAGTTGGGTTATCAGAGCGCGTTGACTTGTGGAAAGCGTAGTGTCGTGGGCGAGGTTTGGCTTGGAAAACATGGAGGTCTTTTGTGTGACAACCTATCTAGACTTGTGGGACGGTGAGGAAGCCGAGTAGGAGGAGCAACGCAGCCAATCGGGAAGACTCAGCGGAGGCTGGCAGCGGCTCGTAGCTCGTACCTTTTTTAGTAGTGTCTGTGGCGCCAACATTTCGCACCTTACATTCCACAACTTTCCATTTCCTCACTTGGATAGACGTCCGAGAAGTCCTGGGAGCCGACGTGGCAGCCCAGGCGTTGCTGCCGCACTGGCGTCGAGTGACCAGTGACTGCGAGCTGCGCGCTGCTGTCGCGCAGCTGCTGTACGGCAGAAGCGGAAGCGGGACAAGCGCCCTCGCCGCGGACGGATGCGCCGGCATCAGCGCAGCGAGGGGCGCAGACGGCCTCTGCGACGGTGGCCAGGACGGGGCTTCCGATGCCGGACCTGTCACGATGGCAACTTCTTCATCCGGGCGTCCACCGATCCCCGGGTCGCTTACGGAGCAACCGGACACGGACTTCCTTTGGCTTCCCATGCCGTGAGTGTATGGTTGGCGGCCTGCCGTAGGGGTGGGAAACCCTTAGTAGTCGCGGCGTCCGGATTGACGCAGGGACGTCTGTGTTGGGGCCCTAGCGCAAACCAGGAACTCTAGGACCCCTGGGTTTGGCGGGCAACTGGAAGGCATGCACATGTGGCAGCGCCATGCCGTACCTTCCACACGAACCATATGCACAGCATTTGGATATTAGCCCTGTTGCAACAGCAGCGCACCTGACCCTTGTATCATATTGCCATGGTCATCGTGTACGGCATCTGTATGGTACAGGTACGACCTTTGGCCCCTGGAGGGCGCATTTATACAGCGGGAGCTAGCGGAAGGGAATATCTGGCTGCTGGCAGAACCCGCTACTGAAGGCTCCCACTCTCTTCGGGGTCAGGTGGTTCCGATGGCTAGCGCTGGGACGGAGGACAGCAACGCGAAGGACGGCGCAATTGTTGGCGTAATGGTACTGACCCACTTTGAGACTTTGAGCCGCGTCTGCGCTGGTGGGTTTGTTAACTGGACAGGATAGTGGCAACGTTTTGGTTCAGGTTGCTAGTCGATCTGGGTCAGGTTGAAACTGGGTTTGGATCAAGCTAGGTTAGACGGTTTTGGTCGATATCACCGGCTTGCATTTGGGTAGGATTTGGATCAGGCCGGATTGCATTGATTCGGGTGCCGTGTTAAGGGGGTCAGTGGTAAACAATCTAAGTCCTGAAGTTGCCTCTCCGTACGCAGGAATCCTGGCCCGCAACAACGCCGTTGTCCACGCGGCCATCGCGCATGCCGGGCGTCTGCAGCCACACTTCATGGCCAGCGTGCTGCGGGTTCCAGCGGGATGCAAGCGGTCCAAACCTGCGCTAAACTTGGGCCTTCCGAATACGGACGTCACGGAGGGTACTGTCGGGTGGGCTAGGGAGGAGCCGGTGGAGCCTTTGCCAGCCGTGTACGGCATTTCGGGAGGCCATCGGGGCGTGCTCTTGTACGGCCACGCGGTGACGCCGCAGACGCGTCACTGAATGTCCTGTGCATTTTGACAGGCATGGAATCTTGCAGATAACCCGGAGGTTGTATGGGGTCGGTCCTACTCTGGTGCGTGATCAACATATGTGCACAAGTTCACTGATATAACGATAAGCGTGTCGATTTATCAATTTATCACGCAATATTTTTGCAATTCATTGGCACATGCAGGCTTTCCAGCGCCCCACCGCGGACCAACCAAACTGCTGATATTGAGTTTTTTTGTATGATTTTATCAGTTGTTGCAGAGAGACCTTTATTTGGGGCTTACTAAACATTTTTGGCAAGCGGAACCGCTGGATTTTTGGCAAGCCGTATCGCCGATAAAACGCGATGCTGCATGGGAGGGATATGTCGAGCACGCGAGGGTTCACGAGAGCTGCAACTGTCGATGACAACCTAGTGACTTGCCATACACTGTCATTCCGCCTTGCTCGCTCCCCATACATGTGCGGTCCTTGCTATGACCCTGAGAGAAGCTGAGATCCCGATGCCTGCTGTTCACCTCGGCCAATTGCTAATTCGAATCAATTATGAGACAGTTTGCACATACAAGCTCACAGAAGCTGGTAAGGGCAGGCACGTCCTGACAGATGTCCGTACTCGCCTAGGATCGCCAAAAATACGGCGAATGCGCAACGACTAGGCGAATGCGCACCTATACAGCCATATTTTTACGAAAATGTGTTGTAATTATTTTGTGTATTCCTAGAATTTCATCGAGTAATGGACCGGGCAGAACCTGTCACGAGTCAAGTCACCACCGACCGCTCTTCTGGACGGAAGCGGATAAAGCCGCGCGCGTTCTGGCGGAACGAAGACGTCGAAGATGCCCACCACTTGGGGTCTCTTGCCGTATCAAAATTGCAGCCTCGCAGTAAGCTCCAGCACCCAATAGCGCTGTTGGGTCAGAAGCAACTCTGCGCTCCCAGCTTGGTCACAGCACATGCTCAGTACGATCCAACGACTAAACTCGATGCGCAGGGGCTGGTTGCCGTGCAGGAGCTGCGACAACACTGACAGAAGAGCTCAGCAAGGCCCAACCGCGGAGGGGCTCAAAGCGGCTTAGTGGTTCTGTTGATGCGGGGGGCACGGAGGAGCTGGTGAAAGGGGGGGATGCAACCTTCCCGGTCAATAAACACTCCTCCGTTCAACCCTGCCGGGCTCGTGGAGCTCGAGGGCCGGCGGCTGCCACTCACCTACCGGGCCCTCCTGCGGACCTCGCTGCCGCCAGCACTGGCACCATGGAACTGGTGCCGCCATCACCAGTGCCATCACCATTGTCACCACCAGCTGCCAGGCCGCCAGCCTCCGGGCGCGGCGCCGTGGCCAGGAGGAACAACGGAGATGGCCGTCAGTCTGCGGCAGCAGCAGCGGCAGCAGCAATAGCCGCAACCGCGCCACTACGAACGCCAGAATGTAAGGTAGGGAGATCATGTCAGGGAGATGCTGACAAGGTTAAGCAACGTCCGAGGGACCCTGTGCTGCGTAGCAAGATCATGGTTCTTGACGTGGCAGCGGCAGCTGGTCAGCTAGCCAAAGGGACTGGGGCAAGCGGTCTGGATGATGCGGCGGCGGCCAGTGGTCCTCGTACCCGGCGGTCCGTAGCCCGCACTAATCAGCAACCGGTTTTGGACAAGGACCGACTCCCTGCCACGAGCAAAGCAAGAGGGTTAGGTCGTGGTGTGTCAGCAAGGCCAGCACAGCAAGCTGCGGCCACTCCCGGTACCTGTGCAAAGAGGGATGATGGTGCATTGGACTCAGGGACACGGACAGCGCCACAAGGCGACATTCCATCGGGCGCAAAATCCAGGCCGACAAGGTTTGCTGCCGCCGCAGCTGCGGCAGGTATCACCGCAGCTGCGACAGCAGGCACCACCCCTGCCGGTCTTACGCAAGCACCGCTGCAGCATCAGCAACAGCCAGCTGCGGGACCGATGCAGGCTCTGCCGGTAGTAAGGGAGTCGCAGGACGCGCAAGACGACGATGAAGCCAGCCGGCCCAAGAAGCGCCCACGAAAGGGCCCCGTGCAGGAAACTACGCATGAAGCCGAAGCCGGCAAGCAGGCGGTAATACAGGGAGGAAAGGATGCTGGGAGCGATGCGGCTGGGCCCGTCCCGATCCCACTGCCTGTTCAAGTCCAAGGCCCGTCACCTTCGTCGACTCCGCGGCGTCGGTTAGACCCTGTGCTGCGCTTCCCAGTGAAACTGATGCACTTTGGGCCACTGCGGCCTAGAGCGTCGCAGGTGGATGCTGCGGCAGCAGCTGCGGCGGCACGTGATGCTGCTGTGATAGACCGGGGAGCTGAGCCGGAAGGGAATAAGGGCGACGGGGCGATCTGCGGGTTGAAGAGTTTGGACGTAGCTCCGCGTGAAGGCGAGAATTTAAGTTGTCCACGTGTAGGGGCCAGGGATAGCCGGTCCCTGTGCCGGGCCAATGGCGACCGGCCCACATGTCGCAACGCGGCAGGTGACGTTGCAAGTGCGCCAGCGGAGGATGGGCTCAACCTCACGGCCATGGTATCCCCCGTCTCAACTGCCGTAGTTGCCACAGCAGCTATGGTTGCGCCGGTCACGGAGGGAGCAGTGGTTGTGGTTGCAGGCATCGTGGAGCCGGCAGGTGATGTCCGGCAAAAGGAGCAAGGGCAACACGGCGGTGGGACCATCGGGAGGGATGGCAGGGCGCGACGGCAGATCCTAGGCAGCCGAGGCGTTGAGGTGGGTAGGCTGCAGATTTACGGGCAAACGCATGACCCAATCTGAGATATTCTTCACCTCGTGAATAGGTAATACTTGTCCACGTGCAGCGCTCTGTACCGCATGCCCGACATCCCCCTAACCAAAGCAGCTTATGAGGCCGTCTGTCAGTAAATCACGCCGCAAGCCGCTATTTCAAGCATTATACAGCCTCTGTGGTGCTCTCTCTCTTCCCCGCTGGTAAGGTTCGTCCACCTGCACCCGCAGCGTTACGTTCCCGCGGCAGTCTATCTCCGCTGTGGCCCATTCCTTGGAAAAAGCCCAAGACCGCTGAGTGGTCTTAGGCCGACAGCCTGGCAGGCCACTCTTGGCATGCTCTGCTCAACCGTCCACCAACCCGTGTGATTTTTGCAGGATCCGTACGCATTCGTATTCTGATCCCTCGGGCTTGGTCCGGGGCGCTAGCTCGCAGATTGCTCATGCACTGGGATAGGGTTCCTGCCGTGTACAACCGGACGACGCAACACGGACGAAAAGTAGACTGATTTTGGCAGCTGTGATGGTGTGATAGCCGCATAAGGAGCACTATGCTGCACCAAAACAATACCAGCCTGCGGTGAGGCAGCATATGTATGCGTCGGCACGGAATCTGTTGCCGATGGACGGAGCAGTATTGACGAACGGAATGTGTTAAGGGGGCGCTTGCCTTGATGTTAAGGAAGACAGGCTGTAGTGTACCGGTGCAACGCGTTTCGTTGAGTTAGGGAGTTCCCCCTGCATGGCTTGAGAAGCACACTTGTGAGGCTTGACCTGAATAATGGGTGAGCGGATTTGCTCGCCGTGATGCGGCACGCGAGCCTTAGCTAGAGACCACATACTATTGAGCGACGTGTACACCGCGTATATGCTTTAACCTGGATAGTGCACAGGCAGTGGGATGTACTTGATGTACACGTCCAGCCTCCACATAGCCAACCTGTGCCTCTTGCTCCGTGGAAAGCAACTGCCTACTAGAGCGAACCTCACCAGTACACGTCATGGTTTGATAGCTCGCGCTCATGAATGAATGTCCCTTACAGGCAATGAATATGCGTAGAAACCTCAAACTCCCCGGCATCCCCGCTGCCCATACCCACGGTGCGCTTTCTAGCGTAATTGTTGATCAAAAGGAATGATGTTTCCTTGTAAAACAATGGGTGCAGCTTACACGTGCTAGAGAACAAGCTTTGGATTGTACCTACCAGCTTTAGGGCAACCAGTTCCTGCACCGAATAAGCATGCTTGCATTTAAGGCATTCCTGGGTAAGATCTCGCCAGGACGACGACGAGCGTGCTGTCATGCCTCGAGGAATAGCGCAAAGCGAATGTGCACCGTCAGACTGGACAAGCCCACGGTCCCAAGTGGGACAGTGAGACAGCTCGCAAAAAGGACCAACGGATTTCTCGAATGTACGTACAATAGGGCGTATTGGCCTTTCCCTCCGTCAGCAATCGGAAAGGGAGCATGAGACCGAAACCCTGTGACTAAACAGTAGCCCACTCTGTCCTTACGGTACGGTATGCACGCCATGTTCACCACGCACAATCATACAGCCTTGTGCTACTGGACACCTGGCCCCGCCCCCACGGCACGCTCTCTCAGCGTGATGGACGGAGGGTACGATGTTCCCCCGGAGTATCAGTGGGTGCCAAAGATCATGCCTGTGATGGCATACGCCAGCGCATGGCTGCCGAACAAATCGATACATGGTAAAAGCATGCTTGCATCTACGATACGGCTGAGCATGATGTTTGCGCAGTCCGTCTCGACACATGAAAGGACTCACGAGCAGGACGTGTCAGACCATGTACACAGGGCTGCAGGCCGGACGGTGAGACTGCTGTGACGCACGCCACTAGAGTACCGGTAAGCCGTCCGGCCCCACCAAACCCTCTTCTAACAAGTACTGCAATAGCTCCCTGCCCTCCTTGTCCAAATCCTCAGGCTCCTCAGGCTCTCCCACCGACTCATCCTCATCCTCAAGCCCTTCCGCCCGGTCCTCCTCGCGCCACTCCTGCCGCTGCTTACGCATTTTCTCCTCGGCAAGCATGTGCCTGATGACGCGGGCCAACGTGTCGTCCCGTGATTGGCCCAACTTTGCCGACTGTCCAGGCCGGATGGAGTCGCCGCCCGCACACGGGTGCACCCTGGACGCATCAGGCACCTGCACGCGACGTTCCGATGCCTCCTTCACGGCCTTGTGCCACTTGGCCCAGCCGCCCTGCTTGTGCAGGAACGATGTGATAAACCTGCGGCAGCAGACAAGGGCGCAACGCAGGGCGGTTACGTAGCAGGGTTGAAGGAACCGCACCAAGGATTTCAAACTTCCATGTTGCTGTTATGGCAAAGGTTGCCATAGCTCGCCAACTGGGGTGCAAAACTTTCACGCACACAAATAGACTCGTGTGAAGGAGCACCACCAGATATATTAAAGGTCCGGAATGACGGCGGTGGTGTAGGAGGACCGACAGGTTGCAGCGCTACTATCAACAAGCCCGCGGCCCCAGGACTTTGGCGTTAGCACACAACGCCCAGAGATATGCTCTTCCCCGTCCCATGACCTCTCAGTTCCCCATGGGTATCGTCAGGCAGCCCATACTAGAGCCCAACCATCAACAGGCAAGCAGACCTCGTGGCGTCCTTACAGCCCAAGAAGCCTACCTATCCGCATGACGCTTCTGGTCTAAATCATCCAGGATACTTCGTATCTCCGTGGGGTTATCGGGAAGAGCAAACTGCCGCAGCCACCGCTGGCCGCCTCCAGGTGGCTTGCGACTGCGGCCGATACTGGTACGCTGGCCTTCGCCCTGATCCACATCCTCATCAGTCGCCTCATCCTGTGACTCCTCGTCGACGGCTCTCAAGTGCGCTAGGCGCTCCAACTGCTCCTGCGTATCCAAGTGTAAAGGATAGCAAGGACGACCGAAACTGCATGAGCTTCCGTTCTCAACCATGCTCCGCCAAGGTGTGCGACATGGGACACAGCACACATCCTCAAGACATAAGAGCATCTGGTCTGGTGGCTCCTTTGTGTATATGAAGGTTCTGGGTTCGATTCCTGATCAGACCCCCAACGTTGTTCAGGAGGTTTAGGTATACTAATGCTGATGAGCTGATGAGGTCTAGAGGATGGACTAAGTCTCGCATGCTAAGATGGTGGTGATAGCTGATCTGTCTCTACGGATGTCGGGTGACTGGATGAGGGGAGGTCTAGTTGGCAGGACCCAAAACCGCCGTCGGTTGTACGGTATAATCAACTTTCAATATATATAGTCCATGGCCTCCCGGCTTTGACGCCCCCCCCCCTCGTGCGGCACTTGTAACTTGTACTACTAAGACTACTGGGAAAGATTTTACCTGCTCGTGTGCCTTCTGTGACCATTTCCGCGCAGCCGCCAAGGTTATGGGTCGACTTGTGGCGGTCCCTCCTGCAGCGGGCGCCGGCTGGCGCCGAAGGACCTTCGACATCAGCGCCCTCTCGTCTCGGTTCCGGACTGATGCGTAAACACGAATGAAGCACTCGCCTGCATCGTTCAACCGGGAAAGGCCCAAGCCAATAAACCAAAATCTTGTCAGGAATGTGAGCGCGAGCCGGCTCGCTCTAGCCACGTTGCTTTTCTGCATGTCACACAGCACGGCGTTCATTTCACTTGCCTACCTGCAGTCTTGCCATGTACGTGCCGCGCGACCTCGCGCCAGAAATTTGGATGCGTCGGATCCGTCTTGAAGTATGCCGTCTGCAGCAGTTTGCATGATATGAAGGTTTTACCGTGTCGCCTTCTTATGCCATACGATGCAGAGCTTAGGGATCAACGCACGCACAATGTGCTTTAACAGGTTGACTACAATGGACTAGTGGCGGACGCCGAATGGACCAACAAACTCTCTGTGCCCTCCTCGTTTACGCTTTGCCCGAGTTAGGTCTATAGTTGCTTAATGAAGGCCCTTCAACCCCAGCCGCATGATTGCCTGACCTGTAGCTCCTGCACCTGCTCCAGTGTCCAGCCATCCTACAACGGATTGAGGAGCGCGAGGGCACGCCGTGGGTAAGTCTACGTCCCTTCCGCCACGAAAGCTGGCCGAACGTAGCACAAGATCCGTGCTGACAGATGAAGTCGAGGCAACACGGTGAAACTCCCCCATGGTGTTGGGCATAGACAGTGGTGCCTAGATCGGCACGTTAGCGGCGAGAAAGCAGGGAACGGAGTGAGCAGCTTGCCCCTCTTATTGCACCACATCAATTCTTGTAGTATTTCACTCTAGGCCCGTCAATGACAATACCTCTTCCCGGTCGGTGATCTCAAGCTCACGCGTCCTGTTCCGCTTCTGGACTCCGTCAGCACGACTGAGGGCGCGGCGAATGGACTCCACGGCGGAGGGTTCCGACGAGGATGCTGGTACAGGGGCTGAAGCGGCTGCTGTGGGCTGGCGATCATGCGCCGCCATGCGGCCGTCGCCGTTCAGAACGCGGTGCGGCTGCTGCTGTGTTGCGGGATGCTCCATTTGTTGGTACTCCCGGTGCTGCTTGTTAACACGATTTGATCGGAGCGATGGTACAACAAACTGCCGCGTTTGCGGCTGCGGCCGTCGTTGCTGTGCTGGTGGCCCAGGCCGACCCCCAGGTTGCGGCACCACAACTCCTTCCGACGAGCCCGGCTGTTGCTCTTGGAACTGATTTCGATGTGGCTGGACTGAAGCAACTTGGCTCGCAGCCGGATGCACGGCAGCTGAGCGCCAGTCACCCGGCCCTTCCTGCACTGACTCCAAAACAGAGCCATGCCATGGGTACTGCTCCTTAGGTTCAAGCTGCCGTGGCAGCTCGTGTAGTGGCTCATGTAAACTAGAAGGGTCCGGGAAGGAGTTCTGCTCCCCACGCTGCGTGGTGGGTACACCAGGCTGCCTCCTTGAGTCACCTTGAGTACCGTGCCCTATATCGCTCTGTGGTTGCCGAAGCTCCGGCTGCCCAGCAGGACGTGCATAGTATGCGCACGCGGGGAACTCCTGCTGTTGTCTTGATCCAGTCTGGTGTCTTGCCGCGTATGGGTCATCCAGCGGCTGACCGTGACACAATTGCATACGGGGCTGCTGGTGTTGCTGTGGTGGAGCCGGCGGTGGTGAAGGCGGCACATCGGTCTGCTGATAGCCAGGGCCGCCATCGTCCACATCTATGGCGTCAACTTGGTCATTGCTGCTGTCGCGATTCGGTTTTAATTCTTCGGCTTCCACGGCAACGTTGGCCACCCGGCTTTCAGGTGCAGCAGCTGCCACTGTAGTCTGCCAGGGGGGCCGCTGGTCACTCCGTGGAGGCCGTGTGTAATGTGAGGCCTGTTGCTCGATGCTTGCAGCTGATCGGTATCGCGCGCTCTGCTGTGGCTGCGGAGGCCCTGTACGGTGCTCGTCAGTGATACTATCAGTAACTTGCGGTTCACATCCACGACTACCGTTCCGCGTTGCAGATGCCGGAGCGTGCCGCTGCCAATGTACATCGCTCTGCACATGGACAATTGGACCTCCTGGTTCACCTTGCGGGATAGGGCGTGGGCCCTCCGGGCACCAACGTATGGCTGGATCCATGCCGTCCCGCGATAGTCCAAAAGCAGTGGGGCCTGCTTGAGCATTCGCATGGCACGAGAGCTCTGCTGTGTCTCTAGCATTATGAGCTAAGCCGTAGCCGTTCTGGGGTTCGGGGTACTTTGGCAGCCCTGCCTGTAGCAAGGAGTCAGGTATACCCTGCCGCTGCGCCCCGTCGTCGCTGCCTACCGCGCCCTGCCGCTCAGCTGCAGATGGCCCGGATTTAACACTTGGGTCCTGGAAAAAAATGAAAGGGGATGTAACATCAACACAATTGCAAGCCCTGATTTTCCTTCGCAGAAAGTTGACAACTGCGGAAAAGATTAGTGATACCAAGTAATACGGCCTTGCCATGGCAACTGCTATACAATGCCAAGCCTCATACGAATATGTGCGAAGTGCGCACTGCAAGGCAATACCCGGCCATAGTCATAACCGGCACTTCCCAAACCCACCTTTCTCGTATGGATGCCGTATCCGTCCCCAATTCCCCCATTGCTGAACTGCAATCCAGACGGCCTGTTATCACTACTAAGTGCGTGGCCGGTGCCGAGCCCACTGCCACCTTGCCGATACTCATCCTCGCCAGCTGTGTTCGACTGATGCCGCTGTAAATCCGTTGGCCGCTGTCGCCATTGCTCCTGCTGGCCACTTCCTGGTAGGCAAGGCACCTGCTCTATAATCGCTGCGTCATAAAAATTACGCATCGTCGTCACGCCCGCTGAAGCTGCTGCAGGCCCATGGAAGAATGCCACCCGGTCGCCGCGGTCAGCAACCATTGGCCCGCGCCTGACCATGTAAGTTGCCCCAGCTTCCTGCGCGACCTTGCTGCGGAGAGCGTCCGTTGGTGGGAACGCAGCTTCAGGTGCGTCAAGAGCCTCAGAGGCACTGTCTCCCTGGTTCGAGTGGGGATCATTCTGCGGTTGAACGCCGTAATCGCGGCCCCGCTGCACGAAAAATCCGCCTGGCCCCTTCGCGCGACCACCACCATGCGTGTGCATCGCGCCGTCAGGGTTCCTATCATCGCCTTCATCGGCCGAGTCCAACTGGGGACCTGGCTGGCTAGTATGCGGCTCCGCGTCGAACCGGGGCGGGGGAGGGATTGGCCTGCAAGGTAGACAAAGCCGTAGCAACGGTGATCATGTAAGTTGGAGGACGAGGCGACCCAGGGGAAAAACATGACGAACAAATCATCCTTAGGCTGTTGACCGCCTGACGCTGAAATGTTTACATTCTACCCTCCAGCGGCTTTGCCATTTTATTTTTGAGCAGAGAATCCTATTCCAGGCGTGTGAAGGCGTAATGCGACGCATTGGTGCTGCTCACCTGGTGTATTGCCTTGGCGCAGCCGCCGCCCTCTGCCCGCCATCCACCTGCATGAGCCGCAGCAATCTGACATCATTGGTGCCTCAAAACGACGCAATGCAAAAGACTATATGCCTGGTGGTTCATTCCCGTATTGCCTTAGTGCAGAACCCCCTAGCACCCGCACAACTTCGCCAGCAATAAGCTAGAATTGTAAGACGGGAGCCCTTTCGCAACCTCCTGGCCGGTTGACTCACCCCTCTGCGGCCAGATCCGGGCGTAATGGCAGCGCGGTTTTGGCTCGCCATCTCGGCGGCATACGTGGTACCGTACTGCTGCTGGACCCTGCATCCATTGCAGTCCTCCGTGGGCCGTCGCTCCATAGGCACATTGGCAAACTGCCGGAGTAGCTCTGCGTTACTCCAGCTGGACGCGCCCATATGCAAACTCGCACCAAAAACCTGCGCCTTGATGGGATGCTTCAGGGCGCCCCCTTTGTCCAATGCTTCCGCGCCCTGCGACCTCGGCAAATTAGACTGTGCCACCGACCCAGCAGGGGAAATCACCTCACGCACGGAAACAGGCAGCTTGTGCAAGATACGTTCTGCCTCGGCAGTTTCACTCACGGGTGACCCGGGAAGGTCGGCCCCGCTTTTGCAAGGGCCTTCCGCCGCATGGTTGCGGGTTGCAGCGGGGCTTGGCATAGTGGCGGTGCCAACACCTTCAGGTGAAGTTGCCGCCACCGGAATCTCCGGGGCGGCGGCAGCTGACGCGGGCGCCGGTTCGTGGTGCTGTACTTCCGCGGGGGTAATGCCCCCAACATCTGGCCCCCAACATGCGCCGTCCCCCTCCCTTGCCAGGTGCTGAAGTTCGTTTTTCTGCGGCTCTGAGGCTACTGGATTCTGGGAGATTTCCTTAACAGCCGCAGCATCCGGACCTACCGGGGCCCGTTTTCGCTTCTTCCTCCTGCCAGCGCATTCGTTGCCCATTACTTGGGGTGCAACGGGCACGCTCGCGTCCATTCGCCGCTGCTGCTCCAGTTGCTGCTCCATTACAACTGGCTGCCGTTCGCCAGACGATCCAGCTTGGCGCATGACATGCGCTGCGGGCCCCCCACTTGTCGATGCATGCACCGCAGCCATTTCTTCGCGGTCAGCATGAGTACCCAGGCTGCGCATCATTCGTTCCACGGGGAGCTGCTGCACCTCTACGGGTCCATCATTCAAGGCCGCACGTGGCCCCGTTAAGCATTTTGCCTCTGCCTTCTCCGCCGCTCCTGCGACAGCGTTGGGAATCACCTGCTGGGCAGAGTTTAGTTCCGTCTGCAGCCCGGGCTGTGCTGCCCGGGGTGCCGCAGCAGCGCCGGCTTTCTTTCGCCGTCCAGCCTTCGCAACGCGTTTACGCTGGCCAGGAGCAGCAGCATCTCCTTTGGCTGTGCGTTCCTCTACACCAGTCCCTAACTTCTGCCTATCCTCCGTAGCCACTGAAGCCAGGGCTTGCATTGCCCAACTGCCGGCTGCCGGCTGACCTGCTCCATCCGGGCCTCCTTGCACCGTTGGTTCTGCTGGACCTTTCCCAGAATCACGACCTGCCGTAGCAGCGTTTTTTCCTTGCGTTGCCGGCTGCTGGGGTGCCGCGGCTGCGTGAGCAATTGCCTGCACGGGGCCCTTTCGTGGGCGCTTCTTGGGCCGGCTGGCTTCATCGTCGTCTTGCGCGTCCTGCGACTCCCTTACTACCGGCAGAGCCTGCATCGGTCCTGCAGCTGGCTGTTGCTGATGCTGCAGCGGTGCTTGCGTAAGACCGGCAGGGGTGGTGGCTGCTGCTACAGCGCTAGGGACGCCTGCAGCTGCTGTGATGCCCGCAGCAGCTGCAGCGGCAGCGCCTCTGGCCGACCTGCGCTTGGCCACCTGTTCTCCAGAAGGGACGTCCGGCGGAATGCGCCCCGATGAAGCTGTCCGTGTCCCGGAGTTCGATGCACCATTAACCCGCTGCCGCACCAAACCTGCACAGGGCTGGGTTTCGGCAGCTTGCTGCGCCGGCTTTGCTGACACACCACGACCTAACCCTCTTGCTTTGCTCGTGGCAGGGAGCCGGTCCTTGTCCAAAACCGGTTGCTGATTAGTGCGGGCTACTGACCCTCGGGTACGACGACCACTGGCCACCGCCGCATCAAGGCCGTCTGCTCCAATCCCTGCTTCTGCTTGGACAGCTGCCGCTGCCACGTCAAGAACCATGATCTTGCTACGCAGCACAGGGTCCCTCGGACGTTGCTTAACCTTGTCAGCATCTCCACGCGCCGATTTCGTCACTTTCGCTAACGTTGGTATCGACGCTGTTTGGGTAGGCCCAGATGCAGCAATCGGGGATAACAGTCCTCCAGCACAGTGTGGCGCAGCAGCCGCAGGTTTGGCCGGCGCTGCACGGCTCTCCGGTTGACATTTGGCTTCCTTCATCATAGGCCCACCACGTGCGGATGCGGCGTCTCCATCAGTCGCACTGGCCGTTAGAGTCGACGCCAGATGCACGTTCGGTTGAGCAGCTGCGTCTGTGGGAGCTGCCTTGCGCATGTGGCTTCGTGTCACGGGTACCTGTGCAGACGGCTTCGAAGCTCCTTCTTGTTCTAATGACGCTCTGCCTGGTGATGCAGTTTCATGCAGTTTCTGGGCCCGATGGGATCGAACAACCGAGTCCTCACGTGTCTGAGGCTGTTCCTGTTGCGCCACGAACTCCTGTGCCCGGTGGCCGCAGACACCACCAGCCCGGTTTTCACGGTCTGAGTCCTCGCTGGCAGCTGCCCCTGCAGCTTCATGCAGCTGATGCAGCGAACAAGCTCGGAGCCCAGAGGGCGCCTGTTGGGCTGTATCTTTGTCCAGGTCATCCGCGAGGCACCGATGAACACCATATCTTCCTGTATAGGCATTTCACGATAAGTCTAGGTTGCGAAGGAAAACAGAAGAAGCGCACCGCATCTTACCCGGGACTGGCGTTGGCCCTGTTCCTGAACGGCGACGAACTTGTACGTCCGGAAAATCAAGAACTTGCGGTACGTTGTCCTTAGGACCTTTCTCGTTTCGCCAATATTCTCGGGGCTTGCTACGTACGCGCCCACTTGTCCGACAGCCCACTCTGTCCGCTGTGAGTGCAGTGAATGGTCCAGGAGATACATCCATGGTGCTGTTTAAGTAGTCAAGATGCTATCCTTGTGAAAGCAAAGCTCCGCTATGCTCAAGCTCTGACGATTTGAACCTGACGTTGGTCAACACCGCGTAACCTATCATCCTCAACGATGTATCAGATAATCCCCACTCAGAGTAACAATATATCGGCATACGGTTGCCCCGCAGCACTGTCATCGAGCGATAAGCGACTGCCGGTTTTGAAGGCACCAACCGTACATCGTCCGATACACCAGGTGCCAGAACAACTGCTAGGCTAAGACTATCTTGAATCGCTGATTGAGACATTTCTATTAGGAAGTATTTTAATTAGCCATGCCGCGAGGGCAGCTAGATGAACTTCGCCTTGCGAATAGCAAATCGTTTCCTCATGCAATCTTCAAGCGACAAATCAAACCTCTATGGCGCTCCTTGCACACCTCAGCTTCGGCCAACAGTAAGCAACCGTCCGCAAGGGGTCTTGCGGTGGCTGGTGCCAAGTATTGTTGCCGTTGCGCCCGCAGCCCAGCATTAACAGTATGCGCTGCTTCAAGCTGCGATAAGTGAGTGGCCCTTGCTCCACTACGCACTGGGGGAATAGCTCTTACGAGTGGCAGGTTGCGGTCCGCTGCGGCAGGCCCAGTACGGCAAGCACGCGGCCACACATAGCAGCTGCACTTATCACAGGTACCTACGCAATAATATTTGGTATAGCGCTGGTGCTGGCGCCCAAAACAGTCTTCGGTGAGTGGCACATTGAACCCGTGGCAACCCAACTTCCTGGCGACCCTCTATGCGCCCCGCGGGCCGTGTCACCCCAGGGTTGCTGTTCAAGTCCGAGACTGTCTCCTCGGGTTGGATACGCGTCGGTGGCATACTTTTCACTCTTATCGGCTGGCAGTATCTGGGAACTGCCCGTGCAGACAGCAAGGTGCGGCATGTCTTAATCGTGATGGAATTTTTCCGCATGGCCCCTTTCGCCTGAAGGCCGAGTCAATTCACGCGTGGGCTGCAGCTTGCTAGTACAAAGCACGTGCATCGCAGCATGCGACGACACTGCATTCCAGCGTGTTTGTGTCCGTTATTTTGCGCCTGAGCCCGCTGAGAGCCTTGCCCTGATGCGGTGTTGTAGGGGCAGGGAGCACGTGGCTTCTATTGCGCCACGGTGTGGTCACGCCTGGCACTATCGGCGGCATTCGTGATGCTTGTGGCGACAGGACAGTCCCCTGCTGGTCTCCTGGTGTTGGCGGGTATCAACACCTTGGGCGCGGCATCCATGCACCTGGCTCTCAGTCGCAGCGTCGCAGCCAAGGACAATGAGCCCGAGAAGGGGTCGAGTCGGTCATGCGCGTCATGACGTGGTACGTTTGGCAGGTTGAACATGGTCGCAAGGTTAGGTATGATACAATTGTGGAAGAGTTTTGAAGCTAGAATCTTTTGGAACCTTAATGCTGAGATGACTTACAGCAGGTGGGTGGATCGGGCAGGCATTGCATAACTTGCATGATCAAAATGTTCTCTATTGAGCAGTGTATACTGTGTTCCCTTAACCATGGTGCTCGTAATGGTTGCTTTAAATGTGTGCTTATGCGTCTTTGTCTCTGCGTACACACGTGTTATTGGCGTGATCCGAACAGATCTGAAAAGGAGGCAGCAGCTTACTATGGTAAGTCGCCCGTCATGCTGAGGACGGATAGCTGCCCTAAATTGCACCAACTGATAAATTTATTGGCAGTTTGTTGACGCAGCAGTATCTATGTTGTTACAGGGTGGTTAACTTCGCCAGCGGCCCCCTTTCCCGGGGCAGTCCCTGCTCTCCCCTGCTAGAGGGGCACCCTAATCTGTGACCCCATCCGACTTCAGAATGTATTCGTTGGGTTCGGCAACTCACCACCAGCATCCAACCAAATCTAGCGGATCAACGGCGCATCAACTTAGTTCCTGGTCAGCTCGCAAGCTGATATTATCACGTCCTACATCGTCCATATGATGGGGGGCCACCCCATTTCAACACTCCTCAAACACCCGAGGAGCCGGCAGGCGGATTTGTCCCCGGGTCGGCCGGGAGCAGAAGTCAGGCCTTAACCTCTGCCAGCCGCCTACCTAGTAGTATATCACACGGATGCTCCTGGTTCACCAGTGGCCCTGTGTATCCTGATGTACCTAACGTTGCTGCCGACAGATTTTATGGTAGAACCGGTATGGAAGCATTGCTGTGGATTATGGTCGTAACGGGCGATGGGGCCTCTATCGCACAGATGGTTGGTAGTTGTAGTTGTCGTTGCAGTGGAGCCTGGCTGGTGTGCAACACCTAAACGACGTTGTGTAGGTATAATCTGTGTCGTGTAGTCGGTCTTCATTGCACGCTTTTGTTCGGAGCAATATTCACACCTGTAGGATCACAAGTGCGTATGTGTACACAAGGATTGAGATAAATCCGCCAAACCCCTGCCAGTTGCTTCTTCCGTTCAGCCGTTCCGTGGCTTAGCTCGTCTCGTTTCGAGGCGTGCTGCCATGCTAGCAAGTCCATCTACCCATCTCGTCCCAGTGTCTGCAATGCATACCGACAATTAGGCGATCCCTGTACACGTGCTTGACCGCTTTGGAAGATTCCGATGGATTGGCACCCCATGCTTCTACGGGCCATGCTACGTAACTGGAGCACATCTGGGATCCATTCTCACGGATCTCGGTGCTTAAGTCTGCAATTCTCCCAGTGTGCACGCCAGCGTGGCCGTGTCTCAACCCAAATGCTTGCTTACGTGTAGGCACCATGCTTCTCCACAATCCCAACCCACGTCTTCTGCCTGCAGCCTCTCACTTCAACCAGTCGAAACAGAGTTCCCCAGTCGGACAGAGTTTAGGCCAGGGCAGTCCCCAAAAAAACGCCGCCAGAAGGCATGCTCCACCTGTTGCAACAGCGTTCTCCCTGCCTCGTGAACACAAAAAAACTCCCAAAAACTACCTTAAGCTACGTTCCATGCACCCATTGTGTGTGCATCCGAAACAACTTTGACCATGTTACATCCTCGTCGGACTCCGAAGCGCTGCTTGCATGCATCTTCCCTAGGCGATCCATATGGCCTTACGATGGCCACTATTTTCACCAGCGAAAACGAAACATATGAGATCCTTCCGACGGGAAATGCCATACCGTGATCCTTTGGCAGCCAAACTTAAAACAAATAAAGGGCGAAGGCAAAGTGCCACCCTGCGTGCCACCACCGTGCGCCTGTACAGCTCCCACGAGTTAAATTACATTTGTATGGAATTTGTATGGATGTACCTGCCACTTTCCATACCCCTCCCAAAACGTGGCGTTAGCCACCCCTCAGGGGCCAATGCAGAATTAAGCGCTGGCGGTGACGGGCGTGCGGACCTCCGCAACCGCGCCAGCTGGCATAGGAGACGACGGCAAAGCCTTGCTGCCCGCCATCATTCCATACTCCATAAGCCCCTTGGCGAATGCCTTTGTCGGGAGGGAAAGGGAGCTGAAGTGAGCCGAAAGCGAAGTAGGAAAGGCGTGTGGACATTATAATCGCGATGGCCGGCCGACATGAAACATGGGGCACGTGCGTTGAGTGTGACCAAGCAGGCATGACTCCTTACCCCGGGGGAATACTGTTCGGCAGCCCCGGGGTACGCTCACCAGCACGCGAAAGGAGGTACCTAAAGCCGAGAAATCCAAACTCGACGCGAGCTGCACATGATCTATCAGCAGTGGCTGCTTTCCATGAAAAAGATCGCCATATATGTGCAGATACGTTTTAACAGCTCGTGTATCCCTGAACAGCCCTCTGCCGAGCCGCCAGGACCCTCATCCCCAGCCTAACATCCACCACCGAGTAAACACCAACGAAGCAATGTCCAACCTTGAACTTCCTCCACCAGCCCATCCCCTGTACGTCCAATTGACTGCCACCCTTCAGGCCACCATCCCCGCTTGGGCCTCCACCGGGGCATCAAACCACCAGCAAGCCCAGGGAGAAAGTACGTTCCACTTGGCCCCAAACCCTGAAGTCTGGTTTCCCTAACACGCTCCATACCTGGTGCATGCGCTCAATCGTAACAATCTCGCGCACAGTCTTGTACCAGATCCGGGGCCCCTTGGACACCACTATCCACGGGTCAAACACGCCGACCCAGATGGAGTGACGCCACGAGGCCAGCGTGTTCTTGTTCCAGTTATCCGTATGTACGTTCTGCAGCTTGCCGGTGCCCTGTCGCACGGTAAACAATGCGCAAGGAGGTGAAGTTGGCGGATACATTAGGAAGAGAAAGCGACTCCGGAACGAGTGCGGAATGGCGGGTTGCAGTTGGAGGCTGCGTGATGACGGAGCTAGCAGGAAATTTTACGATGTAAAGGACTAAGCCCGCCTAATCCAATGCCCGGCATAGGAACAGCACGCTTGTTCGTGCTTGTCAGTCATGAATGAGAACTTCAAGCGAGGGGTATGACTCTTAGCTGCAAAAGCACCGACATATATGGCTGCGACAGAAACAGCCTCCGCGGAACCCCAGAACACCTCCTCACAGAGCGGCTGCCAGAGCTCGCCAGCTATGGGGCTATGCGACGAATTGCAAGCGACAACGCCAACCCCAAAACAGACGCTTCCAGTTTGAGAACAGGTCTTCGGGCTGTCCGCAAAGGTGACAATTTCGTTCGAACCGTGGAGCCCTCTCCTCGGGTATGCCTCCTTTCCCACTGCGTGCGCAACCTTTGTCCTGGCCTCAAGTCTCTGAAACCCTGCCCGCTTCGCCTCGCTTTGCCGCAAAGTATCCCGCCCACAGCTCCGCAAGCAAAAGCGACAGACCTCTCCCAGTAACTGCCCGCACCTTCATGAGCCGCTCGAACTCCTGGATGGAGATGAAGTACGGGTGCGCCCACTCGTCATACAGGAACTGCAGGTCCTCCTTGTCCTGGGCGGTGAAGGGCGCCTCCGGCGTCTCCTCGCGCTGGCACCAGCACGCAATGACCAGCGTGCCGCCTGGCTTGAGCACCCTCGTCATTTCCTCGACATACTTCTTCTTGTCGGGCATGTGCTCACCGCTTTCGCATGCCCACACCAGATCGAACGTGTCGTCGGGAAACTCCATCGCCAGAGCGTCCATGACCTAACTCGCGCATAAAAAGCAAAAAAACACCCGTGTGATGCCATTTGACGGATGATTCTTACAATACGCAACGGCCGACGAAGGCTGGAACCCGCGATTCCAGCAAACACGAACACAACAAGCCAAAACACATATGGGCATAGCCTATGAGCTCCAAGTCAACGCTTGGGGCCCTGGCGGGTATATGAGAGTGCGTTAATAGCAAGTGCAATCATTACCCCAGTAGCGAGTAAGCCCAGTGGAGCCCAGTCGCCATGTGGGTTGCATCGTCGTGTCGCATACCAGGACGCCCACAGTGTATGGGCCGCACCACGCAACTGAGGCGATAATGACACCCACAAGGCCCACAGGAAGCCCTCCACGATGGCGCCACCTCTCATGCTACGTACAGCGTCCATCATTTCTATGCCCCACACACCGCACCTTACCCTAGCTCTGGTCGTCCACACCGTTCCACGCATACGCAGCATGTATCATGACGTCCGTTTCATAGCACGGACCTCCGGTCCGTGTTCCAGATCCCAGACCCTCCCTCGGACATTCTCTCTCTGCCCTGTTACCGCAACCCCAAACCTACCGCCTGTGATAACCGATGACAGGCCACGGCTGCACTGCCTTATGCCATTCTGTCTGGTCCATTCCATGGGCCAGTGGACATAATACATCAAGTTTTACGCCGCCCAATCATCCCACGAAATACTTTCCAGCCTAGTGTAATTACCTGGAACTGCACGTTGTTGACCCCCTGCTGCTGGGCGAGCTCCGTTCCGCGCGCAACTTGCTTGGGCGACAACGTGATACCTGCAGCAGGATGTGTGTGGGAGGGGGGAGAAGGAGGGCAGGAAGAGGAATGAGGAAGAGCTTTAACAGTAGACCGGAAGTGTGTAAGGAAGAGCAGCCTTACGCCTGACATTTGCACTGGGTGGGTGGCAAGGGCAGAGGGCTTAGGGGCTCGGCAGGGATGGCGCTTTGGGCGCTCTGGTCGAGAGGAAACGTATGACAAAACAGGGCTAAGGGAGATATATGACATCCCTCGGCTTCCTGGCTAAACGATGGTGGGCGTGAAGACAAAGAAGCCACGACCACCTGTAACGCAACGGTCAAATGCGCTGCAGCACGGACTTCACGTCCAGCCACCCTCCAGTATTTCTTGGAACGAGTCGCAGACAAGATGGTCCATCCTTCGAAGCCCACCTGTGACGCTTGCTTCCTTGAACTTCTTCGCGAGGTGTCGACTAGTCCCGCCAAACCCACAGCCAACGTCGAGAATTTTCTTAGGGTCCTGGGCGCCGCTGAATTTTAGCATTTCATCAACAAAATCAAATTTCGCCTGCTTGAAGTCTTTCTTAAGGTACCCTCGCGCCAGCTCCTCGTCGGAGTAGTAACCCAGATGTATATGCTCGCCCCAGTAGTATTCGAGGACGCCCTCCTCCGTCCATGCATCATACTCCTTGCCGACATTGTTATCATACTTGCGTGAGGGAGTGTCAAGGACGCGCTTAAGTGCGAACAACGTCAGGCCCAGTCCAGCGACGGCTGCCAAAACGGTTGCGTCGATGCCAGCAACGCCTTGAGTTGCGCTCGTTGATGTAGAGCAACACGCCGCTTCGCTAACCGAATACAACTCTCGTGCTGAACGACCAGCATGTGTGCCTGAAGCTGAGGCCATAGCCTCAGATGATACATCCGATTGCCGACCAGCTGAGGCTATCGTTAGCCTCTTGCAAGATGACCGAATCAGCGGTGCAGTAACATGATTTTGCTGCTGCAACCTAAGCGGATTTGCCCGACCAAGTTCCCCTTGCAAAGCAAACATTGTCTCCTACCAAACAGCTGAGTTTAAAATTAGCATACAACTTGCAAATAAAACGCGATTTGCAAAGGTAAATACAATGCAAATCCGAGCGTTGTGCTAACCCTTGGTCGAGCGAGAAAACTAACCCGTACGATTTCCAGCCTGAGGTCACAAAAAGTCTTGTGCAGCAATTCGACCGCAAGGCCACCGTGTCGCCTGAACCTATCAGGCCCATGTCGCGAACTTCTTTTGAAATTTACTGCGCTGCCGGTCACAGGCAAGTCCTGTAGCCCTATCCTGCATCGAGTTCCTCCTGCTGTATTGACGCGCAGCGATCATAGAGAGGCGGAACAGCATGATACATGCTTGTCTCACCACGATATTGTTCGCGCTTTCGCAAAACACACAAGCCTCCTACTACCACGCCACCTTTCACCTCAGCCACCTCCCACCGAAACCCAGGGCCCCCTCACTGCCACGAAAATTCTGCGGTGCATTTCTTGAAGAGGAAGTCCCGCCCATTTATGTGAAACACGCAATCACGCATAGCAACCTTCCAGCGGTTCTTCATTTTGTTGACTTTCTCAAACTGTCCAATCATAAGATTCTCCACAACCTCCTCCTCCTCGTTATCGTCGTGCTCGTCCTCCGACAGCACTTCGTCGCCCTCTGGGGCAGCCTCGCCTTCTGCGCCCGCGCTTGAACCTGCGCCATCCGCCCCACCATCCGCCGCACCATCCGCCGTGCCGTCGTCACCATCCCGCTGGGGGATTGTGCCCTGGCCGTAATACCCGAAGTGCTGCTGCGCTTGTGGCTGCTGGGCCGCCGCAGCCGCCATAGCTACCTGCGGTGGCGCCAACTGCGCCTGCTGGAGGGGCTGCTGCTGCTGCTGCTGCAACTGCTCCTGTTTCAAAGCATACTGCGCTAGCTGCTGTTGCTGCAGCTGTAGCTGTTGTTGCTGCTGCTGTTGCTGCTGTTGTAGCTGCAGCTGCTGCTGTTGCTGAAGCTGAAGGGTCTGCTGCTGCAAGTGCTGGGTGTAGGCCACAAAGAACTGCTGTGCCATCTGGAGCGCAGGGTTCAGAATAGCGGGGACGGCGGTTGGTGGCTCGGGCTGCTTCCGCTTGCCGAGGCAACTGGGGCCCGCACCATCGTCATCATCAACCCCACCACGGTCGCCAAGAGGACCTCCGCGTCTGCATATGAGGCATTAACAGTGGAACAAGCAGGAGCGTGAGAGCAGCACTTCCGCACCAGACAGCCGGCACGTGTTCCCAATACTTACTGCATCTGGGCCATCAGGAGGTCATCGTTAGTGTCATGCTCATCGCGAATGAGTCCTTGCTGCTTTAACTTCTCCTCCCACTTCTGCTTTAGTTCCATGAGAACGGACCTGCGTGCCCGACCCGATGCAAGTGCATCAGGACGCTAATTAAATCTACAATATAATTAGCACAGAGCCGCTCACTCATCAATATTGGCCGCCTGGAACTCCGGCGCCATCCCGGCCACGACGTCGTCCACCACCCACTTGTAAATACTGGAGGCGTCTCCCTTCATGATCCAATAGTGTTGGACCTGAAATAGTCGGTAACACGGGCGACGTGCCGCAAACAAGTATGGGTTTCTACAAATTTTGTTTGTGAGCGTTTCCGCCTTGTGACAAATAGTTTATTTTAAGGCTTGAGATACATGAACATATGGAAGGCCGTCAAGTTACTCCTATCTTGTCCATTAGGGCCTGGTGCATGATGGGGTCGGTTTCCCGTCCGAGATGAATCACGACAGAAGCCAGGTCGTTGCGTCACCGCATCAAATCACCGAGCAGGAAATATCTCCTTAACAAATCATCAATACCGTTCCAGCGCCCATGCCTAACCGATTCCGCGCTTGCAACATAACGCAACACCTCACCGGTACCGTGTGGCGGAAGTTCGCAACGCGGCCAACCGGTAGCAGTCGTTTGCCAATCATCAACATAACCGGGCTCTTCCTCTATCCGGTGCAACTTAAAGAACGAGCATATACAAAAGTATCCTATTGTGCCGACGCAACGTCACAGGCGGCCTCGGACCGCCCGCCTTCCACACCAGCCCGCACGAACCCGTCAGCCATGGCACTTCTTCCTCCGCTGATTTCTTCCTCCACGTTCGCGCTTCCATGCAACGCACAGTTACAGCCATACACTCTATCTGCATGGTGTCACCGCGGATTGCAAAAGTACCAGCAGCAGGGTCCCTTTCAGCGGCACCGGAATCTGCAGTCTTACGACCCGTCGGTCCGATTTTGGCCTCATCGCCGCCTGCACAGCCTGACAGATGATGACGAAGATCGACACCTACCTCCCCCTCCTTACCGGGGAACTCCAGTGAAGCCGGAACACTTCCATCCTGTGAAGCTGCGACCAATGCAGGAGCAGCAGCCGGCTGCGGCGGTCGTGCCGCCTGCAGACGCAGGTTGGCATTCGCATCTGAAATTTGCGGGAGATGTGCGTCAAGGTGGGCAGACTGGTCGGAATCTGTGGCATGAGAGCGCTGAGAGATGGAGGCAATGGAGCCGCACCGGCGGAGGAGGAAAGGGAGTGGTTGCAGCTGCGGCGACCAACACGGCCGCTGCTTGCGTACGCCGTAGGACCAGCACTGCCGGCGGTAGCAGCGGTAGCGAAGGCCCGGACGGCAGCGGTAGCAGAGCCGGGGACGGCGGCGGGTCTAGCGAGGCTGGCGGCGGGAAATCTCCTAAGCGTGTGGTTTCAGAGCATGTGGCGAGGCAGCAGAGCGCGGCTGCGAGCCAGCTAGACCCCGTGGGAGCGCACGACAGCAGCCAGCAGGTGTATGGTGCCGCTAGCGGCGCGCAGACCAGTGGACACTATGGGCTGCCGCCGCCTCTGGACGATCTCCGCCCGCCTCTGCCGCCCCCGCAACAGATCAACTCCCAAGCCGAGACCGACGCGGTGAAGCGTGTTAACTGGGGCGCCGACAGCGCGTCGGAGGGTGAGGACGGTCTTGGAGGCGGCGGCGGTGGTGGCGGTGGCGCGTCTGGTCCGTCTTGGGTCGGGCAAACCGTGTGGGCAGTGCCGTGCAGTACGGTTGGGTACGGCACCCGGGCGGAGGTGGTGGCACGACTTCCCGCCAGCATCATGCTGTTGCGGCATGCGGGTAAGTGCAGGGTGTAAGTCATCCGTGGAGAGACCTGTTGGGCGGGGCTTGGGGGATGCCTGACTGTCGTGATGCAGCGTGCCTTCCTGTGCATTTGAATCACCATTGTCGTGTCGTGACTATGTTGTGTTGTCTAGCAGTTTTGTTGTGGCGTTGTTGTCTTGTGCAAATCCGGGCTACAGACTAGTCGACTGGTGGTGGATACAGTTTCAAACAAGCCAGGCAAGAATGCAATGGGCAATAGCGCAGGTGACCATGGGTTTTGTTATGCGGGCGGGCGGGTGGCCATGTGAGTCCGGAAGGACATCCGTAGAGAGCACTAAGGTCGAGGGTAGAGGGAGGCAGCGCAGCACGCCAGCCATCCTGCCTGCAATCCACTTCATCCTCCCTGGCTGAAGTGGCTGATCACATGACCGACTGAGCAGATCCCAAGGAAAGCAAAACGCACAGGACCGAAGCAAACGCCTCCAAACTTAGCGATTTTGTGTAAATATGGAACACACACACACACATACGCGCGCGCGCGGTCGTGAACGGGGAAGGTGGGAGAGCAGGCCTGATGCCGGGCGGATGGCGCCACAATCCTCAGGCGTCAGGAGCCTGCAAGCCCTAGCTTTCTCAATTGGGGCATTGTACAGCATCTTGAAGATGTGGTATTGATTTGCCCACCTGCCTTACTGCCGCACTTCGCACGTGTGTCGTACTGAACGACCGCAGAATGCATGACGTTGGACGAGCTTCAGGCCCACGAACGCGTGCCCAATCACGACATCCCGTTATCCCGGGTGGGTGAGGTGCAGGCTCGGCAGCTGGGCCAGCGGCTTCGTCCGGCGCTGGCAGCGGCCGGCATGCACCTGTACATGTATACGTCACCCTTCCTGAGATGCTCCGAGACCGCCAGGTGCCTGGGGGACCAACGTCATATGGCAGTTGTAGGGGGTATGGGTCGTGTCAAACACCGGTTTATTCGGGGGATTTCGCAGCCTTGCTGTTCGGGGGGCGCCGCCGGGTACCGACTGACGGACGGTTGCGGGTCGTCCGGCCCGTCCTCACGCTGCTTGGTGGTCCCTGAGGACGGAGAGAAGCGGGGAGAAGGGGGGAGAAGGGGGGAGAAGGGGGGAGAAGGGGGGAACGGGGGGGGCCTGCCGTTTTGAGCAGCGTGTTCCGGCCGTTGGTCTCTCCTGCCGTCTTCAGGGAGGAAACGGCAAGCGGAGGAGGGAGAGGGGGAGGGAGATGAGGCTGGCGTTTGGGTTAGGTTTATGGGGTCGTTGTGGGATGTGGCTCGAGAAAGGTTAGCCCTGATTTGGCTTGGCAGCTTGCTGGAGACTGCAGGATGGCTGGAGATGTGCTGTGCTGTCCCCACCTGCCTTGGTAAGGCTCGTCTGGGAGGTCCCTCTGCTACCCTGCCCTGCCTTGCCCTACCTTACCCTAACCCACCCTGCCCTGCCTTGCCCTACCTTACCCTAACCAACCCTACCCTGGGTGACCTGCGAAAGAGCTTCCTCCTTGCGTACCGACGGTCGCCCTACATGCCCCCCACCAGCTCTGCCCCCACCCTGGGTTGGGTGGGTGGGTTGGTGGGTGGATGGGTGGGTTGTCTCACTCCTGATAAGGGTGGCATCTTGCAAACAGAAGCTCAGGATGCTTTTTAACTCTAATCCCAACCCCAGTTTTACCCCTGGGGTCCCGAACCCGACCTCGTCTCACCCTTGCAACCCACCCCCCGCACACACAAAAGGATCCTGGCGGAGGAATTGGAGGAGGAGGGTCTGGTCAGTGGTGTACGGGAAGCTGTACAGCTGCGTGAACAGGACTGGGGGAACTTTCAAGACCCGCGGGTGCAGGTGGGTATGTCGTACAGTGGCATATACCCGTGCGCGTGGCTGACGCCGCCACCACTCATACTCAACGATGGCGCTTTCGTAGACGCCAGCCAGCCAGGACGGCCCACGGCCATCAGCTAGGGACTCGTCATGCAAGGTTGCCGTGTGGCTCGAATGTACATAATTTCTAGCATCTTCGCATGCATGGTTGCGTGAATAAACGGACAAGTCTGCTGACCCCCACTTCGTCTTCCTCACACGGGGAAGATGCACAGCAGCGTACTGTCTACTCGTATTTGCAAATGTCAACAACATCAATACCCCTAACAGCAACAGCAACAACAACAACAACAACAACAACAGCACGCCGCCTTCATAAGCCTTCAGCGCTTCCCCCCTTCCTTCACGGCGTTTGGTCGGAGGGGCAGGGACGTTGTCCTTGCGGGAGAGCATTAGACAGCTGTTGTCCATTTCCTGTTGGAGGATTTGCTGTCCTAACGTCAGAGCGAACATCGAACGGGGGGGGTAACCTCGCCAGCTACGGCTTCTCCGTAGCGAGGTGCTTCCGCACAAAGAACACACGCGGGTGAAGTCCAACTCATGGGGGTGTTAACACCAAATTGCCGACGTTTGGATGGAAGCATGGTATGTAGGAGCGCAAAGGGGCCAGCGAGTAGGGTAGGGTAGGTAGGGGAACGTAGGACTCGAACAGACATCGGAGTTTTGGGAGCCGTGCACCTGCACCTGCACCTGCACATGTGACCCTGGCCGGCGGCGGGCATTGGATATTGCCTGCTCACAGCAGTTTGGCCACCTCGTCCTCGTCCTCGTCCTCCTTGTGCATCAATAATTGAACCCAGGCGGACTGTAAGGAAGAGCGGCTGCGCTACGGCCGATTCTACTACCGCTTCCCGTCCGGGGAGTCCGTCGCCGACGTGTACGACAGACTGACCATCTTTCAAGACCACCTGGTGCGAGATATGTGCGCTGGCAGGTGCGTTGCAGTATATGGCTGTACGGCGTGAGAATGAATGTACGGTGTGCTGGTAGGGGCTAGCTAGTGCTTGGGACGTGGCACATGCACACACACGTATCAGGTGCCGGTGTGTCTCTGTAAGACCAACCTAGCAGGAGGAGGCTTGGGATTGGAATGAGAAATCTAAATCCTCAACTCCACCTCCTGTGCTTGAGTTGGGAAAGGGGGCCCGTTCACCCCCCACCAAGTGTAACCGAATGAAATACGACCAGTGTTAAACTGTAAGTCCTCTTCTTCGTCCTCCTCTTCGCAGGTTCGCAGAAAACACATGTGTGGCCATCGTGTCACACGGCCTGACATTGCGGGTGTTCGCGATGCGGTGGCTGCACTGGACCGTACGGCAGTTCCTGCAGGTGGGCTGCCGGGTCGGTGAAGGGCTGGGGGCTTCAGACATTCGGAGTCACAGTAAACATGTGCCGTGTGTGTGTGTAAACATGTGCCGTGTGTGTGTGTGTGTGTGTGTGAGAGAGAGTTTTCCAATACAGAAACTCCAAGGCAGGAGTCGTAAAACCAGTGAGAACGAGTGTATGTTACGCCGATTGCTTCCGATTGAATAAGAGTTTGCCGGCACCGAGTGGGGCAACCGTTGTGGCGAATGCAGTAGTAGCAATGTTCCTGTAACTTGCCGAACCGATCCCTGGCGCTCCCCTCTTCGTCGTTTGGAATCTTAATCTCGTTCGGGTCCGTTATGCTAGCCTTCGCGCTTCGACACCAGGTACTGCAATGGGGTGTGAATTACCCGCCAAGTGTACCCTCTAGCTGAGTGAGTGATCGCATGCGTCCGTGCGTTTGGTGGGTGCTTCACATGTAAGACGAGTCGCGCAGCTTGCTGTCCATCTCACATGCACATACTTAGCATAGCCTGGCTTGTGTTTTGGTTTTCTGTCTGCCGTACATTTAGGTATACAACATCCCCAACGCCGAACCGGTGCTGCTACACAAGGTACGTGGGTGGGGGGAAATGGTTTTCCGCAGGGCAGGCGCATAAGGCTATTGTCCGTGAACTATTTTTTTGAGTTGCCGACCCTTTATAATCTGAAACGAGGGAGCAATGGCGGGCCCATTGGGTGATGAACCTTCCACCCCTCCTCCTCTCGGTGCGCCGCGCTGTCGCGCTATGCTCCTGCAGGACGTGCACCCGAGCTACCTGGAGGGGGACCATGCAAATCTGCCTTTCATGCCGCACCACACCAAGTGCCTGTACCGGCTCACGCCCCGCGCTCTGGTAGGCCGTTTGGAGATAAGTATCGGAAAGAAAACGGGGTTTGCAACGTTCGCGTCGAGAGCAGGGGACAGGTCGAGGATGTATTAGGATTGGAAAACCTGTGCACGCACGAAACCTCAGGCTTATCGGTAGTGATACCAGGTGATAAAGGGATAAATAGCCACCTCGCAATTTGTAGTTGGCCCAGCAAAAAGTGGCCAAGTTGAGCTACGAACTCATACGCATTTAAGTTTTAATTTTCGCTGCCTTTTGGTGCTCGGATGTGGCGCGTTGGTAATACTGACTTCCGGAAGTTTTGCAAATTTCTTTTACAGGTGCTGTAGCTACATTGCGCTAATTTGCTCGTGGGACCTAACCTTGAGCCTGCTATGTGTTTAGGTATACACAGTTCTTTTATCTGCGAACCAACGAGGCAATTCTTGGTTCGCAGATAAAATAACTGTGTATATCATATAGCATATGCAAATGTTGAAAATGAAGCGATTAAAATATCTCCATTCAAAATGATTGGATTCGCCGTCACGGGGAATCGAACCCCGGCCTCCCGCGTTCAGATCTCGGGACATCGAGATGTCACCGTGTTGACAGGCGGGGATACTGACCACTATACGATGACGACTTGGTGTTCATTTGCTTGGTTCGGCTATCTAGATAAGCAGACCCGTTATCCTCTAGAACCTCTCGCCTTCGGGGAAAGAGCTTGACCCGTCGTTGTCCGAGCTTGGGTCTTCCGAAGAGATAGAAGAAGCAAACGTACTGAGCTCAAACAAAGATACTTCCTATATGTAACCGTACATGCAAGTGCTCGATACCATACCATATACGCAAGGGTATGCATATGATACCATATGCAAGGTCTGCAAGGGTATGGTACGGTGTGGTTTAATGGTATAATGGCATAATGTTCTGCAAAGGCCGCGCACGAGGGGGCGCCTCGGGCTGGAGCGCTGTGTGGGCCTGCACACGGCCGCGTGGAAACCCCCTTTTACCCAGCCCGCATGAAGATATTTAAATTATATCATGATGTTGTGCATACTAATATTATCTGTAGGTTTTCTGAGTGAAACGAAAGAAAAACAAGGTTTTCTGTGTATTTGCCGAGAGCGTACTCGGTTGAATGTCGTGGGTGCGTACGGCGGGACCGTACAGGGCTAGAGTAAGTCGCAGGAGTGCGACGGATGTAGTGATTTCGCGAGTTCATAGCGTCAGTACTGACAGGTTTCTGCTGCGGCTTCTGCCTAATCTACAGCGTTCAGAAGCAGAGTCGCATGAACGACAAGCCGCCGCAGCTAGGGGCTATCTGTTGGGCATACGGGTATCGAACGGTGTGGAGGTAGCTGCATGTGGCACGTTCGACAAGTCCGCCGGCTATGGCTGTGCTCTGAGGTTGTGTGGTGTGGTTACTTGGTGTGGTGGGTTTGTGTGCGATTTGGGAAGGGCAGTAAGGGCTTGCGAATGGAGCTGCGTGGTACCGCATGACAGACGAACAGACATACCGCACATGTCCATGTCCTGCAGCTCCACGGCACGCTGGTCAGTACATGCCTTGTCGTGATCACACCGTCCGTCGCACATTAAACGATCCCCAATGTTTTCTAATATACGAGCACTACTCGCTGTGGCCGCATTCATCCCCACGACACCACCAACTGCTCTACTAAGCACCTGCTGGGCACTAGCTCATACACTTTTAGCAGTTCACACCCATTGCCATATCAAGATTCTTAACCACATCCACGCCCACACCTACATCTAACCACGCCAGCACCCACATCTAGAACTACACCCGCACCTGCATCCACACACCACAAGCAAGGCCAAGGCGGTTTGACTCCGAAATCCCGCTCCATGCTATGAGTCGTTCGTGCACCGTCCCACCCGCCAGGAGCTAATGCGCGGGGCGGACTGCTCCATGGCCACGTCTAACGGTTGCTGGCACACCAAGGTGCTGGCGCAGCCCACAGCTCTCAACGCCGAAGAGGAAGACAGGTTGTGGGCAGATGTGGACGGCATGGTGTGAGCAGCCGCGCGCCGTACCTCAGCAGTACGGCTGCCATGCAGCAGTATTTCTTCAACGTCACGGTGGTGCTGCATTGCTACGTATGAGATAAGTGGTCGGCAAGGGGAGAAGGAGGTTCAATAAAGGAGTATGCTGCTGCAATGGTTATAGCAGCCCGGCGGAGTTGCGATAGCTGAATGGGACTGAGTGCGGGGGGTTGGAGAGGGTTGAGGGTTGTATCAAGCACGCGAGGTAATGACTGATAAGGCGGGTTTAAGTCAGCCCTGCCTTGCTTTCCTCGGCAAGGGAAGCTGGCTGTCCCCGGTGAGAGACGGGGAAGGGGGAACATGGCAGTTTTGACAGTGGGAAGGCGATCGGCGAGGCGACAGCTTTTTGCGGCCGAGGCGCGGTGGGAGTGGAGCGGAGGGCTGCAAATATGAATGGGGCGGCATAAGGTTGGCTAGCTAGGGGGGGAGGTTGGCCAGATATTGGGAGCAAATAAGGTCATCCGCACGCGTGCTGTGCGTGAGGCCCTATCCTTGAATGAACACAGACCCTGAGCTGCGGATGCTTTACCATTGGGAACTGGACGCGTCCACCATCAGTTACGTTTGCTCGTTGCTTTGATGGCAGTAGTAGGTCAGGTGGTGGGGCGCCAGGGCCATCGGTTAACCCCGCCATATGTTGTAAAGCCTCCATCTATTCGTAGCGGGAATGTAGAGGACGGGCCGGGCTGAACATGCGGGGCAGTGCAGGGCTGTAGCAAACTGCCTTGATATCAACAGACAGGGTGTTGCATCCGCCTCAGGGCGGCTGCAGAAGCTTGTATCGCGGACCTTGCATACGATGCAGGACCATCTATGGCCTTGTTGGGATTGGTTTGGTCCTTCTCATTAGGCCCTTCCCTGGTCTACCGGCTCTTTTCGGGTCCACGGGATGCGGCCTCTGAGCGTGAGGTGTAGGGAGGCGGGAGTAACAGCGGCATAACTGGAAGGCGACCTTGCGTGTGAACCTGTGGTGTTGGCTTTTCTCTGCATGCGGGTTTAGGCGCCGGTGCGAACCTGAGGCGGCATATGCCATGCCGCTCCCAGGCACCGCCAGGGTAGGTAGGCACCTTGCTGCTACAGGGTTCGAGCAAGTCGTAACCCGTCCTGTGGATGGATCCACAGGGCCGCTACTGGCATCCTCTCGTGCAGAGTTAGCGGGGGATGATCACGTTGAGGGGGCCTGCTCGCGCCTCTCACCAAGCTGAGTTGAGCGCACAAAGGGGCTGGCCATGGTTACGCTGACGATAATCAAGACCAACGGGGCATTGCGCCTGCGAGGCGGGCTCAAAAAGACCGCTGCTATCAAGCACCTGGCAGACTCGGCTGCTCCGACGGGATTTGCGAGAGTGCAAGTCCTGGATATGGAACGCGGTATGCGTCCTGGATATGAGACTTGCAACGTATACCAGAAAGAATTGATGGTATGCTAAGTTACAATCCAATATTACCGTATCATATGCTTAGTTGGAGCCGAGACTGTGTCCCACGGGTCAAGCAACCGTCAACAGCCGCCAGTCAAATAGACATTGAAACTATCAATGTCACATGTCTGGCTGTGATCGGCAGGGCAACGGGCCTTTGCACGTACCAAGGCGGTTAATACATATATTTGGGTGCCACTGCTTGGTTAATACGTTGTCCTACATGCTACCTAGTCATTCCATCATATACAAAGGAAATAGTTCGACTGCGAGGGATGTAAAACATGCGCATGGTAACGGTGGCGACACCAGACCTTCGCGATGTATAAGCTTACGCTGCAAGAAAACTGGATAAGGGGAATTAGTGAAAACAGCAGTGATTCGTAAAAAACAAATAATAGCGGCACATTCTGTTTACACACAGTGAGCAAGGATGTCGTACAGGAAGGCGTCTTGATCTGGGGCTTGATCTTAGCGAACTTGCGAATGAAGCAAATCGCCCCCAACCTTAAGCTTAGTACTTGTTTTTTTAACGCTGCAAACACTTAACGATGGTCCGACTATGGCATCGCTTGCCATTTCAAGCATGGCTGGATAGGGCGGCTGTGGGCGTTGTGCTGACATAAGCAAAGCGCATCAGGCGCCTTATCATGAGTAGCTGCTCTTATCTAGATCCAGCAAGCCTGCTTGCACAAAGCGCAGTCAGCATACGGCTGGGACGCCGAGCCTGCAACTCCTCGCACACGCTATTAGCAACAGCAAGAAGGTATATCTTTCTGGCACTTATGGATCTCGTGCTGGGTAAGGTGTCGGTCTGGTCGAGCTGACGGCCATTATCTTGCCGCGATGGTCTTCGTCAGGTCTCCCCTTAACGAAAGCAGTGTACAAGGCTGCATAAAACAGCCCTCGACTACTGCATCAGCGCCGACACAGGTAAACAGGCGACTTGAGCCATCGTCGTTGCGGCTTTTCCGGAGACAACAGACGCGTGGCATGTGGCATTATCGGACGCAGGTCTTTCAATCTGTCAGCGTCAATCATTTGGGGCGGACATCAACGAATTGCGAAAATGCAGCTGTTGGTTGCGTTTTACCTCCCCGCCACGGCGAGCCCCTGCGGCGTTCTGCGCTGCCCTGTCGGGAAGGTACCTTGCATATCGCAGTCTTCAGCCCAGATGAGCACACTGTTGAGGAGCTTAGCCCATCTCTGCAACAGCCTGTTACAGCTAGACAGCCGCTGCCGGAGGCCCTGCATGCGAACGATGGGGAGGGTGGGGAGGGGGCGCACTCGGAGACCATGAGTGACCCACAGCACCTCCGCTTTTCGACACCAGAAACCCAATCCCTATGCTCAATCCCAGCGCAGTCGGGCAGCGATGCTGCGGACCGAGCTCCGCCGCTTCAGGGGAACCATGAATGCGGTGGAGCGGATAAAAGGCGTATACAGCACCGTCTGGAACCGCGCCGACCCAGGTCATCCCTAGCAACGCACGGGCGCTCGTTATTACAGGCAGAGGAAGCTGGTCTGAGTCCTGGGACTATCTTGCCCAAGGACCTTTCTGAACCCCATCAACGGACGCTGCAGACCCCGTCGTTGCAGGCCCCGCTGCCGCCAAGATCTTTATCAAGCGACTGGGGCCAAGGCGGAAGCCGGCTGCCACCTGCTGGGGCTATGGCAGTTGGGGCAACGGCGGCGGCCACCGCGTCAGTGCAATCCAGTCCTGGTTCAACAGGCACTCCTTATCCAATATCGGGCACCTCTAATCCAGTGGCTCACAGCGGCACAGTTACCGTCGGCGCCGCGGCGTGGGGTGCTGCGTCCACACCTACGTGTCGGTCGCTACCTGCAGCCGCCATCACTGAAGTTGCGGCACAGCCCGGTGTTACCGCCGCTTTCAGTAACCCCTCTGGTACCATCACCATTGGTTACCCTTCTGTAGAGCAAGGAGAACCGGGGCCTCTAGTGGAAACGACACCGCTGCCGGGGGAGCCAGCGGTGCCGTCCGAGGGCCCGTCCGGCGGCCAGTGGGGCGGACTGGAGGGCCAGCTGCTGGCTTGCCGCTCGGTTCACAGCGTGCAACGCTTTCTGCAACTGATGGGCCCTCGGACTGACGCCGAGCTCATTGGGTAGGTATCGCCCATGAATGCTGGGCTTTTCTTTGGCGGACCTGGGACCTCCGTGGGATGGGGGAAAGCATTGCGGAGCTGGGGGCTAGGGACTTACGCTTGCATGGTTGAGCCGCGAAATTCAGCTGGCATGGTATGGGCTAAGCCTGTTGAAGGCTGGGAAGGGCTCTGCGTGGTAAGGAATTGTGGAAGATATGCGTGCTGTGCTCCAGTCATTGTGGCATGGAAGGCAAGCACTCCGTGCGGGGAGATGTTTGCAGGCTCAATCTACTATCCGCCATTATATCGTTCGCCGGTTCGCCCGTTCTTCAGCCATTTATCCATATGTATTGAGCCAGTCGCTTCGCCCCTTGGCAATTGTTCTCCTGGTGCTCGCTCTGCTGTCGTTCTATGATTCGTCAGTTTGGGCCGGATTGCAGTCGCTCCCTCCATTCTTGTCACTCAGTAAGGCCATTACGTGCTTTAGTAACGTCGCCTTCCACATGTTTGGGAGGTGTCAGTCCGTCTGTCCTGTCTCAACTCCCGCACCCCCCATTCTTCGCAATCCCCTGCAGGAGCGCTGTGGTGCACCTGAGCCACCTGGTGTTGGAGGAACCACCCGACGGTGATGTCGAGCGGCAGCTGCTGGCAGGGCTGTTAGGCGAACTCACGCAGCGACTTCGGGGCTGTGTGAGGCAACTGGGCAGGGGACAGATGACCGCGTTGGTCTGCGCTATGAGCCGGCTGCACTGTTACGACGGCCCATTGTTGCGGGAAGTGGTGACAGCGGCTCGGGAGGTGGCTGGGGAGCTCTCGTCACGTCAGACATCAGGACTGATCTGGGCCTTTGGAAGGTGAGGATGTCTCTGACCTGTGGTGACGGCTTAAAACATTACATGGAGACGCAGTAAGGTTGTCATCAGATTCATCCACTAGCGAGGATTATTACTTACGAATGCAGGTATTACGCATTGCCAGCCAGTTGTCGTTATATACAAAAGACATACCTGAAGGAGTAAATGTATAATGGTCATAGGGTGCAATCCGTAGGCGGGGTCTTCAGGGCTACTGCTGGGTGGGGCAGTCGTTGGTGTTATACACGGCTCTGTACTTATGAGGGCCTTCAGTTGCAAGTCACTGCCATGTGTTCCAGACCTCCAATCACGTCTAGACATACTGCCCAGCCAGCATTATGCGTACCATCCTAGTGTGGATACCTCAGGAGGATACCTCATGCGGTAACTCACTGCCAATATCCAATCAGCGTAGTATGCTTCCACACCGCAAAACTACCCCTATTGCAGATATCACCGCGACTTCAGCTTCCGACTGGAGCCCGGCTGGACAGCGGCGCTGCTGCAGGGCGCACTCCCGCGCCTGCAGCAGGCTAAGCCACAAGAGGTGGCCATGATGCTGTACGGCAGCGCACTGCTGCGAGAGCCCCCGGCGGCGACAACGTTGGCGGCCCTGCTTGCGGCGTCACTGGCCGGCATGTCGGCGGCCGGAGGCTCGGAGCTGTCCATGACTATTTGGTCACTGGCAACGCTGCGGTTGTACCCGGGCGATGAGTGGATGCGCGCCTTTCTGTGCCGCTGCGATGCAGCAACGCGCACTTTTGCCAGTGGTGCAGCCGTCAGCAACGTGCTGTACAGTCTGGCGTCGATGCGGGTGCAGCCGCCGGCGCCTTGGATGCTCAACTTTTTGTGGCAGGCGCAGCGGCGGATGAACACCATGGATGGGCAGAGCCTGGTGATGATGTGGTGGGCGCTGGGCCGTATGCGTTACCGGCCGGACCGCAAGTGGCTGACGCGGTTCTTTCGGTACACCCGTTCAGCGGTGATACCAAACCCGGGGCCGGATTCGCACATCGGGGCAAGGTCTTCTGTACAGCAGCAGGTGCAGGGACACTCACCACATCTCCAGACGGCAATGCAGACGGGGTCTCAGCGACAACTGGAATTATGGCGACGGCAGCGGCTGCAGCAGCGCCAGCGGCGGCCTGGTCCGTGGGTTAACACTGACGGCAGCGCATTGCCTGATGTCGGAGAGCTGCCTCCGCAGGCATACAATACTTTGCTTTGGGCGTGTGTGCGACTGTCCTGTCGACCCATGGGTACTTGGCTGCCGCTGTTCTGCGCCGCCGTCCAGCCACTTCTGGCCGCTTGGCCACCGCACGAGCTCTCGGCGCTGTTGTGGGGCCTGGCCCGCTTGCGCTGGCGCCCGCGCGACGACTGGATGACGGAATTTTGCGCCGCAGCACGTGGTACCCTTTCACTCTTCCAGCCACCCGATTGCGTAATGATGCTCGTGGCGCTATCCAAGCTTTGCAGTGGACTGGGCTACCGCATCTCTGACGGCGACCTGGCTAACCTGCTGGCACAGCGCCTGGCGCCGTATTACTCGCGGCTACAAACTACGACGTTAATTTCCGTGCTGTTGGCTGTCTCCCGCATCACGCCGCGAGTGCGGACGGCCAGAATGGAGGAAGTGCTAGCGGCGGTCCTGGACCGGGTGCGGGCCGCCGGCATCGTAGATGCGGCGCAGCCGGCAGACGGGGGCGCAATTAGTTTGCTTGACGAGACGTTGGACCGTGAGAAGCAGCATAAGGTGCTTCCTGGCGTCTCCCGGAGTGGCTATCAGCAGCAATACGAGGGGCCGCAGGTCCACGAACGGGATGGAAAAGAGCTGCAGCTCAACATCTTGCAAACAGGGAGCCCGCATCAGCCGCTGACTCCGTCAAGTAGACTGCAGTTAAGCCGGCCACAGCACAGTGTCGCGCGGCAGGTTGCACCCTCGCCAGCGGCAGCTGCAGTGGCTCTGCCGCCCCTGACCGCGCGTGAGTGTGCCAACGCCGTCTTTGCCGTCGGCTGTGTTGCGCTGTGGCCCAGCTATAATGACGCGCTGCGGAGCATTTGTGGGCAGCTGATGCGGGAGCTTCTACCACGTGCATTCCTCCTTGCCCCTGCCTTTAACGGCGTCGACCTGGTGCTATTGGTGCAAGGCGTGGCCATGGCGCGTGTGCGGGTGAGCCCCCGGTGGATGCGGCGTCACGAGGAGCAGGCGCTAAAGCGTCTTCAGGCAGGGGAGCTGCAGCCGGGGCAGCTGCGGGAGCTGCACCGTGCCTATCACGCGCTGGACTACATTCCGGAGCTTCTGCCGCCGTTCGCGGCGGGACGTGGGGTGGAAGGCACGGCTAGCCCTGTCGATCCGTCCAATGGCGCACAGGATGAGCTGTATGGCGACGTTCAGGATGGTGGAGCAGCGGCGACGCATCCGTCATCGCTGCTGCCACCAGCAGTGGCGGATGCAAGGGGCTCATGCGGGATAAGCATGGGTGGTGTCGAAAGTGTAAGTGAGGGTGAGTGTGGGAGCGGTACGCCGGGGGTGTCGGCTGAGCGAAGTATGGCGACGACGGCCCGTCGGCGGCGTGCCGCACAGTTGCGGCGGCGCCGGGTGACGGCCGCCATCGAGCGCCGGGTCGCTCAAGCGAGGCGGAATGCGGCGGAGCTGCGGCTGCAGTGCGTGGAGACGTTGCCGGTGGACACAGAACCCCCGGAGATGGGGGAATCGACGCCTTCCCTGCCAGCACCACACCCAATGCCTCCAGCATTCGTCACAAAAGCGACGGCGGAGGGGGCGCTCGGAGTTACCCATGCCCCGGACGCGCGCCGTGAGCTTGAGGCTGCGGAACGGGAGCTGAGGTTCAGGCGGAAGGTCATTCAGCAGTTCACTGCAGTGGCACGGCGCGGCGCACGGACAGCCCAGGATTCAGTGGCGGGGAGCTCCGTGGCCCCAAGTCCACGGCAACCAGTGGCTGAGGGTACTGACGATTCAATGCGCCGCCTGCCAGTTGACAGGTCGCCAGGAAGCGGCGATTGCGGCACAAGTTAGACAGGCAAAGCAGGGTTGAGGTTACCCGTAGGGTATCGGACTTGTCTCGGTGTGATGCTGGCTTTGTTGCACACGTGCGATGGCGAGATAAGTGCAAAACCACCGATGTTACTGACGTAATAAATGCGCGGTGCCTGGAGTCCCTGATGCATTATTGTGTACGATATTGTAAGTTTATCTTAGATCGAGGGATGACAAGCAGGCCGACTTAGTCAGTAGGGGAAAGAGGATGGATAGGGGTGAAGAGTTTAGTCAGCCATGGGAAAGGAGTACGCCCATCTTTACGTACTGACGTGGCAGCTGCAGGTTCGACGCATGAGTGTCTGTAGTAAGCAGGTAGGTGTTGAGTGGCTTTTTCGGATGTCTAAATGTTCTTTTGCTCCAGCGGTAACTTTGGATAAGCGCGGGGTATTTGGAGTAGCGTGCTGCTGCCTGGGAATATGTTCCCCTGCTGTGTGGAGACGCCGCAGGCGCCTTTGGAAGAAAAAAGAGCTGGATTAGACCGCAGTGAGTGGACCCGCTGTGGAGTCTGAAGATGACTGATGTCGTCGGCGTCTTGGCTGGATGGAACACGCTCGTTTGACATGCAGTTCCGTGTTGCATAGTACTCGATGGCTCCTTGTAAAGGTAGTCTTCAGCACTGCTAGGCCTAAAAAACCGACGCTTCCCTCAAGCTTTACAAGTAATGCAGTAATGCAGGTCAAAAGGAAAGCGCAGCGTGTTGTCCGTGTACCAAGTTGCTCCATTTTACGACGTCGGGCTTCAACTTTCCGGCGCCTTTTCTTTCCACCTGGGTATTTCCAGTTTCGCTTTCTCACGACCATCAGCATTGTTTAGCCTGGTAAACGTTCTACACGTATATCGATCCTGCTGAGAAGCTTGCCCTAATTTACACCATTTTTCCTCCGCATCCTTACCTTGCTTTCCTTTAATGCATATGACAAAACATATGTTTATTTATTTCGTGTAGGGCTATGGTCGATAGGTTCCAGTTCCCTGATTGGCCCACAGGATCCGACTTTCCTTGGCCGTACGCCTGCATGTTTTGCTCACAACCTTTCAGATGATCACGTCTTCCAGATATAAATAAACCCTGATATAAACCCTGATGTTTAGAGAATAGTGGTCTAAGCTTGTTTACTGAGGCTCTGAGCTAAGCTGCGTTAAAACCCGAGGCTTACGCGGCTTGCGTGACAAGATGGTCTCCCACACAAACCATTACCGCTGTAAGCGTTGATGAGATAGACTCACTGCATGACTACTGCGCCGAGCTCAGCTGCGCGAGGCTGCGACAACTGGGACTGCACACGGCGAGCTTCACCAGATGATGCCAGCAAATTAAGGGCAACTCAGGATGGCCTGAAGCACTGTTTTTGACGGTCCTAATCTGCAGGTGTGCCAGCCTTGCTTGCTGGTAATGCTGCTAGCTTGCTCATAGCGAAATGCGCCGCAGTTTACTGTATGCCTTCGGGGTCAACAGCGAGCGTTTTATGGCGGTTCTGAGATTATTTCATCCTTTCCTTGCAGGAGTAAGCATTGATTGTGCTGGTGTCCTGGTGCTAGGCTGCGGTGACCTTCGATGCAAACGTTGGAAGTTCAATGGCGGCGACCTACTCGGGGTCCAAGCTTGATCCACCGATGGATCCTAACAAATACGAAAAGGATGCGTTGACTTGTGGAATCGCAACCCGGTCTGTACCATGTCAGACCGGATTGCAACATGTCGTGGCTTATGTGTTCGTCTGTTTTTGTGCCGCGAGGCCTTGGATAATATAGAGTCGTGTTTGGCTGGCGGCTGGTAGCAATTACAGCAGCAGCAGCAGCAGCAGCAGTAGCGACAGATGTATCAGCGCAGTGTCGCAAGGCCTCCAGGAAAGAAGCTGCAAAGCAAGATCAGTGCTGCCAGCCGTCAGCCAGGCGTGACTGTTCTGTTGCGCGTCGTGCGCTGTGTGCTGAGACTGATGCATATTGTGTAGCGCGGGAATCGGTACTTCGATCTTATTATGTGATCGTGTTGCGACGTATGCATTCACAAGCGTGCTTCATCGAAGCTGAACCTATCTGTCGTACGATGCAGTGCGTTCTCTCATACCGTGCCCTAATAACCTGTACTGCCCCCCTTCCACCACTATCCTTTTGGTCGTTGATGTGGACTGGCGAGGTCGCTGCCGGTGCCAAGCATTATCACGGAAGCCATCGTTGCAGCTATCAAGGACACATCCATGTGAGTATACGACTACGGGGTTTGGTCGGGGGAAGATCGGCCTGGCAGCTAGGCGGTGAGTATTGTCGGGAGATGATGGATGGCCCGGGGTTTGGGTTGATGGCTCGGCTTCGAGGCCACCAGGTGCTCACGGCGTCGGTTTCGAGGCTACCATCGTCACCCATGTATGGACATTGCCATGTCATGTGAATGGGCTGCATGTGGATATACGTGATACGACATATGGGGTTACCTGTCTTGCCTATAATGCGGGAGTTAAGAGGGGGCCGGGAAGGGGAGCTGGACCACATGGACATGTGCATCCACATCTAGGCATACGCATCTTGGCATACGTATACACACATGCATCTAGGCATACGTGGGATCCAGACGTGCACGGTGACTGCTTTGAAGCGACCAGATGTGAGCGGCGCCCATCATCGCCGTTGCCTCTGTATAGAGATGGGGGGGGTTGAGGATAACCCTTGTTCTGGGGCGTGAGAGGAAAGAGCCCTTGTCCTACTGCGTGAGCTGGGAGAGCCCGTGGTGCGGGGCGTGAGCTGGAGAGCCCTTGGCTTGGGGGTTGAGAAGGGAGTGCCTTGGTGCAGGGCGTGAGACGGGAGAGCCCGTGGTGGGGAGAGCCCTTGGTGCGGGGCATCGACAGGTACAGCTGTAGCAGCGCGTGTCGTTCCAAAACTACAGCCGGCTTTTAGCTGACTAGGCACATGCGCAAAGGTTATGAGCATCCTTAATTTTGGAAGAGAACAGCCGCTCAACATACGCGACCTACACGGCTGCCTTAAATAGGCCATCTTCGCCACGACATCGCCATAAGGACTTGTAAATGCTGTTTGCACGTGGCTACTGCTTCTCTCTACACAGGCAGGGTAGCACGCCGCACAGCGCTGTATATTGGCAACCAGGTACCTGCCATCCGGACGCAGCACTGAATTCGCAGGCGAGGCGAGAAGTGTCAGGTCACTCTTAATGGCAAACCAGCTGACGCATCGCGATAGCGGGGGTTAAAGTTAGATCGCTTACTCTATACAACTTCTTGTATTGCAGGCCTGTCGGCTCCGACAGTCGTTTGGTACCGCGTTTGCAAACACGTAATGTCATACCCTTCACAAGAAAGGGTAAATCAAAGGATTTGTTCGTGTTTGCGTTGACAACCGCGACTTTTGTAATTGAATGTCAAATCCTGGGTAATTTCTTGCCCATGCGGCGCAAATATGGTCAGTACGATGTATTGCATCGTACTAGTGTCGGCAATCACGGGCTATGTCCAATTTCAGCCATTTCGCATCAATTGAATTTTTCGTTCTTTAGGATTCTATAACTGGGCCGTGAGGGAAACGTTTTACGGCCGTCAGGGTGAACTGTTTTTTACGGAACATTTACAACATGATTTCCCTCGGCGCTGGCTCGCTGAAGGCCGCTTCTATCAAAACTGGACTAGTGCCAGAGCGAATCTTGCAGGCAAGTAACGCTGCACGTGGCTTTGCAGCGCGCTGGCTGGTATCGGAAGTTTAGTTAAACCTGTCAAACTCATACATGCAGGCGCATTGCAAGGCTTTAAAAAGGTGATGAATATTTCGTTGTTAAGTATTACGATACTTTATATTTGGAGTCGGATTTCATGGATGTTCTGGCCTCTCGTTCGGTGGCATTTTGGATCGTTTTCCTCATGAATTTGCCCTGCGTATATGTCCTTATAGCCGCGGGTTTTCCAAGGATTCTGGAGCTCAGGTGAAGCGGGGCGACTCTGCTATTTGCAACTTTTTGACTGCTGAAAAGGATGGTTTCCTTTCCAACAACGCCAAGCTCCTGTCACGTCGCGGCTGGGCTGTTCCAGAGGCTAAAGCAAAGCTTGCACGATGGACATATGAGGTTGGCGAGCTGAAGCCGCACGAGGTGGACATTCGCGTCACCCATAACGGGCTCTGCCACACTGACATGCATATGCGAGTAAGATGAGCCATACCCGTGTGCACTGCCAATGTACTAACCAATTGTAATGTTTTGCAGTTCCACACTTATTGGCCGTACTGAATCTGGAATGGTTCATGGTTTGTTCCCAGTGTTAATGTTTTGTTTGTAGCTGCAGCAACATGTCGTGACAGACTTTGACCCGTTTCGCGCCTCGTGCATCACCAAACTGCCCGCCATCCATCTCCGCAGGATAACGACTGGGGCGTGTCCGCCTTCCCTTTTATCCCTGGCCATGAGGTCGTGGGTGAGGTGGTGGCGGTCGGCAGCGATGTGACAGGACTCCGTCCTGGAGACCGCGCGGGTGTGGGCTGGATCAGCAACTCCTGCCGCGTGTGCGCAAACTGCAGGCGTGGCGAGGAGAACATTTGCGAGAAGGGCTACACAGGTCTGATCGTTATGGGTAAGTAGACACCACAGAAGGGGTCTCACCTAGGGACCCCATCTGTGCTGCGAGGACGGACACTCTTATTGTTGTGGCCGTGTATTGATGCAGCGCTAGTCGACACAGCAGCAGCGGAACTTAAAATTAGCCTTCGGTGTGTCGGAGCTGGCCACCATGTTAAGATATGGGCGAGTGGAACTGTGTAGGTAAAGCCAACCTTAACCGTTACAGGTATCACAGAACAATCTTTCAGTCAGAACATCATTTCCTTTATACCAAACATTCCATCTTATCTGTCGTACAGCCGTTAGTGTTCTGGCCGGATGTCAACACACCTAACATAGACCTCCTAAGACAACAGGGGGCTTGGTCCCAGCACGATTGGCGTATTGGGTTGCCTCACCTTGACGATGTCCTTTTTTAATCGCGACCACAGGCAACCATGGCGGATTTCAGGATGTCTGCCGCGTGAATGCCGACTTCGTGTACCAGATTCCTGACGGCCTGGATTCCGCGCATGCGGCCCCGCTGCTGTGTGCCGGTATCACTGTGTATTCGCCACTGCGGTGGGTCTGAGGGGGATCCTTGAGGGCTTCAGAACTGTACTCCCGCTTCCACAGGTTCATCACCGAAGAGACCGACTAGCCCTCCGCATGCATGTGCCATCACCATGCTGATGACGGCGCTTGCTAGCCGTACGGTGCTGTACATCTTGTTTGCACCCTGTATGCGCCGCCTTTTGCTTTGCTCTCATGCAGTGCGCACATCAAGCACCCCAACACCCGTGTGGCGGTGTTTGGCGTGGGCGGTCTGGGCCATCTAGCACTGCAGTACGCGCACAAGATGGGAGCGGAGGTAACGGCCATTTCGGGTCACCAGGACAAGGTGCGGCGGTCGGAATATTTTCATTAGGTATGTTGCTGCTGCTGCTGTTGCTGTTGCTGTTGCTGCTGCTGCCGTTGCTGCTGCTGCTGCTTTTTCAAGTGAATCGTGTCGATGTGGGTTGCAAGTTGTCAAGTAGGCGTAGCTTTCGCAAGTTGCATCCCTCCTCACTCGACATCCCGTACCGCACCACGGGCCGCTAGATAGGCCTTCCAAGTATGTCGACATGTAGTACTGCCCGCCCGTTGTCGCCCGCCCGGCCCGGCAGGAAGATGAGACTCGTAGGATGGGCGCCGACCATTTCGCGGTGTGGGGCCGCGATAACCAGAAGCTTTATGTGAGCTTGTTATCGCCGGCTGCAATACACAGGACAGACGCCGCGCCACACCAGATGCCGCGCCAACAGCAACACAACACAAGCGAGCATGTCAATGTGCACATTTGAACATTGACATGCTCGCTTGTGTTGTGTTGCTGTTGGCGCGCATCAATGTTGCAGCGGGTGCACGACAACCTGCAGTTGTCGGCACTTTCACCGCGTCATGTCATGTTCGGCCACCTCGCGCCGCAAACGGTGTCTACCCCCGCTGGACGGGATGGTATTGTTGAGTGCTTAACAGGCTTTTTTGGAAAGCTTTTGGAAAGGGGGCATTTCGGTCATGGAAATTGACGCGCTGCCTCGTGGTCCATAAACTGCCGTAGGGCTCTTTTGGCATCTTGATCAACACCGTCAGTGCTGACGTGGACACCGCAGAGCTGATGCGCCTGCTTGCGGTGGACGGCACGCTGGTGCAGGTGCGTGCGCGAGTAGCGCAAGAATAAAGTGTAAACTTACCCCTCTTCCCGACTTGAACCTTAATGCCAAGGATGGAAGAATGACCGCATGGTAACTGCTTGCGTGTACTGCTTTTGCATGAATTGTCGTACAGTATTTTTGTGCTTTGCAAGCATCCGGTCGCATCGTGACTGGGTGCCGGATAGCGGACCACCTCGCGCACTGACCCCCTTCTCCGGCTTTTACGAACGCCGCCTCCCGCATTTTAAGCAGAACCTGTACGGTGTGCGGAACCTAAGACTCCGTCCTCTTCGCGGCCTGCAGGTGGGTATCCCTGGCGGCGGTGCTGTGATGCATCTCCCCCTCCAGGACCTGGTCTTTGGTCAGAAGCACGTGGTGGGCAGCATCGTGGGCGGTCGAGCTGACATGCAGGAGATGCTCAACTTCTCCGCTGTTCACGGCGTCAAGCCTCTGGTAGAGACGTGGCCTCTCTCCAAGGTACGACACATACGCGATATACTGCATCCGTACATAATTGCAGCAATGGGTTGGCTGCTACTTTATACCATATCAAGAAAGCTCCCTACCTTACGGCGAGTGGCCCTAGCTAGCTGTGAGTGGCCCTAGCCAGCACCAGATGATTGGGTCCTATTTTTGTGCCAGGGGGTTATCAACACATTTACTACGGACCCTTTACGTCATGCGTCATCGTACTGTTCAGGTAAACGAGGCCATGCAACACGTGGTGGAGGGCAAGGCGCGCTATCGAGTGGTGCTTACGTCGGACTGGCAGTGAGCTGAACACGTGACCTGTACTACATGCATTCACAGTACGTGGCAGGGCATTTCCTTGTTCCGGCACCAAACGAGGGATTTCTTCTACGTGATGCTCTATCGGCGGTGGCGGGCGGACGGATGGCGAGAGTTGCGGATGGCAGCCTAGTGCCATGTGCTGCACTACGGGCCCGTACTGCGGTACGCACGTGTGCCTGTGATGAGCAATTTCTGTGGCCCTGTAGGCGAGAGCGATTGCGTACGGCAGCGTGCGCCGCGTTTTTTTCCTCAACAGTTATCTCTGGTGGGATTTTCTCATTTGCGCATTACATTGCTTTTAGGTGACCCGGCGGACACACACCAGGGTGCGCTTGCGGGGGTTTGTGTGGGTTACCGCGAAACCCCAGTAATTAAGTAATGAAGTACGTACGCAAGTCATTGGGGCGTCAGCACTGTGCAGTCTGGGGACATCCACCTTCTTGATTTGTTTCCATGGGGGCCCTTGCTTCCCGGGGGGGTTCAGCCTTACTGCAGCCCCTCGCGCGTGGCTCTCGTGGGATTGGCTTTGTCGTTCATTCCGAGATGACGGTGTATGGATGACACCCTTGAACGAGTTTCTCGGATTCATAGCTTGTGCTTTCGTGCATGGGCCTTTTCGTTCCGAAATGTGCCCCACAAGGTGTGAAGTTTGTGTCTGCACGCCCTGCTGGTGTATTGGCAATACGGGGAATCCAGCTTTATCACGGGTGCCGTTGGTTTTAAACCTTAATAAAACATCTATTTGAATTCCTTCGTCCGGTTGGTCTTTTTGTTCATCATGTGTTTTGCGTTGTGTACTTTGGTGCACTTTGCGAGCAGTTCACCCATATCGGGACACACTGGGGGTGTTATGCAGCAGGTGCAGTAGAAATGTCTGATGCAGCGGGGAGCGGTGCTGTATCGTAAACATAGGAGCATGTACGTCGCCAAATATATGTAAACATGCTGTGTCCGCTATCATATATGGCCGTACCGTAACTTCGACTCTTTGCGTGCTTTTCGGGGCAACCCTCCAAAAGCCTATCGCGCACAAATGATGCATGTTTGTTTGGGCTCCGGAACTGGGCGAAAAGCCCATCTGTGATTAGTAAAGCCGGTCAAAGCCAGTTGTTCATGCGATTCACGCGATGCAGGTTTGCGCGTCAGGCCACCTAACAATCGTATGCATGTGGTGGACGCATGTGCAAAGGAATGTCGTACACTGGCAGCCCGAGATACTCCCCCGCACAGCACAGCACTGCTTAAGCGGGTGCCCACCCTCCGCTTTGGGCAAGGATCCACTCGGGGCCGTAATGAGCCGCACCAGCTCACCCCGACTACTCGTCGCCACGAAAGCCGCCCACCTGAACATGACGCCGCGTCATGTTTCTCTTTGCCTGCTAACAGCTCACCTTGGTGCCCAGGTCGTCAGCCAGGGTGGGGGATGTCGTGCAACACATCAACGCACCTCATCACGCCTCTTCCAAGCAAAATTTAATATCCGGCAGTACATGACAGGACGTGGTAGTACTTAAATTGACCATGGCGGCTGCAAAATCCACATGCATAATAAGTGTCAACCGGCACATACATACACCTACGCAATATTGCTCGAGCCACGGCGCAACGTGGATGCGATGCGATGCTGAGTTCCTGTATGGTCCGTGCTCTGTTTCAGCAGTGCCTCACGAGGCTATAGAGTGGAAGTGATGCGATTGAGCTGATTAATGTACGACGTCCACTGCATGCATTTGCATGCTGAACGTAATCGTACATAAGCGTCAGGACCCGAGCTAACCCGCCGGGGTTACCTCCAATCATTGGAGTTAATTAATCCGCGGTACTGATCCCAGGTGAGGTCGATCGGCCATCGCTAAAACCATCGCGATCTTCGTACATCGTGCAACGGGTCTCTGAATGAATACATACATATATTCATACACACATACTGTTATGGCGGATAATATTGACATAAAACACGTACGGTACGCAAGAACAAAACACAAGCAAAGCGGTCCCCCTGATTTGTTTGTTCGGCCTCTGCGGCCCCCTTTAACCAACAAATGCACGTGCACACATACAATACGCACGCATGCATCGATGCGATGCTTGCATATCACAAATAGGTCCTTAACTACGCACACCACTTAGCTGCACAGCTCGTTAATCAATTACGCAGGCGCATGCCCCTGATGGGACCCTATGCCCTGTAAATAACAATACAGACAAGGCACAGATACGGGGCGGATGCCACAACCAAAGGCCACAACCTTAGTAGGTAGGTGGCGGATGGAGCAAAAAAAATGGAATGACGTGACTGGCCGCTCCGCGGTCTGCAGCTCCTCCACACACATCAGGCATCAGCGCTACCCCTTCATCACGGGACCTATCGCCCCCTTTCGGCGTTTCCTCGTCTTCGGCTTTACGGGGGAATCCTCATCCTCAACCTCACCACCGCTAGCTTCGTTACCGTTATGGCGCACGTTGCACGCGCTTTAGTACCAACCATTTCCCACATCATCATACATTCCACAGTGACGCTTCGGCCTGTGCGCAACCAATCTTCGCAGTCAGGACATGACAGCTTGAGCGGCATATGACAAAAAAATATTATTGGAGGGGTACGGCAGCGTATTGACACCGAAGGTGCATAAAAAGCGTTGCACATCAAGGCTTCGTGTTGGCAGTTTAATATTGCGATATCATGCAACCAACAAATAATACCAATATGTGTATCGTCTTCCCAAAGTTCAGAACTAAATCAAAATCCATCACCCGTATGGGCGGCAATATCGGGCTTTACGTTTCTTTCAAGTACGACAGCTAAGCAAGCCACCAACTGTTATTACGACATCAGCTACATCATTGTTGGCTCCTGGAATATTCGTCCCCATGTTCTTAGACAAATATTAAGCGCTGAATGACTACTTACGGGCATGAAGGCCCAAACACGCCATAGCTCCCCTAACCATTTATCCTCCATTACCATTGGGCCCCCACCAGCCGTGAGCTGCTGCGGTGGGTTCTCGTCGCCTCTGGACTGCGACTTCCCTACCCCTCGCGGGCAGAGGGACGTCTCGTTCCTGCTCCCAAGCGAAGAAAGGCCTACCAGTTCACGGCGCGGGACCCTGCGGGATGGCAAACAGTCTTCGACATGGCGACGATGTGCGCGAGCCGCCGTGCGGAATGTCGTGGGGGCCGATCCGCATCTTGGGAGAGCAACTAATCTTCAAGCGCACGTATGAACGCAAGAAAATTTCACGCAGCATTCTGACCAAAACGGAAACCCAAAAATGCATCAGGAATAAGTGAGTGCTAGCCAACACGCAGGTTTTGCACGACATGCGGGAGACACACATACACACACACACACACACTCGAGGGGGACCACCCCACCATATAACTAACTTAAGGAGTCCAATACGTACCGAGCCCCGACTCGCCGCCGCCACAAGAATCGTCCGAATCGAAGTGCGCCTCCAATATGGCGGCTGCCTTTCCACGCAAGTCTACTGCGGGGTGCTGCAGAAGGCTCTTGATCTTGCGCCAGCCGCCCGCAGCTCCCACCATTCGGGCGAACAGGTTCGCACCTGCCGCCCCCGGCATGTCGCTTTCCTGGTTGCCAACTTTAAGGATGTTCTTGAGGCCCTCCAACACCACGGCGATGATTCGCGCGTCTGCAGCGACAAGCAGATCGCACAGCGGCTTGATGGCATGGCTCTGAACAAGGTACTTGATTTGCTCCGCTGTCCCGCGAGACGTGGCGTTGGATATGGCCCAGGCCGCCTCGCCTCTGACGTCCGTCTCGGCGCTGGACAGCAACGCAACGAGCGGCGAGATGAGCCCGGTATCGATGACGGACTGGATTTGATCCTCCGTACCGGCGGTTATGTTGGAGATGATCCAGCACACCTTACAGTCACCCGAATAAAAGGAAGGCGACCGAAACCCAAGGGTAGGGAGGCGGGGTAAGACCACCTGGGGGGTAAGCCGTGGACATGCATGCATGCATGTTGCGTAATCCTTAAAAAATGCTGGCTGCTTTATGGCAACGGAGCTACCTGGCCCCAAGAATACATCGCACGCACATATTGGTGCTCTTATAGAGGAGGGTGCTGTTCGGTTAGTGCGCCATGGACAACACAAAAGGCATTCCATTCCATTCCATTCCATAACTAAATGCATCTGTCTGTTGGGAGAATGCAACAGCAGCTCCAGTACGCGCACTGATCCTCCAGTGGAACCGATCTCATCTGGGCACTTGGCTGGGTCCTCAGTCCTTGGCACAGCCTCCGCGGCTGCCCCTAAGGCGGTTTGGAACCCAGCCAAGGTGATAGTGTGAAACATCTCCTGGATCGAGTCCGGGCAATCCCAGGCCAGTCAGCGGTTATGAGAAAACCCAGCCACCTGCTTCTTAATGTTCTTCTTGTAGTCCATCACCAGAAGGTTGCGCAGATAGGGCAGTGCACCACAGTTTATGATGACCTGCGTCTGCATGTCGCTACCCGTGACGATGTTCCGGACGGTATGGAGCACCGGCTCCATCAGGCTTGGCGAGGAGGTGCGCCTGTTACAGCAGGATAAAAATTAAGCAGTAAAAATTACCCATCATGTGCACTGCAAACTCAATCGCAGTTGCTGAACGCATCCAAGGTCATCACTGTTCCCTTGTTGCCAGGTGGGATGACACATCACGTGGATCAAAACACACACACTGCGGGCTGAATATGCACCTCCCCCTAGCTCCCCACCAGCTCCCCACACACATCCCGCGGCGTGTGCGATTGCTTTCCCGGTGCAGTAACCGGCCCCTCAACAATGAGGACGAGCTGACTCACATTAGGAGCCCCACCAGACGGCGGCACACCCCGGACTCGATGACTCTGTCGATGCGGTCGTTATCGATGCGGTCGTTGTCACCGTCGGACAGGTACGACAGTGCCCAGCAGACATCGGTCAGTACCTCCTCGTCATCGGTGTTGTGGATCACACGCGCAAGCGCCGGCAGCGCCTGGCTCGTCTGTGAAGGGTAGGGTGGTGGTAAGATGGAGGGATGTAAACAACAGCTTCATTAAACGAATAGGAAGCGATGCATGCAAAGGAGCATGACATGTACGATTGCTGCATGTCCTCCGAACCCACCACGGAAGAGCTGGGAGCTGGCTTCCCACGGCACAGGTTGGACAGCGTCCACGTCGCGACGCGGAGCAACGAGATTTTGCTCTTGTCCTTCAACTGCTCCAGCAGTTGCGACAGGATGTTATGGTCGAGTACGAAGTCGCGGCACTTGGGGGAGTCACCCGCAACGTTGCCCAACGCCCAAACCGCCTGAGGAGAAGGCAACGAAGATTGGTATAACCATAGCCGACCAGGCATGTCCATGCTAAAGGGGCCTACGTACGACAGCTTGAGCGTGCCGTACTACCTGTCCGCGGACATCGTCGTCGGGTGAGGCCAAGAGCTCGACCAGGATGGGCACCGCGTTCGCCTCCATCACGGCCATGGTGTGCTCCGATGTCCCTGACGCGATATTGGTGAGAGCCCACGTTGCTGCAAGCTGCGTGCCCGTTGGTGAACGAGTGCTGTCAAATTGAGAAAGGCCAGGCAAGCGAAATGGAATGGCAGGGGGAGCCGCTTTGCTTCACCTGCAATTGAGGGTTGTCATGACGTTGGAGGAACTCGACAAATTTTGGAACCACACCCGTCTTGATGACTTCGCTAATGGGGCGGTTGCGTTCTGCGTAAGGGGCTCGTGGGAACTGTGTAACTGCAGCCTAAGGTGTGCACGAGCTCCGTTCAGGTCAGTGCCTCACCAACAGAAAGCAGGAACCCGAAACGCTGCGTTGCGTCAATTTGATCGCCGGTGTTTCCATGAAAAACGTCATGAACCATCGTGGGAAGCTCATCAAGGCACTGCACAGGGCCACACAAGCCGCCACCCATTCATCAAAAGCTGAGGTATAGGAACTCCGACAAAGCATGGCCATGGCGTCGTTGCATAGTGACGAGTTAGCCTCAACAAGATGATTTACCAGCCCAACACTAGTCTTCGCACTGTCCTCGATGCCAGATTTGGCCAATGTTGAGCGCTTGTTCTGTCCATCCCCGAGGATTAAGCCTTCGAGGCCACGGCGGAGAAGACACACACCATCCACGCCAACGCTAGCGGTGTCCATTTGTAGCTGTGCGTGATTCAGCGATTTAATGCTGGAGCGTGCGGCGCCCAGCGCTTTCCCAAGGCGTACTGCAACCGTCCAAGAAAGTCAACTTGCGGAAGGCAAGTAACGCCCTCCGTGTAGGCTTAGAAGGGCATATATTGAACCGTGTGCTACAATGATATCATGACAGACGTTGCACGACCAAAGGCGCGCGCTGTGCGCTTAATTCAGCGCTGCCAAAGACAGCTCGGCCGGGGGCAACAAGGGCCACAAAAAATATCCTATTTCAATAAATAAATCAGGCAAATAAGTAACGTAAACCATGGCTCATCGGGTGCAGCGGTGCTTAGCTGCGTTCATCCTCGAAATCCGCGTCGCTTCGGCTTCCGCCAGACAGCTTTCTAAAGGGCGAGCCTTAGGTCGAGTTCATGCGTGATGGATGTCAAGTTTTACAGCCATTTTTGATGCCGCGTGACTTCAGGCGAACAGGTGTTTCTGTGCGAGGGACTCCACTTGCTTTTCGAATAGAACATTAAAGCATTTCTCGCTTGAACCAAGTTGCTCTTGTTACTAAACTATGTAAGAGTAGCAAGCCTTGTTAGCACAGGAAGCCTGTCAAGGAAAGCGCACACCGCAGGTAGCAACTTCGTATCAGTAAACTGTTGACGACTTGGCCACATACCCGCACTCATACATACGCGCTTATATGCGCGCAGCTCACGGTTGACGGTCCCGCCCGGGGGTTGCCTGCCGCACACGTCAGGTCATGTTTTGGTTGCTGCCGCCCGACCTGCCTCTTCCCTTTCCTAGGGTCCTTACTAACCCAACACACGGAGGGCACCTACACGGGTAAGATAGGGAGGAAAACCTGACGTGCCTCGGATTGCGTTTTGGGCGACATGTCGTGTTGCTCGGCACCCAAGTTCCTGTCCACAAAGCTTACGTAGGTATGCGCCGTCGTAGCGCCACAGTTTCTCGCCACAGCCAAACTGTACGATGTGACCACATCATGCCACCAAAAAACTGCATGTGGAAATGACTGCAGGCTACACCCGTACAGCTGTGTACGGCGGCAATGCCGTGCGGCTTTGACGATTCCACTACCTCTGACCAGGCCGTTGCCTGCTTTACCAGTTGCTGTAGGCCAGCTATGTTGCGAAACGGGTGCAGCAGTGTGGGAGCCCGTGGGAGCCCAGGGGAGCCCAGTACATTCACATACAGGTCGACAAGAGCCGCCACAAAGACGTTTGTACGGCACGACGAGGTAAAGCCACGCACACACACACACACACACACACACACACAGATCTTCATCCTGGCTGTCGTTTCGCGAGATTGATAGAAGATAGGAGCAGTGGGAATCTCGTCTATCCACTCTTGCGCGTCACTGATTAGATGACGAGGCGTTTGGCTACATTAAGAGAGTCGTAGTTACTCCCGCCGTTTACCCGTGCTTGGTTGAATTTCTTCACTTCGACATTCAGAGCACTGGGCAGAAAGTTTGGTGTTGTAAGCCCTCACGCCAGCACACAGTTTAAGCCCAACACAGGACGCCCGGTACCCCATCCGGCGCCTCTACCCCCGGCCCCTTACTTGCCTGGCTGCCCTTCTCTGTGTCGAACACGCTCACCAGTACACGCGGAAGTGCCGCTGCAGCCAAACCACATCCTTACCACCGCCATGTAGCACATGCACCCATCTTACCGTTACCTACGTTTATAACTTCATTGCTTTAGTCAAGGCCCCCATGCTGCTACGGCGCAGCTGTCACCAACCTTGGGAACGGCAACCCAGTCCAACAGCGCTGCCGCCCGTTGCTGTCACCATTGCCGCTGTGCCGGAACCTGATTGTTTGTTGCAAAGGGAGATGGGGAAACGGAACCGGTAAGCTAAACGCCATCTCACTTTTTTGTGAAGGCATAAAATGTGAAGGCTCAAAACCATCACGGACAAGACCCTTAGGATACTTCAAGCAGCGTAGACTTCTTGTTCGCGGCAGGCGGGCGTCCCTGGAGACGATAATGCAAATTCGCGGCATTGGTTCCGGAGCCAACTCGTTGAGAATAAAATCGCTTTCAGCAGCTAAAATAATGAAGAACAATATCGACTGTTTTAAACGAATGGCCGAGCTGTACCAAGCGGTGACGGGCTCGCTAGGGCAGCTCTCGCAAGCGTTCCAAGAAACCGCCCAGGCTACGGAGGCCGCTCAGCATGCAATCGAAGGGCTTCCGCCACCTGACGTGGCGTTTCAGCAGCAAGTCATACAAATAATGATGCAGATGCAGCAGCAAATGCAGCAGCACCAGGAGCAGATGCAGCAGCAGGTGCAGCAGATGCAGCAGCAGGTGCAGCCACAGTTGCAGCAAATGCAGCAGATGCAGCAGCAGATGCAGCAGCAGGTGCAGCCACAGTTGCAGCAAATGCAGCAGATGCAGCAGCAGGTGCAGCAGATGCTGCTGGTGGTGCAAGGTCTGCAGACTGACTTTGTGGATCTGCGGACCGAAATCCGGGCCAGGAAGGCGGGCCAGGATGCAGCGGCTGCCGATTGAAGGCAAGTCACGTCACGGGTGTTGTGTACTTCTGGAACAAAGTACTTCTGTTCATCTAATCACTTGAATGTGTTGCCTGGTGTTGTATTCAGCTACTTAAATCTGATCCCAAACTGAAACATTTTTCTATCTAGTTTTCCTTTCTCGCTTGGCTTGGTTACTGGACAAGTTCACTGGAACTAACTGAATTCCAACTGCCTGTTTTGCCGCCTTTCTGTCAGATTTTTATGGCTCCGACCTCTGGGTCAGACGGCGAGCGGGAAGCTGTCATGGATGCCAACAAGTAAACGCCGCCTCAGGCGGAAGTCCATACTTGCAGAAGTATGGGCGGGGGTCGTAGCACAGGCTACGACTGGGACGCTGGTCCCTGGCTCGTGGAGCCCCGTCATCGATTGGAAGCATGGATCAACGGTACGCCATTCCGGGACTGGACCGCGCCTTTTCGGAACTGGCTGTACGATTCATGGGATGGCTGCATCCCCCGCTATTTAAGCGGACGAAACTCTTCCAATCAGTGTCTTCCGACGCCACCATCCAGTTGTGGTTTGGTTAGATATAACACCTGGCCGCATGTGCAGGTGATGACCTATCGAGGCAGAAACGCTTTGGGCCGGATCTGTATATTAGATTTATGCAAATGGCACGTGGGTTTTGAGGAGAGTGCCTGAAAGTGTTTTCATTGAATATTTTTTATCTTTCTTGATATTTTCTTTGCTGAGTTCAACCCGTTCTACTACCAACCCTTATGTCCTATAGCCTTCATGGCTTTCTGTACAGTTGCGTTCGAGGTGCCGGATAGGGCAGGGTGAGGCGGAGAAAGTGAGAGCAATAATAAGCTCTAATAGTGTAGGCAGAATGCTGAACTATGGAAGCTGAAAACAGCTGAAGTAACAAATTCGAAATTTGGCAAGCCGTACGTAACTTTTTGCTCCTACCACATCTAAACTACAAATACTAATCCATTTGTAAACAAGCTTGGTCATGGCTCTGTATCCATCCTTCCTAAACATCAGTTGTTGCTTCAGAGGCAAATGCCATTTTCTGTTACAGATAATGAAAGAGAGAAAAGCAGATGGGCCTTACGAATGGAGAAAGAGACACTCAGCTGAGCTAAATGCGCGCAATAAATGAAGGCCCCCGAGGACATGGGGCGTTGTATATCAGTTAGTTCGTGTTATACATTGGAAACGAGTTATTTAACAGTTACGCACTGGCCCTTACGCCTAACTAACCCAGCTTACTTAACACAGGCTCGCAATATAGGCAGGCAGTGCAACACAGCAAAGATGTAACCCGGAGTGCTCAGATGGGCAGGGTTGCGACCATATTACAGGAGTATTACAGGAGTGCGGGGGGGTCTGTCAAAGCAGGGAGGCCATGGACTATATATATTGAATACAACCGTTTGGGTCTTGCTAACTAGACCCCTCCTCATTCAGTCACCCGACATCCGTAGAGACGGATCAGCCATCATCACCAACTCAGCATGCGAAACTCAGTCCATCAACTAGACCTCATCTCCATGCCTCAGCAGCAATTTGTAAACCTAAATCTCCCGAATATTGCCAAGCACAATTAAACCCAAATACGCCGGCGAGGTAACGACTTTGTAGGGCGGCGTATTAGTGGCATATAGTTGGCGATATCAACTTTCCGTTATGGTTGTACATGCCCCAAACCGCTTGTTTCTACCCCTAAAAACGCGTAATGCTTTCTCCGTTGTCAAGGGTATCTTATTAGAAGTACAGGTATCGTATTAGAAGTAAAGTGATGGTGATAGGTAAACAGTCGGTGTTCGCGTCAGGCGGCAGGATGGATGATGGGCCTGATCCAAAGAAGGCCAAACGTGGTCCTAAACCAGGTGTAATGAATGATTATTTCGATGACATAGGGCCATATTGCACTAGTAATCACCATCACGCAAAGAAGTGCAAGGCCTGCGGCACCGAAGAGTTGCATGAGCTGGCCTTGCATTTGGCACAATGCCCGTCGCTCTTACACGAGAAGAGATTGTGCTCTAGACGTTGTTGCCATATTTGGCGCGAATGATGCGGACTCCTGGAGGGAAGGGGGTCCAATGCTGCAGCGACTGAGCCAGAAAGTCCGGTCCAGACAATACACTTTTAATACTCAGCAATTTGCAAGTGCTTCTCGCCGGAAATTCTGTAGAAGAAAATACACCAGAGGTGTTGAATTATGCCGAGTAAAATGCGGGTGTCGTACAATACGCCGAATGCCGGGCGTGAAACTTTTGGGGGCCGTAATACGCCGGACGGTCAAAAGTAAAACAGTCGCAACCCTGCAGATGGGCCTGGTGTCATTACAGGCAGCATGCCGCTACTTCTCCCTGGATCCTCCTTCCTTCGGTGCGCCTGGCAGCGCTGTCACATGTACTACTGCTCCGTCAGCAGACGCTCAGGAGTGCCCCAGAGAATCACATCCAGGAGCAACCACTCTCTTCTGTTCTGCTGGCCCAGGCTATTTGTTCCTGCCTGCACTCGCACTTTCAGCATCCTTCGCATTCCTCTGCGCCCTGAACGAACACGTTTTGTATAAATGAACACGTTTTGTATAAATCCCGGTGCCGTTGCATAATGCATGCTCAGTGAAGTAACCTGAGCATGATTTGTTACGCTCAATTAGGCGGATAACTAATATAGCTCTCAGCAGGAGCTTTAAGGAGGCACAAACGGACAAGTCGTTCAGATCGTACGACATGTCCCAAAACCAGTTCGCAAGCGGGCTGACTGTCCTTAATTGGGCTGACACTATTTCGCAACAACGAGCCGACCCCTGCAGCTTCAAGCATTGCACAGACGACTCACCAGGGTCGGAGCATCTGTATCAGTCTGGAAAGAAACAATCCCGCTTCCTTCTTTCCTTGTCTTCACCGCCTCCTTCCGATCCTGCTGTCACTGCACTGCACTGCAGCTATCTTTTTTCTAGTTCTAGATGATGTTTCTAAAAAAAATATTAGTGAGATTTGCCGGGAAAGATCCTCTATGTGTATGAGGGAAAATAGAAACCTGCGCTGCACTGCTTGAAAACCATATCACCTCCATATGTGTGTGTGAGTTGGCTCGCAGCCATATAAATCCCGCTGCAGGGGGACGAGCCCTGAAGATAGGAGCCTAGACAAGTTATCTAGATTACGTCCTTTCATACCGCTGGCCTCCCGGGCCAGCCTTACTGACGGCGCGCCGCCTTCAGTTGCAACCCACGCGTGATGCGGCCTTTACAGCGCCAACAATCTTGGACATACAAAATTGTGCACCGGTGTGCTTGACAACGTTGTCCTATTGACTTCGAACCTGATGGGAGATAACGGAGGGGGACAACGACGGCTTCGTGACACAGAAAGCACCACGGGGAGGAGGGGGGGGAGAGAGAGTACAGGAGAGTAGCCCGAGTGGCTCGCCAGGCCCAGGGTGCCGTACTCCTTACAAGGTGCATGTCCAGTCCTGCATTCCGAAGAAAGGCATGCATCTGGCATGCCTCCCTGTATAGCGCGCCCCACACCACCCCTCAGCCCACACCGGTGTGCCTGCTGCCCTCGATGCTCTGGACTACCCGGAATACGATACCCCATCAGCCACCGGGCAGCCCGCGGCCGCCCCGCACTTCACTCTGGCCACCTCCTCCTCCTATCCATATGCCACATAGCCCCACTCAGTGAGCCCTAGGGCCCACCGAAGCCCTTTCCCCGCAACAACCAAATCCACACCAGCAAACCCTCGTACCTTGCAAGGCCTCCCCGCGCCCCCTTTCCCCTCGATCCCTGGGCCTTTGTGGCCCCACCCCAGCCCGGTCCCCACCCCCGCCCCCGCCCCCGCCCCCATCAGCCTCACACTTAAACCCTTCCACTCCCTTCCACTTCCCCAGTCCCACTTGCATGACACGACCTGTATCAGCTCATACCGGCAACGCTGCTCCGCTGCAACAACACAACCAGCGAACCCAAATCAGCCAGCCCCGTCACCTCCCGAGCCAACCGCCGCAGCAGTGAAGCCACACGACCACCTCCGCTAGCGCTCCCCAACCTCCTGCTCAAACCCATCATGCCGCCTCCGCCTCCGCCGCCGCTACCATCACCACCAGCACCACCGCCGGTCCCTGCCGCCGCCGCCTCAGCCTCCGCGTCCCTCTGAAGTTGCGCCTCCGCTGCCGCCAGCAGCACCCGCAACACCGTACCATCCACACAGCCTGCAGCCAACGCCTCCGCCTCCGGCTCCGACGCCATTACCTCGTCCACCGCCGCCGCCGCGGAGCCATCCGCCCGGGAAGATGAGCCGGCGGCTGTCGCCGACGCCGATGCTGACAGCGGCCGCGCCGACGCCGGTGCTGCACGCCGCCGTGTACCGGCTTCATCAGCGATGGAGCTACTGCCAAAACCTGCCAGTCCCGCCCCCACCGCCGTCTCTCTCGGCACCACCAGCGGCCAGCTGTAGCTGAGGCTGTAGCTAACCGAGTCAACACCGGTAAGCAGGGCTGTATCAGTGGGGTCGAGCGACGATACGGCGTGCTGCAGCCGAGCCAATTTGGCCAACGGAGGAGGCGGCGCTGCCGCCGCCATTGCCATCACGGCTGGGACTTGCTGCTGCAGCCGCACGGCGGCGACATGGCCGCCATTGCTGAAGCAGAGTAGCAAGTCCCTTGGATCCCAATGAACGATGTCGTGGTGGTGGTGGTGGTGGTGGTGCTGTTGTACGCCGGGGCCGTCGAGCTGTGGACCTTGCCCCGTCTTGCTGCTGAGCGCTGCACCCGAAGAAGCTATGGGTGGTAAGCGTGGCGCAGTTGCGGGTTGCTGCTGTTTCTGTTGCCTCTGTTCTTGTGCTTGTTCTTCTGCTTGTTGTGGGCGGGAGTGGGAGTGGTAGTGGGAGTGGGGGTGCGGGTGGGGTTGCAGCCTAAGACCCAGCCTCGCCCTGCACATGCGGGTGACCAGCTGGCGCACTCTGCGTGAAGGGGGGGAGCAGGGAAGGGGGGAAAGGCCACACACACGGGCCGGGGGGTTCAGGACATTGGACGCGTGCACATACACACACGCTCCAGCACTTCCTTCTGACAGCCCCTTCCCGCAGCTCCGTTCAAACACACGCTGAGAATGTGGACACTGTCCATCCGTTTTTAGTTTGAGGGTTCAACATACAAGTAGTAGCAGCCAATCCAGACAGCAAGGAAAGCCATTCTGCCAGTTTGGGCGGCGAAACACGTACACAATACATACATACATACATACATACATACATACATACATACATACATACATACATACATACATACATACATACATACATACATACATACATACATACATACATACATACATACATACATACATACATACATACATACATACATACATACATACATACATACATACATGCATACATGCATACATACACCTTTTCCCTCACCGCACCCCTAGGCTCACCGACACGCTGCTTCCAAACTCAATCCCGGAGTAGCTTCCAAACGCGGCTTCAGCAACCGCAGGTCGTCCAGGGAGAATCGGGCAGTGCTGGCGCCGCTTGTGCCGGCAGCGCTGGGCCCAGCGCCGGCGCCGCTGCCGCTGCTGGCGGCGGCCCCAGCAGCCCCCGCGCCCCGGGGGCCCCCGGGCCTGGCGGGGCCAGCCGCCGCCGACCCCGTCTCCCAGACCTGCTCGACGGTCTGATGCTGCCGCTGCCGGTTGATTCCTGCTCGGACGTATATACAACAACAAAAAGCCCAGGAGGAAAAAATTGCGCTGGTTCGGATTTGAACCCAGATCGCTCCCTCGGCCCTCCTCGGGACGGTGCACAGCACAAAAGGACACAAAACCGACATCGGAATTAAGACCAAGGACAAATACCGCCGTACCACGGCACGAATAACCTCATTACCCCGCAACCGCCCTCCCTGTCAGCCGTCCCCCCTCCCCAAGCACCACCACCCGCATCCGTGTCCCTCTCACCCGCTTCGAAGTCCGCCACCGCCTGCCTCTGAGCAGCCCTCATGACCTCCTCCTCCGCCGCCGCATCGCGACGCAGCACCGCCAAGCCGTGGGGATGTACGGCAACCAATATGTGATCCGGATCCAACCATGCAGCCGCCTGGAATACACACCCCACCCCAACCCCCGATGGCCGATGAGAGGGAAGAAAAGGGGGGAGGGGGGACGTGAGAGGAGAGTGGAGTCGAGGGATGGAGCTAGATCAGTTGAGGAGGGAGGGCGGGTGGGTCAGGGGCTCGGGCTCGCCTGCTCGTGAAACACACTGCCACTCACGAGCAGGAAACTGAGCGCAACCCTAAGTCGCACCCCAGCAGGGCAGTCTCCAGTCCTCTTCCCTCCACACATACATACATGCATACATACATACACACGCATATTCACATGTCAACCCCCTCTAGTCTCGTTCCACCCCAATCCATCAAGTCCCTCCCTCCCCTTCCCCAACCCCCAACCCCGCATTTTCAACCTACCCCTTTTTTTCCAACCCTTACCGGCGCATGACCCGTTTATCACTCATCCTTAGTGCGACAGTCGGCAGTTCTCTCTCCCTCTTCTGCATTATCAATTCATCATATCTTCATCCTCTCCCCCTCCCCCGTCTCCTTCCCCCCTCCCCCCCTTACAC